AAAAAAGGGGACAGAGCGGGAGGTTTCCGTTTGTAACTTTGCATCGATACGTGAAATAATGGTTTGTCTTGCGGTTAGCAGGAGAGAAAAAGCAAGTCGGGGTCCGGCCTGGCCTGGCCTTGGGGGGTTCTTACCGATAAAACAGACGAGGTTCTTCTTATCAAAGGGTATCTTGGTTGGCAGCACTGCAGCAGGCGGCGAGGCGACCCGGCGAACGAACTGTTTCGCCAAACGAACCACCGTATCCGTACACCCCAGAGAACGGCAACATCGTATCTATACTGTGTGCTGTTGTACGGATAACTTGCCGGCGAATTCTGCATGCTGCAAGGCAAGGGCAGGGCACAAGGAAGTAGTGTAAACGAAGAATGGTTTGTTGCAAAAGGGAAGGGGGGGGGAGGCTACTTACTGCAGGGTGCGGCTAAGTGTAGGCGAGATTGCAGTCCATAGGACCGAGGTGGTGTGAGCTTTTCTTCGGGTCGTTACGCACACACACGCACACACACGCACTCGCTCACTTACACGCGCACCCACACATATATGTATGCGACGCTTGCCTTTCCGCGGGAGCTTGCAGCGGCCTGGACCCAGCGATTGTTTTGGAACGGCCTAGACTTTTTTATCTTTTGTTATTCCTTTCGCTTTTTCCTTTTTTTTTTTCCTCTCCTGGGCTTATTTGGTTCTGCTGGTTGAAGTGGTATAGCCCGCATCGTATCTACTCGACGTGTTTGAGAATCGGCACCTGACGTTCCATAGTTCCATGTGCTGCCGCCGGGTGAATGGAAAAGGATGGATGGGTTGCGATAATTTACCCTTGGAGTTTTCCCTCTTGTCCGTCGTCTTGGCACAGATGCAGCTTGATGAAAGATTTCTGAGATGTGATGAAGGTGTGGAAGGGGAGGAAAATGCTTATATAGTGGGCTTTCGGACCCGGGAACGTCTTTGTAAACAACAATGTCGGAGTTTCTCCATCAACCCATGTCTTGATCAGGGGACTGAGACCTCTTATCGTTCTGTGTGGTCGATATCTCTACTCGGCAAAGGGAACGTGTCCCACTGGTTAAGACGCTGTCCATAGTCCCGGGGGTGCCTAGCCAAAAGAATCAGTCTGAATGCCAGCTCACCGGCGCTATCCGTTTCTTCTACCCAGGTTTGTGGGAGGGAGGATTGGCGATCAGCCAAGTGTCTTGTGATTGAGGCTGGCTGGGTGTCTGACTCTGGCCTTGGTGGGTGTGGACTGGAAACCGGAGATTACTCCGTCACAAATTCCGGGCGGTCTTTCCAACGCCCCTCAGGACTCGGGGAGCATCTCTGCCTGCTTGAAACTTGCACGATATCTGTAGGTCCCTGGTATTCTGCCCATGCTCATCAGAGGCAGGCAGGCATGGCGCCGGAAGAGGGGTAGGGGGTTGGCACACCCCTTGACACATGTACTTACACAGACAAACGCACTTCGGTCCCCCCGGAATCCATGGTCTGTCTGTCTTGGCTATTGAATTTTCCAGCGGACTTCTCCCATGTCTTCCGCCAGCCACGTGAGGTTGGAGAGAGTGTGGGTAGTTTGGGAGAGACAGACCATACCCGTTGTGAAATAAAAGGCAAGGGAAAAAAGCAAAGAGAAGGTGGTTCAGAAATGGAGGTATTCCAATGACCCGGTTTGTTGAATATTGAAACTTATTGTTTAAGCCAGCCTCTCCATCCTAGTAGAGACATTGAGAATGCTCTCTGGTCCCTCAGTGACAGTCTGCAAGATAATAGATGTCGCTCGGGGGAAGCAGGACATCAAAAGTGCGATATCACTGTCTCTTTGAATCTCCCACAGTTGCCTACCATCGTGACCGGAAACATGATGGTCTTCGTCCCACCTAGGCACATGTAAAAATGGTTTATTGGAGGTATTTCAAGTCAGGTAGGGTTTGTTCCGGTGGAAGAGGCTGTTTCCGTGAAATTTGAGGCATGCTGTGCAACGCTGTTTCGTCGCGAAGGTGCCCCATTTTCAAGCAGCTCATTGGCAAGCAGAATCTCGAGTAGTACTGGCAGAGAAGTATTCCGTTGGTCCAACCACCCTCGTTTGGCTTCTCCCCTCCCAGATGTACCAGTAAGGACCTATGTTTTCGTTGTAGAGGACGGAGTGGAATAAATCAGGTCATCATCTGCAGGTCACTTACTACACGGTCGTATCAAGAATCGTCTGCATGGACCGCTCTGGATCTCTTTTACAAACACATGAGGGCAACTTTTCTTTTTTCTCGGAAGGGAAATAGTTCTTTTTATCTCCGTCTCTTTTCAACCAGGCTCCTCCTTGGCTGAATGGTTGCTGATTTGCGTCTTGCAATCACAACTAGGCAAGAGTGCAGTTCGAAGACTCGCACAACATTGAAATGCTCCATTAGTATTACCGAGTCTTGATCTGAATTCAACTTCCCTCTCAATCCTGCCTAAGCTCGTAGTTAGTCTGAGTCTTGTTGTCAGATATATTCTTCAAGGCGAGAGACTGCCTTCGGCCATGAATCCAAGGTCGAGAACAAGGCGGCAAGTTAACGCCTCCATTTAGCCTCTCAAGAACAAAAAGAAATGAATTGAATAAAACATGCCAATTTCAGACCTCCTTTGGGATTTCACCATATCATCCGAAGGCCATAGAGCTCAAAGTCTCAAGGTCTCAGTGTCACCCACGGGAAAACAAAAAAGGGAGACGCCAGTCTGGAATCGACTAGCCACATAAGTGTATCAGCAAGCATGCGATATCATGCAAGTCTTCGGATGGGCGTAACTCGGGCCAATCAGACAAGGCCGCTTAGTTCCATCATGTCTCCCTTTCGTGTAACGGCCTGGGCCCCAACGCCTAGAACAAACTTGTCAGCCCGCGCAGCCGTTTGACGAGCACTACCATGGACATTCCCTACGCTCTTTTTTATCTGCCGCCTGCCTCAGCCGCACGCAAACCTCGGCATGCTGTGGCGTTTGACTTTGCTCGTGTTTTTTTTATGAATGGTTCGATCTTGGTTTTCGGATGGTTTACTCCGGGATCTGGGGCTTTGATTCCGTGTAAGTGGTCTGATTCGGGTCCAGTGATAGATATCCTCGGGTTGTGGGGAGACATGACGAGGGATGATGTGGTCAAATGTTTAGGATTGAAGATCGCTGTCGAGGCGTTTGTCGCATTGCTTTTCCCATGTTGGTGCAGGCTGGGGCGGGCACCATGGGCGTGGTTGGCTATGCTCTTGTCTTTAGATACCTCTCGTCATTCAGAATGTCAAAGCCTTCATACAAGGTGTATCAGGGAGACACTTGTTGGCAGCTTTTCATAGCATCTAGATTGCTTGTTGAGCGAGGTGGCAGTGAGCCTCCCTACGACCTGGTACCGGAGGTTCTCGGGTTTGATTAAGGGGCGCAATATCCCAGTTCTCTCTGGATCGCACCAAAGTTTTCATTGCGTGTGGCAGCAATGCCCATATCGAAAAGCCATCGCCAATTTCAGTTCACCATGGAGCTTTAGACAGGCATGCTTGTGAGATTGCTGAGCTGTCAGCTGTTTCTCGTTACATGGTGCCATTTTCTTGGATGCGGCGGTACATCTGCTTCCATCGTACAGGGAGTTATTCTTATGAAGGGTTGTGTATCTGCAGGTATATGTCGAAAAAATGATGCTCAAATTCCCAGTTCATGGTAAACTCATTGCTTTCATAGTTTAGTGGTCTTTCACAAGAGGCGGGAGGCATTGCTGCCTAATCCTTGACTGGCTTGGTTCACATCTCTGATTTAGCCTCTGGCTAATCTATCCATTTGCTGCTTCTTAAGCCGCCGAATGTCAGTTCTCTCCAATATCTGCTAATTCAGAAATTGACTGTTCAAGCCCATCTATTCAGGGATGAGAAGGACAATGACAAAGGCGACATCAGGAAGAATAACTCAAGAGACAGAATGCAGGAAAAACAATTGGGGTGTTTCCTGAGACTGGAAGTCCATCGTCAGAAACAGCCACTGCATTGCTCTCCCCTTGGAACCGCCTGTGACGATCTCGGTCTGACTTGGGAGTAAGGTGGTTGGAGCGAGGACTGGTAAAGGACGCCAGCTAAAAGTGGAATGCTTCCACGACGGCAATGAATCAACACAAGAATAAACAATGAATTACCATCTCGGGATTTTGAATTTTGTCTATCATTAAATGACTGGAGCCGCTGAAGTACCAGTCCAAGTTTTCCAAGTTTTGTACCGCGAAAGTGGTGATCGGGTTGTTCATCCGGCCTGAACACTTCGCCCGATTACTGAACGCCATCCAATTTTAAATATGGAAATGACGCAAAACCTGAAAACTGATCTGAGGATTCTACTTCTCACCTTGCCCGGTAATCAATCACTGTTAGAGGCGGGCCGTGTGGAATTATGTTCATGCCGTCAGCGAAGGTCTCGGGTCACGTATGTAGCTGCCTACGCCCATAGGCTTCCTGATCCATCTTGCCTTCATAACAGGCTCAAGTTCCGCCACCACCCTAATCAAATCCCTTAGTTTCACGATTTGCTTCACGATCTGCTTCATGGAGCAATTTGCATGTGTATTAACATTCTGTGAGGGCCTTCTACCCCTGCAGTCAACATGAACGCTTTAGACACGACAGAATCAAGATGTGGGATGTAAGCAAACTTCTGTGTGAAGTTTCTGCTTCTAGATACGGGCTTATTGATAAGAAGCTACTTTGAATTTCCGCCGAAAACCTGACCGCTTGACTTGATGCTTTCGAGCAAGTTAGGAACTCAGGAACTGGCCCCGGAAGCCGGAGCACCAGGAATTCCTGTGCATCAGCAATCCCGAAGTCTAAGCTCTGGAGATCTGATTTCCACAGAAAGTACTTCAGCACCTTTTGTCTTCGCTCCATGCACCGGTGCAGCGAGAGCGCCCGAATTGCTGACATATAGCGTCCCATTATCGCCACCTTTTCGAACACGACTGAGGTTGATCCCACCACAAGCATGTTGCCGTTGCTACCGAATCAAGACCACTACATATCTATCACCCAGGGTCTATTATTGTTTCCTTTGTGATTCATGATTGCTGCATTGACGAGTAAGGTGTTTTCAGTGTCTCCCGTAGTCGTAATTTCGACGCCTTCGATGACAGGGCTCACAATGGTATATGAAGAATCGGCACCCCATTCGATCATTTGCGACCCATAACCTTCGTGGAGATGGCCGAAGCAATGGACGCGTGGACGTATGCGTTCAATCGCCTTCCATAATTTCGGGCAGCCGCAATGAGCGCCTTCGCTGTCGAGGTCGAGTCGATAGTCTCTGCCTGGGACTTGCGGTGAGCCGTGTGTAACCACAATATCGACATTCTCGGAGATCGGGTTTGGACCATGGGTGTTTATGCCATGGCGCTCGCAGTCACCTGCTGTTTCGGCCGGACTGAATCTATCTTCATCCGGACCGTACGAGAATGCGTATCCGTTGAATTCGGGGGTATAGGGTGAGGCGTAGAGAGTGAAGGACCGACCATCATTGAGAGTGAATGAGTGGAGTCCTTCGCTCAGAAGACTGATTCCGGATTGCGTAAATAGTTCAATTGCCTTCTTCGGCTCTTCGGGATCATCATCTTCGTCTGAATTATTGGCCCACCACGTAGGATCCAAAGATATATCGTGATTTCCTGGGATCGCGAGCTTCAACTCCGCGTTACAGTCCGATAGACTTTTAATAGCAGCTTTGTAGTTCGACATGCCACCGATCATCGTGAGATCGCCACAGTGGATGACGACATCTGCGAGAGGAAGCTCTGAAGGGAAGGCGGAGTCGTGGGTGTCCGACAGGACCACAAAGCGAATGTTGGGAGTGGTCATTGTGGTATTGAGAGATGTAAAATTGGGTTAGGGACCTGGAAGTATGCATGCTTTCCAGGAAAGTTGTCGATTGTTCATACGCTGGAAGGGACGTTTGCCAACAGGGGACTCACAGCTGGCAAGGAGCCAAAGTAGCACTCAAGGGGCCTGAAAGTTCGTTCCATGTATCCATGGTCTATGCCGCCCTTTCAATGCGGAATTTGCAAAGCCTTGCCTGGATGATAGCGCAGAAAAGGCAAATAGAATCGCAGTATGCTGCATTTAAATCGGCTTTCGACTCTTTCATCTCGAGCAGGCAACACTGTTAGTGTGACTCACCTCTTCCACTGCTTTATTAATTCTTTTCCCCTTATCAGCTCCTCGTCCCCAGTTGCCCAGGCACAACATGATTCGCTATGTTCTGAGGCCGTATAGGCTTTTTAATACTGATTGATGGATGGACTCAGCATACAGATGAGAAAAATAAATGAGATAAGGATTATGTCTTGATATGCTCATCACTTAGGAAATACCCATTGCACGGATCTAGACGGCGACGTAATACTAGTACTACTCCGGATTATTTGGGAAGCTTCCGAGACCATTGAATATGCAGGCAATTTCTGCCTGAACCATTGAAAACATTTTGAAGCATCTTTCTCAGATGAAAATGCAAAGCTTGCGACGTGATTCCATCATCCCACTGGACCCACCCTCTCCTCCAGAGCTGATGAAGCTGGGGTTTCCGGATTATGCCGCTAGTGTTTTTGTTGAAGTGAGAAGCACTTTGCCTATGAATTGTATCTACAAGTAAAATAAGCGATCATACTTCTTGTGAGACTGTGTTGATGGAAGAAAAACCATTTCCCACTACAAGGTGACTACCTGCCTACCTGCCTACTGAAGCAGAGAAACGTACTCGGTGAGGCCCCTCACCGAGACAGACCGAAGCAAGACCTGTGCACGACCCACCTCTCATCGGAGCAGTTGAGTCACTCACCTTAAATTTCCAACTCCCAAGGTTGCGATTCTGCTTTGACTCACGACCCCGCGACCTACATAATAAATCCCCCCCAAAGCGCCCGCCCACCCCCCAGCGATCCACCTCTCTACACGATGTCGCAGCAAAAGGGAAAGGCTTCTGGTGCCGGCAAAGGCAAGAAGTCCGGCAAGGCTGGCGGAGAGGGCAAGCGCGAGGATGTTCTGCAGGCCGTGGTGAGTACTGAAGCGTCATGGTGGGGCAGGCCCGTTGAAGGGTTCGCGAAATGGCTAATCAGGTTACTTTTCTTCCCCATTGCAGCTCATCGCCGACTCCTTTCAAGACAGGTTCGCGCCATTTTCAGCAGAGAAGCCAAGAGTAAGTCGAGAGACGAGTTTCGGAGCCATGCGACGACGACTAACCGCCCGCCCGCAGTGTCTTCTACCCCTTGCAAACACGCCGCTCATCGAATATACCCTCGAATTCCTCGCCATGAACGGTGTCCAGGAGGTTTATATCTACTGCGGCTCCCACTCCGAACAGATCGAGAACTACATCAACACATCGAGATGGTCCCCCATGTCCATCCGGACCCCGTTTACGAGTCTTCAGTTCATCCGCGTCTCCAACGCCCGCTCGATCGGCGACTTCCTCCGTGATCTCGACGGGCGCAGCATCATGGATGGTGACTTCATTGTGGTCCACGGCGACGTGGTCTCCAATATCTCACTCGACTCTGCACTCGCGGCGCACAAGGCGCGCAAGGAGGCTGCGGCGACGAATATCATGACGGTAGTTCTGCGATCAGGCGGCGCGGAGGAGCACAGGACGAAACCCAACGGAATCAACCCCGTCTTCGTTATCGACTCCAAGACGAAGCGCTGCCTACAATACGACGAGACACACCCCCTCCAGAGCGAACACTACATGATGCTCGACTGGGCCGTGATCGACGAGCTCTCGACCGACTTCGAGGTCCGGGCCGACCTGATCGACGCAGGAATCGACATCTGCACCCCCGAGGTGCTCGCGCTGTGGTCCGAGAGCTTCGACTACGAGCTCCCGAGGAGAAATTTTCTGCACGGCGTCTTGAAGGACTGGGAGTTGAACGGAAAGGCAATCTACGCAGAGGTCCTCGAGGACGGATACGCCGCGCGCGCGAGTAATCTCCAAATGTACGAGTCCATCAGCAAAGACGTTCTCGGCCGCTGGACGTTCCCATTCGTCCCCGACTGCAACATCATCCCCGGCCAGACGTACAAGATGACGAGTGGTGCGGTCTGCGTCGAGGATGGAACGGTCATGGCGCCGGACAGCAAGATTGCCAGGTCGATCCTCGGCCAGGGAGCCACCGTGGGCGCCGGCAGCAAGGTATCAGACAGCATCATCGGCAGACGGTGCAAGATTGGCAGCAACGTCCGCATCGAGAATAGTTTCATTTGGGACGACGCCGTCATCGAAGATGACGCAGTCATCACACGCTCCATTCTAGCAGACTCGAGCGTCGTAGGCAAGGGCTCCGTCGTCGTCGCCGGCTCGCTCCTCTCCTTCGGCGTCGTCCTCAGCAAAAACAGCAAGATCCCCGAGGCCACCGTCCTCGCCGTCACCACACACAGCGGTCAGCCCGTCAACCCTGACAAATCCCTCGTTGGCCCCTCGGGCAAGGGCGCCCCCTACGTCGACCCCGAAGCAGAGGACATGGACGACGAAGACCCCTCGACCCTCCAGCGCTCCCTCATCTACAACCTCGCCCACCTCAACCTCTCCACCTCGACCATCTCGACCCTCTCCTCCGATGTCGACGACGACGACTCGGACGCCGCCTCGGGAATCACCCCCTTCTCCGCCGACTCCCGCAATCGCGCAGACTCCTTCGTCTCGGACGACTCCCAGGGCAAGTCAGGCTTCCACCACGACGCAGTCCACGGCCTTCTCGACGCCCTCCGCGCCTCGTCGGGCGACTTTGACTCCGCAAAGTTGGAATTCATGGGCCTCCGCCTCGCCAACGACGCATCAGACGTGGCCATGCGCAAGGCCGTCGCCATCGCCTTTGCCCGGCGCGCCGCAGAGCTTCTCGAGCCCGAGAACGGCGGCCTCGAGCCCGCCAAAGCCGCCGACTCGACCTTCAACTCTAGCAAAGGCGCCTCGAAATTCGTCTCCGAGGTCGGCGTCGGCGGCGGCGAGGTGGAGCAGGTCGAGTTCGTACTCGCGCTGCAGCGCGCGCTGCTCGGGTGCCGGAACCTTGAGCACGCGCGCGCCGGCGTGCTGCTCGCCGCGATGCTGCAGCAGCTGTATGGATTGGACGTTCTTGAGGAGGAAGGGATCCTGGCCTGGTGGGAGGACGAGCGCGCCGAGGAGGGCGAGGGCATGGCGGCGCTCAAGGACAAGTGTCGGGTCCTTGTTGAGTGGTTGGAGGATGCCGATGAGGAGGACGACGAGGATGATTCGGAAGAGGATGACGACTAGGTGTTGGCATCTCGGTCCACGTCCAGGGAATTCTGAGGGATACACAGGGGAAGAGAAAAAAAGAACCGTTCAAGAAATGAACGGAGTCTCGCACATGGGATAGGTAGTGTGGTAGAAAGAATGGCTTGGCTTGGCTTGCGCGGCGTGGTCTATGCAGCAAACTAGCAAGAAGGGCAGGACTTACCAAAAAGTTGAGGTAGACATGAATCAAAGAACAAGGTACATTAAACAGTAACCACGAACGAGCCTCATCAGATTGGTGTCACATAAAGTTGAAATGACTTGCTATGTTGCAAGGTTACTACGAACGAAGGTATCATATCAAAAGCATAAACCTCCAAACGCCGAGCTGAACCTGCCCCAGAAAGATGCGAAACTCCGACCCATCCATCCATCACCTTGATCCCTCGCCATTTGTTTTGCTTACTCATCCGCCGCAAGAGTTTTACTCAATTTTTTTGAACGCGTCCACTAGTGAAGCTCACGATCTCCAGACCAAATCCAGCCTCAAGTTTCTTGAACCAAAGTCCCAGAACGATCGCATCTAGTAGAACCTTTGCTTTCAGTAGTAGCTTTGGAGATCACTTCCGCCGCCGCCTCCACCACCGCCGTAATTACCACCACTGCCGCCCATGGGACGACCGGCTGGGCCCGTCGGGGCGTTCGGTGGGGGACCTGAGTTCCATGCGCTAAGCGGCGGTTGATACTGTTGTTGACCCTGGAAGCCGCCCTGCTGCTGCTGCTGCTGTGCCGGGAGGGACGGGTAGCTGTTGTCATCATACTCGACAGTCTGTCCATATCCTCCCTGCTGATTCCGGGGCTCGACGTCGTCGAGAGAGCGGTAGCCGTGCATACCCCGTCCGCCGCGACCGCCCTTGCCATTACCACGGCCTCGGCCGCCTCTTCCTCCACCGCCGCGGAAGCCACCACCACGGCCCCCGCCTCCCCGTCCAGAGTGGAAGTCGCGGCGCTCGTTGCGGCCGTTGTAGGGGTTGTTGTGTCGGTGGTGATCGCGTGAGTATTCGCCGCCGTCATGTTTCCGCTTAGAAGACTTGTTGGCGAAGAGCGATTCGTACTCGTCCTCGCGGGGGTCCTCTGGCTCGATGCGCAAAATCATTTTCTCGCCGACCGTGGTCTCAAAGGTCATTGCTTTATCGGCAGGGATGGGCTGCCAGTTCTGGATCTTGCCGGCATCCACGGGGCGGGCGCCCTTTCGGAGTGCGAGTACGACGAGAGGCGACGGGTTATCCGTGTGGAATTTAGCCGTAGCGGGGACGGGTCGGAGGCTCGCTGCCCAGATGCTATTCTCAAAGCACGCTGTGCCAGTGACCTCCCACTTCATTTTACTGCCCATGCCCCCGACTTTTTCCAGGATACTGGCCGGGGAAGGACGCGGGCAGATGAGAATGTTGTTGGCGTGGAACTTGAGCTCCTGCTCAGGTAAGCCTGAGGGGATCAGGGCAAGCTTCATCAAGCGCGCCGTATCTTCTTTGCTGATCAAATAACCTGTGAAGTAGACAGTCTTTTTGACCCTCAGGCGTTGCGGGCGCACATCAGACGATTGCTTGGCAATCTCCTCGTTGTGGAGATTGATCATGTGCTGCACCTCGGCAACCTCGACCACAGGGTCCAGCGTCGTTGACATGTCTGCGACCTGGACCACCTCCGCCGTGATAGGCCCGCGCGTGCGAGTGGCATTGATGTTCTGCTTGCGGTTATACTCCGCCATGAAATCTCTGAATCCCTTGACGTGCTTCGGGCGGTCCTCGTAGATGCGAATCTCTTCAGCGTTCTTGTACGTTTCCATGACCGCAGTGAGGAAGAGCTGCTTGAAATGCATCGTACTCGAGAAGTTCTGATTCGTCGGGCTGACGGCAGGCTTGAGGCCAATCATATCAAAATCGAGTCCCTTGCTCTGGATCATCCTCTTGATGAGCTCCCCGAAGCCTCGCTCGGAGCGACCCGTCAGCAGAACACAAAGAGCGTCCTTTTGCTTGATGCTCAGCTTCACCAGCTCGACAATCTTCTCATTCCACCAGCCCTCCCACTCGCGCTTTTCCTCCGTGTCGGCGCCCTCGCCGGTCGCTGAAAGGATTCGGGAGTCGTGCCACCAGCCGCCGTTGCAAATGACGTCTTGACTTGACAGAACGCCGATCGTAGGACCGCTCCATAGTGCGGGGTTCGGCAAGGGAGTTTTGAAGACTGCGGATTTCAGACGACGTTAGCCTTGGTGTGTACGAATTGGCGTGATAATCATGCGACGCTGGAGATGGAGAGGAGGGGGTGAATAGAGAGCATCGTACGTGTGTTATCAAAGTCGTAGATGTGTAGGGCTTTGATCTTGTCGACCGCGGGCAGCTGCTTCGTCGCGATGCTCCATCTGCTCAATGCAGTAGTCGTCGCGGAGGATGTCAAGTAGGCCGCCTTAGCAGAGCCATTGGCGTATGCGGACGTCATGACTCGGCGGGTGAATCTGGAAGCTGCCAACATGAACGTTGCCCAGACTTCGAAATCCCGAGAGAGGTGGGAAATGTTCAAAGAGCGGGTCGTCGATCGGTCGCGAGCGCGCAGAACCACCGGCTAGGGGACTCGAGCCTTGCTACAGCGGTAAGTGCGACCGCGGCTTGTGCCAGTAGGAAGTTTTCCAACCGTTGGCTTTGTGGGGCCTCGCCGTCATCAGGGAAGGCGAGTGCCACTGCAGAGCACCTACCTTACCTGTGCTCATTAGGTACGCACCACAGCAGCTCTTTTACCTTACTTAATGATTGCTTATGTTATTGAATTGATTAGATAAGCGATTTCCATCGCTCGGATTGTTAACCCGGGCCTCATCAGTTTGCTGACAGCATCACTTAAACGGTCAACACGGAGCTACGGACAGCTGGACATATCTATATTTTGTTCAGTGGCAAATTTTCTCTAGTCAGATTCTTCCGAGTCAAATTAGAGCATGCCAAAGCTAAGGTACAAGTGTGCTTCGAAGTTCCGGCATCCCGCCCCACATCCGGTCCCGCAGCATGCCGAGGTGGAGACATTAAAGACGGCCGCCGCCAGCGTGCGTGTCAAGATCTCCCTCGGTCGAAGAAGCTTATGTCTTTCTTCAGTCCAGGGACTTCTCCCTACGAACCGGACGGAATTAAGGGGAAGTAATTTGGAGCCTGAATCAATCACCTGGGAAACAGCCGCGATACATGCTGTTGCTTCCATATGGTGCACTCCTCACAATGTAGTAACGTCGCTTCTCTGACCACGAATGGCAGAAATAGGTGCCATGATCGGTAGTGTAGAACCAACAAATTTAATCCACGATGATGCAAACAGGGGCAGGCCAAAAGCTACTGATTCAGGACCAGGATAGAAAAGACTCATCTGTTCAAGTTTGTAAGTGATGTATTATTGTCAGACACAGAAGCATCGCTGAGCGTTCTTCCTTGCCCAGAGCTTGCTATCGGTGTGAACGTTCTGTGTGCGTGTTGAGCGTAGAATTCAAGTAGGGTTTCTTTCTCATTACTGAGCTTACTTAACCTAGACCGCCAACGAGCTGGCTTGGATTCAGGAAGCATGATCAGCACAGAATGAGGTGGACAGGATGGCAAATTGAAGTTTCTCTTATTTTTCTCATTTTTGTCATTTTTTTGTAGTTTTGGCTGACCCATGGCCTTTGCTAGATTCGTGCCTCTTACCAGCACTAGCTTCCGCTGAACCCCCGGGAGGCGAGGCCTGCCAATACATTTCGTCAATTTAGACTTTTCGTATACCGTCCTCCTCTTCTCGGCGTGTCTAGTCTTGTCGCTGCTCCCTTCGTAAATGTCATCGGTACCCCTCCACTCTCATTCCATCCAGCTTTGGTGCTCTCTTGCAAATCCTGTGTTCCGTCCCAAACGAACATACAGAGGCCATACCTTTGGCGTGTAAGTTCCAAACATCGACAAGTACCAACATGAGAAAAACATGGTTTGAGGTCATACATGCCCCTTTGCGTCCTTAAAATACCGGACATTTGTGAACAGAAAAAGGAAACGACAAATAAATCAGGATCGGGGAGATTTCCCGTACCGTAACGCCAAAAATTAGAAAAGAAAAAAATTGCCTTTCCCATGGGTATTCCATGCCGCCTTTTGTGGACCGACCGATGCAATGCGTACTCTAAAAAGTCATGCTCATGAACCAGCCAGGGTCCCTTCATCTACTCACACCGCTTTGTCATGTTCCTCTCTTCGACACCTCCATCCTTATTACATCCGCCAGCGCTCCTTGTGCCAAATGACACGGTGTGTTATGCCGACTTACAATGTCGGGTCAATGGCACCAGTATCGGACTGCTCGCCGAAATCAAGATAGGCGTCCCAGTTGTCGGTCGCATTGGGGCCAGGGGTAGCCTCATCGCTTCTCAGTTCGTCGTAGCGGGACGCGTAAGGGTTGACATGTCCATTGAAATACTCGTGCGAGGAAATCGTAAGCTCATTCTGATGCTGCTCATGTTTCAGATCGGCCAGCGAATGAGTGTCCGGAAAGTACATCTGTTGCTGCAAAGGGTTGCCCATAAACATCTGGGCCATTGGGTCGTTCATGTCCAAGTTTGGCACCATCATCTTCGCGTCCATAGGCAGCTCGGCGGTAAATAATGACTCAGGCGAGAAGAGACTGTGGTCAATAGTTGTCATGGGCGAAGGGAACGTCGATGCGGTTCGCGTCGAAGGAGTACCGGCAGCAGCATCCGATGCCGGAGACAATGCTGGCGGAGACTGTGGATGATCTCGCAACACGGGTGTGGCCACATCCATCGGTGAGGCTACGGACTGCGTCCTCTGGCGCTGATATATTTGTTGCTCAGACTGAAAGTTCACGGCTGCAAAGGTTGGTGACATGGGACTCGTAACTGTTTTTTCGGGCTGAGTGGATTGCTGCTGCGACACTGAGCGTTGCCCAGGAACAGAGTACATCGAGTTGGTGATGTTACGTGACAAAGCCTGTGCTTGTTTGTTGGCGTTGGGGAACTGCTCAGCAAACATCTTGTTGATTGGATTCTGGGCCCATTCCTCGTTACGAAGCCCAGCAACCATGCTCGCCATGGCCACCCGATTAGCCAAAAAGGCGTTGACGCGGTAGTCGAACTCTGGGGAACCAGTCTGAAGGTGGGCAGCCAGCATGCGGTAGGACCGGGGCATATCATCCTCTTCCTCTTCGTACATTTCCTCGGCCTGGACAATTGCTTCAGATATCTTGAATCCCTTGCCGGTGCGCTTCTTGTGGATCTCGCTTGCCATTTTGGCTGACTGGACACGAGCTTCGATACTGCGGTCTGCTCGCCTTGAAGCGGCAATGTACGCGCGCTCCTGATTCTCTTCATGGGATCTCTCGGTCTGCGATTTGATTGTTAGCGGTTGAAGGGGGAAAAAGCAAACTTTCATGAAAAGAGTGTACAGAAACGTGGCTGAAACGTTACGCGGGAGTGCGGATAGGTCCAAAACGTTGATTTGGAATCGTGGATAGATCATGATGGACAAGAAATGGACTCTGGTGCGAATAGGAAGCTTGAGTGGGGAATCACAGCATAAGCTGAAGCGTCGTACCTTCTTCTGTGCCCGTTCAGTCTGCATCGTGGGCGACAGGTTGCTGGCGTCCAAGGATCGCTTCGGCATTTTCGTTGACGTCGAGGACTCGGAGATCGACGAATATTATAAAAATGTCGAGTGGTAATGAGATCGAAAGTGGCTTCGCCAGCGAGGTGCGCGACGCAGTCTGTGTGTGTCTAATGGAAGCTTGTGTTCACTTGCGGTGATGGACTTCGTTGTGGCTAGAACCTTGAAGCCAAAATCACCTGATGTCGCAATAAAGTCGGTCAAACCTAGTCTGTGCCTAGGGATATAAGAGTATGTGAGTCGTATGTGTCTATCGTGGTGGCCGAAGACGGTTGCGTTCGAAAGGGAGCTTGTCGGTCGGGGGACCAAAGGGTGTGTAGACGTTGGAGAGGCAAATGGTGGAGCAGGGCGGTATCCAAGTCTTATACAATCCCAGGGTACGTGCGTACATGCTCGGGAAAAATGGCGCGGGTATCAGGATTGAGGTGCGAAGCAGCGAGCAGAGGAAGAAAAAGACAGCGAGTGAACTGGCTACCTCTAGGGGTGTGGAGGAACGGAGGACACCCCGGAGCAATGTTCCTTGCAAGAAAGCGTGGTAGAGGGTTATGTCCAGGCGGGAGAGATGAGAGAGCTTGAGGAGGTACTGCTGGGGGTACCTTACTTAGGTTCTGAGGCTGGGTTGCCGGAGGAGGGGAGACCAAATAGACGACCGGGTACAGAAGAGACCGGGGACATGGCACATGATTTGACATGGGGGAAAGGGGGGGGGGGTTTGTCTGTCTGATCTGTTGCTGTTGCAGTGATTGAGAATTTGAGATGGGAGCTGGACTAGGTACGCTAAGGATACATGGGGTCGTAGCGGGACAAGCAGGCGCTGGGGAATGCGGTACTGCTGTACTGCTGTCGGGGCAGTCTAAAGTCCAGAGTCCAGGCTCCAGACTCCATAGTAGAGAGACGGAGAGACGGAGAGAGGGGAGGGCGAGAGGGGAAAGGAAAAGTGGCATTGGACTGCTTTCGATCGCTAGACGATCTAGGAGGGTTTGATCGGGTTACGCTCTGGTGATCGATCTCGATGAGAAGGGACTGTGTGCTAGACCGACACCCGTGGAGCCAAGTATCGAGGTAGTCACTCTGCACTCGATCGAACGGACGGAAAGGGCTGCCCTCGCTTCTGGGTCTCTCTCCATTCCCCCCCCTCTCTTCTGACTGACTGACTGTTTCTGCCGGTCTCCTCGCTCTCCTCGTACCCTTCCTATTTTGGATTAGTGCCGGTTTCTTTGGAAAAAGGCAAGCACAGGACGGTGGTGTTGGCAGGGGTTGGGTTAGAGCAGTTGCCAGTGACAATGTAGCTTTGGGGAAGGCGCAGCTTATTTCTGCCTTCAACCATCCTCTCGCCTCTCCACATGCATTCTCTCTACGCTATGCTTGCTCTATACCTTACCTCTTCTATCCCCCGCCCTCTTACTGCCTTAGTCCAAAGAGACAGCCGTGTGCACTACGAAGGCAAGAGCATCAAATGTCTTGATGGCCGCAGGGCAGGTGCAGATGTAGCTGCATGGGGTGGAGCTTTGGCCTGAGTGGGCGATCCTAGGTAAGCCCGGGCTCTCACCTGTGCCACATCCCCACCCTAGTGCATCCAGTGCATCCAAATGCAACCGACAGGGCGGGAACAATCCCCGGGTCATTTGCTCCAGGCCCCATCCCGGTCGCGAACTGAGAGATAGTACCGGTAGTCCCATTTTGCAGCGACATTTTGGGCAGCTCCGCACCGATTCCTTTTGCTGCATCCCGTCTCAATAATGCTCAAGCTGTCACAGCTGTGTAAATGTTATCGTAAAAATTGGAACCTGGGACGAAATACGGTCCGTACTGGCAAGTTATCTTTCCAATCATACGGGAGGACTGTTAAGCTGTAGCTTGCATACAAAGAGGTGCCTGCAGAGAGAGGCAGGAGCTTCCAAACTCAAAACTCCTCCGTCTTTCCCCCAAATCCCATAATTCCATGCACCCTGCCCAGTCCTTCGTGTCTTGCCCTTGCTTGAATTCGCCATCGCAGCTGGAGGCATTGTGTACGTATTTTTCTTTTCCTATCCAATGCCACTGCACCTCAGCCATAGGGTAGGTTTCCCACCACCACCACCACTTGCAAGCGGAGTAAGCAGGCAACCACGTTGGCAGTCAGAGAAAAAGAGGGTGGGCGGGACCAAAGTGCTGCCTAGGTACCTACAGTAAGTACCTCAGAAGCTGGTACATATGGAAGTACCTTGGAAGCCTGAGAGTCGACAGAGACTGGGGGACCTAACGCGGCCTGCTGCAACCATCACCGACTGACAACTACAACCTTCCACGGTTGACAACCACGTCGCCCAACCAGCTCGCCTTCATGTCGTCCCCTTGATTTGCGCCTGTGTCTGCAGATGTGCTGTTTCCCTGAGGTCGCTGTGGCGGGCCCAGAGTTGTCGCTCGGACGGAACCTTTGGCTGCCAGCTCCCCAACTCGTCAAGCTCTGTTGTCATGCTAAGGTCTAAAAACGCTTAGCATTGCTGCAGCTCGCCGCCTCTCATGAGTGTCCTATCGAGGACATCGAGGACATCGTTTCATGTCCAACAGCTGCACTTCTGTCCGGTATGTCTTAGGTCCATCCCAAGAGTTGCCCACCTACTTGGCTGTATCAACAGGCCTCAGCCAACCCCATGTGAGTGATATCGCTCCTGTGAATGGCCCGCTCACTAATTGACGGATGCTCTCTGACATCTCGCAATTGATGGCCCGTCATCTCACTGCTGCGGGCTATTGAGCACCAGCCAAGCCAGCCTACCAGGCCGTCCCGCCCTCGCCAGCAACCCGAATTCCGCAAACATGTGCGAGCTTAAGACAAGAGAGGCAGGGCCCGGTCAATGTTCCACGAGCCCTGCGTGGGCTCTGCTCTGCATCCATGCACGTACGGAGCGTGGTGTGCGTGGGAGCGCATTGCCTCGAGACAAGGCACATCCACAACTTCGAGTTCTTTCACTACGGTACCCCGCTGACAGGCCACGTCCGTTGACCCTTGGCAATCTGGTACCTCGCTTCTCTCCTCTGATTTTCCAGCCAAGAGTGCACTCCGAGCCCACACCGCCAATAAGCCCAATGCAGTCGGGAGGCACAACAGCTTCGCTAGGAAGTGCTGGGAAACTCACTGGGGTTTGACAACCACCATACACAGCAATCGTCTTACGAGTTGCGACTATCCTATTCGTTACAGGCAATACCATGATGTCGCCACCATTGTTCTTATTGGCAAGACATGGCTGGTAGATAAGTCGATCCGAATGCGTTCCCCTGTGCCTGTGCTGGAGCTTACAAGCTGTGGCCAGTATCCATACTTGCTCTGGCGGTACGGATATAGCGCCCCGGGCTATTGATCCGAATGCCTCGACACTCGGTGCTAGAATCTATCCGCGTCCGCATTTCGGAAAGAAGAGTGGGTCCGGTGGCATGGGGGCGATAGCGATCATCGATCCCAAGGGTCCGATGCCGAGCACTAACGGTCCCAGCAAGACGGCGAGGAGAACTGACCCACTGCCACCCTCCGATACATTTGTCGCAATATTCTAGCACTACTCAAAGCAGGAAGCTCCTCCTCAGCTATAATGGCCTTATGGCCGGGCGAGCTCGGTGAGCCCTGGCAATACGACTTGCGCTGGTGGAGCTCTACCTTTAAACACCGAGAGAGCCGCCTGGCCTCAAACTGATGCCCTATACAAGCGGGAAATATTTGAGGAATCACTTTCTGAGAGGGCATTGCAAACTACACGATGATAAGCCAGCATACCTTCTCACATACTTAATCAAACGTGGCAGGCCAGCTGGGGTAGCACCGCCGTAATCTCTCCCACTTCTGTCTGCATCGAATAGCTTTGCGGTACGCTGAATTCGCAAGGCCGACCTTTTATGGAAGATGTACGACCAGGGCTTTGCCAACTGACGGGATGGCTGCACCCAAATTATATTCTGAGAACGTGGCATCTGCAGGTGCCTTAGCCGGCGGGAATTCGTGGCATAAGACTGTCTTAAATCCGACCAACAAGGGCCCGCTCAGTCTAATCCGAGGAAGCTGGGACGCGCACGCACCAGATTCTTCCATAGGGTCTAGACTCTCGTCGGCGGTACTCAAACTTTGCCATTAACCTACCTTTTGACAAGTCCTGCCTCACTGCTTCAGAAGTCCAGAGAGCGTAACACTCAACCATATGGCAAAGGCTATGGAAAACTACTTTCGCACTTATCAACCTCAGACCAAGTTGCCTTCTACGCGAGTGGTCTTATTGGATATCACATGTTTGACGGAGTTTTGGGCACCAAATTGCTTGTATACGTCTGGCAGAGCAGATCGCGAACTCTCCAGCCTTTCCAGCCGGGCCAACCCAGAGAGCCTGTTAGACAAGGCCCGTCAGTAGAGCAACGACGCCCAGTTGACCAAAGCATGCCAGTAAACTGCTTTTACCCCGCCGTCGCCGTGGCCAGCAGTAACGAGGATGTGAGGAAGGGTGGTTGCTTCTCTCCGAAGGTGCGATGTGCACTGCCCCCCACGCGTTGTTGGTTGCAACCTCAGCGGTTGGCTTCCAAATGGTTGGCCCGGTCAGACAAGTCTAACGACGCTACTCATCGCGTCAAGTAGCCGTATCCAAGGCGTCTACCAATCGTCCAATCTTGCGAACGTCAATCAAGTCCAGCAACAACGGCCAATTCCTATGGGTTTCTCCCGCCAGCCTGGAGTCGGCGTTGTGAGTTGCCTGGTTGCTTCCAGATATCTGAGAATTGACGTCACATCAATAAGAATTAGCCACTCAAAACACTCAGAGCGGACGGTACTCCGTACTGAGCTGAGAATAGCAGTCATTTTCTGTTTTTGGTGGATTCTGCTCGCCCGTGGGTTAGCTCTGGTTCAAGAGCTACGGCAGACGACAAAATTGAGACTTGCCATTAACGACTGGCGTTGCTCGACGTTAGGACGGAGCAATCTGTCCGCGCGCCACTAGCTCGCTCTTCTCGTTTGGTGCGTGAAACGAATACCTCGAGTTACCTCAGAATTATGGCAGACCCCTCGAGCGGGACGAACCTCTCTGAGACCAATCAACAGGCCATACTCCCCAGCCCGGCATCTCCATGCTTATCCTGAAGAGGATATCCTACGTAGGGGCACACGCACAACCACACCGGGCAGTACACCACTTTGATCGACCTTCTGCCACTGCGGGGCTGCGGGTAGGTAGTTCGTCGACCCGCGCACTACCGTACCGACCATGAGAAATGACATATCTTTGTCGTCAGACATTGAATTTCAGTTGATAGCGTCGCGCCGACCACCCATCTCACAGGGTTCTGTTTGCTGCAGGCTGCTTACAAGCCGTGCTAACCAACAAACCTTCTCTGTAGATATGCAGAAACTGTCGTTGCTACACCTCGAAAGATCACGGAAATCCCATTGGCCGCCGTAAACTGAAGCAAACACTGCCTAGCACACAATCACACAGCCCATGAAGAAGGCATCAAACCAGAGCCCTTCCCCATTTCTCCAACTTTTCCAGTGGCATGTGGCGAAATAACGAGAGACACTCGACTTCGTCTCATCTGTCTGCCACAGCCGTGCACGCCCAGCGAGGTATCGCCCTTTTTGAGCGTACGATACGCAGGGGGCAAACGAGATTGCCGGACACTCACACATTCCGCAAATTCCCATTGTCTGAGGCATGGTATTCTGCTTCCCCCCCTCCCCCGGGCTGTAAGCCTGCAACGAGTTCCTCTCCTTCACCATGATGCGTGCGCCATCATGTTGGGAACTATCTGAATATTCGTGCATCTTCGCCTACCTCAGATCCGGCACGTCAAAGAAATCTCAATGTAATGGTGGTCCGAAAGAGATCATGATCATTCATCTCAGCAAGTACTCGGAACTCGCCCTGGGGCGGACTCTGTACGATCCTGCAAGTGTTTTGTCCCAACGCGCAACAGAGTATTGATGGAGTCCACACCGACGTCTGAGATGAAAGCTCCTGTCGATTCTCATTTCTAGATAAGCGAGAGATCGCGCGCTGACATCTCATGTCTGGAGCCGTGATGGCCAATCGACAATTTCGCCTCCTACCCCGGATCCTGAGCTCATAATTTTGATTCCAAATTCCCCTTGCTCCTCTTTGTGTGTCAGCGTAAATCAGAAACGGCCACCGACGCCGTTGGAGACGCCCCGCCTATGGTCTCCGGCCGGGCAAGGGCTGGAGGCCGTGGAGGCCAAAGCCAGTCGATCAGGCGATCGATGATAGACGTCGGCAGATGGCACTGGCTGGGCACGCACGCCTTGGGGTGGTTTGGAGATTCTTAAACAGCGGGGGGTGGGCGCCACGTTCCTGAACCCTGACGTAAAGTCTCGCGGGTCGGTTGGAGGCTGGATGCGAGGGGCGGGCACCAAGAACGCCCACGGATACAATTCACTGGGAATGCAAATGCAGATGCATATTACAGAGACGTCGGAACAGCGCTGCGATTTCCATGGGAAGATGCCGGGGGCGGTACTGACAAGAGAACCCTAGAGACCGGCACAATTAATATTGCTCAAGAATTTGAGCCTTTCGTGGAGATATAATATGAGGTCGGCCAGCGAGTTGTATTTGCAACAATTCGCCGTCGCCCAAAGACTCTATCTGTGCATTAACGTTACGCCGGTCGCAGCCAGTGATCCGACAATGCACAACACATCTCACATCTCGATCATTTACCACGTGGTTTGCAACTCGATACATAGACTGTTACGAAGACAACTGCTCAGTCGTAGCTTTCCTGATGCTCTGAACAGTCTAGAGAGCGTCTGGACCCCCGACCGCAGAATATCAGAAATGGTGATCGCGATCTCTGGATGCGCTATCACACTAGAGCTTCCTCTCTAGGCTGGCTTCGGGCGGCTTGTGGCACCATCCAACGCACCGAGTGCGACGGGGTCCTTAACCGACAGGCTGGCTCTGCCGCTAGTGCTCGAAAAGATCAAGGAAGCTTGCACAACAGCTCAGAAATCTTGAGGATGGCCGATAACTGCCTGCGCAAAAGTCGTTCCAGCTTCTCTCTTTGGCATGCCGGGCTGCCCCAACCACACCAGCCTGGCAGCCTGGGATAGGAACCCAGCGTTCCAGACGCTCGCGCAATTATTTGCCAGCCACTGCTCTGACCCCTGTCATTAGGGAGACACTGCGTACTCAAACTAGAGACATCGTGCCATTTTCAACAATCCGGCCAGAGTGGTCCGGGTTGCTTATGCTCCATCCATCTGCCAATAGTCAGTGCCAACTGAGAATCCCGAATTTACGGAACGCTGGAAGAGTGACCTGCTTATGGTGCACTACGTGCGCAAGCAGCCAAGGAGCTGGCAGTATGGTTTACTTATTGTCCTACCAGCTTGCCAGTCAACATAGGGTCCTGCGGAGTCATCGGGATGCCGGGACAAGTTGGTGTCGTGCCTAGACTTGCGTACTGATATCCCACCTTGCTGCTGGATAGCTCAAAGCCAAGATGCTTCCAGGATACGGATATTGCCCCTAAATACTGGTCAAGCCCCCTTGGAACGCATACGGCGTGGTTCACCCGCTTTCAAACATATCAGCAATCTTATGGCCAAATTTCATTCTCTGCAAGTTTCAAACCCCCAATTGAGTGATGGTGCAGGAGACATCAACTCTACGGCCCCGTGTCACAATCGACCCGCTCTAATGTGGTCCTAGGTCTTCATCTCTCTCACTTTGTGCTGCCGCTCTGCGGCGCTCTGCGGAATCCGCAGACTAAGATGAGGCGAGCACGCACGGCCGAGGGTGAGCCTTGAGCCGTTCCGCCCCGATTGCCAAAGAAACTCGCGAGAATCGGGTGGCAGTGCCCAGGAAGGGTCGCTCTGGATCCCTGTTTCCGATTCACGCGACATGTTCGTCGATCGGACGGTGGGCCCCGGATATCGCGATCCCCTCAAGTTCTGCAGGGCAGTCCGCATCGTGGCATGATCAAAAACAGGCTCCCCGGCCCCACGAACTGGTCCCTTTGTTGGACCGATCGAAGCAGCCAACGTGCCATCGGAACATTCACAACCCCGATTCCAACGTTCTGGGTCGTAGCCCAGCTGCTCTCTCCTGGATCGGGAGCAACGATTAATTAATCTAGCCGCCGAACCCACCCCCCACCTGGCTTCAGCCCTGCATCGACCAGACGAACGACTAAGCGTCTACGGAAGCTCCGATTTCACAGAAAACTGTCACCTACGGTGCGCATCGTCGTTTCCTGGCATTGCTATTTCAATGCGCTGCCACTAATTGTCACCGCTTGGCGTCGCACCAACGACGGTCCATCCTGCAGCGGGAGTTCATCTCTCTCCGTCGCAGTAGTTCGGGACGGACAAGGGTAATGTGGCATACCATGATTCAGGACACCGATTGGGTCGGATACCTCGATGCGACGGTATGGATCGCGCGTTGCGGCGTTGCCGCACATTTTCTTCACCATCCCTAATATTTTATTTGAGATGAAATGTCTTCAGATCGTTATCTCCGGACGCTCGTTACAGGACTCTCTCCCAGGCTCGATCATTAACGCCATCCGCTTCATAGTCGAAGCCAAATCCTGGTGCAAGCGCAAGCAGGAAGGAGAAGCCATAGTCTAAGCGCATAGGCGTAGCACAGTCGGCGGCAGCTAAGCGATCGGTCACACGGATCTCACGATGTCCTCGTTGTTGGACGATGCTGGACGATGCTGGACGATGCTGGACGATGCTGGACGATGCTTTATTTCGTTTCAAAGATTTTTGATCGCTATAGAAAGCAGCAAGGACTACTTTTGAATCCAAGCGTGACGAAGGGGTGACGAAGAGATGACGAGACTTAGCCACGACGGGCAATGCGCGCGATGAACTCCGTTGAGTTGGCAACTGGCGCTGACACGCTATCAGTGCAACAGACGCCACGACCAAAAGTGGTAGACGTCCGGATTGTCGAGTGTTTTGGCTATTGAAACTATCCATTAAAGTGGAGGTTATCGTCGACGTTTGGTTTGAGCATGTACGCCTAGGGAAATCATTTGGGATCATCTCAAGTCGGTGGGCGATGGACGTTTGTTTGGGCCGACGTCTCCAAAGTCTGTTAAGGCTCAAAAATCAGTCTCTCAAGTGAGGGCATCGTCGTCTCCTAAATTGGTTGCTGTCGGAGGAAACCCCTTCTCGCGATGGTTGCTCAGCGATCCCTCTCTTGGGGTTCCGTGCTTATCGTGATGAATTACCAATCTAGAAAGATTTTCCCGATCAGCTCGCGCTTTACCTTCACACTGAACCCTCGAGACCAGGGTATCTGCAAGGACCACAACTAGTGTGCGAGGTTGCGATTCCTTTCTCGCGAGCCGAGTCGAGTGAACCTCGAAGCTTCGAAAAGCGAGTTGGGAGCGAAGGAGCGCTCGTCCGTTGCGTCGGCCGTGATTATCAAGCTGCAAAGGATGAAAATAGGCGAGATGTTGCCAGAGTCGGACAGATGCTACCGCACTGGTGGATTTCGGACAATTTACAGAAAAGAGGCTACGTCGAGACGGTCTCTGGCGGCGTTCGAAGAGGTGATCCTTTCGACCGGAATGCAAAACTCCGTGGAATTCCTCACGGCGTGATGTCGCGTAATAGCGAGTTTCTATGGGCAAGGACTAGGTACTCACAGCACCAAGACGAAAAGTCGAAGACACCTTGGAAACCATCCCCCCCCCCCTCCTTTCGGTAATGCGGGCAGGTAGCCGTTGCAACCCACGGCTTCGGAGATCCCGACCCTCGTCTGGCGGATAAAAGGAACACGCCTTCCGTGTCGCAGTCACTGAATCATGTTGCACGTCGCGATCCAAAGGCCATTCTCGGGAACCTTATTATCAAGAAGGGCTTTGATCACCTCATCACGATAGCAACCCCCGCAAACATGACACTACGATTCGACCCGCAGTACCAGGCCGCCATCACCGCCAGAGACGGCGAAGGCGGCTCCGCTGCCCCAGCACCCTTCGCAAACGTCTTTGAGCTCCGCGCCGTCTCCGAGCCCATGCTGCGTACCGTCTTCCGCGCGCAGCCGACGCCAGAGAACATCCTCGACACCAGGATCTCGTTTGCCTCGCACGACGGACAGGAGGTCGGGCTGTACCGCTTCGCGACGCGGGAGATGATTGACAGTCCTGAACTTTTGGCCGCCGTGGTGTACGTCCACGGCGGCGGGATGGTCTCGTGCGACGTGGACATTTTCAGCCCGCAGATCAGGCGGTTCGTAGAGATGGCGGGGATGCCGTTTTTTGCGGTGGACTATAGGCTCGCGCCTGAGTTTCCGGACGGTCTTGGTGCCGAGGACGTGTATCACGGGCTCAAGTACCTGTCAGAGAACGCGGCGGATTGGAATGTTGATAAGGCTAGGATCGTCATCATGGGCGACTCGGGCGGCGGCGGGGTGGCGGCTGGCGCGACGTTGATGGCGAGGGACCGCGGGTTGAATCCGCCTTTGAGGAAGCAGGTGCTCGTGTACCCGATGCTCGACGACCGGACTTGCGTACGCGAGGACGCTGCCATCTATCCCTTTTTGATGTGGAAGGCCAACGATAACCTGCTCGCGTGGCGTGCTGTGCTCGGTGACAAGGCCGGGGACCCGCGCCCGCGGGCCGAGGTCGGAATCTCGTTGTATGCTGCGCCGGGGAGGGCCGAGGTGGCGGACTTGAGGGGTCTGCCGAGCACGTATGTCGACGTGGGTGGATTGGATCTGTTCCGGGACGAGTGTGCCGAGTACGTGAGGAAGCTTTGTGCGGCGGATGTGGAGGTTGAGTTTCATTTGTGGCCTGGGTTGCCGCATGGGTTTGAGAGCGCGCCCGAGATTGGCTGGGTGAAGAGGGCTTTGGAGGCGAGGAACGATGCTTTGAGGAGGGTTTGATGGAGGTCCCGAGTTTGTTTAGTTGTGAAACTTGGGGACCGGGAGCGGGAGGAGCGGAGGGGAGAAGGGATGAAGTGGTTGGATGGGGTAGCGGAGAATCGGAAGCAACGTGACTGATGTGGTTGTGAAGAAGTTTCAAGCTTAGTCGCAAGATGCTCTGGAGTGACTTTGCCCGTCTTGTCTGTTCAGGCACTTGAGCCACTCCCAGATCGAGGCCGAGATGCGTATCCTTTGCAGTCGTGTAGTGGGATGTTTTTTCCCCATAGTCTGATATCGGAAAAGTGAGACGCAAGTCAGATGAATGCCGTGTCGTGTTGAAAACGCAAGGGATCAGCCTTCAAAATCCAAATCACGCTCCATTGCTTCACGTCACTGGAACCTAAAGATACGAGAGAAATCGTGCGGCTCCTTCAGCGACGCTGGTCGTGACCCGTTCACCCTGGCGAATACCCAGACGCTTCTGGTAAGCGTTGCAATTGTGCTTAGGAAGGGCTTGATAAACGTTCCCTGCGTTTGAATCGACGCATCTTTCTCGACTCATCTCAGGGTTGATCTCCATAACCTTTACTCTCTTTAGCGTCGTGGGAAATGTGACAGTAAGAGATGCCAGATGTAGTAGAAGGCAAGGAGGCCAATTGGTTGTGAGACTAGTTTACTGAACCATGCAATAGTCTATATGGCGTATTGATACCGGGGCGGTGGCAGTGGCAGCGACTTGAGGAAGCGGCTTGATCCTACATCTCTCGAAGGTGTCTTGGCCGAGTGAAGTGAATTGAAGCGTTGTGGCTTGATATGACCTGGTGATAACGTAACTTTGGAAGGCCGTGACCGTTACAGGGATATCCAAACGGGTCTGGTTGTATCCGTGGATTTGTGTTGCTGAGATGGATAAGGGAATCCGGATGTCGCTGTAAGAAATTCCAGATTAGCAGACGAATTTATTCCATGTTGCAGTATACTATATCTTCATACGTACAACTAGCCCGCTTCATGAGTGGGCTTGTGATATCTTGAGATAGGCCAAACTGTTCCAGGAGTCACGTCTGCTGTGACGATACAGGTTCTGAAGTAGATTGTAACACAGGAATGCCTCCTTGGCTACGAGTGAATTAAGTTATACGAAACTCAAAATGAATGTTTTTCCTAATTTCAAATGAGAATGATGGAGGCGTATCCTGGTTGTTGACGAGACTGAAGCTGGGTGGATTATCGGATTATTAGAATTTATTTGTGTCGCGAAAACGACGCCGTTAATTGCGGGCAGAAATTAACGCCATATGCACCCTTGTGACAATTTGCTTACTAGCGAGACTTTCTGTGGTTGTGGTTATAAACCTCAGAAATATGTACTTCATATACAGCGGAGGGTGATGTTGTAAGATTCATTCTTACAACAACAACATCAAGATTACAAGGGGAGTACTATTACTGAGGTACACATACTCTGATAAAAAGGTTGCTTCTTAGACTTATTTGGACTGAGAGCTGCATGGAACATCTGAAAGGCGTTGGTTGAACGACCGGATCTCCACGGCTTAACCAACCAACCTTCATTAACACTAATCAGCCAGCTATTTTAACGTTCTGCCATTACCCTATGCCCACACAACTCTGAACTTGAAGTCAAGAGAGGACCTTACTAGAAGCAGCAGTATCTCGCCCAGGAATTATGGCGGCCGCAAGCCAGTTGACGTGATTGTCAAGTGTCTCGCACCAAATATCAGCCGAACAACTGCAAGTTCATCCCAACTCGGAGCCAATTTCAGTCAAGGATCGGCAGTTCCCCGCAGTCCTTTAGGCGGACCATTGACATTCGTCCAGCGCGGCCGTCCAAGAGGGAAGGTGCCTGGTCTACCGGGTGCCGATGCAACGGGCCAAGCCGCTAGGGCGCACGTGGGCAGCCACTGGAAGACTCGGGCAAGGGCCCAGGAGAAATAAACTCATGAACCCCGGGCTCCCTCGCTAACAAAGACGCATACTATAGTACTTGCCTCAAACACTGGACGGGTTTCTTAATCGATGGAATCCCTCCAACAGAGAGCAGAGGGGGCCCCTTGCCATTTGGTCCATTCCAAACCGGTGGTGGTTAGTCTCAAGTAAAGCTGAGCTGACAAGCCTCAAACTTTCCTATGTCGCATCGGCACAACTACGCATAAAATTGACTAATTACCTTATTTAGTCCGTCTTGCAGGTATCCCGACTGGCGGAACAATAACTTTTACTTCTCTTGGCAGGTATAAATAGTACGAACTTGTGAGTCTCGGCCGAGCGGAGTGGACCCTTGACTACCACTGCCGTTCAAGCTCATCACCGGTCAGAAAGACGCTGAGAAGACTTGGATCCAAGTTCCCATAAGTAGAGCGTGGTTGTCCCGGTTCCTCACGGATATGGACTTCTATGCCTCAGCCTCCCTGCCTTTGCCGTCTTGTTTTGCTTCTTAGGGTACCTCTCAGTACATCGCCATCATACACCATGAAGTTCACTTCTCTTCTAGCCTCCTTGGCGCTGAGCGCCTTCACCTCTGCCGCACCCGCTGCGTCTCCCGAGCCTGCCGACCTCGCGGCTCGCGCCCCTACCCTCTACCTCTGCGGTGACAGCACCATGGCGAGGAGCAGCGACTCCCAGATGGACGGCTGGGGCCAGTACGTCTCCAAATACCTCAACATCGCCGTCGTCAACCGCGCCATCGGCGGCCGCTCATCCCGTTCTTTTTGGAACGAGGGCCGCTTCCAAAACGTCGCCGACGAGGTCAAGGCCGGCGACATCGTCGTCATCGAGTTCGGCCACAACGACGTCGGCTCCCCTCGCTCCAACGACAACGGCCGATCCGTCTGCGGCGGCGAGGGCACCGAGACCTGCATCTCCGACAAGACGGGCGAGACCGTCTACACCTACGTCTTTTACGTTATCCAAGCCGCCAAGCTTATGACGGCCAAGGGTGCCACCGTCATCCTGAGCTCGCAGACGCCAAAGAACCAGTGGGCCACGGATACCTGGGTCGGCACCCCGCCACGGTTCGTCGCCTTGCAGAAAAAGGCCGCCGCGGCAATCAGCGACCCGGCCGTCACCTTTGTCGACCACCACCAGGCCGTCAGCAATATGTACCTCAAGCTGGGATCGTCGGCCGTCAAGGCCCTGTACATCAAAGATAATACACACACCAGCGCCGCTGGTGCCGACCTCAGCTCCCAGGCTTTCGTCCAGGCCATCTACCAGAAGATGAACGGCACGACCAGCCTTGCTGCTCACGTCAAGACGCCCATTAAAACTGTCTACTAATTTACATATTGAGTTCACATGCGAGGAGGATAAGGGGAGGTAAATGTCGCCGTCTTGTCGAAAAGCTTGGTCTCTGATGACTTATACGTCACGGGATTCACTGTATATTTTTCGAAGGAAATAGCCAAATGCTCTGTATTTAAGCCATAGAAAACGTATATACTCAACAGATTTTTATATTTTTTAAGTCCACTGCATTGAGTGTATCGCGCTTTTCCCAGTCGACGCCGCAAGGCCTGAAACTTCTGTTCTTTGCCGAGAAACTGCAGCTATTGATTGCATTGAACATGATCACGTGTCAACTACTACCTGAACTGGGAACATGCCAAAGTGCCAAAGGGTGAAAGAAAGACCAATCAAATCGAATAGTGTAGTACTTAGCACAAGCCATCATTACTTAAGTATCTATCATGTAATAAAAACAAAAGCCATGATGAAATAAAGCCCGAAAAAAATTACAGAAAGGACTCGAACTCATGACCTTCAAAAACAGAAGGCCACCGGGGGTCCAGCTCATGGCGTGAAGGGTATAAGGGTGGGCAGCCTTAACTACTGCGCCAGGAGGTGTCCTCATCCGATGGTGAAAGATTCGGCAGAGAACTGTACTATAGATCATAGCCTGTAACAGTTTTGGCTCCTTCCTCAAGATGCTATTTAGGTCAGTAGGTACGTAGGTACGTAGAAGTGAGAGCCTCAGCGCTACGCCGAACACAACAATAATATCTTTCTTAGTCAAGTTGGCGTAATGCGTCTTTAGATCTCAAATTCGTTACTTGCGTTGGCCACCGGTAAAAGAATTGAGGTTTGAAGCTATATCTCACATTAAACTTGTAAATAATCATAAGGCTTTAGGAAGGATCATACGCAGCTGGAGGCAGTGGTGAACGTTTCTTATTTGGGCTATGCGTGCAATTTATTTCATCTCGACTCCTTCATTTCCCATCACCGACTCTCTCTCGTTACTCCCGGGGGCATTGATCCCCTTCCACCAATCTGAGGAAACAGTCGACTGCCCGATTCTCATGGGTCTTTCATGACTGTCGACTGCTTTTGTTCTATTCACCTCAAAGTCTCGCAATGCATTATTCATACGGCCTCTATTGTTAATGAAAGGCTACTATGCGGTGGAGGATCCGAAGTCGAGGGCAGTTTGTAGTGAGCCCGACAGTGTTCCGAACATTAGTAGATATGGTTCTGGAATAAGGGTCTTTGTCCGGGCTCCAAGGTTGAACATTATCCAGCTGCCTCCAAAATATGCAAGGCGGTGAGGTGAGGTAGCTCATATTGGCTGTGATGGTGTTGGGACTTTTGGCGAGGCGGCTCGCAGAAGCGGATCCTTCAACAACATTGACGTTCTTTGTATCTTGCCTCACGAAAGGGGGCAAATTTGACGTACTTGAACATTCGATACATGACCGCTGTCCACAATATCCAAGCTGCCACAAAGATTGCCAACCAGAAGATACCGTGCGCATCGAGCCACATTAGTTCGTTATCAATAACCCACGAACTCTGATAGTGATCCACAATGTTCCAGTGGAGGGCGAAGTTGAAGTGTACTATCGCGATGATGGCCCAAACTGTGATGAAGCCCATCGCCATGCTGAGACAAATGATGGTCGTTTTCGAGATGGCCTTGCGGGGAGTATTCGTTGCCGACTCGTTAATGATGAAATTCCAGTTGCTTTTGTCGATGTAAGATCGAAAGCCATTTCCACCGCCGAATGGGTAAGACTCGGCAGGCGGCTTGTTGCTGGTCATGAATGTAGTCATTATGATGAATATGCCGTGGTTAGGGTAGGATTGATAATGATACAAGGACTCGTCATAAAGTGGTTCAAGACGGATCTTTATTTTGAAATGCTAGCGGTACAGGGAGGCGCTGCGAAGCTGTAGACATCGAATGACTTCTTGAAGGTCAACGAGGGCGGAACCAGCAGGTGGAGTAGAGGGACGTTGCTGGTGCAACGTATCTCCGGAAGAAAAAAAGTGTTGAAAGTAGGGCTAGATCATTCGCGGGTCACCTTTTTGTCTGGAACCTCTAGAAAGTTTGTCACTCCCGTAGTAGTATTTTGAGTTGCAAGAGCGAATCCCATTCATCTGCCCCCTTCCCCTTTTCCTTGGATCCAGTTTCCCCAGCCATGCTAAACCCATTAGTACCAAAAAGCTTCAGGGAGAGGAGAAAAAATTAGATCCGAAACTATGGCTCAATAAACAAGGTGGCACACGCTCGGCGAAGCTCTTCAGCATCAAAGATGAAGAGAAAACATATGGCAGGAGATGCATTCTTACCAGTCAGTTGAATCAAGAATTCGAAGTGTCATGAACCTAGGTACAAAGACCCTTAAATGACCATGACTTCTCATAGAACTAGGATGCCAGCGGATCATTGCTCCTTGGAATCCATTGACAATAATTATGATTTGACATTAGGGCAAGGACATGGAAACACGAACCACTAACCGTTGGTCAAAGTTGTCACATCACCTATTTCAGTAAATTGAAGCTATCTGCATAGCTGCGAGCTTTCCCTTTCATACCATTCGATTGCCCCTAGACTTTTTCAAAATTGAATGTCGAAAAAGCCCTATAATACTAAACATGCATTTGTCAGAGTTACATGCTCGACGTTGAGGTGGTTGAGACCACGCCATCCGGCTTAAGTCCTCCGGATGTCCCTCAGCTCCACCTCTGCGCCGGACATTTTCACCCGTGGCACCGTTTTCGTACATCACCTTCCCGGCGCAAGCTCTCTGGTGGGCGAGTTCGTATCAAAACCAGGTCTAGATTGGCCGGCAATTCTGACGCTGCTGATATTGGATTTGACTTGAAAGCCTCCCCAGCTGCAAGAGCCTCAGGCGTATACTTGGTGGTCGGTGTACTCTGGTGAAAGGCTGCCTTGATGTTGTCTGCAGCAGTAGCCAAAGAGCTTCCTCCTCGCCCGACCATTGGCTGGGTTTCAGCACGTATGCCTTTTTTCTCGACTTCTGCGGCGCTCAAGTTAGTTCGAGCAATAAACCAGGAATGACAGGCCCAAACTGACGACCTTATTTTATGAGGTCCAATCTTTGATGCTTATGACGTGAGATTTCTGGTGATACCTGGATGCGTAGGCATTGTGGCGTCACTGATGCTAGTGAGTCTCTGCAAATGTATGTATGTACAAGTTCTTATTTCACTGAAAGCCTGAAAGTTGAATGTTCGTTCCTCGCTAGAGTCCTACTATTTCTTGCTCACCTTTGGCATCCTTGGCGGCGTGTCGGTTTCGCTCCTCTTTAACCCCAGCATCGCCTCAGTCGAGCACTGGTTCTAGGGGCGCCGTGCTCTTACTACCAGGATAACCTGCACGGCCGGAGGTATTGGCGGCGTCGCCTTCCCTCTGATCATTCTTTGCCTGGCCTCTCAGGTGGGCTTCCCAAGGGCCATCAGGACGATTGGGTTTGTTTGTGCTGTTGCGTCTGTTTTGGCATGCGCGCTCTTGAAGAAAAGATTTCCGTGCACCAAACAAGAAATCCAGCGCGGCAATCGACCTCAAGGCGTTGAGAGAGGCAAAATTCGGTCTCGCCACATTGGCCGTAATCCTGATCGAGTTCGCCGTCTTCATACCTTACGCCTACATATGCTCGTACGCTATACATGAGGGCATCGACCTCCAGAAATCCCCAGTACTGAGTGCTCTGCTCAACGCCGGCGCTATCCCAGGCCGGGCCCTTCCGCGTTACGTCGCAGACCGGTTTGGCCCCTTCAACTTCATGTACACCGCCGCCTTGGTATTTTCGACATTCATCTTGGCGCTTTGGATGACAGTCCATGGATGAGAGGCTACCACAACTGCTTTTGCGGTTCTGTTGAGCTTTGGTCCGCAGCTGCCATCAGCTTGACGCCTGTCTGCGTTGGGCAGGTATGTAGAATCGAAGACCATGGGGAAAGAAGCGGCACAGCGTTCTTTGTTTCTAGTTTTGGTGCCCTCGTGGGCTTGCCGTTCGCTGGGGCCATTCTGCAATGGTCTGGTGGCACTTGTGATAGCCTCATACTTTTCGCGGGTGGTCTGTACATCTTGGCATTTTGCGCTTTTGCTACTGCAAGAGGTGTAGCTGGTGGATGGACTCCAAAGAACTTTCTTTTAGACTTGAATGTAAGTCAATACGAGGCCTACTAATGTGAGTTAATTAGGGCAAAGATGTCGACGGCCATGTAGAAAGATCCTTTGGACCATAGCAAGGTGTTGTGAATTGCTCACACGAGACCAGAATGAACTATTATTTCCATATTGATACAGATGAAAAACACCCAATCGTCATAACAAGCTATGCTGTTGTTCATATTAGTATGAGGATGCTCTCTCATGTCAGATTTGCGTCAGGTAGAGTGGGAGTCTGGGGAACAGAAACGAGCTTCAGTCAGTAATGGTCACACCAGAGTTTGCAAACACTGGTTGAAAGGTATGGAGACAGTGTGCGCCAAACTCGTAGAGGGATCTTCCCTTCAAATAAAAGGTAAAGATAATCTTGCTTCGGAGCTTACGGTGCTTAGCAAAAAGTTCAAGAGAGTCACTTTCATTAAGCCAAACTCAATGCGTGGCCATGTCGGCGGTAGGGCGACAGCCTTGTGACGATGGAATGTTCCAGTTTATATTGAAGAACTCAAGCCTTAGTACCAGACGCCATAGAAAGTTGTCGACTGACTGAATTGATTAATAGCCGATTCTTTGTCGAATAAAATATCTCTACCTGATGAATTTCCTTCTTCAATTTGTCATTTGCCTAAGACGCATCCCACTGGCATAAATCTGCGAGGGTGACGCGTTTTACATTAGGTTGAGGGCTTTTATTGCGAATAAGAAATGTGCCTCAAATGCAAACCCTATCATGAACTGTGTCCTCCTCGAAAAAGGCTATTATTGGCGATGCTAACCCACCCGAGGCGTCATCTCGAAGTGCCGGTTCAGAAAAGTCGACGTCGGCAACCGAACCGAGCTTACAAAGCCATTACTCATTACTATTAACACCAAACGCTCGTTAAGAACTCTAAGACAATAGCTTACCTTAAAATACACCACCTGACAGCGGCCACCTCCGTATCTTCCGATGAACCGGGCCACGCTCAGCTTACAGCTGTTAACCTAGAACCCCGCGAACCTTCCATGCGAGATGCGGCAGTGAAAGATAGTTTGACGCCGATATTACATGCGCGCGGCTGTGTCATCTTGCCTTGCCATTAGCTGTCGCGCATTTGGAAGACGGACGTCAACTGAAGGTTCATGGCCGGCATGCTTGCCTTGCAAGGGGTTGTTGCAGACTAATCGGAAATTGCGTTGTTAACTCAACTTCAATGATGATGGGTAGTTCAAAATTTAGATTTCTCGAGTATAAGTAACACCCTCTCGGTCCACCTCCCACAACATTCCTCGTCGTTCCTCACACAACACTCAAACAGCTCTACACAACAAAGACAATCGCTTTTCTACAGTCTTTGCATTCAATTTTTACATCGCCACTGCATCTCTATCCTTCCTATACCCACACTCGGCTTGCATCTTTAGAGCCCTAAACCGACAACATGCACGCCCCCACCGTTCTCATTCTCGCCCTTGGCGCCTTCGCCTCCGCCCAAAAGTTCATAGACTTCCCCAACAGCTTGAAGTGCCAGACGGACGGAGCCGGCAAAGAATTTGCCAACATTACAAAGATAGATGCCCAGGATGCTGTAAAAGGCCCCAACGGAAATGTGATTAACAACTCTGCCGCCGACGCCGCCTCTGGTAAATGCGTCAAACTCTCTGGTGTTCCTTTTTACGCAGTAAGTTCCTCTGCGTTCGATCTTGAGATCATTCCCGCCCCTCAAAGGCTAGAACTTCCTACGTGCTGACCAAAATCTTTTCGCAGGGCAGCGTGCCTGGTAAGGGAAGCATCTACTTTGCTTACGACAAGGCACAGGATACATACTACTTCTGCTCGGCACAAGGAGCTGTGGATAATAAGTCAGGTTATCCTGCTTCATGCACGGAGAATTAGGCAAGCCTGTGACAGAATTGTATATAAAGCAAGTATTGCCAATTTTCATGCCGTTGAATTCGGTTGAATGTGCGTGTTGATGAGTATTGAAGGCATCGGCTAAAAGCGTATAAGAACTGTGCTAGCTGATTGCTTGAGAAATGTCGCTCGTCCTCAATGACGCCTCCAGTTCCTGCTTTCCTGAACTTGCGTTCAAGGGACCGCTATTTTCGGGCTTTGTGTTCAATCTGCTTCTCATGTTGGATGATATTCTATTTTCTGGTACTTCAAGTGTACTAACCCCCAGTCTTAGAGGTAGGGTAGGCTGGAGAGCTTGTCTCTTGACCGTTATAGGTGATGTCATAAGCAGTTCGCAGATGACAGCAAAGTACCAGTGCAACATGGAAGCCCTATCAAAAACATAAGTACTGTATAATTATACACCGACCTTGACAATCCACAGAAGCACCTGGTCCAGTGACGTCACTTGCAGGGGCTACTCAATCGAACCCAGGACGATCTGCCGGCCAGATGGGTCGATTGCAGCTAATGCGAGATTGTATGCCCTTGCCTAGACCTTGAATATGCCCATTCCAATAGGTACCCGACCCGCGCGGGTGCACGCCTATTGGGGTTCTCGACAAAACCTTGCATTTTTCATGATGGGTCTGTCTACACAGCAAGGTGGCAACCGATGATGAACCGACGGAGATAATTAGTGACCCTCAAACTTTGCAAGCAACTCCATGTGAAGCTATTTTCCCCCGGCTTTATTGGCTTTGGGGATCAACCTATATGAAAGCTTTCAAGGTAAATCACACAATTCAATGTACACACAAGACAGCAACACGGTAGCAACTCCACATACACAATAAGTTGATGCCGAAGTACGAAGGTGCCTTTCCAAAGTCTCCGCTGGGGCTGCCAAGACAAGATTCCATGTCACCTGGCCAATAGTAATAATGCATGAATCTACTTCATAGATTCGAGCATCCCCCCAGACATAATTCATTCAATAGCCCTTTATCAGCCCTTATCTTTGATAAGAGAATGTCTTTTGAGGTATTTAGCCTAATCAGGCTCATCATTATCTGAGCGGCCTCAGCAGAAACTTTTGGAAGGCACGTCCGTACAGATACAGCAATCAATTATCTAAGAGCTTGAAGTGAACCCTGTCCTGCTTTCCATGGCCAACCTGCATCTCTCAGAGGGCGGCCGCCTCTCCATGGCCAGTTCTACGGTCCTGTTAAGAGTGTATTGCCACATCGCGCCCGCACCGGACTAACCGTAGAAGGCATACTGTAGTTTGTCAATACAACCTTATTACTCAACCTTCCGGCTCCGGATTCACCGACAATCAGCAAACCCCGTTTGTAGAAGGAGCTTTGATGATTAACGGGTTGGTTGACAATCCTTACAAATAACTTTCAGGGGGTTTCTCGGGGCACACTTCTGAATTGAGTCATGTGGTCTGACCTAGGTGTGGATAAGTGGGTGGTTCACTACGGGGATAACATCGCATGTGTACAACTCTACAGTAAACGTACAGTAAATGTAGAGTATCTCGGTAGACCTTAGCCAACTACGGATTACGGACCCTCACTTAGATGATTCGATTCGGCGATGGGCTCTCGTGCGATTGGCCTGCAATAATGGTGGATCGTAGTGGACAAAAACCGGAAGCAGAATATCGGACGTCGTAAGATCATGGATGTCTATCTACGCCGCTAGGGCTAGATGCTGCCTTCTGGACTCGATGGGAATGCAACATGGCAAATAGGATATAAGCCGCAGAGTTCCCTGCCCTTCCCAGCTTTTATCACTTGGTAGTTCATCCCATCTTGATCCCATTAGCGCAGCATTGTCCACTTCGTCCACAACTTCTCTCTCGTTCAGCATATCTCAATCGCTATCAAAATGAAGTTCGCTGCTGTCGTCCTCCCCCTCGTGCCCGCCGCTCTCGCCGCTGAGTGCGTCCGCGACAGCGGTTGCGCCGGCTGCGGTCAGGTCGCCAGCGTCAGCTACGTCCAGAATGGAAACATTTTCACCGCTACCGCGCCCAGCTACGGCTCCGTCACCTTCGACGCCAAGACCATCACTGTCAAGAACACGTCCAACAAGTGGCTGTTGTTCTGCAACTGGGGCTCGGCCTGCTTCCCCCTCGAGGCCGGCCAGACCTGCACCACGTCCCGCCAATCTTCCGACTCCACCTCTCTCGGTCTTCAAGTGTCTTCCAAGTAGAAGGTAGGTTATGACCGGCTCAAAGTGCCCCAGAGTGATTGCCACTGACGCGGAAGTCCAGGTATCTTCATACCGTGCATGTGCGTCTAGGATCGCCATGGCAGCAGGACTGAAAGTTTGGACAAGCGCGCAGGTGTGACAGACCGAAAGCAGTCAGGCGGGGTTTGTTTCCACATCTTGCAATCGCCCCAAGCCTCTCGGAGTCTCTCGGCGATGCTTGACATGGCGAGTACGAATATGTGGATCGGGCACTTTGTGCCATCTCCGCACGCGGATTGGATGTGCTGTCACGAATCATGTGTCTGCAGCGTGGTTGAGGGGCACATATAGATACCAAAAGATACTGAACAACGCTTGCATTCTGATGACGGATCAGATGATGTCTTGCTGCGTGCTCTGTGCTCTGTACGTGTGAGACTTATAGACCGCGGCCATCTCGACGACTGGGTTGATGCCCGTTAAGCTAACCCTTTCCCTGTCGCGATCGGCACCCCTGAGAGACTCTACATAAGGAGTGACACTATGACCCGGCCTTGTGTTGAAGCTAGACAAGGACACCGAATAAGTAGATCAAGTATAGATATATACATAAAGAAATTAAGGAAAAAAGTTGCCACGGCTCGGTGACGTTGTCAATGAAATTTGGTTCAGCCAAAAGGTGAACTCTAGTGTTGGCGTCTGCCGGTCATCGTCACATCCTCAGGACTGCCTGCTCTCAATTCATCTCTCATTTGTCGTTCTCCTGGATCCCTCACGATAAATCTTCGACATTGAGAAGGACGCTCTGCTTCAACGGAACGAAGCCATCTCTTCCGAGTTGCCTCAGCAGCTCAACCGCCCGCGATTGGGGCTGCGAAACAACAGAAAGCTCGCGGTAGTGGTGAAAATTGTCAACAAAATCCTTATTTGGGAAGTGAGTGCGTAGAATGTCAAGCACGGTGTCAAAGTTGAAGGGCTCGGCCCATGCAAAGATTCTCTCGTTACGCACGCTGGGGAGCACGGCAGCAGCCACGTGAAGCCGAGCGTTGTCTTCTACGTCGACAAAATACTCTATAGTCTTTCATCAGCCCATCAGGCCAACATGTGCTGATTATCTCCTCACTTACGCGGCGGGATGCTTGCCAAACGGTCCACGTGCGTTCCATTCCATAGACTTTCGATGAAGGATGAGGTTGACGAATGGCCCTGATTGGCCCCATCCAGAGTTCTTCCAAAGTTGGTTCCGGGAAGCACTGGCATTTTAATCAACTTTGCTGCGTAGTTCGGATGACAACGGCAGCGCGAGTTGCTTACCTGTGTTAACTATCAAGTCATAACGCCGACGGATGTTCTCATGATAAAACTTCCACACTGCCATCTCGGCTTCGACCTTACTTGCGGCATAAATATGCCACGCTCGCTGGGGGTGGTACGGTGCCTCTCTCCATGCTATCTCGACCGACTCAGTGTTCCAACTGTCGGAGCTTACCTCAATTCTCTTCTTATCTGGCTGAGGCAGGGCTGCGGCGACGGAAGAGCTGGTAAATATAAACCGCTTCACACTCGGCGATTTGTTAGCGGCCTTGAGCGCGTTCATGGCCACAGTAATACTGCGAGGAATGATGCTCTCGGGATTTGGGCTCAGAGCGACAGGAGAGGCGACCTGAATCACAGCAGAAACACCTGAAAGCGTCAATTATTAGCCTTGTTGGTGTCGACTGCGCGCTCCAAACACTCACCTTCAACAGCAGAGTCAAAAGCACCCTCTTTCTCCATGTCCGGCAGTGATACCAACATGAAGTCGCCCTTTGGTCTCTGTCGCTCCAGCGCCACCGGTAGCCAGGCGCATTTTGAAACGTCACGAACAGTTCCGCGGACGTTGAAGCCCAGCTGCAGCAGTTCATTGCAAACATGAGACCCGATGAAGCCGTTCGCACCCGTCACCAGGACCGTTGAGCCCTTCGGAATGGCGAATTTTCGTTCCGGAGTCATATTTGGATTTTTTGCTGACGGAATTGACTTTCCATTCAAAGATGACGAGTGCAGAACCACCGCGGCTGTTCGCAGAGCCCAGAATGTGGCTATTGTCGAGATGGCTGCGTGCTACGCGCGGTGACCGCCAGCCAAAAAGGCTCCGTCGGAAACGAGAACGAAGCAAGCGGACAATTTTATAAACTCCATTGACTTTCCGAGGCTTTCTGAATGCATCTTAGGCTGAAAAAAAATTCTACCCCGCCTTTTTATTTAGAAAGAGGTTTCGTGTCTGTCACTTGTGACATTTTTCTGGTGTTTTGAAACAGCCTTCTTGCCAGAGACCGTTGTCGTTGAACGCCAAGTGGGACTCCTGGAAAAGGCCCAAGATGGCAGAATGGGACCCAGAGTCGATGCGCCCCCCCCGACATATCGCGAAAAACCACCAGTTGCACCAATAATAACAACACGATACCAATTTTTTTTTGCGGATGAGTCGGCACCAGAGTATTTTTTCCATTCCTTCAAAGTCTCGTCTGAACATTGAGGATTCATATCGCTGACATTTGGTTCCAAGGGGTTGTAGTTACGCAAGACTTGACATGGGACTCAAACAGAACAAGAAACATAAATTTTCCGACTGTCTAACAGAAACGATACACGCTGCAAAGTGCGGGTTTTCCAGCGGCTGAATCAAAGTCTGCGGCCTTTCGCTCTGTCTTCAAAAATCACGAGACTCTTCAACTTCGTATGCCTCATTGCTGTTGCAACTTGCGAAGCACACGCATCCCCGGCCCCAATTTCGTGGACAATTACGTGCAACTTGTCCTCAAATGATCATGTTTCGCAGGACCTCAGACATACCAGCCTGCTATTCTTCGAGCTGGCTATGGATATTCGAACAAAAAGCAATAGTATTTGATGCTAATGAGAGCAAGAGATAATTTGCGATTCCTTGCCTGACCCCCTTCTTTGGCCGGTCATGTCGTTCCTAAGGATGGTGACCATGTGAGCAATCTTTTCAGCTGCCTGAAAGAGGACAGGCTCTGGCAAAAAGAAAGGAAAAAATCAGAGTCTTTCCTTACGGAAGACAACTGCACCTTTCAATATGCCACTGGATTTTAGTGGAGGGAAGAAAGTCTCAGGGGACAACTGTAAGGAATGTCACGTAGCATATGTAACATTTTCCAGCATATTCGCTTTCCGATCAAAGGAAAGGCAAACGTAATTTATGTACCTAGGCTCTCGTATTTATAATTTGCGACCCTTTGAGAATGCATTTCAAATTCTCGTTCCCTGAATGCAATATATCAGGTATCATGTCCTAAGACCGTAAAACGCCTGTCGTGATCTAAGCCAAAGCCCGAATACAATACGAATTCGACCCCACGCATCACGTAAGAAAATAAACTGATGCAATAACAAGATCGACGAGCTCCTTGAGTCGATCATATTGTTGGAACAAGGGTATGCAAGCACAATCGATTAGCTAGCTTCACAGGTCGGCTGGAGGCAGCGAGCGTGTCGTGTCTCATATCTCACGGTCCAATCGCAACATCATCAAACACTACTCTGTACTCTATGGAACCCTAAGATCTTGAGATAAGGATGGCTTCCGCCGAGGGCTTCCGCCGAGATAAAAATGCGCGGCGTTAGTCCGGGTACGGTCCAATACTCCGATCCCTGGTGGGACGCTCGTATCTTGGTCCAATGAGTTCCAGGTATCGTAAATTGCGGGGTGCCTAACCCGCATTGACAGGCTCGCACTTGATCGGAGATCCTACGTGCCAAATGGACAGTTCCCCTTACGTATCCGTAGAGAACCTAATCTTGCGCATTACTCGTAGCAGAATCATTAGGTAAGCATTTCCTTTCGGTAATCGCGAGGAATCTGCTTTTTGAAAACCATGATCGCATTATCCGACCCGATGGCCTACTTGGCCCTCAACGCTGAAAGATGCAATCGCAGAAGAGACACCATGTTCCCGCTCGCCATTTTTCATGCACCCGATATTGCACGAGGAAACTCAGGTACGACCGCGTGCGCCCTCGTTGTGGCTAGTGTGCGAGGCTCAGCGACAGCTGCGACTAGTCTCAGTCCAGAAGAGCCAATTTTGGCAGGTGGAAAAGGGTACACGAGCTAAAATCCAAGTTAACTACGGATTTGTGACGGTCGATTCTCATCGTGTGGGCGGAGACGTTTGGAGTGGGGTTTTGATGACACTGTCGACGTGTGCAAACATTGAATATCCGCAGTCTCACGCGTAGCAGCATCATAGCACAACTCGAGCGGCTGGAAAACACCGGAGACAACCCTCCGACTTTATATAATGACAAAACTCCGCCTCACCACATTGCTGGTGAGAGTGTTGGTTTTCTAACAGGGAATATGTCATATCCGAAAGTATCAACAAGCACATTCCAGATCAAACCCCACTAGAGGACGAGATGACATTTACCGATTTATTCTCAATGCGACTCTGTCAGCAACAACCTTCTCAAGATGGAATTGAGTTTCTGCAGGACTGACTGACAGCCACGATTCTGAAATAAACCTTTTCTAATGATCCCTTTCGCAGCACGAGGCTAAAAGGTACTTTGATGGTGGCATTACCCTTACCCAACGTTGCATCGAACCCGCTACGTAATGTCCTTGGACCTGCCGCCTCACACGCAGCCTTTGATGTGCCTGCAGTGCATCGCTATGGCTTCGGGGGCAGAAGTTGCCAAAATTCACCAAATTTTCCCCATGTCTCTCTACCATCGCGCCAGGGCTTACAGAGAAGTCCATGACAGTAGAGTGAATTGCCGTTCCCGGGACCCGCCTCAAGCTGGCTACGCAGGCGCTTCTCACAACTCAAAAAAAAAAAGGACGACGGGCAGTACTTTGCCGCGATATTAGCACCCGCTCAGTGCTGGGCACTGCTAGCCAATTTCGAGGCTCAACAACTCTACTTTTCAAAGTCGTTAATGAGTCTTTGCCGGGCCATCAGAGTCGCCCAAATGCCCGGTCGTCACCGGGTTGATGAGGAGGGCGCGGAGGCAAACCTTCTGCTTCCGCCGTCATGAGACCGGTCCGAAGCGGAGGAAAGACGAAGGACCTGGCGGATGATTGTCTGCTCTGATCGCCTGGCCAGCGGAAGCACGGATTGGCCGGTCATGATCTATCAGCGAGATTTGTGCATAACAATGAGTCCCAACGTCGGTAGGATGGAGGTGTGGGGGGGGGGGGGGGGGGGGGTGGGGGGGGGGGGGGGTGGTGGGGGCGGCGGGGGGGGGGGGTGGGGGTGAGAGAGAGGGCGGGCACAAGGAGCGCGTGCGTCGGGGGGGTGGGGGGGGGGGGGGGGGGGGGGGGGGGGGTGATATTCGTGCATGTGGGAATGATGTTATAGACTTTTGATATGGGCCTGCTTGCGAAACACTTTTGTCAACGCCATCACCCAAACGTCGGTCATCTTGTTGCACAGAGCAGCTCTCGCCAGGCTGGAGTCTTTCAGCTCGCCGGAGAGTATGAAGAGATGGAGCAGAACCAGACTCATCTGCGCTGCCGAGGAGATTCTCAACATCTTTCGAATGACGTCTGACATTGCACCAATACTCAAGAACCCCATGTTGGAATTTTCAATGTACACGGCGTACCTCGAGTTTCTAGATAATTGGTAACGTCGATCCAAGACTATCGACTTCATCTCGCATCATCACACTGGCCGCCAAGGCTTGGAATAATCCGGTGATGAGGTCGACGGCGGTCCAGCTTGCGGCCACGAGGTCTAGATTCGGAGACAGTTGAAAAAGGCGATAGAGACCACTCCTAGACCTTTATGCACTGACTGAACGTTTTTGCGCCTATAGGGGACTGAATTGTCACCATGCCTCGATACTGAAAACCTCTTGGCGAAGGGCGACTCTCAGTCGTCAACTATCATCTTCCGGTTAAAACCCTCCGGCAGTACGACGCAGATTATGCTGGAAGGTTAGCTTGGTGGTTGCGATCATACGAGATCCTCTGCTATTCTGATAGTGTTTGATCGTAGGTGGCTGCATTGGCAATTCTCATTGTTCAAGAAGTTGATGGCGGTATAGTCTCAAGACACAAGGCTTCTGTGCCATTTCTCTAGCTACGGGGTTACCTCTCTTTTTTGCCACGTCAATGTAACTCTCTGTTCGCCTGGTCCTATGAGTTTGGGTTTTCTACAGGCAGGTTTGAAATAGATCACAGCCTACAAACGAAAAACACCTGGTCTCATTTCATGACTTACGGAAGAAAATTCTGGTTTCATGACCAATGTGATGATGGGCATGATTGGGCGCTGTCCGCCAGTATCTTTCAGAATAGCCTTCGTAACCCCTATGCATACCGATTGGGCAATCCTATTCGTTATTGATTTCACAGTAAGGTGTACGTGTATTCGGATAACGCTTATATATGAACTCACAATTTCTCTCCACTGAAGTTTCCTCGAGGAATTAGCACATGAGGTTCGAATCATCTCAGTACCAGTTGGACTACTTTCTGCGCACTCATTCAAATTCTACCTGATTACGACTTGTGCCGAGGTCTCGGTCATTATATAGACTTATCCCATTCACTACTAGAATTCAACATGGGGCCCCATGGGCACCCACGAGCTTTGGATGGATAACCCAGCCCATGGGTCCACGTCCCTATGGCAGTAAAACCAAATATTTAGGACACCCAGTCAACCCATGGGGTGACTTCCACCCACAGCATTCACCCACCTATCTATATATCATGGGTTGCACATATATACTCGGGGGCTCTATAGATGGTGACCTATTTAAACCATCCTTTGGCATATCCAGGCCTACTCACGCAGCCACGAACCCCCGCAAGAAAAGTCACGAACCGAAACCTTGGTCCTACTTCACACTACGATGAACAACGAACTCGTGAGATGTGGCAACATACACATCCTGGCTCTTTGCCAACCCGGCGCGTTGGCTGGTACAAGATTCCGGCATCCATACTTCATGTCTACGATATCGACTACGGCTTCAATGACCAAGGTAAGTTGCAGGCTGCTGTGACCGGCGATTGGTGCCCTGAAGCCGGCCTTGAAGACGTTCTATACGAAAAGTAGGTGCTCACAGGGAATTTAGGACTACCATCAGAGGTGAAGGGGTAGTGAGCAGCCATAGAGACCAACTGGCATTCGGCTACAGCCGATGACAGGGCAATTCGGAGCAGAATACATCAGAGGGGCCGAGGTCATATGCAATCCAAAAGTCAAACAACACGAGCGTGACATCGCTAGAGCGATACTGTTGATTTGGCAACGTCATCCACGTCTTGCGTTATTTAATACACAGAGTCGCATTATATGCAACTCAGCTCAGCTCAGTTCACACATACGCCAGTGGCCATCACAGCCAAGCTCAGGCCCCCATCTACCACACCGGCAGGCACCCTGAACACATGGCCGGCGTAAGGGAAATCTGTCTATCGCATCCGGAATCACAGCTAAAGGCCCCTTTCCCACCCCCTTAGCGCCGTCCTCTTCCATTAAAGAATCAGTAAAATCAGTTCTCGCGATGTCTCTAACCACTAGTTGAATTTGTGATTGCGGGTCGGCACATCGGCGCATCGGACAGGGAGTTTGATAACACAACGAGGTAGACAATAGCGTTGTTACATGCCGTCAAAGTCACCGCCGAGGTCGTCCTCGTCCAGATCTCCTTCCTGTATCTCCTTGGCCATCTCACGCTCGCGTTCGCGCGCCTCCTGGGCATTCTTCAGCTCGAGACGATGTTGATTCATGGGGAATCGCATGGCCTGGAACACAATCCTATTAGAAAATGTCTTGGTAGTGAAGCACCAGGAAAACTTACCTTGACGCTCTCGTCGTGAAGTGCCAAGCACGCGCGGATTCTGTCGTGGAAGGCTTCACCAGGCTCCCGCGTAGCATAAACATCGCCGACCTCCTTGCTCTTCATGTATCCATGCTCGCGGTCCAGAGTAGCCTCAATGACACCATCGCGAATAGCCTTGGCGACAATGTACTCGGCCGACTCTTCACTACCGAGGTCGAGGCGGATGCAAATGTCGCGCAGGGAGATGCGAGAGTAGGAAAGAGACATCATCCGGATACCGGTCTTGATAACATTCTGGCGCAGACGCAGAATCAGGCTGTAGGTGCCGTCTCGGCGGAAGGTGTCGGCGTGATCTGCAATGATGGTCTCAAAGTTCTGGACTTTACCAACCCGGACAGCCTGAACAAGTAGGAAGTACGGGTGTAAAGAAAGCTCCAGGGTAGGCTGGCGGAAGGTAGACCGCTCGGGAATATCGCCCATCAACAGTTCGACCACCAACAGCAGCTTAGTCGCCGTCTGCGAAAAGCCCACCGCGCAGGCGCTCGAGGGGGCCTTTCTTGTCGCGGCCGTGAGGTGCTCGTGTGCCTCGGTGTACCTCAGCTGGATGGCGCGGATGCGACCAAGGTAGTACAGGAAGCGAGCGACCTGGTTATTGGCTGCGTTTTCGGGAAACTGAGTATGGGATACGAGCAAGTCGGCCTGCGCAATGTGAGACGTCATCAGATAGCTGCGAAGCAAAAGCACAATGACCGAGGCTTGCGTGTCGATGTCTTTTCGGAGGACGGCAGTCCGTAGGGCAGCCAGGAGAGTGGGCCGAATAGCGACGACCGTAGACTGAGGGGATGGAGGCTGAGGGGCGAGGCTTTCGCAGAACATCGAGTAATAGAAATAGACCTTGGCGGAAAGGGAGTCTAATGTGCGGCGGTTAAGCGTGTGGATACGGTCAGTCAGCTGCTTGGAGAACTCGGCTCCGTGCTGGAACTGCTTGGTGTCGTAGAGGTGGACCTGGATCAAAATACCGAGGAAGATGTCAATCTCGGGGATGATCTCCTTCACTTCCTTCTTCTGGCCATTCTTCGTCTTCGCCGGCTCGCTGTCCACCTCCATCTCCGGACCGCTAGAGCGGCCGAGGGGCACATTCTCGCGACCGATAGCAATCAGAAGCTGCTTGGCAACGTTTCCTGAGGCGACAGTCGCAGGGAAGCTCTCGGCAATGGCCTGGGCGATGATATCGGGTGTCAGGCGCTTGCGGATGGTCGAGATTGATCGCAGGGCTCGGAGGGAGAATCTGGCATCGAAGAGTGCGACTGCGCGGTCCAGCAGAGCGAAATTGCTCTTGATATCTATACCAGAAACGTCGTTTAGCTTTCAACGTAGCGTGCGAGAGCATCAAGGAAGTCAGAACCAATCAATCATCACATACCAGCTACAGCTTGGACCACGGGGTCAACCTTGACCTCTGCGGCATCAGCCTCGGCCTCGTCACCCATCGCAACGTCACCGTCAGCGTCCGCTGAGGGAGCAGCCGCCTTCTTGGATGGAGGAACAACAACAGTCATCTCCTCGTCGCCATCCTTGGGTCCCTTCTTGCTCTTGCTCTTGGACTCGGCATCCTTGTTGTTCTTGCGGACACCATTCTCGAGGGGATCCTTCCCGTTACGTGAGGGTGTTTTGCCCGGCATTTTTGCTCAGCCGACTATGCGTAGATGTGTGTAGGAAATGTGTTTGAGTGCTGCTGGGGATGGCAGCAGTCGAATGGGATCGTGTAGTCGCGCCCGGGGAGGAGAGTGCGGGTGGGTTGGTTTGCTTAGATATGAAGTCCCGTCAGGTGCGTCGTCTGAGAGTATTGAGGGAGGGAAAGTCAGGTGACACAGGTTGATAGAGTCAGAACGGACGGGAGTCGTGATCGGAGCTGTGTCGGAGTCGGCTTTCGTGGATGGGAATAGGCGGTTGCTGTGTGGCCGTTTGCCTCGTGATGCAGGAAGGGTCGATGGAGGAGAGCTCAAAGACTGAACACCTGAGGCTTAGGTTGCTGCTCTTTAGCCATGGGAGGATGACACGGACCGGGCAAGAACCTCACCCACTACACTAGCCGTTGCCAGGTCACGGGTACAACGATGGGGAACAAGCAAGCGGCAGAAAATGGTTTGCATGTGGGGACGGAATCATGAGACTATGTACCCTATACGTAGCCTTCCTTAGCGAGTGAGATTGCCGGGCCTGCTGGAAGCATGGAGCAGCCCCCCTAGGCCACCACCAGGTCCCAGGCGAGTGACGTTGTCGATGCTGCCTGCCTCAGCTGCATGGTCCTGGTGCCTTTGTGCCACACTTATGCATATCTTGGCTGGGATTATGTAATTATCCACGGCCCGCCTTCAATCAAACTTCTAATCCCGCCTTCAAGCTCCTCTCCAATTTGGCATTACATCCGGGCTTCAATCTCGCATTCTCTCATTGTTACCTTACTCTCGTATTTCTCATTGCATTCAATGCACCATATCTTTCCTGCTCTTTAATACACTCTGGCTTCATCAGAGCGTCAACGCCGCTTGCATGTTTGTTTGTTATGCTTCGCTGAATGCGGACTGATGCTTCTGAGTCCCCTGCCGTTGTCTCATCGGGCCGGAAGCGACTTGTGTACCAATTGGCCACAGTTGCAATGGATTATGGCCTTGAGGACCTTGATGGCACGCTTAGTCCTCGAAATAATGAGGCAGGCACGCAGGCAAGCAGGCAAGCAGGCACTATCATTAAACTTGTAGTATCAATTTGGGTATACCATCACTATGAAAGCCATCAATAATGGCCACTGCAACTAGTGAGAAGTCGCAAGTTGACTGGCAATCCCTGCCTCTTCCAAACGCCTTCTTTGTGTTCCGAAACCATACCGTAATGCCCGTGAAAACAAACCCATTTGCCGTTATCGTCTAGTCGGTCTTCAACCTCGAGTAAGCTTATTTATTTGCCGGGAGGAAGTTGATCTCCATATGTTTCGCCGTGGCCAAGTCCACCTGCGGGCTACTGCCGTCAACCGGGAACTGCCTCAGGGGAGTACCGGTGGCATGGGTCAGACCGCTTCCCGAAAATGGGGCCCTCTTGGCTGGAGATGCGGCTTTGATTGGCCTTGCCTTGGATGAGCCAGTCTTGGCTGGCGATGTACGAGACGATCCGTCGCCTTCTTGTTTGAATCGAACACTCTTCGTCGTACTTCGTTTGGCAGTCCTTCGCTTCCCAGCAACAGCTGCCCGCGGTTTCTCGGTGGGCTCGTACTACTCGCCCTTGCCCGAGGTGACCTTGGCGGCTTGGATGGCGCTCATCTTGGTGATCCAAGCCGTCGAAGGCTGGATCTTGCGGACGGTGCGCAGCTCGTCAGAGGAGTAGCCAGGAACACGGATGTTGTAGGTGCGTTCCAGGACGAGCTGAATGTCGCGAATCTCGAGAACCTTTGAGCCTCGCTCTTTGGCGTTGCGGCAAGCCGTCTCCAGGACGTTGTCGACGAAGCTGTCTGCCATGGCCAGGACACTCTGCAAAAGAGTCAGCAAACGTTTGTAATCCACGGGGCGGGAATGATTAGGATAACGTACCTCTTCAACTTCTGGAGTCAACATGTTGATCTCCTGACCTTCGGCGTTTCCGCCGCAGACCTGCCGCACGAGCTCATCCAATTTCTTCTTGCTGAGGACATGATCGCCCTCGGCCTCATGAGTGTACGCGGGGATCTTGGATATCGCGGGTTGGCCCATGACACCTCCGGCAATACCGCCACCGCCCGTGTAAGTAGGACGCCCGGCGCCAGCACCACCAGCCATCGCTACGGGTTGAGGCACGGCAGTAGCCTTTTCCGGAAGCTGCTTAGGAATCGGGAGTTTAGATTGCAATGTTTGAGTTGGCTGTGTCGGGTGCGCGTGTTGTTGTTGCGGAACAGCTCCAGATCCCATGACACCCTGAGCGTGTGCGCCGGCCGAGCCAGGAGTGCCCGTGGCTTGCTGAACAGTGACTGAGGTCTGGGAGTTGCGCTGGTTCGCGCGGGAGACGGCGGCCGAGTGGCTGAGAGCTTGGCCAGGGCCGGCAGGAGCGGCAGACTGGGGAGTCGCAACCCGTTGGGTGGGAGTGCCTGCCGAGGGAAGTCCGCCGCCTGCAGAGACCGACGCGATAGCAGTGTTGACGGGCGGAGGGTGATGTTGGCCTTGGTTCATGGTTTGCTGTGGTGCGGAAGCCATGGGCTGTTGAGCTTGGGGAGGTTGAGAAGTAGTCGGTGTCGGGGCAGAGGACGCAGCAGCCTGAGCCTGAGCCTGAGCCTGAGCCTGAGCTTGAGCCTGTTGCTGCTGGAGTTGTTGTTGTCGAAGCTGCTGCTGCTGCTGCAATTGCTGTTGTGCCTGTTGCTGATGTTGTTGAGGCAACTGCTGTTGCTGCTGAGGGGGGGTGCCTTGACCTGCGGCGGCAGCGGCGGCCATCTGTTGATTCTTGGCTGCCTCGATCGCGGCATTCACTGCTGTGGTGGGGTTCTGCGCGTTCTGTGTTGCCGGAGTGCCTTGGGCCGTCGGTGCTGGGCTTGCTTGAGCACCACCCGGCTGCGTCGATGGAGGTTGCGACGTCGCGACGGCTGGGCTGTTTTGTTGCTGCTGTTGAGAAGGTGGTCGCTGTTGTGCAGCCGCGCTTGCACTTGCCGCTGTCTGCCCCGCCGCGGCAGCTGCTGCCACGGCCGCTCTTGCCTTGTTAATGCCTTCCTGAGATTTCCTAAAGTTCTGCACAAAGGTCTGTGCCTCGGTATGCATCTTTTGCGCATGATCCCTCCTAATTTGAAGCTGCTTCTGTTCGTCTGCGCCCAGTGCACCCTTTTCCTGTTGGTTCTTAACATGCGCATCGATCCGCCGTATCTGAATTCCCTGCTGATCCATCTGCATCAGCGCCCTCAGGTACTTGGCCTTGAAGTCGTTGGACCATCTAGCAGCCGCCTCCTGGCCCTTGTCTAGAATCCCCTGAGGCGGGTTGAAGGTCATCTGTCGGATATGCGCCAGGATATGGTCCGGAAACTGCGTCGTCTGCGGCGCTTGCTGTGGCGCGGTGGGAGTTGGCACGGCCGCCGCTGGAGCGGGCGCAGGTGTGGGAGCATGTGCAGGCTCTGCCGTCGTCGTCGCTGTGTTCTCGGTCTTCGGTTCGGTCTTGATGGTGACGCCTCCGACGTTCGCCTGACTGGCCGCCGCAGCTGGTGCTTTCTGCTGAGCCGGCTGGGCCTGTTGCGCGGGGGCGGCTGACTGCGCAGGCTGGCTCTGTTGCTGCTGAGCCTGTTGACCACCCTGTTGCTGCTGAGCGGCTTGCTGCTGAGCCTGCTGCTGTTGCTGGACCTGCATCCGGCGTTGCTGGAGCTTGTTCAAGAGCATCTTGGTGAAGTCCTGGATTTTCTTCTTGGCGTCTTGGTGTTGAGCGGACTCCTCTGGATGGGTTTCGTAGTGGTTCCAGAGCTGGCGCAGACCCCTCTCGTATTTCTGCTTCTCCTCATCATTGAGAATGGGAAGGTTTCGCATCATCTCGGGTCGATACATGGGCGGCTGTCGCGCACTGGGCACGGTTTGACCGGCTGGGGCCTGGCCAGGCTGGCCTTGATTGTTCATCGTCGCGCTTCTTACGGAGATTAGATTCGACAACAACGTAGGAGGGTTCGCTGAGATGTGGTCTAGATTTCGACCAGGAAGGCGTTTAAATGATGCGACTGATGATCTACGCTCAGTTGACGAAGGACGGTGTGTAGATTAATGGAAACTACTCTTTCTTATGGATGGCAAAGGGGTGTAGTTGCGGCGAAGCACGCGTAGCTGGAAAGTTCCGTGTGGGGTTGGGAGGACAGCAGTGATTGGATGTCGCATGGACGCGCTCTGGTTTTGGAGATCGGGCAGGTGGCAGGTATCTGCCTGCACCGACGAGGCGGGAAGGTTGCCGCTGCTCAAACAGACCACGTCGACCCTTTGAGCATCGTTAAGGAATTAAACATTGACTTGGAATTGGGACAGACAATCAAGGTCTCCAAGTCTTGAAAGTATCGGACCACAATGAACTTACCTAATTCACTACAGTGCTTCAAGGTGCTTCAAGCAGATGACACCATGTGAGCCACGCAAACGTTCCGCAATGATTTCCATTGTGTGTGCGGCCAGTTGAGAAGAGCAGTCTCAGCACTATCAACGGAAGATCTGGCGTCTTCTTCATGAGCAGATTTGTTGAACAATTCCATCTGCCTCATGACCTCACCTGCCTTATCCCAGGTCAAAAGAGAAGTCATAGTAAACCCTCCCCTTTCTGGATGTATTCTACCTGGGTGGACTAATGGACTCTGTTTGCTGCACAGGAGAGGCAATCATGGTAGGTATGGTTCATTTGAGCTTGATCTCAGGACCATCAAGACGACAAAGCTCTGCGTCATCTGAACCTTGGCATAGTGCAATAGTCAGACCCCATCATCGTCCACTGGGCTGCAGCCATCCTTCTCGGGTCCTCAGAATCCCGCAAGACACCAAGTCAACTGCAGAATGGCAGAGCCTCAATTCCCAAGGCAAAGGTGCCTTGTTCTTCCACAGAAACCAGGCTTCTCGAACAGATATGGGCCTTCATACACCAGCCCACCAACGTCGTTTACACGTGGAGTTGGTCTCTGGCCGGTCTTGCTGCGGGAAAGGCCCGTCGGACCTGCAGATAAACGGGGCTTTGGGGCGTTGGGCTGTCCACTCTGGCGCGAACTCACAAATGCACACTTGCGCAAGTTGACGATGCAGTGCATAGACGACGAGGTGGGAGAGGGGGGCGGTCATGCCCTAACCAGGAAGGAAGGACGATGAAGCACTTTTAGTACAACATCCATTGTGCTCTGGTGAGAAAACCCTCGAGTGGTAAAATCTAGCGTGTATTGTGACAGTCGAGAACCAACCTAGACTGTGCGACGCCTAGGTCGTAGCATGTATTAATGAAGAAATTTTGATACACAATCTTATGTGCTCTGTGGCGAAAAACTCCGGGAGGGAAAAAGTAGGGGGGGTTGTGTGAAGAGAAAGACCAACAAAAGCCGGGGTCGCCCAGGGTGGGGAGTATATAAAAAAAAAAAAAAAAAAAAAAAAAAAAAAGGAGATGGTGATGGGCAAGGCAAACAAATGATCGGGCCTGCCGCCTGGGTGAGGGATCTTCTCATCCAGCAAGGAATGGAAGAAAGGCTAAGAAGAGGGTCCGTCAGCGTTGGGCTGCAGGGAACGAAGCCAGCCTGCTGCCCATGCATCCTGGTCTCTTCAAGCATGGTACTTTGTACCTGATGTCTAGGATTAGGTCTGATGCTGTGACTGCAAGAATTCAGTGATTCGCATAGGCATCCCGAGGTGACGATGGTGACAGTGATGGTGAGGGTGCTGGTGCTGGTGCTGGCGGCAGCGGTGGCAGTGGCGGTGGTGATTGTTAGGTGGTGACATTCCCAATTACATGGACCAATTTTGGACGGGACGAGAGTGACACAACGTCAAGGCCCGACGCAGACACGAAGAGTTGCCGTTTCATGCACCCGGCGCGCCTTCTAGAACTTGCCAATAACTCAGGTGAGGTAAGCAATGGAGGCACCTTCCATCCGACCCTGCAACCAAGGTGCGTAAGGTAAGGTAGGTAGTGTTACCATGGAATTGGAAGGAGACGGAGGGAAGGTGTTGATGACTGCGGTGGTCGCTTCCGTTCCGTCAGTTTTCGTTTCTGGCCCTTCCATCCAGCCGTCCCCTTCCCGGTAGGCGTCAAGGCGTGTGCATCCTGACCGCCTTCTTCTTTTCCTCTCCACAAATCTGATCCGGCCACGAGCATGATGCATCCTACCTCACCCCTCGTCACATCCACCCCTCCTTCCAGAATCTCCCGCAGTCCGCAGTCTTTGAGGCTTGGGCTCTTCGCTCCAGCATCACGGTGGCTCCAGGAAGGGAAGGGGACCATTCCTGCAAAGACCGCAGAAAACCTGCAGGCCGTTGAAAACGCCATCCCTTCCAAACTACCTCCCTCAACCCTCGCTGATTGGGCGCGAGTGCTGCTACCCAGTCGACCCTTTTCTGATTCTTGCAATACCCGGATTCTGCTCCCAGGCAGTCTTTCAGAATCCATCCTCACCAATCACAGCTTGTTCTTTTCCTTCCGGACGGACAGCCGTGGCTAGGTAGAGCTCTCTGGTGCTCGAAACCCTTCCACGGCCTCCAGCGAGAAGCACGTAGCCCTACCGGTCAAATTCCTCAACCACTCTCTACGAGACACGAGCAGCAGCGTCTCCAGACGGGAGATAATCTTGCCCCGTGCATGTCGACAACACAATGCAGATTTCTTGGGCTATCGAGTGGCAGACATCCACCCTCTCACGGTGTCAGGCTTACACCAGAGGACGAAAAGCCAGCTAATTACTCGGCTTTGTGAGGACCATGCACAGCCAACAGCAAAGACGCTGTCTAGTCTAGGCCCAAGGAGAACCCACCAAAGCATGATGTAGTATTCAACAGGCTTATGGGAGAAAGACTTGACAGGCCGAGCAGGGCTCCGACTAGTGTAAGGCGATACTAGCAGTGAAAAAAGCAGACCAGGAATCGCCAATAGTCGGCGATCTGGCGCCTGTCCACAGTCTGCCACACCCCTCCATTACCCCTCCTTCGCACCACGCCCTCTCGGCTGTCGACTCTCAACTCTCTCGCATTGGACCTCCTTCGTCGCTCGATACCGTTCACAACCCCAATCCAGCCCATTCCAGCCGAGCAACCAGTCAAGCCATGGCGGCCCCGGTCCAGTCAGCCCGTACGCCGCTGCGGTATCCGCAAATGCGCGACCGCACAAACAGGCAATTCTCTTGAAGCCGCTGCGGGACACACACGGGTAGACCGGGGGCAGTCCTGGAGCATTGCTGCCCAAAGTCCAACTTACGCCCCGCGAGAATGCGCAAAAGAGGAACCGCAGCCAACCCCAACCGCTGGCCGAACAAAACTTTTCCCTCTGATAGGAAGACCTCCACGAGGGTTGCAGTCTCCAGCAGCAGCAGCAGCAGCAGGATGGGGTTTCTCGCGGGAGCATTCACGCCAGCAATAATTACACCATAGCAAAGCAGCACCCACACGACTCCAGTAGCACCAGTAACGGTAGCTGGATGAGAAGAGGCTCTCGTCTAGGTGATCTTGGGACGGAGTCTCTTGCTGCATAGCATGGGCATGGGCATGCCACAGAGCTGCAGCGCACATGTGCAATGACTTCTTTTAATTCTTAATTCTCTCCCCATCCCACACACTCTTGAAAAATCTTTTTTCTGTTTCCCCCTCTCTTCTTTTCTCTTTTGTCGTTGACTTGCGTCTACCTACCGCTTGACCATCCCCCGTCTGGCCATCATCTCGCTCTCGATTCCCATCCCCTCTGCTAGTTAGCAAAAAGGGGCGATCGGTGGGAATTCACGGATTAAATCAGCCATAACTATAAGACCGGACTGTCTGGCCGCGCCAACGACCCGCTCTCGGCCTATCACGGGGGTCGTCTAAGTGTACCTTACACAACTTGGACGGTCGATTCGAGCAACGCCGTGAGACTCCCTCACCACCGATAGCTCGGACATCCACATTTCAGGATCCAGCCAGGAAATCACACAACAGTATTCCTCTTCCGGCACTCCGTTCCTCTGGCCTGCCATTCCACTTGAGACGCCAGCATATCACAACAAATCCAGCCAGATTCAGATTCAGGTTCAGATCCAGAGTCGGGATCCGTGGCGCCGGCATTCTGTTGTTGTCGTTCCTCCGCCTTCTTCCACGGTACTCATCCCACTTACCTCTGCTCCGACAAATTCCTGAGCCTCTCTTTTCGACCCAGGTCCCCCACGCTTGTCTTCGACTTCCCCAAATCTTTCGTCCAATACATTCCCTTACTCAGACCAGCAAGCAGCCGAAGTCACCTCACTGGCACTGTTTCTGCTCGCGTGCGCATTGCACCACCGCTTTTTCTCAGTCAGCCATTTTGTGCTGCAACCCGCAGCGCCCCTCAACAAGGCAGTCCCTGGTCACTCTGGACAAAAGCCCGTCGTCCTATCGTTACCGCCCGCCCGATTTTCGTCGTCCCCACACCCGGGATCCCGCACATCCCACCGTGTCTCCCCCGAAACATTCCTCCCCACTGTCTCTCTTGTCAGTGTCGGGCCAGTGACATCCAGCAGCTTGGAAAGCCGGTTTGCGTTCAAAGAGAACGTTGGGGGCTTCCCGTCACTTGTCCGATACCTGGACTCTACTTCCATTCCTCGAAGGGACCCTGGTTGTGTTGCTCTTTGAGTGCAGTCGAACTGGTCCGCTTCCTCCCGCGCGATCTGCTCAATCTTAAGCATTTTCCGCCAGATCTATCATGACAACCTACAGCCTCAGCCGAATATCTTCTTCTCCTTGTCGGAGGTTCTTACTCTGGGTGTTGACGCCTTGACTGCTGCTACTTTGCTTGAGATATCACCTTCATCGTAACCAATCACATCACCAAGCCTCCTTACTGGCTGTCGCTCGTCGGAGCTGATCTGATCTCATATACCCGCTGAACTTCATCTTCCCCGCAAATTCGAGGGAGTAGAAAAAAAAAGGATTCGAGTCCTGCACCAAAGCCACGATCGATAGATCACGAACCCGCAAACAAGGCCAGAGCAACAGTTCATTGCATCAGCCTCTGAGCCTCTTCAAATAGGTACCGCTTCAGAACACCTCAATTGGAAACACCTCAATTGCCGTATCGCAGGCTCCATTGAGCATGCCTCGTAAGGCGCGACCGGCGACGCCCAGTATGATGTTGGGCCCTTTGGGAGGCCCAAACTCACCGCCTCAAACCCCTGCCTCCACCATGCCGATGGCAAACCGCAAGTTCGCCGCGCGACACTTACCGCAATGGCATCACCAAATACTGCTGGATGACTCCAGCATTCAGCCTACAGGCAATGGCCACGAATTCAGCTTCACGCCTTCTAATCGCTTTGCTCAGTTGTCCCCCCGCACCTCGTCCGAAGATTCTGAGTCTGATGAAGAGGAGGAATCCGAGTCTGGATCAGAGTCTGAACAAGACTTTGTACCGCAAGCGAAACCCGAGGAGGAGGATGATGACGACGAAGATGAAGACAGCGACGATGAAGAGGAAGAGGAGGATTCAGACGACGAAGCCTCGGAAGACGAAGACGATGATACACCTATGCGCTTTGCTCCTCCCGCCCCGCCTCCAATGCAGGCACCGATGCCAGCACCCATGTCGGCTTCCATGTTCCCTCCAAGGCCTGCGCCTATGCCGGCGTCTCGTATGGCTGTCCGTAGGAGCTCTGAAGAGGATTCAAATGAAGACGAGGAAGACGAAGACGCGGAGTCCGAATCAGATTCGGAATCAGAGTCTTTGGTCACACCTCCCATCCAAGAGATTCGCCAAGAACACCACGTAGTTACTGTCACTGCCACTGTCAAGGCAAATTTTACACTGGAGGAGCTTTCCGACTTTGACCCAATGGATCAAGACCGCACTGGCACCATCGCCCCCACGGGCTTCTCCTCCCCGTCATCTGCTCGCTCTCGATCACGAGCACCTCCAGCACCTAAAGGGCTCCCTCCCGGCTTCACACGCGGCATGGGGAACCTGGGCGTCGATGAATCCAGTTCCGAAGACTCGGATAATGATTTGGATGACGATGGGGCCCACGCCGAATTTGTGCGCAGGCAACGGGCGCTGAAGATGCTCAACCGTCGGACCCACGGATCCAGCATTGGCAAGCGCACGATATCGGAGCGTAGTGGCTCTGATCACGAAGACATGACGCCACTCGACGCGGATGCCGTTGGTTCCAGCGCCCGCAGACTCCGGCGACGCTGCGGAGACAGTCACAGGCGTAGCTTTATCCATCTACAATTCCAAGACCCACCCCCACCTCGCATCGACGAGCTCGAAGAGCCCGAAAGCGAGGTTGAAGGTACTTTTATCTTTTGCGACAGTGGCACGCTGGCGCGAGAGCTTCCTTACTACTCCATCGAGATTATGGAGTATGAGAGTTCCAGCCCCAGTCCCAGCCCATGAGCGGGACATGTTTGCCTCTTGTTTCCAGGGCAATCACTATACGTTTTACAAAAACCACGAATACCAACCACAACGATACATAACGTTTGGCCTCATCTCTTCGCTGCAGGACGAGGCTGCTAATAGACGCACGCTGATATTTCACGAAGAGCATACGGGGATGATGGCATAGAATGATGACGATGACGGATTTACGACCAGCATTTTGTTTTTCTCTGCTGTTTCTTCCCAGACCTCTTCTTGTTCTTGGGACATGCCAATGTCTTGTCTCGATGGATACCTCATTTGAGATTCGCACTCGTTGAAGAGGCGGCACCCGGCACAGCACAGAGCAGCATGAGTGATGGATGATTTTGTCTGCTTCTCCTTTGATAGATTCGGTTTCCATAGAAGAGCCTCACAGCTCTAATGAAATGTTTACTCGCGCCATCTCCACGGTTCCCCCAACCCAACATGCCAAAGCTCCTCTAGCCATGACCACATGCCACAAGTCACGAGCCGCACCAACCCAAACGCCGTTTAAGGAGGCGTTTCTGCCAGGCAAGGGTGGCGAATTTAAAGACGGAACGGCCATTGGCATGTTCATCTGGTGGCTCTTATCGCCCAGGCGGTGTGGTCGTTGATGATAACGGCCGAGAGCGATTGGTGATGACGTGCAGTGGATCAGCGGGATTAGGAGGCGGACGGGAGAGACGACCCTACCTTAGGTAAGGTAGTAGGCTGGCGGCGGTGGCCTGCGGTGGATGGGGTAGATGGATACCTGGGTCCTTGGGGAGGGAAGGGCCGGGAGGAACCTAGGGGCTACTTACCCAGAGCGGGCACGGAGAAGGGTGAATAGCACATGTTCATGCAGTATTGCTTGCTCTGCTTAGTGTTTTTTTTTCGGTGAGCATTGAGAATTTCATTGGATATTCTTTTGTTTATGAGAGTGAGATAATACGTAGTACAGACGTCTTTGCTTCTCGTCATTGGATTCGGGGAGGAGAAGTGGAGAACGAGTCCGGGTGAGAGAGGAGGGTGAGGCGGCGGGCGCCGCGGCCGATTCGCCGACTCGGCGGCCCATCACGAGATTGCACTTGTTGTCCTGCGGTCCTCTTTTAGCCTACGTCTACGGAGCACGAGTCTTGCCTAGTGCATGATTCTCTGTAACCATGCTATCCACGAATCAAGGTTGCTATTTGCTGAAGAGCGAGATGCATGTGGGAGAATCGGGCAAGACTCGGACGAGGGGGTTCAGGTAAGGTCAGCAGCAAGCTGTAGTGTGCTGTGTAGGTAGAGGTTGCGCTGCGAGAGAGAGACGGGGAAGAGATATCCGGCCGGGTTCTGGGGCCGGAAGGCGCGGGGAGAAGGGGACCGTGGGAAACGGCGGTCAGTGAGTGGTTGTGTGGGGCCTTTTTTTTTCCTTTTGTACTTTTTCGGAGAAGGGAGGGGGATGGTGGCGTCGGGTTAGTCTGGGTCGCGCTGCCGTCACCTGGAGATCCAAGTCGGCAGTTCGAGGGAAGCAGTCTTTGGGATGTTTTGTCGTACCTCAGGTACATAAGGTTACTCAGATCTTCCGAGTGGCTAGTTGCAGCTGGTTACATGTATTGTAGACGGCCGATATCAATACAGGGGGTTATACCGCACCGCGGCGTGGGTTCCAACCCTTTACCTCCCCCATCTAGTCTGACCTGACATCCGGTCCGGGGATTATGGCGCAACATAGTCGTATTGCCTACTCTGAGCTCATGGCGTATGAACCGGTTTTTCTCTTCCGTTTTGTTCCCTTAATAATTTATCTCATCGAAGTTCATAGTATATTCGTAGAAGAAGCTTGTCATGTAGTGAATCCCAGGCGGATGGAGGGACCCATTGCTTCAACCCTTGGCGTCATTTCGAGAACTGAGGGAAATCTCAGGGCAGCTGGGAGAAGCATCTCCAAGCTGTGCATGGGGTCTAACTCTTTAACCACTTCTTCAACAACGTAAGGTATCAAGGACTAGCCTCCAAGAGCTTAGTAGACAGCCGGGCTAGTGTCAGAGAGCGACTGGGCAGTTGTGTAACACCATGACCCAATAGGACCAGAACGAAAGTGCCCTTGAGATCATTTACTTCATAGCAGTGTGTGCGGATAAACTTGTCTTGTTGAATTATTCGATTTGGAGCTAGGGTATATATTCGTTGTACCTATTATGAATGTACTTCAAGCTGTTTCCTTCCTCGTCGCCATGCAACTTTGAAGTCATTGCCAAAACCGACAGATCAAATCAATCCCTCCTCCCTAGACCAATTTCTAGTTCGTGTTCACGCTCCCATAATCATGTTGATCCAGCTGCATGTCCAAATCTCTCATCATACACACTCCTTTCTACATTGCACTCGAGGCTCAAGCACTCTGTTGCTTTTCTGCAACCGGCGGGGCAACCGTCGCATACTTCGTCGGCACGTCCCCACCGCCAACCTGCGGCGAAAAGACTTGGATCGTACCGTCGTACGGCCGCGTGGCAACTCTGTTCTTGCAGCGTGCGCAGGAGTAGTGCATGTTCTCACACCATCCTGCGATGCAGGGGACGCAGGCGAGGCAGACGCAGAAGAGGCAGCATAGAGCACCAGCAACCCTGAGAAATGTGTGTTAGTCGGTTGATTGTAGATCTAGTGCTCGCTTGTCTACACAAAGCAGACTACACCTTACATTTGCATGGCGGTTCCTTCCTTGGTGATGACTGTCTGAGTCCTCTGGTTGCAGAAGGGACAGTCGATCCATTGCGGCCCGTCGCCGAGCATATGCAATGGCGTAACGGTCAGTGGGTTGGCGAGAGGGGTGATTGTCGGACCGCCCTGTTGCTGAGCGGCTAGAGGCGTTGCGGGTTGTCTGCCACACGGTCAACGGGCTTCCTCAGACTATGGCAGTGAACGTGTAGGAGACTCACTCGAGCTGCACCAAATTTGCCGGCATCTCTCTGGCAGGGGCGGGACCGTTGCCCTGCACCGTGGTCCCGAGTGGCGGCGACTCTCTCTCATACGCGGGCGCAGGCTCTTGGACGTCGACCGCCGGTGATGGGGCAGTCTTTGATTCTGACATCTTTTTATTGAGGTTTGATATGTGCTGGGTATAGGCCGTTGGCACGATGGAACACTCCAATCGCAATCCTTGAAAGATATAACCAGTGATTGAACTGGACCGAACAGAACGAATTTGTTGTGGCAGACTTAAACACAGAGAATCAAATCAGGGATCAAACATGGAAATTGAACCGATGAACATGTGTTCCTTTTCAATCGTGTTAAACTCTCCCTCTACGGAAGATTGCCTCCGGCACATGTGAGCCCTCCGAGGTCGCACTAGCAGCGGCACAGCATCGCAGGAATCCATAGTCAGGCAGAACCGTAACATTGAAACGATCGCCATTGGTGCTTACAGAAATAGACTTGTCCGGCAGGGGGGCGCACAATGTCTCTCCCGCAAGGCTCTGCGCGACTTGGGTGGGCGGCGCAGCCCTACAACCAGGGCGGATTGCGCCTCAACTCGTGTGTGTGTGTGACTGTGTGGTAGTAAACTCGCGGCTGCCAGGGGTAAAGCTGAGAGATACCCCCGAAATCTTACACCACGTGCTCTGTATGATAGGTGGTCTTGGCTGCCTAATTCAGCTCGTATGGAGATGCAATATCCGATGCCACTCCATTTTCGCTGACAGCGTTATTCCCGTACCTTGATAGTAGACCAAGGGTGAGCAGACACGCCGATCCAAATGCCCAGCCTTACTTCGACCTCACGAATGATCACGTCGGCACAGCCACATTAATATGCAGGTTCCGCTCCTTTGGACTCCAAGTTTAACTCAACGGCTCAAAATGATGCCAGCAAGGCAGGTGACAGTCCACGATCCACTACGTTGATGTAGTCTGGCCAACCCCCTCCTTCGACTCGTGGAAAACAACCCTAGGGTTAGCATCCAGCTTTCCAACATCTACGTCAATATGCGCTTGATCAGAGCTTCTTCCATAAACAACAATCCTCCCAATATAGAGCTCGTCGACTTCAACCCCGATCAACTCCCCCGGTATGCAATCCTCTCGCACACGTGGGGTGACGACGAAGTCGTCTACGCCGACATTAGAAACCAGAATGCCGCAACCAAGAGCACCTTCTCAAAAGTCCGCTACAGCTGTATCCAGACTCTGGCAGATGACCTCGAGTACGTCTGGATCGACTCGTGCTGCATCGATAAGAGCAGCAGCGCCGAGCTCTCCGAGGCTATCAACTCCATGTACGAGTGGTACATGAAGTCGGAAATCTGCTATACCTACCTCTCGGGCGTGCCTTCCACCGTCGACCCGGTCAAGACGGACGGCGTGTTTGCGTCGTGCAGATGGTTCACGCGAGGTTGGACGCTCCAGGAGCTCCTGGCCCCGGCAGAAATGGTCTTCTACTCTGAGGATTGGGTCAAAGTCGGGGTGAAGACTGCGCTGAGCCGGCCGCTGTCCGTGATTACGGGTATCGACGAAGACATACTCACGGGTCTGAAGCCACTAGAGTCGGCCAGCCTGGCCAAGAGGATGTCATGGGCGGCGCACCGACAGACGACGAGGCCGGAAGACGTGGCGTACTGCCTGATGGGGCTGTTCGGCGTCAACATGCCGATGCTCTACGGTGAAGGCGACAGAGCCTTCCTCCGGCTCCAGGAGGAGATTATGAAGCAGTCCGACGACCAGTCCCTCTTCGCGTGGGTCGACCTATCGGCGTCGACCGAGACGTACCACGGGCTGCTGGCCAAGTCGCCCTCCAACTTTGCCTATTCCAACACCATTATGCCCTATCAGGACTGGGAGCCGCGACCGCCGTATTTTATGAGCAACCGCGGCCTGCGCATCGATCTGCCCCTGACGCTGCGGGGCGAGGACATCTTCGTTGCCGCTTTGGATTGTCCGGCGCCGCCAGACTACGAGGACTCGACTTTTCTGGCGATTTATCTCAAGAAGATTTCGAGCGGAGGAGATCAGCAGTTTGCCCGGGTGCGGGTCAACCAGTTTGCAAAAGTTCAGGAGCGAGGTAATCGACAGACGCTCTATGTGAGGCAGACGTTCAACGGCGTCGTTGATGCCGAGGGAGTGTTCCCCCAACACATAATCCAACTTCGAAAGGGGCCACCGCGGGACCAGTATTCCGTCCTCAGTATTGTGAAATCCAAGGAGCACGACAGAGATCGGCCGATGGCCTGCACGTCGAGCCGAGGCACGGGAAGAGACTTGATACACACTACGACCGGGAAGACGATAGCCTTTCGTAACCCAAAAGCAGCGGGCCAGCTTGCCGGGGCGGTCACGTTTGCGCGGCTAGACGGGTCGAGGCTGCTCGTCATGTTCGGCTCGACCGACGGCATCAGGGCCGGGTTCCACGCTCGGGAGCTGCCGCCTCGTTTCCCGGGCATGAACCAGACGGCGAGAAACCAGGAGCCGCCGGAAGCTCCTCTCGAGTTTGACGATTTGCAGAGCATCTTCCGGCCGAGCCGGGCGGGCGTCGACGTCGAGCTGGAGCGGTTCAGGGTGCGTGTCGATGTCGAGACGGTGATTGCGAATGCGAGCAAGTATCTGATGGCCGATGTGCTCATCGAGCCTGTGAATCGGCCGTGGGACCCCTTTGAGCCGCTGGATGCGGCGATTGGGTGGTATGAAGGCGCGACGGGTCGGCAGAATAGAGGAGAGGCTGCTCAAGCGGCGCAAGCTACTCACGGGAAAACGAAGAGAGCTTCTGGTTGGAGGAGGTTGATATCGTGAGTCTAATGTGGCCTGAGTGGAATGAAGGTACATGTAGGAAAGAATATCCAAAGGATGTGTATATCTAATCAATGAGCTGGATAAAAGCAACCAAATTTCATGCTAAAAATCAGGAGACTCAAGGAGCTTAGGCTAGCGTAACGTATTTGCATTTACTAATATTTGGCTTGGCTATGCGTCCATGTAGGCATCTCGACTCCACACCTACCTCTTCGGCCATAATTACAAGGCAATGAGTGGGCAGCAAAAAACTAGCTCTTGGCAAAAGCTCATAGGCTTTTGAGGGAAGGGAAGAAAATTAGTATTGATAGCGTACCAACATACTCCTTCCGTGACTGCCTGTCTGGGTGAATCAGGAAAAGGTTGTAATCAAACCTTGGTCGTAGAAATAAAAAGTCGCGCCTGCTCCATAGAGTCAGCAAATTCCTCACACGACGTTGAACTCCTGGAGTTGTGTTACGGAGCAAGTTAAGAAATCTATACAAAATCCTGATTCCTTAGCAAGTATACGGTGATCTATACATTGAACGTAGCCCGAAACTACTTTGCTTCGGGTCTTTGTATCAAAACCTTGAGCATGTCACTTATGAGGGCGAGGCTACGAAAGACGAGAAGAGGGAGCTGTAAGATGATAGATAAGTGGCCAATCAGCCTTTTTCAAGGAGAAAGTATTTGAATAGAACAGAAGGCTTACAGCATAATGCCGCATGAATGGGATTTCAGAATACCCATATCTGTATCATTTGTTTGCTGGCCAACAAGAGGTTGAGCCATACCAGAGCGGCTGAGTAAAGTAGGGTAACTGAAAGATGGCAACAGAGCAAGTTCCAACTGCGTTCTACGTCTTCTACATGTTCGCAATGAATAGCAAACCCACAAGTCAAGGATTGAAAGTCAAGATGCTAAATGGGTAACTCGATCGCTATTGATACCATGTTTTTGGTACCTAGACCACTCTGTAAACTACAAACATCCTAAGTATGTGCAAGAAGTTAAGGGCTATGTACAAAATACCCGCCATCTCTCTCATCATGAAGTCAATATTTCTACTACCATGACACTAACGCGCGCAGTCTAAAACGTCTGGAATTGTGAAATTCTCGAGTCGATCGTTCCTATCTAGCAGTTGCCAGTTGCGGTGAATGGTGCATTTTCCTTGGTACCAACGTTTTTCACGACAACCTGCTTACCGTTGGAGCAGGTGACGCGGACGCTTACAGTGTCCACGAGAAATCCATCGCCACTGCTCTTCTGCCAGTAGTTGTAGTCCTGGCGGACAGTTGGCTGCCAACTCTTGCCGCTATCGGTACTAACTTCGAACTTGGTGACAGGATAGTTGTGGTTCACAACTTGCATGGAGAACCTAGATGTTATGTCAGCGAGACTGTGGATAATATGTGCTTCGAGCCAAATCTCCAGCCGCGACTACGATGAGAGGTCCTTACCAATACTTTGACGTTCCCTCCTTGTTACGAACAATCAAGGGTGAGGTGATGCCGCAGGGGACCTGCTCCCACTGGACATTGATCTTGCCCTTGTTAGGGTCGTCGAGCTTGGCGAATGCATCGGGGAAGAGATCCAGTTGGCCCTTGCCACAGCCTGAGGGGCACTTGTCCACGACCTGTCCTATGTTAGAACTGCCCATGGACGCGGTTGGATTTAACTGCTTGCACTTACCATGACTTTGATGCTGTTTCCTTTGGGACCCTTGACGCTGAGGCAAGTACCACAGTTTCCATTATAATCGGAATAAGACAAGGCAGTGCCCAGGACGCTTGATGGCAATGTGTAACTAGAAAAAAGACAGTTGCCTCCGCTCAGGTTTCCGCCATACCAAGTTGCGGGAGCGCTGGTGACCGCACTCGTGCCCTGGATCATGACGGCCAGGGCCGCGCCAATGGAATAAAGGCCGTGCATTTTGATGAACGAAGAGTATGATGCCGTGGATTGAGTTGCGGATAGACTGAGTGGAAGGCGAAACGGGAAAAAATCAACGCAGGAAAGCCCGTTCAATTTATACAGAAAGCTCACGATGATTTTTCCAATTTCCAACCACAACACTTCAAACGACCCAATGAAGAAGGTCCCAGGGAATGAGCTGGCATATTCGTACAGATAGTCAGACGGAAACCCACAGAAGAAACAATACTCAAATCCTTAATCTATTTCTCCCGAATGACAAACTCCTTGGGGTATTGTTCCCATAGACTAACAGCTCCCGGAACTCAATCAGAAACCCGCCACTCGGCAAGGACAGCCCCTTTTCTCCGCTGTGTGAAACTGCATGTATAATTCTGCCCTGTCATTCGTCAAAGTCAAGCTGAGAGCGTGGAGTGGGCGGAATCTCGATCGGGGAAGAGAGCCACAGTGGTTCATGATGGGCTAATTTTCTCCTCTCCCTATATTAGCAGCGGCCTGTGCTCGTCGGCTCCCCGGCTACCTGCATTGACTAACAGGTGTCGTCCTGTCAAGGTTCTCATGTCCGCGTCGCTGCCGACATCAGATTTCTACTTGGTGGAAGTGCGTGCCGATTTGGAGTTCTTTCAACGTTCCACTAAACATTCGATGCTAACCCAAATGAATGGGAACTGGCCGTGAGTCTGGACCGGAGTGGATAGAGGACATGAGTCGCGATATTGCGGTGCCGTATTTCAGATTGCACGTTCTCTAAGTGAGCAGAATTCCACTTCGGATCCCACGTGGACGGCTCGCGTTGTGGAAATTCATTGTGAAACGGGGCAAGACTGGTTCAAATACCATGTCTTCGGGTCAGGCCTATTTCTTCTTTCCCATGCCGGTCTTCCGCACGGATCCCGCGCGTATCTGACGGGCCTGTCAGGGCTGTCATCGGCCAAGTCGGCATGCGTTTGGAGTGGGAGCACCCAGTGGCGATCACGTTTCTTCTGCATATCCCTTGGTCTGTGTTGCCGCCCAACAAGCTTTTTGTCATTGCCTAGCTGCTCAGATAAATTAATGCTGGCCATGCTGGCTAATGATGGCACATATGTTTGTGTAAGTATGCATTGACTCAAAACAAAGCACACTGTTGTTTGTCTCTCCATGTTCAGTCTAGACCTGACTTTCATTTCCATGACTCCTGGATTTTGTTGGTCGCTAGCAAACATGCAAGATGAATATTGGGCCTGCAAGCCCCCTACGTTCGACTCAGAGCCCCAGGTTGCTACGACCCTAAAAGCCTTTGAAGCATGTCCGTTTGCCCACAGAACATAATATAATGTTTCTCTCGGTGCACGATTTGTCAAAGATCAAATCAACAATACTCGAACGAAGCTTGCTTACAGAGTTTTGCCATGGTCCCGAATCGAGCTATCGGACCATAAAAAGTATGAGCTTAATTTCACATGACTGCGTGACGATGTGTCTTTGGCCAAATTGTAGTCACGTCCTTTGAACAGCACTTGACTGGGCCCCTTGAGGCGAATTTCGGATGACCGGAATCACTGAATCGGCCACACAATTCAGCCCCCAACGGCTTGGCCGAACTGAACCTTGGAAACCGACACTCGACCAATGCAGGATTGTTAACCGAGGAAACGAGGTTCAAGCTGAACGAGGACGCTTTTGAACTCCTGCATATGACGCGCTAGCTGAAGCTGGCGTTCAGCGAACGGGTCTCAAAGTCAGACCATATGCATCGCCGGATGCGTCCGATATTCACTGGTGAATACGCATCCACACCACAACTTTCCCAAGCCGAAGACGGACTGTCTCAACGTTGGTCTTGGCCGAATTTCTCACAGATTCTCAATATCACCTGTTCACTGGAAGCAGCATCATTTGAACGCCTGTTGTAAACGCCGTTGCAGCCGAATGTGACGCTTTCATCCGCTGGCTTCGATTATGTCTTCTTCCAGTCCTATCTGTCCGCGATTTGCAACAAGTGCATCAACAGGTATATGTATGTCTTGCTATTAATTTCTACATTCACAAATGGTTATTGCATCTCTTCATTTCAAACCTGCTTGATATTCCTTGCAACACAATGGTCACCACGCAATCAAAACCCGATACCTCCGGTGTAGATCTGTCGAAATACATCACTCCGTGGAAGCTTGATCCGCAGCAACCATACTTGCTGAAGAACTCCAGAATCGTCGATCCTGTTCATGGATCGATCAGTAGCAATGTCACCATTGCCCTTTCCGCTGGCAAGATTGTTTCCGTTGAAGCAGGCGATCCAGCAAAGACAGATGGATTAGACGTCAAGCCGGAGAACATCATCGATCTGGAAGGAAAGTACGTTTGCCCCGGGCTGATTGACTGCCATGTCCATATAGCAGTTACCCCGGGCGCGGCAAGTCTATCATCGTACCGAGACATGACGGAGACCAAAAGCCTTCTGCGGCAGCCCAGTGTCCTCAAAGCAATGCTTCATCGCGGCTTCACTACCGTCAGAGACTGCGGCGGTGCGACTCTTGCCATGAAAGAAGCCGTTGAAGAGGGCATCTATCCCGGTCCGCGCCTTTTCATATCTGGAAAGGCGCTCTCTCAGACCGGCGGCCACGGCGACATGCGTGGACGACATGATACTATCCCCTGCTGCGGCGGCGCTGTATCAGGTATCAGCCGTATTGTAGACGGCGTACCAGAATGCTATCGCATCGCAAGAGATGAATTGCGTCAAGGCGCGGACTTCATCAAGATCATGGGCGGTGGCGGCGCCGCGAGCCCGACTGATCGCATCGACCAACTTCAGTTTTCCGACGACGAAATCAAGGCCATTGTCACTGTTGCAAATAACGCAAAGACTTATGTCACAAGCCACTGCTATACCACAGAAGCAGTCAGACAGGCCATCAACCAGGGCGTCAGGGGTATTGAGCACGGCAACATGATCGACCTGGAGACCGCGAAACTCATGGTGAAGACGGGAACATTCCTCACGCCGACGCTTGTAACTCACTTCGTGTCAAAGGAGTCGCATTTCCTGGATGCAGAATCAGAGGCCAAAGTCACCACTGTACTTGAACAGGGCTTGGCCACGCTCAAGATGGCGACAGAAGTCGGCGTCACAATCTGTTTTGGCACCGATCTGCTTGGCCCGACTCACTTCGCCCAGTCGAAAGAGTTTTCTATCCGCAGTCAAGTTCAGACCCCTCTCCAGGTTCTACAAAGTGCTACTATCAATGCCGCCAAAATGCTTGGTCAGGAGAACAAGTTGGGTCAGATCAAGGAGGGATTCCTGGCAGATCTGTTGGTCCTGGATCGTAACCCTTTGGATGATATTACAATTCTGGACGAGTCTCAGGGGTCCATCTTGGCTGTTGTGAAGGAAGGGAGAGTTGTGCATTCGCATCTGAGTTGTATGAAAGAAGAGTCGAGAGCTTGAGGTCCACATGTGATCTTCAGCACAGGCCTCTATACTTGTTGGTTTACGTAATCACAGGGTGATTTGTTCGATCGAACCGTGGTGACGAAGGGTCAATTACTCTTGTATTGATCTCTGCGTGAAGTGGAAAAGAGAGGTTCCAACCGTTAGTTAGATCGCCGGTCAAACGCTGATATAGAGACCCTCAGATGGCCCCTGCGCTAGCGCTGACTCGAGGTCGAATTGGGCTTCCAATCCGACAATACTAGAAAGAAGAGACCATAAAACTCGCTTACGGTGAAGCTGCAAGCATTCCTGGCATGCTGAAGGTGATAAGGTTGTGTAGAACTATGACCCTTACAATGATCCAAGGCCCTACTGTAGTCCATTACATACCTAATGATATGCTTTCTGGTTGTGGAAATTGTTTCGGGTTCATGGTGCTGCTGGAGGTAGTGTTCCAGAAATCGAGTAGCCAGCCTCTACTAGGGCCACAAGCTCGGCTTTGAGATCCATCTCTAGGCTGCCTGCATTTCGATGAGCTACCTTAGTAGGAATTTGAGTTCGTAATTCAGCTTGGCTGATTAACCCGAGGCAAACTCAGCGGGATAGATATCTGATGGAAGTGATGTGTAGACTGTTGTCCGTTTAATCATTCTGTCGGATTGGAAGCCCAATTCGACCTCGAGTCAGCGCCAGCGCAGGGGCCATCTGAGGGTCTCTATATCAGCGTTTGACCGGCGATCTAACCAACGGTTGGAACCTCTCTTTTCCACTTCACGCAGAGATCAATACAAGAGTAATTGACCCTTCGTTACCACGGTTCGATCGAACAAATCACCCTGTGATTACGTAAACCAACACATTCAGAGAAATATGCTCTAAACCTTTTGCTCAGTGGAAAGAAAATTATCTCTCAAATCACAATGTCGGCAACCGTCGTAGCTGCTCAGCCTCCTCAATTGGCATTTGAATCGACTTAAATTCGAGACGGTGCAGAGACGGGAACACGATTGTCGGCTGCCTCCCGTCGAATTGGTACTTCCGCCATCCCTTCAGAGTTCTCCTCTTTCGCAGAGGAAGTCGGGTTTGTCTGCATATGCTCCATGGATCAGCTTATATTTGCCATTCACCTTACACATTTATCAAGGAAATCACCTTTATTGACGCTCCTAATACGAGTTCGCTCAACAATCCTTGGCTCATCGGCTCATTTCTCGTCGCCAATGGAGTCTCTGTCGTCATCTCGGGCTCTATAGCCGACTCATCAGTTCAAAACACCCATGGAGTTGCATTGGTGCTTTCTTCATCACTCCCGATAGAATGATTCTCTTTTTCGTCACTCATGCTATGTCTGGCTTAGCGGTTGGCATGCTTTGCTCCCCGACAATGAGTGTGCTCGGAAGGGTTTGCAGTCCTGGTCTTGGGAAGAAATCACGTATTCTCTCTGATAAGTTCCATGATTCCATTTGGCTTTGCTATCGGAGTCATGAAAGGCGGTGCGCTGAGTACGCATTGGCTTTGGTATTCGGATCAACAGGTTCTTTGTCTCTCGCATGTCTTGGTCGCGGCTATCTGTTGCAAACCTACTCTGCCAGTAGAATCAATGTCTCAAAAAACACTTGACTACGCCGACGCTGCAGCAGCGATCCTTGGATGCGGATTGTTCATTTTTGGTCTCACTCAGGGATGACCTACGCACTGAACTCCTTACACTAATTCTATTTTCATAGTTGGAGCTGTATGCTTGGCCAGTCTCGGTTTGATCGAGAGCCGCGTGCAACGGCCGCTGATCCATAAGCGTCTGTGGGCACATCCCGGGCTCTTTCCTTTAATGTTGTTCTACTTCCTAGGATACGACGCTTATGCAAGAGCCTGGCAGCTCTACGCGGTCCTCTTTATGCTCACCATCCAGCAAAAGTCACCAGCCAACTTCGCCTGCTACGAGACCTCTACCTATCAGTCTCAGTGGAATCTTTGCATCGTGGGTTGTTTCGAGAACGCTTCATGTGGCACCGGGACACTTCATCATGGTGGGAAGCATGCTCGCATTTGCCCACGGTTCTGACCTTTTCTTTGCCTCGACAAAGGAGTACACTATGCTGGACGCTGTCATTCACTTGCTTCATCGTCAGCACCTTCGGCCCCGACATGTTGTTTGCGGCTGTCTCTACATTCATCATCTCGAAAGTTCCGACGTCGTACCAAGATGCAGCAGGCAGCTTAGTTATCACTGCCCAAAATCTGTCTACTGCTGTGCTCGCGGCATTATGAGGCACTATTTTTGAGCAGTCACAAGACAGCTGGGTGCTTCCCTCGATTTGACGGCATTTTAGGCCATCTGATGGTAAAGGCTGGTTACTGCTCTGTCAGGCGCTCTTACATACGCCTGCTTCGTGAGAAGTCCAAGGAGTGAACGGAAGAATCTCGATTGAGGTTTATTGCAAGTATAGCGGCTTATAAGCCTTGAAAGTTCATTATTTAATAAGTCTCGTTCGAATGCCAGCCTAGGGTGGCATTGGGGTATCAATAGGCTACTGTTTGTGTCTTTTCATCTCCAAGATCTCTACACCGTCTCACTGGACTTCTGTGATTGCGAAGTGGCCGAACAAGCCGCCATATGTTCAAGATCAACGTTGTGGTAGTATGCCGGCTCGCTGATGACTTCGAATCTGCTCATGCGTGTAATGTGCATCGGTGTTTTGACAGTTGACTTGTAGTTGTACCCGTTCGACTTGTCCGAATAGCCAGCTCGTCGGTTCGATCGGAAGTATGGCCTGAGGCATGGTAAGGTCGCAACTAAAAGACCAATGTTGACGTCCAGCTCGCTCCAAAGTTCTATGGATCATCTTTTGTCAGCACATGTCTACCAGAGGCCCTAAAGAATCGAGTCCAGGTACTCACCGACTAAACCGAACGGCAATGCCTCCACCGGTGCAGTCTGAATAGTGATGAAGCGGACGAGAGAAAACGTCATGTTGATGATTCCGAGACCAAAAGTACAGTAAACACCGATTTTGAGGGCTCTCTTGATCTTCAAGTCAGGTAGGATGAGCCAGGGGAGGCAAAAGACTTTGCAAAGTCAGCCAACTTTCAGTTTTTAGGGTTGTCCAGTGACGAACTTACTCATAATATCTCCAAAGAAATGCAATGCCCATCCGACTTGGAACACAATAGCAGGAGATGAGGCCGAGCACATGACATTTTCTGTTCCAACAATCCGATCTTCCACAGCCCTGTTGAGTAGCTCAAGTCAGATTTCATGTGTGGATATAGCGATCTGCTCTTTCATGGAGACTCACCAGTTCTTACTGAGTGGTAAGCAAACGGTAAAAAGCAGTATCATGCTGACCAAGTACGCCAGCCCGCAGTACACGATAGCCGTCCATAACATCATTCTTCGATAGTACATGAAAATGGGGAATAGTTGAACGTAGACGGCAAGAAGGGCCCCTTTGCAGAGATAGAATGTTGTAAAAAATGGTATGCTGCTGGCCCAAAACAGCTATTAGGCATGTTGTGTCAGCTAAATGACTGTGATGAAAGCAAATGGTCCATTTTCTTACCCTCATGACCAGTATAACCTCTTCGTCGCTTCCTTTGAAACCATCGAGGTTGATCTTGATGTTTTGATGCAACGCGCCCATCGCCGTGAACTGGATATCGAACGATGCAGTCACAACCGCAGAGACCCACGCTAGACAGAGGAAATAGTCGCTAATCTGCAATTTCCTCCCTTGTATGTTGATTCGAAGATGGAGCGAAGCGGCCAGTACTGCACCAGCGGTCAATATGGTCACCCATCCCGTAGTCTAGTTTCGTAGCGAGTATAGTCAGCGGGCATGATTCGACGTAGAGGTTTCGAAATGAGCAATCTGACGTACTATGATTGTTACCGCCTTTGGGGTCGGAAAGTGAGCCATCATCCATCGTCACATCTTCAACGCGTTGCTGAACCCTGTTCAGGATTTGGGCGTCTGGAATTATAAAGGAGGATGAGAAGGGAGCTGAATGCCTGCGGACGCTAGTTGAGACATACTTACTCCTAGCGCGGGATGAGAATCATACTAGCTCTGGTTCCGTTGTCCGATTTCGAACTAAACGCACGTACGATACCGAATCCATCATCCGGATTGGGAAGTGCTCAACCTTATCCTTGAATCTCGCGCCCGTCGGCCGACCCTCTAGCACATGCTTGAAATTGCTACAGGTAGTTAGGCAGGCCCCCTCAAAAGAATTGCGAAAGATGTGGCCATGGCTTGCAGGAAATTTTGGACAAACGATTCTCATACCAACTGTTATCGACAGAGAATAACAGCTTGAACGAAGATCACCATATGGGCGGGTCCCGCATGTTCATCAAGGGTTTGAGACGAGTGTCTTGGTCGGCTGACATGATTTTCCCCTGCAACGGGGAGTAATTATTGTCTTGGATGCAATAGATCACCCATGTCACCATCTGGTTTGAGATCTGTCATCCTTGACCCACTCACCGAATTCGTTCACAAATTCAAAGAGCGCCGGTGCTGCATGTCATCGGTTCCCGCTCATTTGCAACCCTCCCTTGACAGGGCTCGAGATCAGAAAGCCGAAAAGGAAACGGCACGTAGAATTCTGGACACAAAACAGGAGACGCGCTGGGCCACTTAGACGCCTTGGTCGGAACGATCGTGAAGCTTTCTGTAGAGAGGAAAGGTTCAAAGACAGCCAAACTCCGTGCATGCATCTCGCGCACTCCGTTTCGTCCGTACCCATTCACCCGACTTCACGGGCCGGTTCGATGCCCATCGCGCCAGTCTGTGCGATCATTGGCACATCAGCACATCGGAACGCAGCCTGATCCGCGTTGTCCAAATCAAGTACACTAAATAGTGTGGCTTCTATCCGAATCTATGTAGATTGGCTGACCTGAGACCAATGCGGTGAGCTAGGCCCGGGGCGGCACGTGGGCCGGCCAGCCAGCTTATTCGCAGGCTTCAAGCCTTCGAGACGGGAACTAAGTTCAGGGAGAACCCGAAGGACGAGCTAGACGCTGCAAAACCGTTCCAGACTATAACTTTCCGATGTTTTGATGAATACGGACGTACGAACACCCCCCCATCTGCTAGCTACCACTTAAAAGGAGGCTCTAATGTCCTGGTTAGGGCGTTCAACTCAACGCGGGATTCTAGACTGATTGCTTCGCCCCGGTGATCAGCATTTAGGTTTGAGTTTTCTGCGATTGAACTTCATTGACCCATTCTCTCCAACCGCCTTCCGGGTAGCCTGACGATTTCAAGATGAAAGTTGACGAAAAGCACCTACTGAGCTAAGAATTGCCAACTCAATTCAAATTTTTGGCCTGCCGTGGACGAACATGATAAAGCTGCCTCTTGCCTCTCACATCCGCACCTAAGGGTTCTTGATGGCCTATTATAGGTCTCTAATGTGTTCACTTGTAACGGTTCAGATATAATAAAAGTTGCTGCATATCATCCCAAATCTAGTTCCGATGAAACCCCGTTTCCCGGCTGCACGAATACTCGGGACCGCCGTCAGGTCGGCCCCACTTCGCCGACCGCCGCTTCCAAAACCGTCATATCCGGGCATGAGTGAGACAAGACGAGTGAGCGTGGCGAAATTCAGAGACATACGGGACGTTTCTGTTCAATGCCAATCACCTACCAACCTAACGTAAGCCCAAGTTACCCGCACTGCTTTGTGCTTGGACTCGACGAAAACGGTCTGCCTTGATCCGACGTTACGATTGCCCCTCGCTACATCCCGGGAGCCAGCTGGCCATCGACCCTTAATGGAAGATTGACCTGCGGTCTTGCTTTGGCCAAATCACTTCCGCCTCTTTTCCACGCTCTTGTTCCGAAGCGGTAGCCTCGGCGAGATGTGGCGTGTAGTCGCCGAGGAAAGCCGACTGGTTGGCACGCAGAAGCTTAAGCCGGCCATAGACGAAGTCATAAGATGATGCGAGGCGACCAAGTTACACCTCCTATTGTGATAACCGGATAGCGATTCTAGACCCATTCGCATTTTAACCTGTGATGGCATGGTGCATGTCCCTAAATTGCTCGGCTCTCATCGCCCACGTTTGTTTCCCGACATTGTCGCAGGACGTTGAAGGATCTGCGACAAGCATTCATAAGAGCACCTTGTCAGCACTGCAGAGAGATGGTTCTTTGTTCACAAGCTAGCCTTTTTCAACAGAAAGGATCGGTTCAGAAAGCGAAGTCATACGATTAGATCACCTCACCTGCGGAGTACTTCTCAGACTATTCGAAAAGTTCATATCTTCAACAATACTAATCGTTGATAGTGGGGAGACGTGGCTTACGCCTCGCATGGGTCTACTGCGCAACTTTTTCACTGTGCCTTCTCAACATCGCAAAAGCTTGCATCTGAGGACTTGAACCTGCTACTTAAATGGCTCTCCATCGGCTCGGAGCCGATGTCTCGCGGACCGGTCCTTGGGCCTGTGGAAGCTTATGGCCAAGAATTGTGATCGTCCTCAATCGGTGAAGCAAGTTGCTGAAGCCTTTGCTGTTGACCCGGCTCTACTGAATAAGTGAACGAACTCCGTTTTCTCTCTACTCAAATAAGTCATAGTTCCCTTACAGGTCGTCCCATGCGCCATCTCGGTGCCATGGGTTGCATCAAGGATACAGAACTTGATGAGTACCAGCCTACCAATTTCTCAAAGTCGTTGAGCATCCCTCTAATTGGAGATGGATACATCGCGATGTCAGCTTCGCTTTCTGTGTAATGTTTGATACAGAATCTTGTTCAACGGTGCAATGAATCTTGTTCTCTCTCCATGTTTTTTCTAACTTCATGTCACCTTCAGCAAAAGTTGCACTGGTGCCGGCCCTTTACGGTTCAATGAGTACTCTCGCAAATGAGGCTTTAAGAACCCCACTGATGCCAAAGATACATCTGTGATGTACGCCTACGACACTGACAAGAACATGTTTGCGAGGCGGCAAGATCTTGGCTGTATGTAGGATTATCAACCATGACAATGGATAGGAACTGACACAAATAAGTGTAGATGGTATCCACTTCAACCACCATATGTCCGGCTACCGCCAGGGCCGCACGCTCTGGATGGCCCCAGCTTCTTCTCCGTCGAGGAGAGGCTCATTCACGGGGCCGACGCGGATGCTGAGGCACCCTTCTTGGTGGACATTGGCGGCAGCATCGGCCACGACCTGGCTGAGTTCCACTCCTACTATCCCAGCGCGCCGGGCAAGCTCATTCTGCAGGATCTTCCAGTCGTTATTGGTCAGATTCAAGAGCTGAAACCGGCTATTACACCCATGGTTCATGACTTTGAACATCGACGGGATCGCTTCCGTTGAAGACGCTCATGTCCTGCTCGTCGGATCGATTGATCTTACCATTGAGCTGGGTGCTCCAAGTCAGTCCCAGAGTCCAGTCTTCCGGAAAGCCATAGAAACAGGCAGTTGGGCCTGTCAAGAAAAATGGCGAGATCATGGGCCTGACCGGTATTTACAACAGCCATGAGCTGCATTACTGGGCGATTAATGGCCTAGGCATTCGCTTTCTTCTCAGGGGACAAAACTCTGCTATACTGGGTCGAGGGGCTAAAGAACCAATGGCCGCCATCGGGAAGGTGCCGAAGTAAGTTTTCTCTACCAATGCAACTGTTGGTATCATACCAAGGGCGAGTCAAACAGTACGGTCAAGGGGCTGACGAATAGTTGATTGATAGTTTATAAATTCTGCGTGGGAGTGGAAGAGGGAAATGGAAGCTGGTGCCAGAGGCCCAATCTCAGCTCCGAGTTGGTATGCGCCGTCGAGGTGGTCCTCCCTGACCCCCTGACTCAGCGGTCGAATTGAATTTCAATTCCCTTAACTGTATAGCCAGTCATTCATCAACTTACACCTTCGCAGGGCATGTGATGTGGCCACTGCATTGTCAGACCGGTTCCTGGTTTTCATGATCGAAAGCCTGATTCTTACCTAGTACACTCACGTGCAGTGTGTCTCAGAACTTGGGTGACTGGCCGCCACTCATTACATCATCGACGTTGATTGATCTCTGAACACAACTATTTCCCCGGCCGTCCCGGAAATAATCATATGCACCCCGCTTCTGGGGTATTGTCTAAATAGATTCTACTCTCATGCTCCGATTCAAGAGCCCTATCTATGTCTGAGTTAAAGCTCCGCTTTACACGGCCGCAACACAACCATGGCTTCCATTTTGCTCGCCATCCCCCGCATCCTTCTTGCGTTCGAATACTTTGTCGGCGGAATTCCTAGACTTGGCCCTTGGCCGTTCAAGACGCTCCACGAAAGGATCTACCGTAAATCCCAGATCACAGCACCGTATCTGCAACCACTCTACCCTTTCACTGGTCAGCGCACAATCAAATTGCACATGCAATACATCGGAGCACTGATGGTTACGGAGGGCTTCCTTCTGGCGCTGCCGCAAACTCGTGGGGGAATCTTCGCCCTTGTCCTCGGCTGTTTCTTGACAGCTTCCGGGTATTGGAGTCAGATGCGGGCTGATATGCCTTATTGGCTTCCAGTCACAAATTTTGGTTTAGCATGGGTGGTGTGGTATATTGAGAATAGATCATAGTCAGAGGGAGTGTGCAAAACTTTGATCGATTATCAAGTCTCTTCTCATTTGTCAAGTAAAATCATGAGTGAGCTATTCGATTCAAGATGCCAGGATACTACCATGCTACGCTTGCTTTGTCTGGAATCCGCCAACAGGATCCCCCAATTACACAACAATGAATTCGAATTGTTTGTCGAATACAAATTCTTTGACATTCCGTTCTCAACTCTGCTCATGGACTATTCGTCCATATCCCAAAAGCTAATTCGAAGGCTCCTCAGAGACGAGAGGTTTCCTTCCATAAATAGACCAGCTGAGCTGGAGTCAGCAGTAGCGACAAGAAACGGAGCTCAATCAACTCACATGTTGAAGTACGCATGGATTGTCCTATCCTTGAATTCCTTCCGGGCCTCCGCCATAAGAATGAGAACTTCTTCCCTACTCCAACCATGGACCCGCGTACACGGAGCCATGCAGAAACCCTCCCACCCAGCAATGGCATTCTCGTGGTTCCAAATCCCCAACTCCTTGTGTTTAGGGTTCTTGGGCCACGAGTTTGTCGGCCACTTGTAGAGCTGTTTGTGGACATCCCTGAACCCGGTCTCGGTCAGGACTTCTTTCATTCTGCTAATGTCCTCGAACGGTCGACCCAAAATGGCTGCAGCGTCGAAAAGCAGCGTAGCGGATCTCTTGATCGCCGAGTCGGGCTTCAACGTCCCATCGTCGGACGTCGGCACAGCATCGAATTCGATCAGCTCCAAGTACCCTCCAGGGCTTAGATTACTGCGTCATAATTCAGCCACATGACAGTTCTGGGTATGTTGCATATCCCGTACGCGGAAGTTGCTATACTTACTCAAAACACGTCTGAATGTAGGCCTTCCAATCTTTGATAGACGAATTCATCATCCGACTATGAATGTAGTCAAATGGTTCCGAGAATGTCCAGGGTTGGTCAATATCGTCTATCTCGAACTTGACATTGGGTGGCACACTGTAAACTTTTCTTAGTTCATAGCCCATGGGTTTATGCCCTTAAGACGTACAAGTCAGGCTGAACAGCCGAGAGATCAACTCCACAAACCTAAGAGGGCATGACGGTGTTAGTAGATGATGAACTACAGACGCAACATTCTCGTGTAGATACGACAGGGTTCGCCAAACCTCAGCATCAGGGTGCTCTTCCCCAAAGTCAATAGCCCAGATGCCGCTGCCGGTTCCAACATCAAGGACATGTCCGACTTTCGCTCCTGGGTCATTGGGCGGGGCTGTCGCGAGCTTGTTGTCAAAAGTCAGGATGAAGAGGTTATGCTGGAGGTCTACCACAGTAGTAGTATGGTTAACATCCTAGGTCTTTGAGTAAACCAGAATATTTCTCACCGAGTCTATCATTCTCCCTTTCATCATTTGGGAAGAAGTATTCTGATGAGCGGCTTATGTCAGAGACTCCAACGACAAAGAGCGGGGGCGGCTGTGATTCCCACATACTGCCATCTTTGTAAGCGTGATATGTTCTTCCATTTTCCATCCTGTATTCCAAAACAGAGCTGCTGACACTCGTACTTGAGGATGCGACACTCTGTTCCAAGTGGTTAATATTACCAAAGGCTAGAACTCGGAAATTGCGTTGCTTACGCTGCCGAGGTCTGACGCAGCATCACTCTAGATAATAGCAATTGTGCATTAGTAGTCTTCCAAGAGATTTATTCCGTGTCTCCTACCTCAATGTTCTCAGCAACAAGCACGACTTCATGATCGGTTGCGTTGTTGGGTTGAGTTGCCGCAGGCGTCGATGATGTGGCCGGCCGGGTCGCGGGGTTCGTGCTGCTACCTTCACACATTTTGCAAGTTTGAAGATCGGAGCATTTAGAATGAAGCTCTTCAGACTCTATAGTTAAGATCCAGCGTTGGGAAGTACTAGGAGACAGCCGAGCCTTATTACCCCTCTTCTTGGCCCTGGGCAGCGCTGCTGGTCCAACCAACATGGAAACTGCATACAGCCCCTTGGTTGTCTGCCATTCTGCGGAGGATAATCCCTGAATAGGAATCAATTCCACATATCAGATCAAAGCGTTTCTAGATGTGGGATGCAAGGAGTCTGCAACATAGTGTGGCCGCGAGCCGTTGGTCGCTGGTTAGGGAGGCATTCGCGCTGAGAATTGCTGGACGTCACTGGGCTGGTTTCGTTGGCTCTCGGCGCTGGATTGACGCTTACCGGGAAGGTAAAACAGCGCTGTAAGCTTTATTACAATGCCAGAACTTACGTTGCCACATTGCGTCAAACCCCAAGACGAGGTCTTCATTGAGGTAGCTCATGGACTAGGGCACAATGATAATCCTCAACCTATTGCCCATCGCAAAGTCCGGACGGTCATTGGTTATGGGAGACTTAGCGTTGCCAATTCCCCCGACGTATTAATAAGTCAAGGGATGTAAAATCAGGTAAGGATTGTTGCCGGCTGCAGTGTAGGCGCCGACTGGATATGAAAGACGGTTGGTCGTATCAATTGCCTGGTTGCGCAACTTTATACCCGCCAACTAATGATCCTGATGCCATCTGCAGACAGCGAATTATATCATTGTTTAATAACGAGATGCAGGCTCAAAATCAAAAGATCATTCAGCTTTCTTTCTACGGAAGGGTTGGCTCGGGCCATAACGGGAGCCGAGTATCAAGCTACCAACTAACATGGAGAACAATGGAAACAACGTTATAAAGGCAGAAAAATTTTGTGCCGGAATGGTATTGACCACACCTCATCTAGGCTACTTGACAAATGGTTTTGTGATCCTGTTTCTACAAAAAGCTTTTTTGGTCGCGTGTAAATACACGAATAGGACACACCATCGGAGGATTGAATCATGTCAAGTATAGCCATGTTCTCCCTGCAGCCGCCACAGACGTCTTGCATGAAGGAGGCAGAGATCCTTTATTTGCAGTCCGAGCGGCCGGGGATGAAATTGCCGTCAGAGTTCTCGCAGCCGCAGACGCCCGTCTTGGGGTCCTTGATGCAGTCGAGGCCAGCTCCATTGCTCTCGCCGTGGCCGCTGCGAAATGTATTCCGTCAGCCATCGGTCCATTCCAATACCAGACATCACGGTTATCTCTCTACTCACCTCCAGAAGAAGGTCCAGCAATCGGCGTCGTCGATCATCTCTGCGTCTGTGGGCGACTCGCAGGTGTACGCGGAGCAAGGGCCGTAGGGGGCCCCGTGGCTGCTGTCTTCCGCGTGGTTCGTTTTGAAGACGGCAAAGGTCTGGGTCTTGTGGGTGCGGGTATTAAAGGCGCACTCGGCGGCCTGGATGTCGGTTTTTGTTGTTATGGTGGGGCTGCAGTTGTAGCTCTTGGGACACTTGCCCTTGGTGTTGGAGGTGGACTTGTTGAGGGTCGCTTGCACGAGGGCGGGGGCGAGGAGGAAGAGGGCGGAGAGCTGCATCTTGGCGCTAGTTTTCGTGGAGGAAACGAGTGTATTTTTCTTTGGTGATGATTGTTGGTAAACGAGAGTGATCCGAGTCCAGCCAACGTTGTTGCAGGAAATAGAGATACTTGTGTCAAGAACGAGAGCGAGAGTGAAGCCTTTTAAAGAAAGTGAAAGTCGCGTCGAATTCACATAACATGAACTGTCCAGTGTCGATATCCATAGTCGACCGATCCCTGACTTTGTTTCCCTCATCTTGATCTAATATAGTTCGTGGACGGTAGCGTATGTTCAATGTAAATTGCTTCTGGGGCCCGCGTTTCAAACAAACGACGCATTACGAGCGCTTGAAAGGCGGCCAGCCATCGAGCGCGGCACTCCCGTCCCGGCGGGCTGGGAAGCATCCCAGTCTCCCGCTCGGAATTGGTTCTAGACTTTTGTTTTTGATTTCCATCAAACAGAACTTCCCCTTATGTCCCTGGTACGACAGGTTCGCGAAAATTGAAAAGACAAGTCACCAACATGGGAGCGCAAAAAGAAAGGCTTGGCTCTCCTTAGTTTCTGATTTCTGCTGGCATCCCTTACTCAATGTTCCAAATCCCCACACAATCTACTTTTCCCGTTGTGGATCCCGCGGTATTGCCTTGGTGGCTCCGTTTGCCCGTCTGTCACGCACTCTTTGTGTATATATATGTGTGTGACATCACCGGCCTCCACTCATAACATCTCTAGTCTCTTGTCTGAAAACTCAACATGAGAAATCGGGAGAGTCATCAGACGAACTAGTACAGCAAGTAAATGGGCATAGATACAGCCCGCCTCGCTTACCTAGAACTGAATGACCCCGGGGAAGCAACTGACGTTTCCTCAGCCCAGAGCAGAGCCCAGGGGTTGAGGAAATTAAAGGCGATCAGTGGGGACTCCCGCGTCCTGCATTTCCAACGCTCGGCGAACGAGGCCGTCCAGTTTCTCACCAAACGGGTGGACAAATTGTCGTGGCTTAGCCGGGTTGCCATGTTCATTTACCGAGCATCTTGATGATGAAGACGCTCTTCGAACGTGATGAAGTACAGGCTGGTGCATGTCTGCGAGAGACTTGTTGCTCGGGAGCAAGACATCAGGGGCGGGAGAAGAAGCAACTTGCCGAAACTGTGTCGCAGGGAGCGGCACGAGTGGGAAAGTACGGATGTTTCAAGCAAAACGATGCTCGAATGACTTTGAGAGACGGGCTCACATGAAGTGCGTCTTTGCTACACATATTTTTTTTTTTTTTTTTTTTTTTTTTTTTTTTTTTTTTTTTTTTTTTTTTTTTTTAGTTCTTTACGTGTTTTATTTAGCTTAATGCAATAAACTTTTGACTCGTCTGTTTACTTAATAGCATACAGCGAAAATAACAGCATATTTCTGTTTTTTTATTTTTCTCTTTTTTTTTTTGTTTTTTTTTTTTTTTACATGCGACGTCTCCCGCAGCTTAGTACGACAGATGAAAAAGAAGTGAGGCTGGCACATTTACGACGACACCATCATCATTAATCATCAGGTACTTGCCCGTTATTCATTCATTCTACATATTGTCTCGGGGCCTCTCGGAAACGCTCCCATCCAGAAGTGAGCTCCAGGTGAGCCGGGATGAACCAGTTGACGCCGAGATTTGATAAGCTGACGTAATCATGAAGGTTCATGGCTGAGATTGAACTTGACCCCACTGTCTTTTCCAGAATCCGAACTCGACGCATGTCGTAGGACTAAGCTCGCCTGGAATCAAATTTATATGTCTTGGCACCACTTGGAAGTAGCACCCCACACTGATTGGACATGGCGTCGTCTTCGGGCATTTAAATGTCGCAAAGTGTGGGGTGATGCAGCAAAGCGGGCATATCAACCTATGGTAGGGAAAGATGAGTGTCGTCGATGAGAATAGCATCATCAGTCATTTACTTCGTCCACGACCCTCGCTAGCATTCGATCGTATGCCATTCAAATATTCCTCAATCACGATAGTCATCCAGCTCCAATCACAAGACTGAGGCTGCCCCTCTACCAGCCCCCACCCCGTTTCCTCGACTATACACAACCTAGGATAGAAAGTTCATCGCATATCAAGCACAACATGACTCCCCTTCTCCCCCCTAAAAAACGTCCTCACATTCTCCCCCACAACCCTCCGAATATTCACTCTAGTCTGATCAGCGCACCACGTCAAGTGCGGTGTCAGCGTTAAGTTCAGACCCCTCGCCTCCTTTCCCAATAACACGGTATCCTGCCCGCTCCCCGCCGGCTCGACCTCGTAGACGTCCGTCGCCGCCCCCGAGATCCTCCCCTCCCGCAGCGCGGCCACCAGAGCGGCCTCGTTGACTGTCCCGCCCCGCCCAACGTTGACAATCACGGCGTCGGGCCTCATCGTCGCTATGTCGGCTTCGCCGACGAGGTTCTTGGTCTCTGCTGTGAGGGGCACGACGAGGAAGAGCGTCGTTGCGCGGCGGAGGACTTCTGCAAAGGGTGTGCGTTGCGCGTGCGCGTCGCCGTCGGTTTGGACGGCGGCAGGCCCGTTCCCGTTCCCGTTTGCGGCGGGCGTAGCATCGTTCTTCCTCGCGGCAACGAGGACTTCCATCCCCAGCGCCCGGCACATCTTGGCGACGCGCTGCCCGATGGGCCCGTACCCAATCATCCCCACCACCTCGTTGCCGCAGGTGTGCGGGGGGCGTCCCTCGCCGTCGAGGAGGAGGGAGGACATGCTCCCCTTTGCGCGCCAGGGGTTCGGGCGGCCCTCGTCGTGGTCCATCATCGTGTTGTGGAGCGTCACGAGCCGTCTGCGGGATGAGAAGTACTGGTTACACGTATCCCCAAAGGTCAGTGAAACAGCTTCTTTATATATTCGATTTCTCTCAAGTCTATGTAGCAGTTGGTTTCTTCGTGTTGCGAAAGGGAGAAGGTAGGACTCACTAAGCCGAGGGCGTGCTCGGAGACGGCTTCTACTGTTGCGTTGGGTGAGTACATGACGGTCACGCCGCGTCGCCTGCACTCTTCCAGATCAATGTGATCCGTTCCCACCGTCTCTGTGATGATACACTTCCTGCGCCGTTCTCGTCATCAGCCATGTGTTCGCCTTTCGAGCCTGCTACTCCATGTACAATATCAAGCACATCAAAGCAGTCCGATCGGAGGTTTTCAACTCAATATTGAAGATGGCAGAAATTGAGAGGAAGGTCTGAGAGAATACAAATGTAGGACAAATGTAGGAGAGGGGGAAAGTCTGGCTGACAGATTCGGGCAGAAACTCGCCTACAAGGAGTCTAGAGAGAAGAGTTGCAAAGTCAAGAGAAGCTACTGAAGCCTTCAACACACTCTCGAGCTCTTGGTCCGCCAGACAAGATCACTTGATCTTTCACCACCCATCCATCTCATCTTGCCATTGGCTTCATCGAGCTCAGAAGGGGTAGGTAGCCTTGAAACCCCCCCTCCCAAAACCCCCATCCAAACTCTTCTCAACTTCAATCACAGCCACACACTCTGTACCAAACAGCCAATATCCGCTCCTCCAACCACAGAATATCCAGGTAGCAAATTCCAAGGACTAAAGAAAACAGCCGACTCACAAATACGGCGCCACCCCAAGCGTCTCCTTGTTAATTGGCACCGTCGTCGTAATAAGCACGCTCGCAGGCCACGCCCTCGCCGCCGCAACGGCGCTCTCCGAAGGCCTAGTATACTCGTACCCGATAACCTCGTGCGTCATCGCCTCGTCCTCATCAACCTCCGGAGCCGGCACATGGATCGTCTCGAGCTTGACAATGACGTGGTGCGTCTCCGAGGGCAGCCGGCTCGGCTTCTTTACTTCCGTCGCGGGGTCATCGGCCATTGTTTATGGTGTTTTCCTTGATATGCTGGCCTGCCTGTCTCCCTGCCTGTCTGCCACCTCAGAAGACTATGCTCTCTGAGGGATGCTTTGAGAGTGATGTTGAGGCTGCGGAGATGTGAGATGGTGGTAGATACCAAGGGATGGGGGGGCCATTATGCGTACAATTATGAGGAAAGTGCCATTCAGATGAACCCGTGGTAAGGGTAGCGCAAGGGACATCTATTCTCGCTCACAAAGTCTAAAAGTCTCGTCTCGAAAAAGTGCTAGGTTCAAACCGTCTCATATAAGCCACAGCAAATGAGCAAAAATCAAAAATCAGAATTTCAATCTCAAGAAAAGAGCATAGAACCATTCACTTGCATACTCTATCTTATCAAGCATCAAAAAAGCAAGAAAGGAGCCTCAAGGGCGCCATATGTCACTCTGCTCCTTTCCAACCTTGCTAGCGCCATACTAATGCTCCGCAGTCGCTCCGCAGTCACTACCGGACACGATAAGATCGGCATCCGTTGAGTGAGACGCCGTGTGTCCTCAAGGGCGCGGTGTGGAGAGGGCGGGCTTTTTTTGACATCCCAAGCCCTCAACCAAACGCGGGACCTGGAAGGGTTTGCGATGATACACGTTAGTTTGGAGCAGGATTCCGCGCTTATCAAGCCGATCTCGTGTCCTAGGGACCCCGCGAAAGGCGCTCATTTTCAGGGCAACACGTTAAACGGACGGCCTATCCCACTTTTGCAGGGTGATTACTTTCATAAACTCCGTAAAAGAAATGCATGGAATGATGGCATCATTTCTCTCTTTTATCAAAGTTCGGTCCTGTTCCTAGCTACGGACAGACCATCTATCAGCTCAAGGCTTCCCTCGCCTGAGACAGCATTGCGACTGATTTATCTGATACCTACATCCTGTCACCCTATTCCCACCAAGCCAGCCAAAAACCCTCGACAACATACACCTGAACGACTTACTTCCTAAACGTAGCGCTCCTCTCACCTCTAGGAGGCGGCGCCTTTCTCGCGCCCTTGAGAGGCTCGTCACCCGTCTTGGCGTACGGGTCGAACGTCGGCTTGACGTGCGTCTTGCCGCGGTTGCCCGTCCGGTTCGCGTGGAGCACCGACGTGGCATTGCTATAGTCAAACGTCTTCTCTTCCTCCTCCCCCTCGCTGTCGCTCGAGTCCGCTCCGCCGGACTCCTGTTGCTCGGCTTTCTTGGCGTCCTTCTTGGCCTTCTTCGCGGCACGCTTCTGCTCCTTATTTGCCTTCTTCTCCGCTTCCTTTTTGGCCTTTTCTGCCTTCTTCGCTGCCTTCTTCTCCGTCTTTGACTTACGGTTGTTGATTGCTGTCAGGTACCCTTGCAGTTTGCTTTGTTTTTCGGCGGCTGCCTCCTTCGCCTCCTCCAGTTCTGCAGGATCGGCATTGTTCTTGGCGACTTCCTCCTCGAGACGTTGTACTTCGGCCGCGGCCTTGTCGTAATCCTCCGTATAGCGCGCGACCTTGTCGGCCCTCTTAGCAGCCACCTTTGCCTCGCGCTCGCCGGACCCCGTCTTGCCGTTCTTCTTGGACTTTCTCTCAGACTCTGGCCGCTCCAGGACGATGTCGATGGAACTCTCGCCCGACTCTGACTCGTTCTCGCTAGCATCGGAAGCGTCCCCTGTAGGAGCTTTCCGTTTCGTGCCAGCCTTGAGGGTGAATTCCTCCTCCACCTCAGTCTCCACGGGTCGAGCGGCGGCGGCAGCGGCCTTGGCCTCAGCTTCTACGCCTCCCTCCATAGCCACGTCTTCCTTGGGATCGGCCTCGACCGTCTTCGCATCCTGCACGAACTTCTGCCATGGAAGCATCACATACTCCCCAAGACCGTTAGCCGCAGAGGCCGGCTGTTCCCAGGCCGAACTCAAAGCCATGCGGCCGAACAGCTGAGACTCCGACAAGAGAACAGGTTCCAATGCCCCCCCGACCGCATCCTCGCTCGCAACCTCCGCCAAAGGCCTGGCCGCGACTCTTGGAAGCTCTGTCTTGAAAAAGTCTAGCAGACGTGGTTCGTCGATGCCCCGTTCTCTTGCTTCTTGATAGCGCTTCCATATCTCGGTGACGTTTTTCCGTGCGATGAAGGCGTGATTTGGTATGAGGGCATGTAGCGCCTTGGCGTCGGGTGGCATGTGTTTTGCAATGTCACCAATGATACCGTTGGGCATGACAAAGGGGGTACTCTCGTCTTCTTTCCGTGCCACCTCGTCTCTCCATGCCCAAATGGCTCTGTACACGGCGAATTGCTGACCCGAGAAGGGCATGGGGTGCTTGAGGAGGGTATTGTACCAGCCCTTGCTACCCTTGCCAGACTTGGGGTCGAACGTCTCACAGCCATACCGACTCAATGAGAGGGTTTTGGACTTCTGAAGCGTCATCTCGATGTAGTCGGTGCTAGGGTTGCCCCTATCCGACTTCATCACAAGCTCGTTTCGCATCTTATCGTAGATATAAAGCAGAAAGTGGGTATCAGAACGGGCATAGTACAACATCTCTTCCGAGAGAGGGCTACCCTGTGTTAGTATCTAAGGGCAGCTGCTTCTGGACTTTACTTACCGCACTCTCCAATCGGCCAATTGGTACTTCTTGTCGGCATCGAAATTGACAAACTTTTTCAATAGAAAAGCCAAGCTCTTTTGGGGGTAGTGGAGCGCTTCGCATGCGCTGCCCGTGTCGAAAAGACCGTTGACATACAGACCAAGATCGCGCTGCAGCCACACCATATCCATGAATGGGCCATGGAAGACCTAGGTTTGTTAGCTATGAACTCCAAGTTACCTTCTCAGTATGCACTGACCTTTACAATACTGGGGTCTGCAAAGACTTCGTTGAGTACCTGAAGCTGCCGTCTCCAGGGCTTCAGGGTGTCGACAATCCAGTCCTGTTCTCTTGTGCTAATTTGCATTAATGATGTGAGTCCGACGTATGTCCTAAAGTCGTGATGTTCCAGGTCAACGGCAATTTCCTTTGCCTTCTTGAGGTCCTCCAGCATCTCCAGGACACCCTCATATGTATCGACGTAGATGGCCTCCGTGCCTTCGACAGGCTGCCACGGGATCGGCTCGGCTTGTTCGTAGACGCGGTCGGGGTATTTTGCCTCGAGGATCTCGATTTCGTAGGGATGCTTGTATCTGGCTCTTCTGTCAGTATTCTCAAGAGATAACAACCTCTTCATCTTCATGCGCTCCTTGTATGCAGCCTTGCTGGACTCGGGCACTCTGGGAAATATTAACGGTAAGAAAGTGTGGTTGTCGTACTGAACAAAGCCCTCTTCTGTTTCGCTAGTTATTAGGCTCTGCTCAAGAGGAACTGTAGCGTGAGGCTTCTTGGTAATGAGTGGCTTCCATTGAGCGTTGTTGTCGACCGGTTGGTCGAAGTTGAGTTGGGGTTTAGTGATGTTTGCACTGCGGACGACACTTCCGGCCGTCTTAGGCTTCTTAGCTTGAGGTGTCTAGCTCCTGTCAGTATACGAAGTCTTTCTTATGATCATGGGGCGCACTCACAGCATCGGCAGCCGGCGCATCCTTCCTCTTCAAAGCTCCGGTGTACTCGTCGATGGACGTGTCGGCTTTCTCCAAGACTGAGTCGACGACGTCCACAATGCTCCGCCAGCGCATATCAATGTCGTCGGCATCTTCGAGGTTGGGAGCGTTGAGTCCGCAGACCTCCGCAGCTGACTTGAGGAGGGTGGTCGAGAGCTCGAGGATCCGGGTGGTTTTGGCATCGAGATCGTCGCCGACGTTGGGGTTCACGGCGCGCTGGAAGGGGAGGTCCTCGGCGGAGACACGGTTGACCGACTTGACTGTGGTCACGAGCGCAGCCTGAACTTTTTCCTGGAGGGACTTGAAGTCCTGGGGAGACGGCATCGTATTGGCGCAGCGGGTTTGGTTCTTGGTGGAGGCTGTCGCGGCTTTGCTGCGAAGTTTGACGATCGAACAAAAAAAAAAGAGCCCACTGCGAAAGGTCCCTGCCGATAAGATTGGGGATACTATCTAATCGATAAGAATATGGATAAGCTACCTTACCTTACCTTACCTAAGGTAGGTGCCTGCCTTAGTAAGCTAAAGGTTTATGGGAGAGGTCTTGAGATGAAGAATTGGGCCTTGTTCGATGTTGGCAGTGGAAATTCGGGAAGCCAGTATTATTCTTCACATTCTATAGATTTGGGCTGTGTCATCCGTAAACGGAAGTAATGAGGCAGGTGAGCGTCGAGCAGAGGTGAAGGCGACTTGGGACCACCTTGACCGAGCCTCGCACTCACAGCGGATGAAGCCGCTGACCTTAGGCACTCAAGCCCCCTGTGACGATTTTGCCTCCATTTCTAGCCGCAAGCTGCAACTTCACCTCTCACTGCTCCTCCGTGACTTCCGTCATCAGAGAAACATCCATCATGTCTGCGTCTTTAGCCCCCGAATGTAACGAAGTCAAGGAGTGGGTGAGCCTGTGAAGAAATCCATGGAGGGCCTGCTGACTCTGTTGGAACAGGCGCTACGATACGTGCTTCTTGAAATGGTACAGTGAGAGTAAGTTGACTCCCTGCACATGACATGGAAGAAAAAGGAGATATCTGACAACAGGTTGAAGAGTACCTGAGAGGCACCGGCACGGATAACAATGAGTGCGCCGATTTGTTCAAAAACTACCAAAAGTGTTTGACGGTAGGCTGAGTCTCGATTCCGCAACCGAGTTTGAGACGGCAAAGACTGACTGGGAGGTAGGTTGCCCTCAAGGAACGCGGAATAGACAAGCTGTTGGATGAGGCGCGAGAAGATCAAAAAGACAATGATGCGACGTACATGGGACGCAAATGTGAGTGCTGCAATGTGTTCTTGGGGAGGAGAGTCTGACCACTCATGCAGGAGTCATTTCAATTCCGGACAAGATATCTCGCAGGCTAGTTTGTTTTTGGCGTTTTTCAATGTTGCATTTGTTGGGCATAATGTGGCAGTGTTAGAGACGGCAATCTCCCAATATGAACTGTTTTCCTGAATTTTCCATGACGCGTCCGCGCGCCAGCTATTCTCCTGGTGGCTTGGAGATGGGCACTAAAAACTAAGCTTGAATCTCTCGGAGAAAAGCTCCTGGTATGCAGACAACACGTGCTACGGCCAGGTGCGGATAGACACCTTGCCTAGTATTCGTACCTACCCTAGGAAAAGGAAGGAAGGAACTCTGGATGGCTGTGCAAGTAAACGGTGTAACTTGGGTTCATTCTGCTGGAGTGCTGGACATGTGTCAATATTGAGATCACCGCCGAGTCTCCATCGATGATGCACGACCAAGGAGGCACCCAAGTAAGGTACTCTGTCGAGACTGGAAAGACACTGGATGCAGGACACTGCTAGTTGGCCGGAAATATGCATTGTATATACCGAACATAGCACGCACAAATCTAGCATGAATAAACATGAGTAGAAACATTCAAGTCTAAGGTACGGACATGTACCTGCCTAGGTAGGTAGCTACCTTGATATATCAGCCCACGTGATTTTAGGTGAGATAGATTTGCTTCCATCTCGGCCAGATCGCATCACTTTAAAAAAATAAAAATAAAAAGCATGGGCCAGGGTTGGCCCAGTCCAGTCCCAGAAAGCCAAGCTCAAGCTGGGTGGGGGCTTGTTCCAGGTTCGAGACCGCCTACATCCCCGTCAGACCCTCCGCCAGAGACGAGCCGGGTGCGTGCGTCCCACGGGTCAGCACTCTGCAGACGCCCAAACCTGGAAATGTCCAGATCTCCCGTCCCCTTTAGTGGACTCGGGATCCGCTAGCGAGATATTTCGCTAGCGGCTGAGCAACCTGGAAGGCGCCGCACCCAGCAGCTAAGGTGCTGGCACACTGCAGGGAAACCAACAGGGGACCAGCCCAGTGCAGACTCGCTCCTCATCTGTGTACTAACTTGCCAGGTAGAGAACTTGACGTCCTCCAGCTAACCCCAAACCTCTTGCACCCCCCCGTCACGTCCCTCCAATAATTACATTGTAAATTCCCAGATTTACCGTATCCCTCCGCGCTCGCGAAGCTTGTCCCTGGCTCTCTCTCTCCAGTTTTGTCCTGTGCCCTTCCACCAAGTTCCGCATCCAGTGTGCAGAGACTCGCGAGTATCCACGCCCACATCCCTCCACGTCCCTCCTTCTCCTCCCCTCCAGAACATCTGCGCAGAGCAACACGACACAACTGCGGTGCTACACCAACAGATTCGAATCCTCGCACCAAATCGGTCCTCGTCCGGCCCTCGTCCTTCTCCAAAGCTCTCCAAGACACATCGAGTCGAGTCAAGTTTGCGACCCCACGATCCTTTCCTAGCTTCCCCCCTCCTCTCCCCGCGCTTGTCCCGCAATCGCCGCCGCCGAGTCCGCAGTCCGACGCTCAATCTAGATCCTCACACCCCGACGCACCAACATCTCTCCTTGGCGACAAGCCTCGGCATGCACTGTCCAAGGGAATAACGATTCTATGCACCCCCTCTCGGTTCTCAGCCTTGGGATCTTCGTAGCTGGCTACATCACCGCTCGATGGGATCTGGTCACACGCCTCTATGAGCTTGCCATTTTTGCCTGGGACTACGGAGTTATTGTATGAGGATCCTCCCTCAGCCCAGTTGCGAATGCGCCGTCTGGTTTCTAACTCTAACATCCATATCTAGACACGCGCTGCCAAAGGCTTCGCGCTCCTGACCTTCGTCTACCTCCTCATCTTCATTCCCGTGGAACGATTGGCCACCAAGGAGGCGAACCTGGTACGACGAAAATCTTTGAACCCCCCTCCGCTGAGACATGTCTGGTTGCGCAACTGGAAGAGGCATCTGGCTAATGACGGACTCGACACAGCATCCCCGATCCACCGGAGCTGGCGTCTCGGCCAGGGAACAGCTGCGACGGAGAGGCTCCTTCTGAGCGCCGTCTCCCGCGCTGCCCTCGGCTGACATGCCAGAAAATGACGGTCTAATGAGGATATTCTGGCCGACGGACATCCAGCGCTCCGACCTACCTGGCGTCGTCGTGGGATGGAGGAACTCGAGCCTGGATGTCTTCGTCGTGGCCATTCTCGACGATGTTGATGTCAGCTATCCCCTAGAAAGACTGCTCTTTCAGCAATTGACCAACCCACAGGCCGGCCATGTCGAATTCGCCCTCAAGATCGGCACCCTCTTTCGAAACTCCCCTCACCCCGTGAATAGCATCTACGAACGATGCGGACACAACGCGATGCATGTCCTCGGTTTGACGAACCCTGGCGAAGCCGTAGTACTCGATCCCTCCCTCTTCATCGCCACCACCCCACCCGGCGCAAGGGCACCTCGAATCGCGTGCGCAAAGGCCCTCAGCATACAGATTATACTCTACGACCGACCACGCCCCAGCAGAATGCAGTACATTTCGCTGAACCCCATCTCGCTCGCGCTTGGAAACAAGGAGGCCCCGGGTCTGCCACCCACAGAGCACATGGCCGAAGAAGAGAGGCAGGAATTGAAGGTGAAAGAGCAAAAGAGGAAATTGGTGGAAAAGCTGAAACTACACACCATTATCAAGCGGTCTCCGTCGCCCAAAGAGAGAGCCTTGCCAAAGATTGTGAACCAAATCAACTGGTCCTGGGAGCTCGAGCAGCTATTGCAGAAGAATATCTCGCGGATCGGCACCAGACCCAAGCGATCCCTGAGCGTCTCGGAGCGAGTGGTGGAGCATGCGACAACGATGCGGAATTTCGTCTGGGACCTCTTGATCTTCTACCTGCTTCCACTGATACAATGGGGGTTTGTGTACATGCTCATGGGCCACAGGGCGGTCGCCGAATTACTCCTTCAAGTCTTGGAATTTCGACTGAAGGATGACTACCTGGCTTTGAAGGACATATCGGCAACGGCGCAACAAGTGGAGATCCGGCTGCAGCAGTTTTGCTATTGGCCCATGCAGTACACGACTTTGCGACAGCGCAAGAATGATTGGGAGAGCGTCACGACCAGCCACCCTGACTACATACGCTTCTACAACAGCCTATGGCTAGTCGCTAACGATGTCATCATCGGCATTGCGTTGGGGTCCTACATCATTGACAACGCGGAATGGGCTGCCAACGCAATCAGCGAGCTTCTGAGGGTTTATACCGTTGAGGCACTTCAACGAAGTATATCGTGGCTAATGGGATGGCCTGCGGGTTTGAAGCTGAATAGCGAGCTGGCACTCTTCCTCGGAGACCTGTTTCTCTGGGTCATTGACTACTGGTCAAGTGAGCTTCCTTATTCCGAAAACAGGCGCGAAACACTACTGACTCGAACAGACTGCATCGCGACTCTCCAGCCAGTGTTGCCTCACATCATCTGGTTCATCGGCTTTTCCAGCTTCGCCGGCGCCAGCATGCCCATTGCGATGTTCTCCGACCTGCTTTCCAGCCTGACCGTCCACATTTATTCCTTTTACCTGGCGTCCGCCCGGATCTACCATTGGCAGCTGACAATCCTCATCTCCCTCTTCCACCTGTTTCGCGGCAAGAAGCACAACGTCCTCCGCAACCGTATCGATTCGTGCGACTACGACCTGGACCAGCTCCTCGTGGGCACCATCCTCTTCACCCTGCTTTTCTTCCTCCTCCCGACCGTGGTCGTGTTCTACCTGAATTTTGCAGTTGCACGGATGGTCATCATTTCGTTAAAGGCTGTTTTTGATACACTTCTCTCTTGTCTAAACCACTTTCCCCTTTTTGCGCTGATGTTGCGGGTCAAAGACCCTAGGCGACTACCAGGTGAAAACCACTTCATACCCAGGGAAATAATTTTTGGCTAACCCAGACCAGGCGGCATCCGTTTTGAACTTCGAGATACCCTTGACTATAGACTTAGTAATACTTCCAACGAGCCACCAACCTCTGTAATCTACCTCAAGGTATGTTGTGCTCTCTGCCTTCCTTGTGGTTACCCCCTGTGGTTACCATTCTGTTCTGTAATACAGCATCGGTTCTAATCGCTCGTTAGTCCATCCCCCTCACCTTCCGCGCCATGTTCCACCAGTACTTTCAGATGGGCAACCGCATCCGCAAGCACTACCTCTCGCCCACGGTGGTGCTCTGCCTGCTGACGGGCAGATTCGTCCCACCGCTCAATCGCAAGAACCTGTACAGTCTGCAGTACAGCATGCTCCCCGCGCGCCGCGCGAGCTTCCGTCAGATGTGGGACGCTATCACGACTGTGCAACCCAGCAGGAAGCCCGTGCCGTTTGTGATGAACGGCAAGAGGTATCCCACAGGAATAGGTGGCGGGGGGAGGCCGAGGTATCATCACTAGAAATGAAATTTTTTGACGTTTATTCTGCATCCACATGTCTCCTTCCAGTACTTGTCATGTTTGATCAACGTTGTCTCCCGTGCATCGTGATATTATTTTACTGCACAGCTTCCCACATTTTTCAACCTTCACACCGTCTGACCTCCGTCAAGCCCCCAGTAGCCCAAGAATCTTCCCCAAGATCAAACATGTAGCTCAACCGCAGATCATCGTCGTCGTCGTTGTCGTCACCGCCCACGTAACCCAGACACTCTGTCCTCTCCATCCCCGGATCCTGCGAGACCACAATGTCTCGAAGCCCTGGCTTCTCTCCGACGGAGTGCGGGTGGCCGTTCCAGATGCCGAAGAGAAGGCCGTCGCACATTGCGACACGGGCTTGTTCCGGGCCGAGAGTTAGGGGCAAGGGACCGTAGAGGGTTGTGAAGACTGAGGAGATGGAGAGGAGGGAGGCGTGGCCGGTGCCTGGACCGGGGCCGCGGGTGATGCCGGAGCCAGGACTGAGGGGAGATGAGGTGCAGGTCCAGGTTGAGGAGGTGGAGGTGGAGGAGGCGAGAGACAGAGATAGAGAGGTGGCGGCGTGGAGTACGAGGGTGGATTTCTTGGTTTTTGCTAGTGGGGTTGAGGTTTTGGATGATTGGACATGGTGAGGTTGCTTACCATTTCTTTGAGTGAGTCGTTCTGAATGCTACGAGGGAGATGGGGTTGTCAGAGACTGGCTGATATCGATGGCTTTCGAACACATACAGTCCGGGTGGATGGGAGCAGAGAGGGCTTGTAGGGGAGTGGAGTATGGTTGGAGGAGGGGAAAAGTCGTGATCTTATGATTTGCCCTCGAGACAGGGGACAGATTCGATTGAGGTGTTTATCCTATGGTTCAACAATGCGGGTTTCAGGGCAAGAATGGGATGGGATGATCGGAAGGGGAGCGAAGAGAAGTTGTAGACATGGAGGGATTTCGGGGGATACGGACGGATGGATGCCACCTTCTTCTTGGTGTATCGTTGGACTAGAACGGGGCAAGTTTGTGATGATGGCGAGAGCAAGGTAGAAACTATAGCCGGGGGTGCTATCTGTGTCTATACCGAAGCATTGCACCCTGTCTGTCTGCTTGCTAGTCATAAGACCTCTCAAGAGGCTTCTTGTGGGTTGATTGAGAATCCTAGAGGACGAGATGTATGGCTGAACCATTTTCCTTCGCCGAAATGATACTCTAGATTTCCATTTCTTCTTGATCTCCAGCTGACATGCCGGTGCAACCCGTGACATTTGTAGTACAAACGCAGTCAAGGATCTGTTCAGCGTGGTTTCCTGGAGACACTACATCACCGAATGCCAGCACCAATGTGCGGAACCGACAATCCAGATTCGAGCTAGCTGTCCCTTGTACCTGCCAACGGATAATCTGCCCCTAAGCTAGAATTCAGTCATGGATTTCACCGAAGAGGTGGACTGATATGTATAAGGGCCGGATAATAGGACAGTCTTTCTTTCATATTGTCATGTTGCATCGACGTCGTTTTGATAACAGCATCTCAACTCTCTCCCAGAAGTAGTACTCAGAGATTCTACCTCATTGTTCCGTACGCGGCTGCAAAACAGAGCACGATCCGCTTCCAAGCTCTCGTCGCCCAGTACTCAATGGTGGTTCCCGCACGAGTACGAAAAGAAGTGATGCTAGTTCGAAACCGCCAGGAGAATCAGGAACACAGCAAGAGACTACATGTTGAGAAAGCCCCATTCCGGAATTGCTGATGACTGTCTGCTCTTCCAGTCATAGTCACATGCCATAAAAAAGCCATTAACCACCTACTAGTTCTTTGCGATCAAAACACAGGTTCTGTACAATGCGTGTCCATCCCGCTACTCGATGGGGCGACATCAAAGTTGCTTGGCAGCTTGTAGTCAATTGCTATGACAGCAACGAACATATGATTGCCCATCAGTAGAGACAATTCTCCCTTCAGTCTCTGTTCAGAAGTGGTGTATTGGAGTCAACACGCTGCAACGGTGAAAGGCAAGCTGCCAATCAGATGTTGGGGGTTATGCATGCTTCTGCATGATCAGCCCGACTGACCTCATCTCACCTGCAGCCTAGATGCTGCCTAATACTTGGCCATTCAAATCTCGCATCAACCTCATCATACCCAGAACCAGCAAGGTCGTACAAAATTCACCAAGAGACTAAGGAACTTGACTCCAACCAACCATGACAGAATGGCACAACCCGTCATGCCGCCGCCTAGACGCCTTCATCAGCGGCGGCATCTCCAGCTGCCTCAGCTGCGGTTCCGTTCAAGTTGACATCGAAGAAACATCACCAATACACAACAAGCCAGCGACGGACTCTGTCTATCAACCCCTGATATTCCAGACGGACATTCGGCTCCTCACCCTGGAGCCTGGGGAGTTTGGCGACCCGATCAGATGCAGCCTCTCCCTTAGCAGCACGTCTAGCATGATAGACTACGATGCAATCTCCTATACCTGGGCGAGAGAGGACGGCATGATGGAGTGGACGCAGCGCATCACCCTCGACTCCCGCCCATTCTTCGTCACGGCCAACTGCGAGACGGCGCTACGGCGCGTCAGGAGCCGCGGGGCGCTGAGGGTCGTCTGGATCGACGCCGTCTGTATGAACCAGCAGGACATCGAGGAGAGGGGCCACCAGGTACGCCTGATGCCACAGATCTACTCCCGAGCGCAGCGCGTCCTGGTCTACGTCGGGGAACCGGTTCCCGAAGAAGAGGCCCTTTTCCGCTTCATGGATCATCCAGATCCGGGCCTGCCTCGGCTGCCGCTCCAACGGGCGTTGGAGACACTGCTCACGCGGCGGTACTTCTCGCGAGTCTGGATCCTTCAGGAGGTGGCGCTGGCCAGGCGAGCGACCTTGATCTGCGGAAAGTTCGAGATGCCGTGGTCTCAGCTCCAGATTCCGCGGCTGGCGGATCTGGGCCTGCTCATCAATACCAAGGAGAAACCGCGGCTGTTGAACGTGCTTCAACTGCCGTCCGTCCTCCAATTCCGAGCGCCGGCCTATCGGGACTCGAGTGATTTGCTCCATCTCCTGGACCTGGCGCGGAACAGTCATGCGACGGACCCTAGGGACAAGTTGTTCGCCGTGTTCGGTCTCATCTCCTGCGCGCAGAGTGACGGGATCGTGGCAGACTACACGATGTCCACGAGAGAAGCGTACATGCAGATGGCGCAGTGGATTGCTCAGAAATTTGGGCTTCCTGCGTTGCTGTTGAGGTCCTTCCACGTCGACAAGGTCAGCGATCAAATGGCCAAAAAGCAGAACCCCGAGCACATTTCGATCCCTTCGTGGACACCAAATTGGACGCAGAAACCGTCTTCGCGAGTGTTGCCATTGATTACGGAGATGCACGACGAGTCCATGGCGGGATTCAACCCAATCGGCCTTCCAGTAAGTCTCAAGATGGCTGACAACTCCTTGGAATCCCCCGCATTGAAGCTAGGAAAGCTCTGTGACGTATTGAGCGAATATGATAGTCAGGCAAGAAGGGCAAGTCATCCAGGTTCAGTCGTTGCAGCTAAGCCATGGCCATACACGGTCTTCAACGTGTCACAAGGGCACAAGTCGTGCGAACAGGTGGCATTTGTTTTCTGGACACAAGATCTGGAAAACCCCGAGCGGCCTCAGGGTCCCGCAGTCGAACAATTATTCGCCAAACTCCCGTACAACGACGTCACGGCAGGCGTTGCAAGTAGGAAAGAAGAGTACCGGGAGCTTCACATATATCTAGTTCCCGAGGCAGACGAGTACAGTGGGTTTTCATTCGAGGAGCCGGGGAACGTGTCGGTTTGCGTTGACAACTTGTCATGCACGTGGATTCACGATGACCGTGAGGGACGAGAGACTGTCGGTCGATTTAGCAGATATGCAGTCTGTGCCAGGGATCTGGGTTATGGGGATGTCCGCGTCGCAGGGTTGTTGCACATGGACGGGCTTGTCCATGAAGGCGTATGGAAAAGCGGCCAGTTCGAGAATGTCAGCATCGTCGGCGAAGACCTCGGCGCGTTTCCAGCGCGGGATGAGAAGTCCAAGCGCCGCCACATGTATTATTGGGAACTGTCATCCCAAAGTCGGCGGATGCAGGAACTGGAACAAATGGCCCCTAGGTCGCATGATTCGTCTGAGGCACCCAGCGGGTAGGACCTTTCGATGCCCTAGATGCGAGATCCAATGGACACCATGGTCCTTTCTGTTGGAATGAAAGAATGTGACCCGGCGGAAATTATCGGGAGGTCGACTGCCGCCAGTTCGCAAAAGCGAGTAGTAGTAGTCGCCGGCCGTGATGAGTCGAATCGGGAAAGGAGCTTGGACCAGTCGCAGAGAGCTCTGGACCGTCGCGGTGACGCCAATCGAAATTGGGGGTTAAAAGATTTTCCTCCTTTGTTGAACGCCTCGACAGCTTCGCTCGGATGATTGGTTGGTTCGGGATCTGCATTGGCAAACGAGGTCGATGCAATGATGCCTGGAGTTCGACTTGTAGTTGGCGCAAAGGGGGCTCCCAGGGTTAAGAGGAACAATCACGAAGTGCTCGTATGAGCGTCGAGCTTCGTGTCTGCGTATATTCCAATTGGCCGATGATTCTCCTCGAGGTCGCGGCTCGCCTGCAGTTTCCTCCTTATCGCGTTCGGTGGTTATTTCCACGATTGTTCTCATGCCTCAACACAATCCCAGAAGGGAGCCCGGGATTTGCATGTGTGGCAGGTGTGCGTGCAACCTTTTAGACATGTGGCATCTCAAGTTGATCCCGTTCCTGCCCGTTCATCGATTCTCGGCGCGCTGGGTGGCATCGGGTGTTTCGGTTGATGATGCAGCCACCGCGGAATAAGCATGGAAGGAAGAGCCTAAGGCGACGACATGCCGCCCGACGGCGCCAGTCTAAGGCGTCTTAGATCGGCAGGAGACATGGAAAGGGAAGAAGAAGAAGCCATGGCAAAAACCGCCAACACGACAAGAAGAAGGCGAGAAGGAAGAAAGACCCTGTCTGGACTGCCAGAACAATGGAAGGAAAGAATGAAAGAGTGGGCAACGCTGGCATGCCTTTCTCTGTAGGGTAAGAGAACCTATCCGCTTGAGGTAGAGAACCTCTGATGCAAACTAAGGAATTTTTGTCACCACCATCATTGAGCAATCAAATTGACGCCATCTGACCCCGTGGCTCAACAAATGTCCAAATCTTATCAGTTGGCATCATGAATCAAGATCGTCGATACAAGCAAAAACCGTTGCTTTTTGTCGAGACGCCCAATTTCAGATACAATCGGAATGTCAGACTAGGACAATTGATTCGGAAGCGCAAGCTCTAGCCGAACTACTTGCTTCCAGGCCCTCGACGACGCCATTGGCATTTGACGCAGAAGACGTACATCCTGACAGAGACAGAGACAACAATGATGCGTCATTTTTGAGGCTCTAGAGCCTCAGGCATGCACCAGAAGACAATACCTAGCAGCGACGTGGAATGGTGAGCGCCAACGGTGTGTTTCGGCGTTTCTTCTCCCTCCAGGCTTGCGCTTGCACTAGCAACAGCAGCTTGGCTGGGATTGAGAGGAGCAAATTTTTTCATCCAGCGTCGGCCTCGCCCCAATGGTTGGACGGATGTGTGTACCTCACAGGCTCATCCTGGGCGCCTCAAGGTTGAGGTTCAACCGTAAAAGGTACCTGGACTTCGACTCCGAGACATGGCGGACCCACACATCATTTCGAGCGACCTGCGGTATCGCGTACCGACAGCTGGGATTGACAAACGCTAGATTTACGTTTGACGCTGAATCAATCTTGCAGATACTCCTTTTGTGGATCCCGACATTACGGTTACGGCGTTTTGGTCGCACCCATCTCGGCCATCTCAGACACTGGAGCCTCGGACGTCGGCTAAAAGGAGCGAGCCCGCCTCCCATTGGCAGATGAATCGCCACGTCTGTCGGCCATCGGTAGGGCCAAGCTGTCCAATGACGAGAAACTGCGGCGTCCCTCGGAGTGCTGCCATTGCAAGCGCACGCCAGCCAGGTTTCTGGGTGCTGCCGGGATCTCACGTAACACTCGTCCACTTGCAGTCGGGGGTGTAGGAAAAGGGGGTGTCTGCAGTCAGACAGCAGGCGAAACCGAGCTGGCCAAGGCATGCGTGAGTGCCGCTTCGATACACTTCATCCCATCTTTCGCTGATGGTTGGCGGCCGCATTGACTCGAACGAAAAACAAAAAGTTTGATAAGGAGATGGGAAGAACAGTGAAGGAAAAGGAACGAAGAATGGTTGGGAGATGAAGGGAGGGAGCACGGCATGAAATGCAAATCGACGCAACCGACAAAACGGACGGAGGACCTGAGCGGATTCGCCATTTCCCTCCTTCAAACTTCGAGCCGTCTCACCGCGTCCCTTTTTATCTCTGGGACCAACGTTCCAACTCGGTCATTGTGTCCACTTTCTTTCTGGCGTTGTCGCTTTTTTCCTGAGCTATTTTGTCGGGTCCACCCACGTGTGAGTGCAGGGCTGCGGCTGATTGGACCCGGGCGCTTTAGAGTGGGGGCTTTTGACGGTATCGGGTGGGGGTCACCACAAGCCATGACCGGGCTGATATCAAAGCTGACATTTGGCGGTTTTTTCTTTGCGCTGTATGCCTGAGGGAATCTTTTTCGAGAAAATTTCTTCGCCATGGCAATCCCATCCAACCCGTGTGTTTCCGCAGTCCCAAACAGCATCGATGCTCTTGTCTCGAAAGCTTCAGCGAGCACCGTCTCCGTGAAGCCAAGATGCTTGGAGCATAGGCATTGCGTGCTCATGTCGTCTCAAAGACTGAGTGAGCTTATGCTATACCTACATGTTGATTATCGATTAGCCGGCCGTAACGGACTCAACCTTGCGGGTTCTCCTTAGCCTTGACACAACAACCCACCCCTCATGATTCGTGTTCCTGGCCAAGGGGGCACTTCCAAGTTCCAGCAAGTACAAACGCCTCAGGCAAGATCAGAGGCCCCAAGATCAACCATCTTTCCCTTCTCCCCGTCCAGGGATCCCCTTCGCCGCCCAGCCTCCCGACAATGCCCGAGATCGGTGCGAGGGCGTGTGTTGGGTCCCTTTGGTGGATGGAGGTCCACGATATGTCAACGACCGTCAATGTCTAAACCTGATTGGGACGCCTCGTTCATTGCGAATCCGTCCCCAGCGCCGGGTCCACCGAGAATACGTGAATACACAAACGGTACTCACCAGCGTCTCCCCGTCTCCTGTTTGATCCGATCCCACACATCCTGAGAAGCCTAAGCCTCAGGCTCACCATCTCGAGTATGGAACCTGAGGCCTAGCTGGCCGAGCCATCTGGATCAACTTCCGCCGTCCCGTTGCCTGGGCCCCTGCCCTCCTCCCTCTACCGAGCTTGCCCGTCACCTGAGCGAGAGCTTTTCCCTTCCGAACCTGCTTTTGAGCTTTTTCTCTCTCCTCCTCCCTCCTTCCACTTTACCTCTCTCCATCCCAATCTGTCCTTGTTTCCTATCTTCTCTTCCTCCCAGTCCATCACCGTCTATCCCACAATCTCCCCTCACATCAGTCACAATGGCCTCCACTCGTGTCCTCGCCTCCAGACTCGCCACTCAGATGGCCACCAAGGCCGCCCGTCCTGCGGTGCGCGTCTCTGCCATGCCCAAGCGCACCATCACTGGTAAGTCGTGAAAAAAATAAAATCGAGAACGAGACGAAGGGTGGGAACGGGAAAGGCATCGAAAGAAAAAAAAAAAAAAAGACCGACGCCGACAACGAAGCCAATGAGCAATCACATCAATTGGCCTCGCGGCACCGATTCGATATCAACAATGTGTTCGATATCGTCGCCTTCCCACCTCCCCGTCGAGAACTCATCAGAAGTATGAGAGAACCACGATCGTTCTGACATTCGATTGCGAAATTTTCAGGCTTCTCCAGCCCCCTCCAGGCTGTCAAGCGCCAGCAGGCCACCACCATCAAGTCCTCCAAGGTCTTCACCCAGGTCCAGGCCAAGCGCGCCTACTCTTCTGAGATCGCCCAGGCCATGGTCGAGGTCTCCAAGAACTTGGGTATGGGTTCCGCCGCCATCGGTCTTACCGGTGCTGGTATCGGTATCGGTCTCGTCTTCGCCGCCCTCCTCAACGGCGTTGCCCGCAACCCTGCCCTCCGTGGCCAGCTCTTCTCCTACGCCATTCTTGGTTTCGCTTTCGTCGAGGCCATTGGTCTTTTCGATCTCATGGTTGCCCTCATGGCCAAGTTCGTACGTCATCACCAATTCATCGTCTTCTCATCGAGACTCATCGGAGCTAACACATACGACAGACGTAAGCGATTTATTTCGCACTGGCGAGCTGGGGAGAGGCGAGGAGACAGCTTTCGGACGGAGCTCTGCCCTCCTGATCGCCACCTCCTGTTGGGACAGGTTCGCCTATGGTCACGCAATGGAGCCTCATCCACTCCATACTGCGTGGCGAGCTAAAGTTAATAGACGGGATAGATAGCATGGTGGGCATTTTAGACGATTAGAGGTCATAGACCGCACGGCTCTGCTGTGTTGTATAGATGGAAATTGGTCTGTGGCAGGGACGAGGTAACGCACTACTCTTACCAGCGAAAAAGTTTTGCATCTCCCCATCTTTTGCTCCAGCCAGCCTACCCCCGTGGCTCCTGGCCCTGATACAATTTTTTCTGTAAAAATACTACAAACCTCAAACTCATGATCACCGACTTTGATGACTTGATGTGAGGTAATTGATGAAATTCCGGGCAATGTGCAAAGTATCGTGAGATTCGTGACAAAAATTCTCCATAATCTCGAGCCGCAGCGTCTCGGCAACCAGCAAAATTCACCGCCCGAGAGCTTTCATCGAGGCACTTCCATCTCCACTCTGGGGAAGACGAGAGCTTGAAGCTTCCGAGAACCTGTCGAGGTGAATTGGCCAATGTGAGATGAGAATTGGGGTGAGCTTCACTCGAGCCACCTAGGCAACCACGGTAGGTTTTTGCGGGTGTGTCCCGTTCCTGGCGGCGGGAAGCCAGCATCCATCCCCATGGGGTTATTTTTTTTTCCCACGAGCCATCACGCACCACCCCGTGTCATCCTGCCCTATCCTGCCTGCGCCTCTCACTCTCTGCTGGGCTCGCTCACGGCTAGGTTCGATTCAGTGACTTCACCCTCTCCATTGAATGCGGAAGTGGATCTCCTCCCGCCCGTTCGATTCTCCCTATCCTGAGGCCCGCTTGCTGTCGTAGACGATGATGATGCCACACGAGTATTGAGGGTAGTTACCACCATTGAACGCGCAACTCCGCTGGATGTGTCGATAGAAGAAAGAGACAGCTGATGGCGCTTCGCACCCCCGCTCTTGCATCTCCTGTTCACACTCCCTCTTCTCACTTGAGCATCGTGACTACTCTAGTCTCGGCTGGACAACAGAGGCCGCTCTTCACTTCGTTGCTGGCATTGACGCTGCCAACATTGGCTTGGTCCCAGTCTAGCAAGGGGAGGGAAGCTCGGTCTCCGAGTCTCCGCCTCCGCTCGACTCAACGTATGTCCTTCTCGTCGAAGCTTGGCTCCGAGTCGTGCGTCCGACGGGCTGTATCCGTTTGTTTTGGTAGGCCCCCCCGCTCCTTATGCCCCCTTCAAACCGCAACGAAAACTTTCGCCGTCGTAGCTTGTTGACACATGCCTGACGGAGCCTTGAGGAAGCTTCAAGAAAGCCAAAGGATAAAAAAAAAAAAAACTCCAGATGAAATCGGATAACGCATGTGAACGTGAATGACCATCAGAACCTTTGAGTCTCGCAATTGACTTTTTTTTTTCTTTTTTTCCCTTCTCTGCCTCATCAGATCAATCCCTCTCGTTGAGCATGTGCCTCCCTCCCGATCTCGATCATAATCGTCAGGGTGGTAAGGCGCCTGCCTGCCTGCCTGACCGACCATCAGGGGACGGCTCCCACTTGGAAACGAGACAAGCGCGAACAATCAGCACCGTTTCATCCGAGCAGACAAAAGAGAAAGTGCAACTTGCTCTTATCGCGGGTATCTGTCTTCGTTGCGTGCCCACCTTCCCTCTTCCACGATCCTTCCCCCCCTTCCGTTTATTCGCCCCCTTTCGGGATCAGCTCTGCGGGTCCAGTGTACAATGGTGAAGGTTTCGACAGTCTGGCCGCTGCGGGATTGGATTTCTGGCCTGCTCGAGGCTCCACTGGCGTAATGGCATCATGGATTTGCCGATCGATTGAGCCATCCCCTTTCCATCACCGTTTCAATGGCGGTCTTTCATATCCACCGTATTGCGGGATTAGTGGTAGGTATCGTGATGTGCATCCGCACGCGCGCCCGATGTTGGAGTTGGATGGGATGTCGTTGGAAAGATTAAGTAATCCCTTCCTCCCATTCAATTAATTTTTTTTCCCTTTTCCCCGGGCTGTAGGGTAATGACAGGTTTCCCCTCACGCGAACCTCGTTCGATTTTTTTGAGACCTGGGCTCATTTTGGTCACGAATTGGAGAACCGAGGGCGTGGGCGAGTGTAACGGCGCCGTGCAGAGGCGAGCGCGCAGGAGACTGCGCAAGCGAGTGGACGGGAAGACATGCCAACGCGTGATTTGACCCACTCTTTGCCTTTTTTGGGTAGAACGGGACGGACGGAGAGGGGGGCATTTGGTCCTCGGCTTCTAGAATTCTGGGATGGTTGATGAGAATGTGTTTTGATTTGACGACGTAGCTGATTTGAAAGTTGAGTCGGGTGCATGTTTTCATATCAAATGAAATAGAAGGTTGCCCGCTTTCTGACGCAGAGTGGGATCAAGGGGAGATATAGTACCACGGAACTGCTATGGCAACAGGTAGCTCTCAAACCGCAGCTTTAGACCAAGATGCGGCCAGGAGAAGGATAAAGGCCCGCCTTTTGAGCGCGGTGGCTCGACGGAGCGATGACGGGTCACGGCGTTATCTCGTCAGTCGTCACGTTGTTGGCCGACAGAAAACGGGAGACGCGAGGCATCGTATCGGAGCCCCCGCCCCCCATGGGGAACTGTCGGGAACAGTCCCGCAAGTTCACCCAGCCGATGTGGATGCCCCTGCTAGATTATAGCTTATCACGTCGGTATGGGATGACTCGAGCTGGGTACTATTGCCGTACGACTCGGCCTTTTTCCCCCTTGACAATGTGGTAGTCCGAATACCTGGCAAGCAAGACAGAATTCTTCCGGTCTTGATCGTCACCCGCTTGCTCGAGTGCTACGAGTTGACGCAAACTCGAGACCTTCTGCGACCTCTGTACTCTCTCTCCCTCTCCAGTATTACTCACGTCTAGAGATACGACGGGCAACTCGAGTCTTCCCTACCATCTCTCCCAAACCAACAAGGTGGCTCTGCGCCACACGGGCCAACGAGAGAGCAGACTGATCTACGCTTGAGGGTTCTTGGTGTCTCTCAAAACCATAAGACGATGCAAGCCTGTGATTAGAGTAGCCTCAAGGCCCAATGAATGACTCGATGGCCTATCCTACTACCCAATTCAAGTTGCCCGCGCGCCTCTCGCCTCGATTGGACATCATACGGTCTACATACAACCTACTACAGACCTTTTGGCGACTTGGTATCGACCCATCAAAGGTGCTGTGATAATCCACCTCAGGTAGTCTGGCAGCAGATTGCTCAAGGTGTAGTTGAGTCTGTTGGATCTTGTTCATTATCAACCGTCTGTTGTAAGTGGTGCTTCCTCTGCATCACTCTGACATTGTTCGTTCCACGTACGTAATTAGCTTGAATGTATACGGGTGAGATTTTGTTTCTCAACCACATACGTCTCGGCAAACTCTTTTCGTCATGCTTGCCATATCTTCAAACCATTCAGTTTTCGGGAGACAACATATGGAGCACATCAGCTGATGAGCCTTGGAAAAGCAGAGCAGAAGGGGCAAGTAAAGGAAAGTTCAAAAACAAGATCAAAAGGAGAGTGATTTCTCACACGGAAGCTCCCATGCATCAAATCCGTCCTGTAGTCAATCGTCCAATCAAGCCGATCTCCAGGAAGCAATTTGAAGAGTTGGTCTACTGTGGGTGATTCTACGGGGAAAAAAAGAATAAACATTGAAATTCACAATAGCTGGGTTATTTGCTAATCTAGGTACTAAGAAAGTCCCGAGTTCCCAAGGATGCATGTCCAACTTGTGCTGGACCTGTCGCATATAAGAAGGACGATCATTTCCTCCAAGAAAGGCTCTAAAGGGCCGAAACAGACGTAAGAGGCACATCAAGCGAGCCTTATATACACAAGGGTCATGGTGAACGAACAAAGCCGTCGGTCGAATCAGCAACTCTTTTGCCATAATAACAGCAGGCCTTGGAAATGCCGACTCTATATGAATAGAGAGCACTTTGTGAACCTGATCTATACTTACTGTCGACCAGATTCCCACCACTTGCTAAGCTTTGTTCAACACCCTCCATCCCTCTTCCGTGACCGTTCATATACGACTACGTAGGCACTGTCGAATAGGGTGTCACAGTCTCGAGAGGTACGGCAAATACGCTTCATGGTGCTACTATCTTATGTCGGGTATTCATAAGATTGAATCTGTCGCACTTCAGGTCAACATCCTGAGAAGGACAACAATAACATCGCCTCTCATCCTTCGTAGAGTCAACATGAAGCCGTTACATCTTCCAGAAAGGAAAAGTAGGCGGCAAACAGGGCTACATTAATGTCCGCAACAACACCAAGTTGAAGAAACCGGCCTGATTTTGCAACATAAGACTATTACTTACACTCGTAGAACCTGGAAGCTATTTAAGTCGGAAAAATCACGCCAGGAGCCAGTATCGTGTAGAGCAAGCGCGCCATGAAACTTATCTTGCCCGTTTCAATTGTGATTACTGGCCTGGTAGATATATAAAACGCCATCCCCGAATCCCAGGCGTAGTCCGCGCTTCTCAACGAGCGCGCTCTTCTTAAATAAGTATACCACAAGCGGATGAATCCTACGTAGGAATACGCTCTGCGGAAAAAAACATTGAGCCCCATGAGTCCGTCCTTGCGCCATCGCTACAACGATCAACGAGCGTCCCAAAACAAGTGTTGACACGACGAATCCCACCCAAGAAATATCGCCCTAACACGATCTCCGCCACCCACGTTTCCTCTTTGCTTTTCTCACCAACGGGAGCTCTTTTGACCCCTCACAACTCTCCTCTTCTAAACGTCTTTGCCTCGTATCTTGGAGTACAATACCGTATCGAAAAAGTTGTAGTTGGGGTCCAATTCGCAGAATGGGTGTTGAGAAAGCAGGACATCTGCTGTAGGCCGCTCCAGTGGGTTTCTGTCGGAGGTTAGTCATGTTTTCGGTCATTATCTGTAGTTAGACTTACACAGTGAAACAGTCCAACATGAAGGCGATGGCCAACGGACTGATTGTTTCCCGAACCTCATCAGGAATAGGCGGTGTCTCGCCGTTGGCAATCTTGTAGATGGCACCTACAGCTTCCTCCTTGGACCAGGGTCGTCGACCAGCGAACATCTCCAAGACGACGCAACCCAAACTCCAGATGTCAACCTTGGCACTGTATCCCTTACCCTCAGAGCGGATGACCTCTGGTGCCATCCAGAAAACGGAGCCCTGCATCGAGTTCGACTTGTCATTGCCGTAAATGTTGTCCGTCTTCTTTGAGATACCGAAATCCGAAATCTTACAAGTCCCGTCGAGGTCTAACAAGATGTTGTCGGCCTTCAAGTCACGATGCAGGATACCTTCTCTGTGAAGATACGCAAGACCAGAAAGCATCTGCCGGGTAAGCGACGAGACAACAGACTCCTCAAACTTGCCATGCTTGCGCAAGCAAGACCCAATACTGCCACCAGAAATGTACTCTAGGAAGATACTGATGGAGGTCTCTTTACGCTCGCATCCAAGGTATTGCACAATGTTGACGTGGTCGAGATGCTGCATGGTTTCGATCTCCTGGTCGAGAGCGGCCACTAATTCACGCATCTTGGCCTTGTCGCCCTGTGCCGCTTTGGGATTGACCTCGACTTCCTTGACAGCCAAAAACTCTCCAGTCGTAGCATTCATACCGAGATAGACACGACCGTATGTACCCTTGCCGATGAGTTGACCCTTGAACCACCGAAACGTGGTCTGACGCTTGGGAATGGTGTCCTGGGGAATCTGCGGCATAACCATACTGCCTCGCTGATCGGGCCGAATTTGCACAATGTTGGCGTTGAACATCTTTGTGCTCTTTCTCCTCATGAGTGCTGATGTATTCTGAGTAGACTGGCCAGGTTGTGTCGTTGTCGTCGTGGTGAACCGCTTGTTAGCCTCGTGAGCGCCGCGGGCAACCTCACGAATGGATTTCATCCGGCCCAGACCGCCCGAGCGTCGAACACTCCTTTGTGCAACCGACGCGACCGACACAGGGCGCTCAAGCGCCTTGAGAGTTGACTCATCCGATCCAAGTGTGTCGTTGTCGTTGTAGAACGATCGATTGTTGGAAATAGCCGCACGAAGACTCGGTGGTGACTGAGGTGGTGCAGGACGTTTAGAGGCTTCCCTCTCCTCTCCTTCAGCAATGGGAGACGGAGGGTTGGCTTCCGCTTCGCCCTCTTCAAGTACGGGTTGATCAAGATCCAAGTTGGGGAAGAAATCGTCGAGGTTGTTGATGAGGGCGTCAGTGGTCGGACGGTTGGCCCATACATCCTTCTCAACGAACGACTTCCTCCTGCTCAATTTGCTGTCCTCCGACTCCCAACCCTCAGAACCGGGCGTGTTTGGAGTTCTGCGTGAACTCTTACCGCTCCTCGCACTCATGAGAGCATCCTCCTCCTCACCTTCTGGGGTTCTGTTATTGCCACTGCCCAACGACTTGGGAGAGGTGAACGACACTGAAAGCTGTTTTCCCTTAGATCTAGACGTGTTCACAGTCAAGTTTGGCCGCCTATCGGTCGATTCGTCAGGCGAATCGTCGCCATCAAAGATGCGAGTAATCTTTGTCGGTTTGGGTTTGGCAGCCGCAATCGGAATTGCGAACAAGCCGTCATCCGAGTCGTCCCCTGAATCATCACCTCGTTCTGGCGCGGGTGGTGGAGCTGGTTTCTCAAAGCTGACCTCTGTTTCAAGGAAATCAAAGTCCGGCCCATGAGACTTGCGACGATGAGGCTGGGGTGGTGCACTCGGAGGGATTTGGGGCGGGTTCATGGAGCTGGGGCTGATTTCTCGCGAAACAACTCTGTGTACTGCTTGTTTTGCTTTAGCTGCCATTCCTTTCTCAGATTGCCTCCTCGGTGTCGGAGTACCCTCGGGAGAGTAGTCAGGCACAAAGAAGGGCATGTTCCCGCGACTCCATGTCAGAGTGCCGGGTGAGCCAGACAACGCCGATTGAGGGCTTTCTCGGCCCGAAAACGACTTTCCAAAGTCAACAGATGAAATAGCTCCCTTACCTCGGTCTGAGTATTCGTTGCCTAAAGCTGGTTGCGATGACACTCGGTTGGGCGACCTGGACATCCGGTTGGCAGTAACACCAACTGCGCCGAGGCCTCTGCCCATACCCACAAGTGCTGCACCAATCCCGGCGACAGGCTGGCTCGAAGACTTCTTCTTCCGGTCTCCGTTCTGACCGGGGAGCTCCATGTCCTCAAAGAGAGTCGAGGGCCGGCGCGGCGCAGGAGCACCATCAGCAGATGTCCGCATTGAGTGCCCCGTCTTCCTACTTAACGAGTTTGCTTTCAGCAAGGTTGCTGACGGGTCACTCGGCGGCGCCGGAGGCTTCCGTACGGGAAACAGCACTTCCGGCTTCTTGTCCTCGTATGGCGACTGGCGTGGTTGATCAAAGTCGACGGTTCTGCCGTGAATACCATACGGCGTAGTAGCGCTCTCTGGCGTATTACCGGAGCCAGCAACTTTGCGCCTCTTTTCTAGGTACTCGCGCTGCTTTCGCTCCATCTCGGCACGATACTCGTTTGCTTCTTGGGCAAGCATCTTGTCATCCACCCTTTCGCCTGTCATGGTATTTTGTCGCGACGTTGGCGGAGAAGAGCTAGACCTTGTCCGCGACAAGCCGTTCAGTCGGTTGTATGCCTCCTCATCGAGTGATGTATGTGTTGGGTTGCCATTAGCGTGGCCAGGGCCTTGAGGTGCATTTCCGCCTTGACGAATGAAGAATTTGAGGGTTCCCGTCGCGTCGGCCCTATGCTTGCGATTATTCAGGAGTTTCTGGTCATCGAGAGGGTTCTCATGGTTGAATTTGCCAAGCTCAGTGAGGAAAATCTGAGAATTTGTGGCATCCATCAAACCCAAATTACCACAGATGATGAGGCGAAGGTCCATGGCCGACTCGACCTCAGTAATGTCGCACATACGATAATTATATCCGTCCATGGTGGCCAGTGCAAACATTCTGTTCGGGCCAGGACGCCTAGACTTGGCCGTGTCCTTCTCATGAACGTCAAAGCTGGATCCAGGCCGAATATCCAGAGATACTTCGCTATTGTTTCCAAAGCGGGAGCCAAAGGAATGAGGCTTGAAGCTGAGTGCTGGAGAGGTTGGCGATTCCATATCGTCAGGACTTGGAAAGCCGTCTTCCTTCTTTTGCTTATTCTTCCTCGACAAGAAGCTGAGGAAGCTCTTAGAATCCTTAGCAGAAGATGGAGGCTCGGTACCCGCTGAACGGTCACCGGTGGACTCCTGCGGTGACGGACGCCCTCCATCCTGACCGTGGCGCCTAGGTTCGCCGTTTCGGGTGGCTTGAATTATATCTGCAATGTTCATCCCACTACGCAGCATTTGAGTGGCTTCGGGTGGGATACCCGACCCGTAAATGGCAGCGTTGGAAGACACAGAGTCTGTGCTATTTCTCGACCTGTGTCCAAACTTGGTTGAATGTGGAGAGGCTGACAGGTTTCCAGCGGAAGAAGGAAACAGTGATGCACTCTGAGGATTTGGACTGCCGTTTGGGCTGTCGGTCCGTAAGGGGGGTGGACGGAACGTGCCCTCGCCGGACTCGCTGGCATTTGGGCTTTGCCGGCGGGTTCCATCAACATCAATTTGCTTCAAGATGTTCCTATGACTTGAATCTGAACTCATGGTGCTGTTCGGAGTCGGCATTGTCGTCGATCTTGTTTGCGAATATCGACGTCCGCCAAAACCAGGCCCTGGCGCTTTGATAGGCGTCTGCCGTCCATCAGTCTTTGGGTGTTCACCCACACGGGTAATCATACCCACGCTGGGAGATTCTGCTATATCCGTCCCAGCGCTAGGTAAGTTATTGCTGTGGCTGACGGACCCTTTCCGGCCATGCGACGAGACTTTGGACGGGTCGACCGGCCGGCCGGTCACGATGCTTCTTACGAGACGTCGCATTCTTTTTCCTTCTTCTCGCTCCCGCGGCTGATCCCAACCTGTCCCGCTGTTTGTACACTCGACGGCTAACCTCGGGTACACTTGCTGGTGCATCATACCAAAGTTTCCCCGACCACCATGCATCATACCGAGCTCGAGGAAGTGAGCACCATGCAGGTTAAGTCCCTTGAAAGTCTCCTGCCAGTCCTTGGAGAATTGATTTGTAGCCAGCCACAGTAACACCTTGTCCAACGGCCATTGCGCCACCAGCTCTGGGTGGATGCTGGAGGTAGTCGTAGTGGCATTCGAGGTCGTTGACATGCCACGGCTGTGCATTGCTTGGGTGTACAACCTGTCCCTCCCTCCTGACATGTCGTCTTGTGGTGTAGTCATTGCTGTATCGCCACTGGTCTGGCTGTTGGTAGGCCATGAGCTCTGGGAGGTTGCCGAGAATGTGGCATTTTCGTCGAAGCCGCCCAAGCCAGGTATTCCAACCCCTTCGCCGTATGTGTCGCCTTGTGGTATATAGGTCGCAGACATGACATGTTCGTTCGGTGGAGGCGGAGGCGGTATCGACAATGTCGTGCCCGTCGCAACCTGCGCATGCAACTTTGGGTTATAGGCCTGGTGTTGTCCCGGCGGGGGAGGTGGCATGTTGAAGCCGCCACGACCATCGTACATGCGCCCAAAGGCGCCGTGCCATGGCGCCTGACCAGCCATTGCGCTTCCAGGCGGTGGGCCTGGCGGCGGTGGGAGCATCATCCCACTGCCTCCCGTTGCGCCAGGAGCAGAGGGGAATCGTGGGGGTGGAGGAGGTATCGACATCATGTTGCTCATTTGGCCTTGTACGGGCGGCGACATGGGCGGCGGTGGAGGAGGGACCTGGAATGGTCTTGAGGGATCGGCCGACGAGGCATGTCGTTGGGTGTTTTGATACATTGCCGACGGGGGAGGCGGGCCAGCTCTGGTAGCTGGCCTTGCGGGATCGAGCCCGAGTCGAGGAGTAGTCGGGGCGGAGCTCGCAGTCGAGGCCCTCGGACGAAGACCGCTGGCGGAGAGAAAGTTGGGGTTCCTCGGCGGAGGATACGGCGAGAGAGCGCCCTTACCGTTGAGACTTTGAGACGGGATCTTGGGTGTGGTTGTGGTCGTCGAGGTATGGCTGGGCAAGTCGTTGACGTTAAAGACGAGGCCGTCGAGATTGTGTATTTCGTCTCTGGATCGAGGCACAGATGGGAATGGGCTCGAATTTCGGTCGTGGGTATCAGATCTGGTCGCAGAGCGCTGGCGCGAGCTGGTGCTCATGGTATGCCAGGTATGGATGGTATGGGTACGCGGCACATGGCAGGGGGTGGTGGTGTGGGCTGGTGGGCTGGTGGGCGCGGGCGGGCCTTCAGACCGTAGTCATGTTGCGGTAAGGCGGCGACCGTCGCTGTATTGGCACCGGGACGTTATGCCTACTATCGTGGTGGTCGTCTTAGCGAGCAGCTGCTTTGGGAGTTGACTCTCTTGGGCGTCCTAGGAATCTCTGGAGGAATTCGTCAGGTTGGAGGAATGCGGAAAGAAGAAGACAAGGACGACTGAATGGAGACTTTGGAGAGGGGTGGGTGGTATGTGAAAGTAAGGTAACAGCCGTTCGAATGTCTTTCAGCTTACGGATGTGGATAGGCAAGGCACCTAGGTTGTGCAGAGGCAGACCAGACAGTAAAGACACACCCACGGAGCAGACAGTACAGAGTAGCGCGCTTGAGAGCAAGCCCCAGGGAGCTGCTGTGGATGTGATGCTGGAGGTTGGAGGCTGGGCCGCGACGAGGTGCGTCTAAGTCTTTGTGCTAGTGTCGGCAGGGTATCTGTACAACTAGGTACCACCAGCGGCAGCAGAGCAGATGGGATGAGACTGGTCGAAACTGGCGCAGATGAGGACGTTGGCTTCGGCTCTGGCGTGCGTTATCCCACGCAGCTTTGGCGGGGGCGGATGTGCCGTGCAGATCTCCGGGCCAATGAAGGCAACGTGAAGATGTGACGAGGGGCTGCGGCAACGACCTTTGCGCAGGATGGCAGAGTGCGACTCGCAAGTTCCAACTACCTTGGCCGGCAAAGAATATTGTGTGAGCTTCGGCGCAGTTTTTGATGAGACAAAGAGGCAATTACGGGTAGAGATGTGAGGACCTGGGGAGGGTCGCCGAGTCGTCGGGATTTGAACGGGTCGGAATCGGTTTGTAGAATGTAATCAAAGACAATGTTTCTATGTCGTGGTGTGTTGTTCAAGTCGAAGGAGTGGCAATGTAATAATTATCTTGTTAGGTACTGGCAGCAGAGGCCAAGTCACGCATGCGCAGTGCAACCAAAAGAAGATTGAAGCACCCCGCAGACCATTGGTCAAGAAGGGATTTGCCTGCCTGATTGATACACCTTCCTCGAAGCATACAAAATAGGCACCCAAGGTACGTCCTCACTACCAAATGTAACAGCTTTAGATACCTTACTGAGCTACCTACCTAGGTGAAGTCGCGTCTTTTTCGTACAGATCCATCAGGTTCGTCCAGGTTGAGGGGCTCTAGGTACTCTGCTCCAACTCCCCAAAGTCAGCTCGCCAAACCCAGTTCCAGCCTCAGCACAGGATTCAAAAGGTAAGACACACCCACTCCCCGAGAAGGTAGCTAGACCCAGACCACCTACCTGCCCGCGACCCGACGCAGGGCCCCGCCTGTTTCATTTGGGCCTTCCAGGTTTGCAGGGGGCCCGGGTAGCGGGTGCCCACCTCGCGCTCCTACCTCTCTAACACGAACAAACTCATTTTAACCTGGCCCCCCCGCCCTTTGGACAACATTTTCCAAATTGAACTAGTTGAGCGAGATTTCATCACTCGGTTGTATCCGTAGGTTTCAATGGAAACAAAGAATCATTTCTCAAATACACAGAAAGGGGCTTGCTGTATGTATGCACAACTACCTTATCAGATGCGGCATGCTGGAGTAAGGTACCTCTATTGCTCATCTTCGCTCAATCGGCTGCGTGCCACTTACATGCCCAAGTGTCAATTACAAATACAGCATATCGGAAATCTCAGCATCGTTCTCAGCAAGTCTCTTCCGAGACGACTCGCAGCAGCCAGGGCCAATTCCTCAGCTCTTACGGATACAGCAGCACGATGCACAAGCGCTCCTTCCACCTCCCGCCGGCAGACCGACGCACCGGTGAGTGAACCGCCATTGTCGCAAAATGCAACCAGCCGCCCGGTTTGACTCGACGTCTCATTCGCCAGAATCCGACAAGCGCCAGCACAATCTCTCCCGCTCTTTCTCGACCCCTCGTCCTCCCTTTCCCGGTTTAGCGTCTGCGGTGCCTCTCGCCCTTCTAACCCTAGAATGGGGGGAGGAAATCTAGATGTCATTTCAACGGTAGGTACGGACAGCCTGCCGCAAATGACTCCACCCCAGGCCGGCCTGAATCCCGACCCCCGGTCCCGCAGGATCATAGGTCGATCACCTTTGAACGTTCTCAGCCTCGACCTTCAAAGGAAACCCGAGTCTGCGCCGGCAATCTTCAGTCGACATCACTGTTAAAGTTAGGTGCTTATAGTATCCATCAGTGTCTCACTAAGAAGAACCACTCGCGTACCTCACCTCTCAGCCAGCCAGCCCTATAATCATGTCGCCCAGCACAGCTCATCCATCCCTCTCAACGGCCAAATACTCCGTACTGAAATCCATATTTACCTCACTTAGAGCATCTACTATTATCATCTCCTCACCGGCACCGTTCGTCAAACGCCGGCCAAACTGCCCAGCTGGTCGACGTCATCCCCCACCACTGAAACCAACGTCCACGAACATCCAGGTCATCGACGAGACATACGTGTGCTGCAATCAGGTTCTTCTGTTTCCATGATACGACTCTAACACTCCCCTGAGATCTCCCAACCCCATTCGATTACCTCATATCGCGAGCTGGCAGCATCGTGACGGGGTCTTTTACTAGATACTTTGTGAGAACCGCTCACCCGCTGTACGCTCTACTGGCCACCGCCACCGTCCACGGCCATCTCAAAACCACACATTTGAACATACACTTGATGAAAAATCCACACAAACTCTCTCCAAATAGCTTCAGGAAATTCGCTACTAAAGAAAGAACTACACAGAGGCAAGCGAAGTAGCCAAAGTTTCAACGGTTTAGCAAACCTTCAGCTAGACAACTACCGTTCACCCTTGCCAGAGACCGGCAAACCAATTTTACGGGCCTCCATGTCGCCGCCGCCGGGTGCACGAACCACAACCGAGAGCCGACGCAAACGCACGTCAACGCTGCATCAGCAGCATGAGACGTCCCGGTGGACACCAGCGAGAAAGTTTAAATGCAAACTGCCTTACTGTACCTGCTGCCAAGATTAGTTAGGGGGCCAAGTAATAGCTAAGCGCAAAGTTAGCTCGACAACATGCGTGTCATCGAGACCCAGTCTTGCTAGAGTAGTCTAAAACATGGGACGGATCCGCAGGATGTCGGCTCGTATTGCCTCACTCACTTAATCAGGACACTTCATAGATTCGGGAAAAGGTGAGGCCACTCATCATCATACACACAGCCATGTAGAACGAGCAGTTAGCAAAAGAGTGAAGGATAACTGCGGAACACTGTGTTTAAAAATAAAACAAAATAAAAAGTTCTCCATTAACTCCTTGACAGCCAGAGGGGTGCCTTGAAAGCACCACAATCCTCCGGCCTTCCTGTATATAACACAAAATACAATGTTTGTAATAAGCACCTCTTGACCATCACACCATTGGGCTTGCATGCCCTGTTCGTATAATTTCGGAGGACTACAACTCTTGTCCCGGCAAAAGAAGCCACAACGCACTCTCACATTACGCTGCAGTTGGCGTAATTCTTCTGGCACTGCTCCAGGTATCCCATATCCTCCTCGGACCCTTCCACAACATTGTGCTGCCTCACCAGCCCCGTGACCCTAAGCGTCTGCTCCCCGTCCGCGTGCCACCATTTGAGCTTCTGCACCAGCGGACCCTCGTCATCGTCCATGCTGATCGCCCACTTGCCCGACGATACCTCGACTGTGCAGTTGTCCTGCGGGTAATGGAACTCGGGCAAGAACACCACCGTCGGCGCGGTCTCGGACGGAGGCGCCGCGGCCTTGAGTTTGAGCGTGAACGTGCAGCTGCGCAAGTCGAAGCCGTACTCCTGGACGTCGCCGGCAACGACGACGGGGGACGGCCGCACAAAGGCCTCGGCGGCGCGAAGGCCGGGCGCGTTGGTCAGCTCTGGGTCCTTAAACGGCGCGGATGAGATCGACGGGTTCGTGATTGTGCTCTGAAGGTTTTCCGGCGTGACTGTCGACTCGTCGGGGACGTCTCTGCTTATGGAATTGCGCTTGAGGTCTGACGACGGGTTGGGTGATGGGCTGCGAGGGAGAGGTGAAATGGGTAGTGTCTTGTCGTCTAGTGAAAAGACTGACAGATCCTCGCCGTTCCAGAGATCGCCATGCTCATGTGTATTCTTATAAGGACGTTAGCCGGCATGTGATCGCTTTTGAGAGATGAGATGCTTACCTTTGCGACGTAAACCCACAAACAGTGGCCCTCCATACCCGAACCTTCGGCACCAAAGTAGTTGGCATCCAAGGCGGCTGACTGATCCGAATAATCACCCGTTTTATACGCCTTCTTGTTACCCATATCGTATGGAATACCGAATTCTGTCATAACGCATGGATGGTTGCCCATCCTATCCAGACCTTCTTGCCGCAATGATGCAAGCTGATCTTTGAAGCAATTTCGAATAGCAGTCTCACCGACCTTGACAGAAAGCGCCTCGTGCCAGTATCGCCCACGCAGTACGCCTACGACGTCCACGTTCCATACTCTGTTCCAGCGCTTTGTCATAAGAGTGATACCATCGTACCAATGCGGAGAGAATGCCATCATCGGATCATCGTCTGCAGTGCCCTTAATCTGGGGTGGTAGCTCGAGTGTTGGATATTGCATCAGCATGATGCAATTCTTGTGGATGGGCCGAATGGCGTCTCTGTATAGACGATACGAGTCCATAAAATACGTATTAGTAAACTCCGGGTGGTCGATGGTCTTCCCGGTATTGGGGTTCTTGGAAAAGTAGTCTTTCTTGACCAGGGTATCGGTCTTGGTGTCCCAGATACCGTGCTGAGCCCAGATGCACTCCCCAAGCTTCCAACCCTCGTCTCGCCTCCAGCCGTATCTCGAGTCGTCGTAGTCAGCGGGCAGCCAAGCCATCTCGCCGTGGGGATCAATCAGCGAGCGGCCGACCTTGTACGGGCCCATCCCACCCATGTCCCACGTTTCTACCTCACAGGCGCGGCCGGATCCAGTCAGGAGAGTCTGCCAGATTGTCGGGCACGATCCCTTCTTCAACTTTTGCGCGTTGGGGATGACGGCGATATCCTGGTACCCGACCAGACCACAGCCCGGCTCGTTCATGCTTTCCCACCCGATGACGACCTCGTTTTCGAGGTCGCCGGCTTCGTGTATGCGCTTCGCAAGGTGCGCGCAGGCGGCGACAAAGTGGCCCTGCAAAAAGTCCTGGATATTGATGCCGTTGATGATGCACTTTGGTGCGAAATCCCTGCCGCCAAAGTACATGGTGAAGATTGTCGCGGCTGCGAGGCGCCAGTAGTTTGTCGACCAGATCATCTTGGGAAACTCTTCGGGCTTCGGGTATGTGTTATGCACGATCGCGGCCTCGGTTGCGGAGAAGCTCTGCGGGTTGAGGCCGCAGGCGTAGATAGTCCACATGGGGGCGCCAGAACCACCACAGAACCTCGACCACTATTAGATCCGTTAGTATTCGAAAACCACACGGTGTGACGGAGCAGTCAGACATACCACGTCCTGGTGGGGGTCCATGAAGATGTAGAATCCGTACTCTTTCGCTATCCTCAGGATCTCAATCGTATGCTGGATCCATTCCTCATCATATCGTCCCGGACCGGCGGCTTCGATGGCCTCCCAGGTGAAGACGTAGCGGATGGTGTTGTAGCCGTAGCGCTTTATCCTCGAGAAGTGGACATGAGCTTCCTCTTTGGGAAAAGGACGGTTGTGGAACTTGACATTGTCGCCATCGAAGAAGTCGTTGCCGATATGCGAAGGCTGGTCGGGCTCGCTGGGGAGCTTGGCGTCGGCGGCGACGTTGAGGCCTCGAAGCACGACTTGCCTACCGTAGCCATCGCGGAACTGGCCGTCTTCGATGGTCAATCGTAATGAAGACATGGTAAGGGGTTGTGTTCTTGTGGTTTGGCGGTGCTTCTCGTTTGCTCTGCCGCCAAGATGGAATGACGATGTCCTGGAAGGTTGGGAGAAAGCAGTCTTGCGGGTTTCGAGATAGGAGAACACCCAAGACTGACCGACCGACCGACCGAGCGAAGACGGCGGACTGGACGGGTCACCAAAGGTCCGAGATTGGAATAATTGGGACGGCTCGATGACGTCCTGACGGGGTACCCTGATTAGCGGGATGTGCAATGTCAGTCGACGAGTGGAGGTGCTTTATCTCGCCCAGCACACGGCTTTAGCGACCGCCAAGCTCTAAATCCTTCGGGGACCTCTCCCTTATGCGACTACCAGTGCCTCCCCCCTGTCGGGCAGTAATCAAGCTGTTGAACAACAGAACTGGTGGCTTCGAGTTGAGTTCAAGGACAAAGCAAGCAAGTCACAGAAAATTAGGGGAAGAAACAGCGAACCACTACCGGTTTGGGATCGGAAACCAGCAGATAGTCCTGGATTTTTAAACAAAGACAGAAAAAGTCATGCCTAACTGCTTAAATCGGCTCCATCTGAACGCCCTGCAGAGCCCCGGTCCGCCATGTCTGGCGACGGATCATGGAGCGTGAAGTGGGAAAGCGTCTACGTGACTGCCCACCTGCCACCCTCGCTCGTTTTCGTGTTCCACCCCGGAGCCAATGGGAGCCCATCCCTGGAGACTCTAGCGGGTCAGGCGGAGGGGCCGCGGCGGCGTCGGCTCTCGCTTGAACTCCGGGCTGACGCCGCCAAATATCCGGAGCATCGACGGTAATGAGGTGGGTCAAGACGGCCCGTTGGCTCCGGAGTAAGATCCCCTCCACCTGAATACTTACACGCACACGGGAACGCCCAAATGCCTAGCATGTGCCACACTATGAACAACTCGACGTATCTTGAGACTTGTGATTGTTTACTGTTGCCTTGGTTTTCTCGCGTATAACGATGCTGTTTTCAAAATTATTCAAACGCCAGGTATCTTTGCCACCAAACAACTCTACGACATCTTCACTCGTTTACTCATGAAGTTGATGGGATGTAGGGGCCAATTTCACGCCAAAAGAGCTCATAGGAAACCACCCTCCCCTCTCCCGCTTTCATAACTCCGCCACAACGTTGTTGAAAACCCCAAATCCATCCATTTCCACACAACCTCAACCTAGGCGTGAGTGCTGTCCCCGTCCGACTCGGAACTATCTCTTCTCCCTGCAATCCCGCTCGGATCTCTCACCCGCGTCCGCTCCTCCTCGTCGCCCCCAGATCCCCATATTAGATCAATGTACAAACTCGGCTTGTGTTCGCGCCTCCGCAGGACGTAACGCTTGAAGAACCACGGCAGGTACTCGACGACCTGATGCCTGATGAACCGCCGCTTCGACACCGCGAACACCAGGTCTAGGTCCTCCAGGCTCCGCCTCTTTGTCTCCTCTAGCAGTAAAAAGACCATGACCAGGGCCAGGACGTTCAGCCCCGCAAAGAGGTAGAGCGAGCCGCCATCGCCCAGCCCGGAATTGATCCGCGGGAAGAACACGGAAAGCAGACCGGCGAAGCCCAGGTTCACCGCGATGGCGACCGCGGCCCCTGCTTCGCGGTGCGATAGCGGAAAGCTCTCCGACGCGTAGGTAAACGGGATGGGTCCCAGGCCGGGGGAGTACGCGGCCGCGAACAGCAGGATGAACAGGGCGACCACCGGGACCTTGGCCCCTAGATTGGCTATTTTGAAGGAGACGCCTGCGAGCAGCATGAAGAGCGCCATCACGGGCAGAGTCAGTATCAGCCATTTCCGTCTGCCCAGCGTGTCGATCGTTCGAATGGCAGGTAGACCAAAGATGAAGTTGACGGCTCCGTACCCTAGACTGAAGAACATGGCATCCCGCTTCTCCGCACCAGCGCGGCTGAAGAGCGTGCCCGAGTAGAAAGCCAGCACGTTGATTCCTGTTCAAAAACGTCAGCGCAGCCCCCACCTACATCTAGCCATTGGGCAGAGTTCTCGTACCGCACAGTTGCTGGGCAAGTGCCACAGTCGAGCTACTAATCAATGCGTTTCTCAACCGCCTCTCGAGGAAGAGCTGTCTCCATTGTCGCAAGAAACCCACCACGGTTGAGATGAACCCTGGTATGTATTTCAGGTTTGCGACGCCGCCCGGCACCTCTTCTTGCTCAATGGACTTGTGTACGAGATAGATATCTCTGAGAGCCTGCAGCTCAGTGTTTCTCAGCTTCTTGAGAATCTCGTAGGCTTGTTGGGGATCGTAATGCGGACTTGACACGCGCATCAGGTACCGTGGGCTCTCTTCACAGAAGCAAATGACCAAGATTAGAAGCGCAAGTGCTGGAACCGTCGGAGCGGCCACCATGAGTTGAAAAGTAAGCCGCTTGTTGTCTGCCTGTGTCGTGTCGAATATCAGGTTGAAGGCGAATCCGACCATCAACCCTGCGGCTACCCATAGCTGCCATGCGAGAATAGAGGTACCTCGCCAGAAACCGACCGCGGTTTCACTAGCGAGGATAGGAGTACTGACGGCCTTGAGCCCCATACCTGGTTCCTCTCTATTAACATTTCGGTCAATCTCGTAACAGGAGGTGTATATTCTAACCTATACCATTCAATAGTCGAATGCCAAAGAGGTGCACCCAGTTCGTGGCAAAGGCTGAAGCCAGAGAGCTGACTAGAATTAGGAAAGCAGCCACCACCATTCCTCCTTTACGACCGAGATAATGATTTACTGGCAGCGCAAGGGGACAACCCAGTACTGCGGCGAATAAGAACGGAGACGCGTTGGCGGCTCCCAGCTTCCAGTCATCGACTCCCAACTGAGCATGACTTCCCGTCAGACTGCCGTCGTCCCTCTTGGCGGTCGTGTCCAGTCCGAATTCTGTATCGTAAAGAGACGAGCCATTTAATGATGCTTGCACATGGCCTTTGGACTTGTCAGCCCTTCGCCGGGATTGACCCTTCAAGGTTTTTTCACCTACCTTGTAAGAATGCTGCGAGGGACACTGTGATGATGATGGTCCACATCCCCTTTTCGCTGAATGGAACATCACGTTCCCGAACAAGTGCGCATTTTTCCTCCACTGTCAGCTGGACCGGAAGCTCCTTGCCTGCCGCATCGCTGGGGTTTCTCGCAACTTCGTCGTATAGTTTAATGTCCTTTGCCACACGCGCAGCACGTATCAATGCTCCCTTGTCGACGTTCAAATACCTCTCTGCGAAAGAAGTGACATCTGCTTCTAATTGTTCGTCGGTGAAGTGGGCTAGAGGAAGACTCAGGTCAGCTATGGAGGAATTCTTCGGCAGGTTTGGGCATCTGGGATGTATAATCTAAAGTCTGGGTTCATATAGACGGAACTTACAGAGTGGGTTCTCGATTACCGCCCGGTCATTGATATGTCGGTGGCGTGCTTGTTGTTTTGTCGTCCCGTCATGACCAGAGTGAGACTCGGCCTGGCCGAGAGTATCGATATCAGACATGTCGTTGGTAATATGACAGTCCCAGGAGGTTATGGGATTGATAGACGCTCATTGACGATAGATAGCATCACGAGTAGCCAGCTTAGGCCTGAGATCGGACGCGGCCCAAGCCTATCCCGGACAATAAGTGAACGTGGACATGGCCGCTCAGTCATATAAAGGCGCCGTCATTTGGAACCGCGTGCGAAACGGCACGAACCATAGCCCAAGAATGGGGACCTTCATGACCCCAATAGGTCCGAGTGATGAGTCCTGCGTCCTGCGTCTCACTGAGACCTGTCTCTCAAGCTTTCCTCGGCTGATGTCGTACAACCAGATGGTAGCCATGCACGGGTCCGTCATCTCCATCCTTCGAGTTGAGCGATCATCACCTCGTTACAACTCTACTCGTATATGCCAGATGCGGAGTAGAAGGAAGCGAGGGGGTATCTGGAACCCCATGTACATTTAGGGCTGTGGTGGCGAAGCTGATCCTTTCACCTCCCTGCCATCCTATCAAACAATGGAACGAGTCTCGGATGACTGACCCCAGATTTACCGCGGTGGCAGTGCTTGAACGAAGTAGAAACGTCCTAGACTACTGAATTCTCGAATCCGACTTTGGCCAACGAGACGGGGTCTTGAGATTCCAATGTGTCATTCTAGAAGTTGTGAAGTCCTGGAGAAGCCTCGTCTCGGGCACCGACAACTGACCTCATCCGTAGGCGCTCATTTTCCTGTACTCGACTCCCGATACGGGAGGAGGCTGCGAATGGATGTACAGCAGCAGGCAGCACTTACAAGGTGGCTTTGCCCAAGCCAATGGATGTCCACAGCGGAAGTTTGGGGCTGCAAGCTGCAGATCCCCCAGCATCCGTTATCATCACCGTGTCTTGCGTGTGAACAAAAAAAACATCTCATTCATCGCCTGGTGTCCCGCTGCGCCACCGACTCGGGGTACAACGTCGGGGTGACGCTTGGCAACCGGGATGAAGTGGAATATGGCCACTGCATCAGCTCTACGCTACGGAGTAGGCCCCAGTAATGCAAGGTTCCCCGCGTGGAGCCGGTGTGTAGAGGCGTTATGTGCCGTTTCAATGGGCGAGAAGAAGCTCAAACACCGGTCGAGTACGGAGTGATGCCATCTGCTTATGGGAGAGGCAGAGCCTCGGAGAAGTATTCATGGAGGAGGAAGCAGCCACGCAGCGCAGGACCAGCTGAACTCTGGGTTACACAGACTGCGGTAGCAGTCTGCCCTGCGATCGTGATGTGTCTAATCATGGCGCGCGTGGCTATGCCCCCCAGATCGATGGCAGCGACTTGTGTCTCGGCGAGTAAGACTCGTTTGGGGTACCATCTGTCGATCACGGGGAACACAGCAGACTTGCCTCATCGACGGACGGAGAAGATATTCACTGCCTACCCTCGACTGCTCGTCTATCATGTCTTCTTCACCTGATGCTTGTCGTTCGTACAACGAGCCCATCCACAACTTCATAACATGTTCATCGTTCGACGCCAGAGGCCCCTTTGTATCGATTACCGCGAAATCAACGGACGCGGCTGCTGCTCAGGCGACTGAGAACGAGAGAGTCGAACGCTGCGCTGCAAAATCCAACAGCGATGGATCCTCTTTCGATTGCCGCCTTCGCTCTGCAGATGGTGGGAATAGCCGGCAAGATTGTGGAAGGTACTGGCAAATTCGTCCAAGAAAGCAAGGCTATTGCCTCGAGCATCTGTGAATTCCACGAAACCATTCGCAACCTTTACGCTGCGTTGCGCAATGTGGCTCGAATTCTAAAACAGCATCCGCATCAGCTTTCCTTTGAAAGAGAGCACCACCAAGACATTTACCAAATTCTCAAATCATGCCGCTCATCGCTTGATAGGCTGCAGAAAGAGCTGCCAGAACTCGACGACAAACCGGGTCCGATTGATAAGGCCAGAGCGAGCTTTGCCATGACGTTGAAGTCGGTTGTAATTCGCGATCTGATTTCGCACATCACCTCGTATACACAAGTTCTTCAACTCAGTCTTATAACCTTGTCACTGTGTGTACACGCTTTAAATTAGAACCCGTTGGTGGATCAGATGACTGACTCTTGAAGCGGCTCACTATGGACTCAGCAAAAGTCTCAAGACCAGGTGCATGTTGCGATAAGAAAGTTGACCGACGAAATTCGGGCTGCGAATCTCATCTCGCGTGCTGGCACGGGCCAGAGGCCACCATCCACTGACTGGGACGATGACACTGATACCAGGCTGGATGAATCTCTATCTGTAACCAAGGAGATCCAAGCCTGGCGAATGTCGGCCGACGAAGTGGCAGCCGCAGTCACTTTGCAAAATGCAGACCAAAGCCACTCGTTCCTGTCGTTTAACTCGTCGTTCACCAAGTTGGCCTTGGAGAAGGACCAGGGCTCGAAACAAGCGTCAGGTAATGTTGACTCGGACGACTGGGATCCAGAGCCCGACCATCCAGACGGGCCAAGCAAAGACATCCTCAGTCACCAGTACGACGCGAATCAAGAAATAGTCGACCGCTTGGTAGACTGCGGCATATTTCTCCGGGCTTCACTGTACCAGAAGAGGGGCATCGAAATTCGAGAACAACTCAGCCAGCCAGGATACGATGTCGAGTTCAGCTTTGCCGAGCAAGCTGCAATGAAAGAACGACTCGCTGATATACTTTTAAAGAGTGAAACCGAGGAGGAAATCGCCGAGGCAAAAGCAATTCTTCAGTATCTACTCCAAGAGGAGGTGAAACAGCCTGAAGAATTTCGTGATGACGAACGGCGAAGTCGGTTATATCACGATCTCGGGAGCCTTTACGTCAGACTCGGCAACCTGAAGCAGGCGAAAATGTTTTTGAGTCGGGCCCTCGAAATTCGAAAGAATCAAGAACCCATCCCGGTTGAATTGGTTAGAGTGACGGCAGACTTATATATCAAAGCTCTACAACTTGACGGGGCTTTTGACGAAGCACGTGGTGTGGAAGTTTGGGTCAACACTGTCATGATTCCGTTGACAAGCCGGTCGGAATCGCCCCCGAATGCAGACTCTATGCCAGACGCCAGAAGGCCATCCTCCATGGGAGAGCTTTCTCAAGCCTTTGCTTGGTGTCGGGAGAACGGATTTGATGTCGGTATACCGAGCGGGTTTCGTTTCGAAACCTGCGACTTCATGACACAAACCTCGCCGCTCCATAAAGCTATTCAAGACGAGAACCTCGATGTGTTGAGGCAAATGGTAGGACATGTGGTCAATCTGGAGAACGGGGGTAATGTTGGTTTACCGACACCCCTGCTACTTGCTGCATCGACGAGGAATCGCGACAGCGTCGGGCTTCTGTTACAAACAGGTGCGCGGGCCGATGTGCGTGATAGCGCAGGCCTAAGCCCCCTGCACCGATGTCAGAACAAGTCCGGCGGCGTTAACGTTGCCCGACTTCTCCTCGAGGACACCCCCAAACTGTTGGATCTCATCGACAATTCGGGAAAGACAGCTTTGTACATGGCCTGCGAGATGGGAAACGAGGCAATGGTTCGGCTCTTGCTGGGCGAGGGAGCCGATCCCAATATTTGCCATCAAACCAGGAGAGCGCAGATGTCTTCTCCATACTTGAGCAACAGCAATGTGTGCACTCCTTTGATTGCCGCGATCCAGGTTGTAGCAACGAGGAGCTCTCGCAAGATTGGAATGATCGAAGTGCTGCTTTCTCACGGTGCAGATCCTCGACTAACTGATGCCAATGGCAGAAATGCCTTCCAGGCGGCTTCCAATTCCGGGCTGGCTGGATCGGAGATCAAACGACTCCTTCAACAATATTCGCAAACGTCTCCTCGAAAGATTAGCGATGCATCCATGTCGACTGTGTTCACTAGGTCATCTACTTCGAGTGACCACGTATCTCACGGATCAAGTCGGATGAGCTCTCTCATGAGATTTTGGAGCAAGTCCGAGTCAACCAGTTCAGGTGTTGACTCGGTTCCGGAAGGGGAATAGTTGCGCGCCACGTCCTGAGTAATTGTGATGTTAGTTGTATTGTTTTCTAGATATCCTTGATTAATAAAAGCTGGCTATGATGTTTCATAAGAATTTGGTTGCAGTTCCGGAAATGAATGGTGGACAATGAAGGAGAAGATACCAGAGCTACTATGTAGTTGACGTAGAGAAGTCGTGACTTGAGGCTGAGGTACCCAAGATGCCTTTGGTTGTTCGATTATTTTATCATCTTATCGGGCAGTCGTGGTGTGCAGCTCCGGGCTAGGTAGGTAGCTGCTATGCTCAAAGCGGGGCATGATGTAATAAGGGAGGTGTTGATGGTGGGGCGCTGCTCCCAGTAGCGCTCACTACCAGCTCATGCCTCACTGAGCCTCTCATGCGAGCGTTTTGCGATAAAAGAAGGCACCAACGAAAATCTCACTTCATCCGCCGACACTCAACACGCCTGGACCATTTTTTCGAGGCAACTTTAGCTTCCAATCTCCCAGGCTTAGATTCTTCTTGTTTCTCCTTCAGTCCTTCCACCACTCTTGGCCTTTCGGCGCCACGGTGATGCCCCACCATTCGAAGAATACCTCACGTTCATGATTCGCGATACTTGTCACTAGCCACGATGTCTGGTGCCAAGGCTGTACTGAAAGCCATTGGTGACTCTGTGAAGCAGCAAAAATGGAACGATGCCATCCAGAAGGCAACGGATTTTCTTGAGCGAGAGCCAAAGAACTACCAAGCGTGCGGGCTCACGGGATTTCCCTGTATCCACAAACAAGGCTTGCTGCTGACACTCCCCATAGAACCATCTTCCTTGCCTTTGCGCTAGACAAGAAGGGCCGCGTAGATGATTCAGAGAAGGCTTACAAGTCTGCTGCCTCGCTGCGACCCAAAGACAGCCAAGCGTGGCAAGGCCTCATCAAGCTCTACGAGAAGCAGGATCGCAAACGCTTAAGCGCCTACCAGCAAGCGGCCATCAGCTTGGCCGAGATTTACCGAGATGCAGAAGACATGTACAAGTGCCAAGATATCATTGACAAATTCATTGATTTTGCAAGATCTCAAGGAGATACTTCGCAATACGTGGAGGCCCTTAGTGTCATCCTTCCGGGAAGTCCAATTTATCCCGCTCTTGAGGGCCGAGTCCCGCACCCGGCCAAGACCTTCGAAACGATGGCGCAAATAATCGAGACCGACGAGAAGAAGCGCATAAATACTCTCATTGGCGAAAGGCGGACAAGGATTGGCGCACGCCTGAGTGAGGTGACTCTTGAGGTCAAGCGGGAAGTCATGGCGCAGAGCAAGCTGGAGTTCGTCTACCACCAACTGATCAACTGGACGAATGATGACGATCTCCGGCGGAAGTATGAAGAAAAGCTTCTTCAGTACTGCTACGACCGTCTTCTGGTCGCACCACATGGCCCAGAAAAGGGCCAAGCTCTTCAAGCTGTCCTGAAACTGGCGCTTGACATGGTTATTATCAAGCACCCCTTTCGGCTTGCCTGGGAGATTGCCATTGACTACAAGGACGCAAAGGAAATCAAGGAATGGGACGTCAATATGCTGAGAGACTATTGCTCATTCTTCCCTGAAACCGATCTCTACAAAGTCATCACTGGCTTTTTGACCAGTAGTATCTCTCCTTTCCCCAAACCAACACCGGCAGCACTTGAAGCCGAAGAAACCGAGGAAGAGAGCGAAGACGATGAGGGAGGTGGCGTTTCTATGGTGCCGCTCACAGAACAGGATAGAATCCTGATGATGACCGAGGGCATCACTACGTCCAACTCATTGTTTGCTCATCGTTTGATGGGAGAGTACTACCAACACTTGGAAGAGCACGAATCGACCGTGGAACTGACGCGCAAGTCGATGGGACACATCAAGACGGAGAGAAACAAGACTGGAATGACGTTCCAGAATACTCATGATGCCTTCTCTTTGTACCTGGCAACGGCCTTGGTATTCTATCAGTCTCCGAGACATCACACTGAGGCAAAGTCGCTGTTCGATGGGGTTCTGTCTCATGATCCGTCATCGACTCCAGCATTGATTGGCGTCGGTCTTATCTACGAAGAAGAGGAGGACTACGACGACGCAATAGATTTCTTTGGACGTGCGCTGAAGAGAGACCCCTCCAACCTGCGGGTCAAGACCGAATCTGCCTGGGTTCAAGCTCTCAAGGGAGACTTTGAGACTGCAAAGGCAGAGCTGGAGGATTCGCTACCCCTGATCGAGAAGATGTCAACGCCTTCAAAAGAGCTTCTTGCGCAAACACAGTATCGGCTGGGTTCTTGCATTTGGAACATTGATGCATCCAAGCCGGCCCGCAAGAGCCGCACAGGCGCCTATTTGTACTTCTTGGACGCCTTGAAGAGCAATCTCAACTTTGCGCCAGCCTACACGAGTCTTGGTATCTACTACGCCGACTATGCCAAAGACAAGAAGAGAGCTAGACGCTGCTTTCAGAAGGCCGTGGAATTGTCTGCCTCCGAGGTCGAAGCCGCCAAGCGCCTTGCGGAGTCTTTTGCCGACGAAGGTGACTGGGACAGAGTCGAGCTCGTGGCCCAGCGTGTAGTTGACTCGGGCAAGGTCAAGCCGCCTCCGGGCTCCAAGAGGAAAGGCATCAGCTGGCCGTTCTCCGCGCTCGGTGTGGCAGAGCTGAACAAGCAGGACTTTCACAAGTCCATTGTGTCCTTCCAATCTGCCCTGAGAATTCACCCCGAGGACTACCACTCCTGGGTTGGTCTAGGCGAGAGCTACTACTCCTCTGGCCGATACATCGCAGCAACCAAGGCGATCCTCAACGCACAGAAATTGGAGGAGACTGTGGCTGCTGAGACCCTGGGCGACACTTGGTTCACCAAGTACATGCTTGCTAATGTCAAGCGTGAGCTGGCCGAATTCGACGAGGCCATCACTCTCTACCAGGATGTGATTGAGGGCCGCCCCAATGAAGACGGAGTAGCCATTGCTCTGATACAAACAATGGTTGACAGCGCCCTCGATAGTGTCGAAAAGGGTCTCTTTGGTAAGGCGGTGCACCTCGCCATCGACACTATAGACTTTGCATCAAAGGCTGCTGTCAGTGTGACTGAAACCTTCAACTTCTGGAAGTCGCTTGGTGATGCTTGTTCCGTCTTCTCTGCGGTACAAAGCCGAGCGGTCGACTTTCCAGCAAATTTGATCATGACACTTATCGAAAGTGGCGACAAGGAGGCGTATGACCTCTTTGCCGACGTGGACAACGTGGGAACTGGGGTCATCTCCGCAAAGGGCCTGTTCTCTGAAGACGAGAGACTCGGTGTTGATCTGACGAGATGCATCCACGCAACGATCCTGTGTCACAAGCGGGCAATCCATGTCTCAGCAAACGACTTGCATGCCCAAGCAGTTGCATACTACAACCTCGGCTGGGCTGAGCACCGAGCCCATATTTGCCTGCCCTCAAGCATCAGGAAAAAGTCGAGCGTCTACTTGAAAACCGCCATGAAGTGCTTCAAGCGAGCCATTGAGCTGGAAGCCGGGAACTCGGATTTCTGGAACTCTTTGGGTGTCGTCACGAGCGAGGTCAATCCGGCCGTCTCGCAGCATTCCTTCGTTCGCAGCTTACACCTGAACGAGAGGAGCCCGGCAACCTGGACCAATCTTGGTACCCTAGCTCTTCTCCAGAACGACATGCAGCTCGCCAATGAGGCCTTCAACCGGGCGCAGTCGACGGATCCCGATTACGCGCACGCTTGGCTCGGCCAGGGCTTCGTGGCGCTTCTGTACGGAAAGGTCAAGGAGGCCAGGGCCTTATTCACCCACGCCATGGAGATCGCCGAGGCGTCTTCGATACTCACCAGACGCCAGTACTCGGTGGCAGTGTTTGACTTCATCCTGAGCACGACATCCGTCAACGTCGCCTCCCTCATCCAGCCAATCTTCGCCCTCGGCCAGCTCAACAGTCTGAAACCCCAAGACCTCGCATACGGGCATCTGTCTACAATGTTCCTGGAGCGAACCCACGATACCGGCAAGGCGGTGGAGATACTGGAGAAGATCTGCGGCATCTTGGAGTCCGACTACGAAGTGACCGAATCCCCGCAGTCCCTCGCGCACTTCGCGCTGGCCAAGACCGACCTGGCGAGGTCCTACCTGGCCTCCGGCGCATACGAGCAGGCGATCGAGTGCGGCGAGATGGCCATCCAGCTGAGCGCTGACGAGTCCGACAACGAGCTCAGCACGGAAGAGCGCAAGAAGGCGCGTCTCTCGGCGCACCTGACCGTCGGACTGGCGCAGTACTACAGCGAGGACGTCAACGAGGCGCTCCTGTGCTTCGAGTCGGCCCTCGAGGAGTCTGACCACAACCCCGACGCTGTCTGCCTCCTCGCGCAAGTGCTGTGGGCCACAGGCGCCGAGGATTCCCGCGAGAAGGCCCGCGGTGCCCTGTTCGAGGTCATTGAGAGGCAGCCCGGCCACGTCCAATCCGTCCTCCTTCTCGGCGTCATCGCCATCCTCGACAACGACGAGGAGTCCGTCGAAGCCGTGGTGTCCGAGCTCCAGGGTCTCAGGACCAGCCACACAGTAGGAGACGTAGATCAATCTCAGATCGGCGAGGTTCTCAACGCTATTGTAAAGCTCGGGGAAACGAGCACGGAGGAGGACGTCATGACGCAGATCCAGACGGACATCATGCTCTACCCGCACCTGCCTCACGGCTGGTCGAATCTGGCAGAGTTTGGTGGAGAGCAGCACGCCGCTGAGATGGCGTTGACTGTGGCCAAGAAGGGCGCGCCGCCTAGAGGCACCCTTGAGGCGGAGAGTTTGGCAAAGGCATATGCTGGGACGGGAGTCGCGGCGGATGCTCAGACGGCCATTTTCTTGGCTCCCTGGAAGCCTGATGGTTGGAACTCTTTGCGGGAGGCTGTGTACGGCAACTAAGCAAGTCGATGGACTGGTTTTGTAGTTGTCACAAAAGGGAACAAACGAAGTTTACACCTTGGATCAATGTTGGCGAGGGATAAACGAATAATCGTAGTCTCTTTACGAGAGCTCTGAGGGCTTACTGCAACCCTGCTTCCAAATAAAAGACTAAAAGGAAAGTATGCCCCCATTGACCAGACAAACCAAGGGTATCAATGCCAAACTCCAAGTGATGCCTCGCTCAACTCGTTCTCCTCGGGTTATATCACCTTTCAGCTTCGACAGCCTCCTTCAACCTCGCCATTCTCCCCTCTACCCAGGCCTTCTGCCACGCATCGACCTTGCCCCCGAGCATCACGCACTTCTCCGGCTCCAGCAACACCGTGCCCCTCGCAATGACCGTACCCTTCTTGAGCATGACCTTCTCGCCGATATACGTGCTGCCGATCCCGATCTTGTCTATCCGTTTGAGCTCCATCGCATAAATCTTGTTCCCCTTGGAGTCTTGCAATACCAGCCGATGCGTAGCGTTCCGTCGCTGCTGCTGCGGAGCTCTACTCGCTCCAACTGCCCCACCCTCGTCGATGTTATCATACTCGGGCTCCTCAGCCGCAGCAAGCCTCACGACCCTCCGGCCCGTCGTCTGCTCCCCCCTGGCAACAGCCTCGAGCTCCTCGACCTGCTCCCAGCGCGAGAGACTCAGGTTCTCGACGTCAAGGACCTGGCAGGGGACATCTTTCTGCAGGACCGACTCGGGAAGCTCGAGGGTCGGTGCCGGGAGGCTCGCAGTGGCAGACTGGTCGAGGAGACCCGGCGTTGTGAGGTCCGAGGCGAGCAGGCGGGCTTTGGCGGTCGCAATGAGCGAGGGGAGGGGAGGGGTCGGGACACGGGAGGTCAGGCTCGTCGTCCAAGGAATTGAGGGTGTCGGGAAGGACTGGGTTTGGAGGGCGGAACGTATCTTTGTCGTGTAGTCCATCTTATGCAACGATTGAGGTCGGTGATTGTCTACATCCTGTTGGTGTGTGCAGATTTGTGTAGTTTCTTCGATGGAATCTTGTTGGAGAAGAATAAGGTAGCTTCAGTGGGGTAAGCTACCCCAATACCTTGGAACCCTGGGCGCGCACCCCCACTGCAGATGCCGGACATTAGCATGTGTCACCTAGCGCAGCCTCGCTGTGCAGCTAAAGTTCAGGGGCTCCCCACAGGAGCTATGTCGCTGACCTATCGCCTTCATCCCCGTCGTCCTCCAATATCAGCCTCACTTCTTCCGATCTGTCACTACCTTGAGCTTCACACCACGTTCAGTACACCTTCCGAGCAGCCCTGAACCGGCCTCCTGTAGTTTTTATCTTGCAACAATCCAAGAGGGGCCTCGCAAGGCTGCTCAATCCCGCCAAGATGTCCACCATCGCATCCCCCCGCGAACCTCCAGCCCTTACCCGCCGCGTCTCGGCGCAACCACACACCCCGACATCCTCAACCAGACCCTCCCTCGACACCCCCCGCTCCCTCACAAGCTCTCCCAACCCAGGCTCCTCCGCCACCTTCGGCAACGGCGGGCCGGCGCCGGCAGGAGGACCCTCAAAGCGCGCGAACCGGGCCGCCCTCCGCGAGTACTACAACCTCAGAAAGGCTGCCGCGGCCGGCAGCGGCACGCCCCCTTCGCTGGAAGTCACTGAAGATAACGAACGCGCTGAGCACTCTGAGGTACCGCCCAGCGAGCTTGATAGCCCGTCCTTTGACGCCGAGGCGTACGTGCGCAAGGCGCTGGCGGAGAACACGCTCGACGACCTGCTGCGAGTGTACACTCGCGTGCTGGGTGAGATACGGGCACTGGACGCGGAGAAAAAGGCGCTGGTGTATGACAACTACTCGAAACTTATATCCGCGACGGAGACGATTCGCAAGGTAAGCAGAGAAAGAAAAAGAAAAGTCCTCTACATATTGGCTATTTTCAGAATCCAATAAGGACAAGCTCCGATAAACCTGCAGACAAAGCATGATGAAGGCTGACATATTATCTTGGAACGTGACAATAGATGCGTGCAAACATGGACCCCGTGAACCCCATGGCCTCGACCCTCGACCCCGCGATCGCGGGAATCTACGCCCAGGCGAGCTCGATCCGTGAGGCGCTACGCAAGACGGTCGCGCCGCCCAAGTCCAAGGAGCGCGAAGACGAGGCCGCAGCTGCGCGGAGGCGGAGGACGCGGGAGCTCGCGAGGGAGGTACTGGGGACGCCCGAGAAGCTGCGGAGGCTGGTCAAAGAGGGGAAAGTCGAAGAGGCGAGGAGGGCATGGGAGATGCCGCGGCGGCTGCTGGAGGTTTGGAGGGAGAAGGGGGTCGGCGGGAAAGACGTGGCAGAGTGCCTGGAAGAGGGGGATGCGGCGCTGAGAGGTGGCTCTGGGCAGAGCAGCGTGAGGGTGTCCAAGGACAGCGGCAGATCATGAGTCCCTGTTCGGTGTTTTGTGTGTTGGGGTTTTTGCGGGCATAGCGATGGCGTTATTTGGTGTTCGGGTTTAGAGCAATTCGGATGGCTTGGAGCAAAAGAGACGGATTCGTCAAACAGAACTGGACAAAAGTGACAGATTTCACACGTTTTTGCTTCATCAAAATTCCAGTGCATGGAACAACGCCTCTGCGACCCACTCGATTGGATTCGGTTTTGGTCGGTCCAGCAAATATACAGATCCAGGCATATATACATATCCTCACCTTGTAGCGTCCAAGAGGGTCATTCTTGAACACATCCTTGGCCGTGAGAACGGTCTTGAGACTAGGACTCGAGACATTTCGCTAGGAAGTGACGTCGAACGCCATCTACGGGTGGCTGATCCAGCTGATCCAGGCTGGTCTTTAGCCTCAGTTGTGAGCTTTATTCTCTCCTGTTTTCAAGAGGCACTGATTTTCCTTCGAATTTCAAGCTGCAATGCCTTACAGCTCGGATATGTCCACAATCTCAAACGGATCTCGGTCGGCCGCGCTGACGAGAACCTGCACATCGGGTTCCTTCTGCTTGAGCTCCCCCTCCAGCAAGGGTTTCATCACCTCGGTGAGGTACCCCCTCTCCGAGTTGCTGTGGAACACCGTCACGACCGTCTTGCCCTCCTGCAAGGCCTTGAGCGCGTTGTGGTGGCTCATCTCGCCCGTCACAACCACGTCCGCGGCCGCGCCCTTGACAACATCCCACCCGCTGCCCGCGCACACGGACACGGCGCCCACACGCGCCGTAGAGATGCCAGCCGGGTCCGGGGAGGCGACCATAACGCGGCGCATGCCCACACGAGAGGCCACGCGGCGGATGATGTCGGCGAGGGACTCGGGCTGGCGGAAGGTGCATAGCAGGCCGTAGCCTGAGCCCTCGAAACCGGCAGGCGCCGACGAGAGGGGGGTGATGACAGTGCGATCGGAGGGAGCCGCCGTTGAGGAGGAGGAGGCGGGGCCGCCGGAGACGATGTCGCCGAGCCAGGTGTTTAGGCCGTTGGGGGCGGCATCGACGGCGGTGTGGGGGCAGTAGACTGCGACGCCGTTGGCGGCGAGGAGCAAGAGTGTCGCTTGCTGGGGATCCTTTGTTGTGATGGACTTGAGGCCCGAGAAGATGAAGGGGTCTGGGAAACTGATTAGATGATGACGGTGGTGGCCATGGGTAACAGAGACTCACGATAGCTCACAATCACGCTTACGTTCTTCTGGATTGCCTCTTCGGCGACGGCGTAGGTGAGGTCGTTGGTGAGGAGGACGACTGGCTTCTTGGGCGTGGCTGTTTCCGGTGTCTCAATGTTGCCCAGGAGAAGACCGACATTGTCCCATCTCTTATCAGCGAGCTCTTCCGGGTAGCTGCGTGAGACGTTCCAGTGAGTATGACCTGCATTAGATCGTGACGTTGGCGAGACTTACTGCTTGCGCATGGCACCCATCACCAGGGCGGTGAAGCTGGGGGAGGAGTACTTGTTGCTGGTCGCCATTTTGAGAGTTGTTGTTGCAAGCTGAGTATGATAACGGCGAGAAGCCGTAGTGAAACAAAATTCAAATTTTTGTACTTTCGTGGAGGCCTGCACGGGTTGAAGCCGAAGGGTAGAAGTAGACCCGCAAGCTCGTCGACTTATATGCGCTGATGCCCTAGCAAGCTTGGTGCTCATGGACGGGATAGATGCCCTGAAACCAGTGAGCATAGCGTCTCTAGCGTAGTTCAGGCACAGGAAGGAAGACTAGACACACTCTCGTTTCTTTAGAAATTAATTGACATGCGACAAGCTCGAATATCTAATTTTCAAACTTGGGATTTGGCTGTTGTGAAGTGAGGTGGTGTTGTAGAGGGAATGCAGAGCTCGAGCTTCTTTCAAATATCCATTAAATGCATACTGAGATATCGACTGCCCTTCCCCATTGGTAAAAGCATCACCCGGCGTTTTGCTTGAATGACATAAGCCCCGCAGTGACACATGCCTCCACTTCCAAGGCGTATGCATCATTGTCTTCCATGTCAACAATCATCCTTTTCTCGACTGTCTCTTTGTTCTGCTGCGACATGAGCGTATAGAAACGCCTACATTAAACCCACCTCAGACCCAGTCTCTCAAGCTTTTACTTTCAAGCAGCACGAAAAGTTGCCCGAGTGATCAACTTGGATGCGGTGGTCGAGTGCCTTGGGTAAGTCAGGTAGGTACCCACACAGACAGGCGAGCAACGACACTGTTGCGGAGATTGCCAAGCTCACGGTATTCGATGTGAAATCTCTGCAAACCTGCCAACAACCACCAATCCGATATGGTGTAGTGGCCAACATGATGCCCTCTCACCCTCAATGAGAGGTTAGGCATAGCCCCGAGTTCGATTCTCGGTTTCGGAATTTGATAATTATTTTGCATTTTACGGTACTCCGCGAGCTTTTTGGGCGCAACGGATTTTCCCAGTTCCTTTCTCCATCCTTCAGGTTCTCTGCTGCATTGTTTTATTTTAAGAGAAATTATCAAATGGCCAGCCAGCCATTTGGATGGCTGGCTAACTTGTAAGGTATTTCACGTTTAAGAATATTGAGGTTTAATAAGGTAGGTAGATAAATGCGTAATAGCCAATGCAGATAGCCCTCAACTAAGAATCAATTGCGCAAACCAGGAACTTGATTCTTTCCACATAGTGATTTTTAACTTCAAAGGTAAGACATTAACGAACACTTTTGTTTCTCAAGCTGGACGAAGACATCGGCACTTGTGGTAATTGACTTCAAATCCTTTTGAAGTCTCGGTAAACCAGAGTCGTAGAGTCATCTGCAATATCCATTGCGCTCGCCCTCGACTCTACTGATGGATGCCACCAAAGGAGCAGTTGCATGTATTCATAGGGAAATAATTTGGAAGACGTTGGGAATGGATAAAGCTTTGAAAAGGTAGGTAGCCTGCCTATACGAGGCTCCTTTACAACGTCCAACTCATGGTCAAGTTGGCCAGTGTTCTGTTCTATATCTCAGCCCATTGTTGCCTAGTAAAACTTGTCAGAGGTATCTTGGGCAGGTTCGCACATCGACCCAACTCACTTTCATGGCAATGATCCAATTGCCCCCAGTGAACGTTAAAGGAAAGTTTGCTTTCAGCCACATGGATTTAAAGGGGAACCCGAAATAAGATACTTGAGCAAGATATGCCAGATCTGAATGAAAAGGAACACAAAAGTGCAAGCAAGGTACCAAAGGTAAGTTGACAGAGCAGGGCATAACAGCAATGAACAGCATGTTTTACCAGGTCCCCAGAAGAAAGCCGCCGAAACGGAGCCCCGATGACGGAACCACTCCGCCCAGCACAGCCAGAGACCCCACCATCTAATCAATCTAATCGCCGACAGCCCACCACTACAACCCACCACAGAAGCAAGCACCTCCGATTTTCGACAATCTCCCAACCCAAGCAGCACCGCACTACCCCCGCCGAATACCCGATCGTTGCTCTTGCCCAAAACAATAGATCACTTCACACGCGCGCGCGCGCGAGAGAGAGAGAGAAATGGCAAACCAAATAACAGAGGCCTCGCTAAAGCAGGCCCTCACGGAGCGTCTGCAGGCAATTCACGTCGAGATCTCGGATATGTCAGGTACGCTTTAACCCCAGGGGGAAAAAAAAAAAGAGAACGCCCCCCCCCCCCCCCCCCACGTCATACCCCGCCATGTTAGAAATCAAAGTCCCCATTGCGCATCGCCATCGATCGCGCCCAGCACCCTCGCCTCTCCCGTGTACCACCGTTTGAGATTCCAAAACTTCATTCCTTCCAGGCTAACCGGTTGTTTTCCCCGATTGAACAGGCGGCTGCGGCCAAGCCTTCACCTCGACAATCGTCTCTCCCGCCTTTGAGAAGCAAACCTCCCTCAAGCGCCACCGCCTCGTCAACGCAGCCCTCAAGGACGAGATCGCCCAGATCCACGCCTGGAGCGCAAAGTGTCAGACCCCCGCCGAGTGGGAGCGTGACAGGGCTGCTTCCGGCGGCAGCAGCGAGGGCCCGCCGATGGACGGGACCGTCGGCGGCAAGGTGGAGGGCGTTGCGCAGTGAAGGAGAGCATCGGACCGGACCGGCCGCCTGGTTTGGACACAGCATTATCGTCACTGTCACTTCGCGCCTATCATATAGATGGCTTTGGGGCAAGGCAGAGTGTGGACACAAAAGAACGCATTATACGTACTTTCCAATGCGTGGCGTAAAGACAGCCATGCATGAATCAAAAGAACATGGAGACATCTTGGAGGATGGCGCGATAGGTGTTTTGATCTAGACAACCCCTTTTCGAGTATATACATATGTTTAACGGAAAGCAGAGAAGCAGAAGCAGGCTTTTCATGGCTTCGTTCTTGTCATTTATCAACCTACTCCTAACAGCATGCCTGGACTCCCAATGAACCAGCCCCATTAGTAAGAGATCTAGAACAACCCCAGCAAGTCCTCGTTCGTCTTCTTCCCGTTTCCTTCGCTGGCTTGTGCCTGCGCAGGCTGGTGTAATTGCATGCCAGCCGGCAAAGGCTGCCCAGAGCCTGTGTTGCCAAAGTCAAGCCCAGCGAAGCCATTCATCATGTCGTTCATACCGCTGCCGCCTCCTCCTCCTCCGGGGCTCATTGGGTTGGCCGCCGGCTGCTGTTGCTGTGGCGGAGGAGCATCAAACAGACCCATCATATCAGCCATGGCACTTGAGTTGCCACCTCCCGAAGGACTAGCAACTCTGTCTGGTGTGTTGATGTTGCTCTGCTGCTCGGCTGATGCAGGGGCAGCACCGTCGAAGTCGATGTCGAGCAAGTTTTCGATATTGTTTTGTGAGTTGGCATTGCCGTTCGCCGCGGCCGCCACTGACGCTGCAATGGGGTTCTCGGCCGCCTCTTGCCGCTGTTCGCGGATGGCCGCGCGCTGGATTTCGTCTGCTCCATAGCGACCCTTGCCAACGAAGGATTCTGGTGGCTTGTGGTACACTGACGCAAGAGTAGAAAGCTCTGCGAGAAGTTGCTCCAGGAGAGCTGGGGGTAGGCTAGTCATTGTTGTGGTAATAGCGGGCTTCTGAGAAAGAACAATACTTTTGGCGACATCCAAATCGCCTGACAAGAGACGCCAGTAAACGTAAGCTCTGTCCCTGATATCTGGGTTATCGTTGTCTGTTGTAGCCTGTTGGAGTACCTTCTGGACCAAGCCTTGGTTGCTGCCGGGCTTCTTGAGGAAAAGCTTGACCACAGCAGTAAGGATTTGGAGTTGAGTCTGCTACCGGTTAGCCAAGTACTTCGACGTATGGAGTCGTGCGACGAACCTGTGTGAACTCCTCCATGAAACCCTCTACGAAACTTTCTAGGATATCATCGGCATTGTTGATCTTCTCGGCGTACTCTCCCACGATCCAAATCAGCGATCCTCTTGCCGTTGGCTCATCCAGCTCATCAATATACTGGCAGAGCGTGGGAATAACGCCCTCGTAACCAGGGTATTTACGGAGAATATCCTTGATCACAACCACGACTTCCTGCACAACGTAGTTGACCTTGGTAGCAATCAAATCCAACAGTGCGTTGACGCACTTTTGGCTGGCGCTCTCGAGCTTAATCGCAACCTGGCCAATGGCCTTGACCGCTCGTTTGACGAAGTCCATGTCGACTTCCAGAGCGTATTCTTTCAGTTCTGCGAGAAGCTGGTCAAAATTCTTCTCGTTGGCTATCCGAACCATAATCTCGAGTTTTTGAAGTTTGACGTAGGGAGGATCGTTGTATTTGCAAAAGAAGACGCGCAACTCTTTGCTAAGAATATCGGGTTTGGCTTGGAGGAGGAGGTCAATATTGCGCAGAGCAACGTATTGCACTTCAGGGGCGGAAGCCACGAGCGTGACAAGGGGCGGCGCCATCTTCTTGAGGTAAGATCGTACAAGCTCCGGGCTGACCGCCTTCATGTGGATGAAGACCACCTTCACGGCAGCTAAAACCACGCTGGGGTTGACGTGCTGGAACTGCGGCGCAACTCTTTCACAAATGTGCTCAGACTCCTTAGTATCCGCAGCAGGGTAATCGGCCAGGGTGGTCAGGATAGTGACGCGTCCCCATTCCGTGCACTCGTTGAGAGCCATCAACAGCTTCTTCAGTGTCGCCGGGGTTACTACCAGCGCTCGAGTCTCCGGTGCTGTTTCGGTGATCTCTGAAAGCGCCTGAACCGAGTTTGCGACGACCATCGGATTCGGGTCCCCAATCAACTCCTGCAGCGACTCCAGGAAGCCATTCTCTATGCACATCGATGGGTTGAGATCGAACAGTTTGGCGACACAAATAGCGGCCGTTTTGCGAACGTATGGCGATTCGTCTCGTAGTGTCTTCCGCAGCGGCTCTTCCATGTAGTCCACCATTTTGTCAACTCTGATACAACCCATCGTTCGGATCGCAAGCGCACGAATGAGGGGATTTGGGTCTTCGGAATCTTGTACGAATGTGTTGACGGCCAGAATACAGAGATCCGGATGCGACTTCGCGTAGTTCCTTGGTGCCTGCTGTCAGCAGCTACTCTAGACAACACGTCAAGGGTGTGAGATCAGATTGCGGCCGCAGACTCACATCAAGTACAAATAAACCAGCTTCTTCTGGTCCAGGTCGCCTGTCGCAATGTTCTTCAGGACATCGGGGAACAAGGCTGACACGTCCTTGCCTAACGTCATCGCCATAATTGTCTTCTGGATGGACTCCTTGCGCTCGTATGCATATTGAGAGACAAGTCCTGCCCGCAGCTCAAAGGTCTCTCCCTTCCTCGGGACAGCAAAGGCCCCTCGAATCCGATTGACCGCCATGATGTTGGAAGATGCTCGAGGTGGAAGTAGGTCTGATAGTTCAGGGTGGTTGTTGGAGGGAGCTAGAGGCGATCTGGCGGACGAGAGAGGTAGCCAGTCCGATCAGGACCTGGACAAGCTCATCCAAAAACGAAGTCTCGGGAGTCGACAGCAGTCCGCTTGCTTTTGCTCGTCGTAGGTATCCGGGGGATGCAGCAAATGCACCTCGTCGGTATTCGCCAAGAGGATGAGGTGGTGGAAGAAGTACCTGGCAGTAGAATGCACCCCTAACCTTAATCGCAGCCTGGCCAGCCTGGCAGTGCTGGGCCCTGCGGTGCTCCATTTCGCTAACTGAATGTTCCTCTAACCCCTTGAAGGCGCCGCAACGATATTCATGCAACAATCGAGATTATCATCATATCAGAAACTACAGAGGTACAAGGTACCGAGCTTTAGGAGAGGTAGTAAACATTGATGAGCTCATAGCAACACCGCCGTTTCCATCTTCTGCCCTTGATCTCACATTCGCTTGCAATTCTTGTTCCCCCACGGCGCTTCGACGCTTGTAGTCCACTCAAGATAGAACAGTCCTTGTGGAATTCAGCTTAGGTCTGCTACTCGAGAGACGGCCAACAACAACCACAAAATCTTCATGGTAAGCCGTTTCCATTTCATCTAGTATATGGCTGTCATCTAACAAGTCTTGCAAAGGCCACGCTACCCAACCTACGTCGACTCTTTATCGAGGCAAGGACGGATGATGAAGAAAGAGAAGTGTCTAGGAAAGCAGTGAGTCAATGTGAAATAGCTTAATGGTACTTTGAAACTAATCAAACGTCCACAGTTCTACAACGCAGTCCTCTTCATGAGTTCTGTGACTATTTTCAGCTTGATTGCTCAGAAAATGAACGCCGTCAAATGAAACGATGCACTCATCAACGAAATTCTGATTGAATCACGAATGCCAAGCTTCTTGACGACTGCCTGCCGCCTTTGAAACCAAGAGGTTCGCAAAGCCTGCTTCAAAGCTCCGCAGTCTAGGATGCCGCTCTCCGCGACGAGATCATAGGGCACGAGGCGGATCAACCACGAAAGACACATCTCGAAATATGACAGGAGCTTCTGTGCCTGGGGTCTCCTACTGCGGGCGGCCTCTTGCTACGATGACCGGGATAGTGAGGCTCTTGAGGGCAGGATCTGGCCCTGATACGGCGGTTGATGATCCACTGAGATTTGACGTCGCATTTTCAAGGGGGACCTAAACATTTTCTCAGATTGAGGCGTCATATGCGGCCTCAAGAACACGCCGAAGAAGTGCAGGACTCTTACGAGAGGCAAGCGGTTGGCATTGCGATGCAAAAACAAGCCATGCCAGGCTCTGTGGCCCAAGTCACTGATATCAATAAACATTATTAAATTCTTGGGTGCGTGAACTTTGGCTTCTGGCAGCATTGCCGGATGATCTTATGGCAGCGCAAGGTGAAATCTTGCTTCCTCAACGTCCATCTCAAACAGCTCGCGTCAATTTCTCTTCACGAGCTCCTGTATCTTAAGTGTTTCCACAAAAGCCATAGTCTAGCCAGAATATAAGCCATCGGCCGAGTTTCTGACTTTGAATCTCGTTATCTATGATCCAGTACTCCTAGGTTCCCTTTGAGCTATCCCAAATTCTGACCAAAGGCCCGTCAGGCCCGTACAAAGGATCATTCGGCGGTAAAGGAACGGCGGAAACCTCCTCGATCAACCCACTCTTCTCCTTCTCCAATGTCTTCGTGCAAAGCTCGCAATTATGATCAGGTGAGCATTCGGGTTACACTCCAACCTATCGATATTTTCTCTCCTTCGATAGTCGCCCCTGTTCCCTCGGCCTTTGATACAGACATATGTCCGACGGCTCGCACTGAACATCGCACTCCGCTGCCGAATTTATCCAAAGTCCTTTCGCCAAACACAAACTCTGAGCTGCCTTGAAAAACGCCTTGGTTTGCAACTCAGTCGAGTTGATCGTTAAAAGAGGATCGATAAGACTTCCCGTAACACTCATGTGTGCTTGGATGAAAGTGCTTAATACTCATAATACCCCAGGTCCCTTGTGCATAAGAGATGATGCTCAAAACACGATATCTTCCTCATAGAAGCAACTCGTATAGTTTTTGTTCGCACCCGGGTCTTTCTAATCAATGACGGTCTGGCTTTGCCCTTCGCACGCCGGCTTCTTCGAGTCAATTGACGACGCCAAGCAGACAGCAAAGTGAAGAGTATGTGAGGCAAGCCACCGGGGTTATCTCTGAACGTCACCAGGAGAAGACGTCGGCTCCGAGGACCCCTCCATTTTATGATTTCCCACCAATCCTATGATCAATGGGGCAAATTGGTATCCCTAACTCTATCGTAACATCAACCCAAGCTTGCCGACCAACATCTTGACTGCTGATCTGGTCTTATTCCTCAAATTCGTCCACAACATCGTCCTGCCCTTCCTTAGTCGGCGCCTTCGCCTCCTGCTTCCTCCACAAGCCGGCAAGGAACTCGTTGGTGCTCGCCTCGTCCATGCTCTTGTCCTCGCGCTTCTTCAAAAATCGCGGGAATCGCAGGCTCAGACCACGTTCGTCGCTGACCAGCCCAATAGCGGCTGTGTATGTTGGACTTAGCGTGATGTCCGCAAACGCCATCTCCCATACCTCCTGGGGCTCAAACCACACGTCAGGCTCCGGACCAGAGTACTCAACGAAAGCCGGCTTCTGCAAACGAGTATTCTGCCTCTCGGCCAGCTCACCATCATCATAGTGTTCCCTGTTCGCCTTGTAGAACGCGTCGGTAAAGCCCGACATGCACTTGCACACGACCTCGAGGGAGCCGCTGTCCTCGTTGCGGACGGCCATGAGGATCGGCGACCACCACTTTGACTTGCGGCCTGATCCATGCCAGGCCGCCACCGGAATCATGTCCAATGTCTCAAAGCTTGCGTTATAGTCCTTTTTGACTTTCAGCCATGAGTCCAATCGTTTATCGGGCTCATATGTGGCGAGGAGAGGCTTGCGTCTCCCCTTTTTCTTAGGAGCACCCTCTTCATCCTTGCTGCCTTTGCTCCTTGATTTTGACTTTGACGGCGTCCTGGGTTCCTCGGCAACCTCAACATCAGCGTCCGCTGCGTCCTCACCTTGGTATGGAACGTCGGCCAAATTATCCAAGATTTTGACCATGATGCCCTCGCACTTGATGTCCGTTGCCGCCTTGAAAAACTCCAGTACAGCATCGGAGTCTTGTGACGTGGCATCCAAGCTTTTCACCCAGGTAAATTGGCGGGGAACTTCGATGAACATGGACCGCAAAAGTTCTCTTCTTTCTCGGAAGGGGCGGTTCAAGAGAGGTTGTCCGTTGAGAAACATGAGGTCGAAGGCGAACATGCAAACGTTGACCTGTACGCTGCCAATAGCGACATCCTTCCGCGCTCGATTGCTCAGAGTCTGGAAGTTCTTCAAATCTCCCGTCTCGCTGTCCACGGCGACCACTTCGCCCTCCATGATGAAACTGTCAACGCCTTCGCCCCGAACCTTGGGCATCAATGCGACCAAGTCGGGATACTTATCCGTCATGAGTTCGAGATGTCTCGAGAAGATGGAAATCTTGCCCTTTTCATCGCAGTGAATCTGTGCCCGCTGCCCGTCATACTTAAACTCGCAGGCAAAGTCTCTGCCTTGTAGCTTCGTGAGCATTTCGGAAAGATCTCTCGTAATACTTCCCAACATGGGTCGAAGTGGTATGTGTAACGTCAAATCACAGCGAAGTAACAGCTCGTCGCAGATGCCAATTTCCAGCAAGGCAGGCACAAGGTCGTTGTAGTTGGGACGTCGCGCAAAGCAGGCTTTCAGTATTTCCTCTGGCCTACTCCATACTTCAGCTAGCTCTTCCTTCTTTAGTTTTTGAAGGTCCTTAACTGATCGTAATGGGAACTCGGCCCCCGAAGGTCGGGAAAGGAGAAAAGCCCTTGAGAGAGCGATCAACATGGTGGTCTTGACAGCACCAATACGTAGCTACTCATGTTAGGCAATCATTGAGGAGAGCCGTTGGAAAATTAAAACTCACATGTTGACAAAGCGTTCGTACGATGTACCTGCTCTCTTCGCCGCCACGAGCATCTTGTAGTAGGCGATCGACAATTCTCTGCTTTGCTTCGCCGCTTCCTTGACCTTGGCTATTGGCAATCTTGACCAGAGACTGGTAGACAGCCTTGATGGTCAAGGGTTTCGGTTTTCGCAATGTGAAGTTTTGCTTCTTCTTCGCCTCAAATGCAACGTCCCCAGCATCGCCGTGCTTGTCGTAAATGGTCTTCAGAGCGCGACTGTTTAAACCACACACTTGTTTCAGTGCCTTGGAGATCGCTGACCCTCCCAAGCCGAGCTCTAAGGAGATGTAAGGGGGCGAGATGGAATTAGTTGCAAGCCAGACCGCGGGTAGTAGGCTTTCCGGATCAGCTTCAATCAGTACTCTGATGCAATTCACCAGAGTATCCACGATTTTTATCCGACTTTGCGTTGCGGACACCAGAATGAAGCATCGGGTGAGGAGTGCATAGGAAGCATGCCCTCCCTCTGCCGCCCATTGCTCCTTCAGCTGGGGAACAAATTCTGAAGGGTCAAAGGTCAGCGGACTTTGATCCAGAGGAATGGTCGTGGAAACTGTGTCTTCGGCATTCGCCACGGAGGATAGCGAAAGCGTGTTTGTCTTCGGCGTGACAATTGGGAGCACTGTAGATGTCACCGAGTCGGCCTTCGAAGGCTTTGTCTCGGTAGCTTGCCCTCCATTGCTGTCGTTCAACTTTGGACTTGGTTCTTTTTGGGACTCAGGACACGGCGTGGATTCTGCTCTTTCATTCTGCACCTCCGCATCCCATTCCGCTTGCAGCTTCCTGGCAAGCTCCTCATCCGTCAATTCCGGCTGCGGATCGCCGGACCCTGTGCCATTCGGTACAACATCAGTGGTAGGCTCCGGCGCGGCTTTTGGTGACGATGTGCCATTTTGCTTCTGTTTAGAGAAGAAATATTCCAAACCTCTCGAGGGCACTCCGGTTGAAGATTGATCGTTCAGCTTCCTCTTCTTACTTGGGCTTGGCATGGCGATGATAGGTTGCAATGTGCAAATCTAGCGACGAGAAACATTGAATGCTGGTTGAATATAGAGCAGGTGAAGTTGCATTCCCGTGGTCTATTCTGAGGAGCCCAGTCGAATCCCGCTTCCTTCTTTTCAATGCTGTAAGTTCATCGCCGAGCCTTTGCTGAGGCACTCTGCTGAGGCAGCTCACCCCTGCCAAGCATATCAGTCAATGACGCCGCTGCCTCTGCGATCCAACCCAGAGGGTACGTGCACTTTCCCAGCCACCCCCGGAGGATCTTCCTTAGTCAGCAAACACCCAATATCCAGTTCCGGTGGAGGTGAACAAACGGGCACACCTTTCCCCTTTTTCCGGCGCTAAGCCTCATTTGACGACCCAAGCGACTTCCACACAACAACACACTCGAACTTTTGGAAATCTTTCGCCAGGGCGGCCCAAGCCCCACCAGCGGCACCGATTTCTTCCTTCCCCTCCACGATACCTCTCCTAACCCGCCGAACCTCGAAAACCACCTTTCACACCCCCCCACGCCGTACATAAAACCAGCAAACATGTTGAACGGCGAAGATCCGCCCGAGCGGCCCGACTACATTGTCAACATCATCAATGGCCTCGAGCGCTACAACCCCGAGGCCGTTGTCAACCTCGAGTCCTACCTGCAGGAGCAGTGCGAGCAGAAGTACTGCGACTGCAATGCGAATCGGACACTCCTGAAGCTGTGAGTCGCACCTCGATGTATAAACAACTGCCGCCACGCGTCCTTCTTGACACATGTTGGTGGTGTCAGTACCCCAACTTGGTCTTGCGCCGGTTACATGATGATCGTGTAAACGTTTCCTATTACCTGACATGCACTGGTTGTTCCGTCATGAACCCCTCAGGCGCAACTGAAGTCAGCACATGGTGTTAACTGAACGATACCGGAAATCAGTTCTGAGACATTTGTTGAAGCTTGCATCATCATGGAACTTGACAGCTGACCATTTGTTTCTTCTCTCCTCCGACAGGTACCAGCTCAACCCCGACCGCCTCAAGGATGAGGTCGTCACCAACATCCTCGTCAAGGCCATGACCCAGTTCCCCTCCCCGCAGTTCACCCTCGCCCTGCACCTCATCAACCCCTCCACCATCGCTCAGGGCGAGCTCCACGAGGCTGTCGCCAAGCTGCGCACCCTCAACAGCCAGCTCGAGGGCTCCCAGTACGCTCGCTTCTGGAACACCATTGACGGCGACGACCTCTGCGCCGATCTCATCGCTGATATCTCGGGCTTCGAGGACCTCATCCGCAGCAACATTGCCAACTCGGTCGCTCAGGCCTTCCGCGAGGTCAGCCTGTCCCAGCTTGAGTCGTGGCTCGGCCTCAGCACCGACGCCACCGCAAAGTTCGTCACCGAGGTCGCCGGCTGGACCGTCGGTGACAATGGCGTCGTCACCATCCCAAAGAATGCCGAGAACGAAGCCAAGAAGTCGGAGATCAGGGAAGACGTTAATGTCGACATGTTCTCGAGGATTCTCCGGAGATCATGGGAGGAGACGGCGTAGAATAAATCTTTTTCGAAAAGAAAAACGAAAAGAGACATCGCACGACCAAAGGCTTCGGTGCGAGGATGAACAGAGGAAGGGGACGCAAGGGTGATGATCACACCCTTGGCTGCTAGTAGCTCCGTACATGGAGTTAAGGCTGGAAGAGAGCATGGCGGCAAAAATTACCGGCGTTCACTTTTGACTTTGGAATCGGGGGCCATAGAGTATATCCCTGAATATGAGACATGCCACAAGATTTGAGATGTCGTATAAACACTTTCCTTCGTTATCTTCATGTGCATGGAACTTTTTGCCTGTCCCCCCCCTTTTTTTTACCGAAATGCAGCAATTGTCTCATCATCGCTTCGAGAGCTCCTCCCACTGAACACCACACCACTCCTCGAGATACCCGGCCTCACCAACCTCAACGCCCCGCTGCTGACAATCCGCCTCGCAAACGCCGACGATGATGGTGCCCCAGTCCATGCCCTCGAGCGACAGCTCCTCCGCCTCGAGCTCCGTAATGGCATGCGGCGTCATCTGCACCTCGAAGACGCGCTTGGCGCCGCAGTTGCCGCACCGTGTCATACCGCCGCCGCCGCCCAGCTTCGCGCCGACAGCGTCGGCCTTGGAATACAGCAGCGGCGTGCCGTTGAACTCGTACCGGATAGCCTGCTCCGGGTTCTGCTCCATGCGGTCCGCAAACTTCTGGAACACCGCGTCCATGGACGACTCAAAGACGTCCTTCATGTCGCCAGCGGCGCCGCTGCCCCCCTCGTTATCCACCTCCATGCGCGCGTTCTGCGGCACGGGTATGGGTTCCGGGTCGAGCGTCTCAAACTCCGCGTCCGCGAGGTAGGAAATAGGGTACGGCTTGGGCAGGGCGTCGGCCGCGGGCCAGAGCTCCGGCGGCGGTGGCGGTCCGGCGGGCGTTTGCGGGTTATTGAGGTTCAGGGTCTCGGCGAAGGTTTTGGGGAGGGACGAAGCTGCGTCTTCCGCCTCCCTTTTTGCTGGCTCGGTTTCGGCGGGCTTCGAAAACGGGTTCGACGGGGCCGCGGTGCCAAAGGGGCTGCTCGAGGAGGCCCCCGTGCTAAAGGGGTTCGCGTTGCCCCCGAATGGGTTTGCCGCAGCGGAACTGCCGCCAAAGAGCGCGCTGCCCAATCCCGAGCTGACGTCCTTCTTGGGTTCTTCCTCCACCTGTCTTTGAGGCTTCGTTTCCGCCTTCTTTGCTGCCGCTGCTTGTGCCTCCTTGGACACCTTGACACCTCTGACAGCTCGGATGCTGCCTTGTTTGCGCCGGCAACTCGCCTTGCGACAAGCGAAGACGTACAAGCGGCGCTCGTGGCCGGGGAATTTTTCGGGGAGCTCGCCGTTGAGCTGCAGAAGCTGGACCATGATATCGTTGCACACTTTGCAGCGCGCGAGTGCTGCTGAAGCAGGTTGTCCGGGGTTCAACCAGTCCTACAAGTGAATCGGTGTGTCAGTCAATCTGCGGGCCATCTCTATTTGTCGATGTGCGGCAAGGGGACTCACTGGTTGACCGCCGAGACGACTGATGGTGTCCTCATCAGCATCCTTGCTGGCGTAACCTAGCAGGACGTTGGTCTCGGTGAACTCCTGCTCGGAGGAATCACTTTCGTAGTCTGCCATGGTTTCGTAATTTGGACGAGGTATGAAATGCGAGACTGACGGCCTGGGCTGGGTACGTGGGGTCAAGATTTTTTGGCGCTCGAAATATTTCGATGCGGGGCTTATCTTATCGCTCCTCGCCCACCCTCCTTCAGCGAGGGGTAGCAAACAGGCCCGAACTGCTGCCCCTGAATTGCCGCAAACACTTTGAGTTGGCACACTTCACCCAAAGGACTGCAAGATTTTGTCTTCATGGTTGGATATCATTCCGGCTCTCAGCTTTGACAGGTCTAAGATCAACGCCTTTTGTCTACCGTGCCAACAGTTTTTACATTGGAATCCATCAAACTCTTTACTCCTCAGGGCCGTCCATACCAGGGCCAGGGCCTCCCGCTCTGCCCATCTGTCTCGCCTTCAAGAGTTCGTCGCACAGAAGGAGGTTGGAAGCAATGCTTGAACTCGAGGCGATGCAGTTTCTAAGTACTCTGAAGGAGTCGAAGATACCCTCGAGCTCTGCATCCATTGGCTCACCCGTTGCCAGGTCCAAGCCCACAATGTTGCCATCCGCGTGCTCATCTTGCATAGCAGCAACTGTGACGTGTTAGTAGGTCCTCGTAGTAAAGATTCGGTGCACTTACGAGCATCCTGAATGTCAAGACCGGCGTTGGCAGCGAGAGTCTTGGGAATGATGAGCAAAGCATCAGCGAAAGCCTCAACACCCCACTTAGCCTTGCCCTTCACCGTCTTGGAGAAGGCATCGCTCTTGAGGTGCGCCGCGCAGGCAACCTGGAAAGCACCAGCGCCAGGGACAACGCTCTTGTCCACAATCATGTTGTAAACACTGCGCAGACCATCACGGACGGCGTCCGTAACCTGGGTGATGGTGTGTGCGTTGGGGCCCTTGATCAAAAGGGTGACAGACTTGGGTTCCTTGACCTCCTCGATGAAGGTGTACTTCTCCTCACCCAAAGTCTGCTCGTAGACAAGGCCAGCCCATCCCAAGGACTCGGGTGATAGGTCGTCAACACTGTTCTGTGCAACACCACCGCAGATGAGCTGCAATCTCTCCATGTTTCTTCTCTTGGCACGACGAAGGGCGAGAATGCCGTTCTTCGCCAGGACATCGAGAGATAGAGGATCAATGCCCTTCTGGTTGACGATGACGAAGTTCTTGGTGGGGTCGTTTCCGCAAACCTCCTTCTTCAATTCGACAATCTTCTTCAGCTTTGCGTCGACGAAACGGCGCTCGCTCTCGACCAGCTTGTCTCTCTGCTCTGCGCTAGAGTAGAAGAAGCCAGAGTTGATTTCAGACTTCTCGTACTCCAAGCTGACGTTCATCGTCAAAATGTAGGCATTCTCGACGCGCTTGGGCATGTCGGGATGGCGGGCGCCGTGGTCGAGGGCAAGACCCTTAATCAACTGGGTGTCAGAGGCGGTCCGGTGCTGCATCTTCATGATCTCAACCATGTGCAGATCGGGCTTGGCCGGGGCCTGGTAAATGGCAAGGACAGCATCGACGATATCGGGGGTGAGTTTGGCCGCAAGGTTGGAGTTAAGCTTGGTGGAAAGCGACGTGCGGGCCACAGACAGAAGCAGCTCACGGTCAACCTCCTTCTCGAGCTTGAAGCCGTCGAGGAACTATTCACCCGTCAGCACCATCATTCGACTACTGTTCAAGAGATCTGCACCTTCAGCGCCTCGTTCTTGGCGATCTCGAAACCATCCGTGATAATTCTAGGGTGCAGTCCTTCCGAGATATAACGATCCGCCTGCTTGAGGAGCTCTCCGATCAACAAGACAGCTGATGTCGTGCCGTCTCCGCAGATATCATCTTGTGCAGTTGCAGCTCTGGCGATCATGACGGCGGTGGGATTTTGTATTTGCATCTCGCGCAGGAGAACGTTTCCGTCTTTTGTCAACTTGATCTATTCGGCGCGCATTAGCGGTAGTTATTCAGGGGCGGAGGGGTAGTGATTCGCACTTGACCGGAGCCATCAACAAGCCTATAATTGTTAGCATTTTTCTCAAAGACGCGGGCGGCGACAGATTTACATCTTGATAGTGCCCAGAGGGCCGAGGTTGGACTTGAGGACATCCTGGAGGCCTTCACCGGCGCTGATGTTGACCTTCAGGGCTTCACCCCGCCGCTGCACCAAGCGTTAGTATTACAAACAATATCGGCAGAGAAAGGGTCGCGCACCCTCGATTCGGCCTTGGGGTTGAGCAGTTGCGCCGCAGACATGTTGGCTTGAGGTCGTCGAGGGGTTCGTGAGGGGGTATCGGTCGGTAAGGTTATTGGATTAGCGACCTGACGTGGAGTGTTCTCGAGATTGACCTGGCCCCGGGGAGCTTCAGATGCGGGACTCTGCTGGTGACTTTTTTTCTGCCTCGAGGTGGCAGGCGGTCAGGCACTGGTAGAAGGTGCTGGCTCGCTACCAGCTTGGTGGTGGGTGCCTGGCAGTTAGCACGGATAGTGTGCTCGATTTTTCATAATCCCCTTTACACGCATATATCTATGTAAAGCTTAGTATGTAATCAGTGAGGCATAAAAGTGAGATGCATCTGTCAGCACTACCTACATCAGGATGTCCCATGATCCGTGCGTCATTAGCGGCCGATGGGGTGATTGTAAGGTAAGCTGAGAGCGGGAGCCCGGGATATGGGGACTTGGGGGGTCCCCTAAAGGACCACCGCTATGAAACCTTCACCCAAGAATAAACCGCTGCTTTACCCGGAGCCGGTGCCAGTGACATCCCTTGCTTGGTGGTCGCAATGGCCAAGCTCCTTGATTGCAACTATGTTGGATGCATGCCTCTAAAGACTACATCTGATCATCTAGACCTATCGAACGTGAAACTTTAATCAAGATGGAGGCGTATAGATGACTATTCCATTGGTTTCTGTTTCGCCTACTCGCAGCATCATCTCCGTTGGCTATGCCAGAGGATGGTTGCCGAGACCACCCTCGAGATGACAGCAACCAAGGTAAAGCGGCGGTTTGTTTACTGACCCTGAGTTTAATTCATTTGGGGACCTCCCGAAGACACCACACATATGACGAATCTATTTCATGCTCTCTTTTCATCCTGTTCATCCTCCAAGTGTCCTTAAAAGTACCTCAGTCTCACACATCTCCCTCTCCTCAGCTACTTCCACTTCTCCTTTGCATTTTCTTCATCTCATTCTGTGATTCAATATCTATACCCTTCCATCTACGCCGCATGATGTGGGGGTCCAAGCTCTCAGCTGTGCTGTCCGCGCTCAGCTTGACACATTCGGTACCTGCGACCGAGCTTGAGCAGGTCGTCGTCGAGAGCGGCGTAAAGCAGGTAGCCATCATTGGTACGTGAACGCTGCATCGTATAAGCCTTTGAAGATGCAATCTTTTCCACACTACCTCAGCCACGTCGCCATATGGCCCAGTACTAATACGGTACCCAGGAGCTGGTGCCGGCGGCTCTTCTGCGGCCTACTACCTACAAAAGTTCGCCGAGGCTGAAGGTCTTCCCGTAAACATCACCGTATTTGAAAAGACCGATCGAGTAGGAGGCAGGACGTTGACTATAGATGCCTACGGCAACCCGCTCGAACCCGTAGAGTTGGGTGCCTCCATCTTCATCGAAGCGAATCACATCATCTACAATGCCAGTCTCAACTTTGGCCTTCCCCTGAAGCAGCCAGAGTCCGGCAGTGATGGCTTCCTGGGCATCTGGGATGGTGAGAAGTTTGTCTTTTCACAGGATGACAGTTCTTGGAACTGGTGGAACTTGGCCAAGCTCTTCTGGAAGTACGGCACGGCTCCGTACAAGGCGCAGAAGCTCGTGCAGTCGACCGTTGCGACCTTCTTGCAACTCTACGAGAAACCTTACTTTCCTTTCCGATCGCTCACCCAAAGGGTCTTCGAGCTGGATCTTTTGAAGGCAACTTCTGTCACTGGAGAGGAGTTCCTTGCCAACAATGAGGTACGCGGACCCGGTTCATATCTCGTGTTTCGCCCCTAATCGACTTGTGATAGATCAGTGCGCTTTTCTCCCACGACATTATTCAGGCAGCCACCAGGGTCAACTATGCATCTAACCTAAAGTACATCCATGGCCTTGAGACCATAGTCTCTCTTGCACCTGAAGGTGCCCGGCAAGTCATTGGGGGCAACTGGCAGGTCTTCCAGACAATGCTTCAGAGGAGTAATGCAACTTTGCAACGGAACACTTCGGTGACATCGATTGCGGTGAAGTCTGGTCCTTCCAGCTCCAAGTATCTGCTTTCGACCAAAGACGCCCACGCCGAAGCTGAGACAGACGCGGACCAGTACCCGATTGCTTTCGACAACGTCGTCATCGCAACTCCGTGGCAGTATGGGGATATCAGCGTCTCGGAAGACCTTTTCCAGCACAAAATTGACGAGGTTCCTTACACCAAGCTCCACGTCACTCTTTTTGCTTCACCTTTCCGCCTCTCCCCGGAATATTTCGGTCTGGAACCTGGTTCCAAGTCACCTGACTCAGTTCTGACAACTCTTGGCCCCAACGACGAGGCAAAGGCTGGTACCGAAGGCGCTGGCAAGGCTGGCTTCTACTCTGTTAGCACCCTCAGAACCGTTACAAACCCCGACACCCTCAAGGATGAGTTTCTCTACAAGATTTTCTCTCCAAAGAAGGTCACAGCAGAGTTCCTGTCGAAATTGCTCGGCGTTGAAGTGCCCGCCTCTATTGTTGTGGGTGACAAGTCCGAAGAAAGTGGCCAGCGCACCGTTGAACCCATCTCTTGGTATTACCCCCACGTGTTCAACTCGTACCCCATTGAATATCCCCGAGTCACTTTCCAGGACCCCATCCTGAGGGACGGACTGTACTATCTTTCCGGTATTGAGAGCTTCATCTCCACAATGGAGACTAGTGCGTTGATGGGAATGAATGTTGCAAAATTGATCGCCGACGATTTCTCCGAGACCAAGGAAACGCTCGAAAAGATTGAGACTGGCACTGCACAGGAGGTACTTGGTCAAATGGAGGAGGAGGCGCCCGTGGCTGATGAGTTGTAACTACTATAGGTTTGAGGAGTTTTGTTTCCGTTCCTTCGCTCAACGTCCATCAAGCAGTGCCGCAACATGCTTTTCACTTTCGGAAGTATGCGTGGGACCATGAAGGTTGTACAGAAAGATGGCCCATGTTGGAATTATTCACCAGACTGTGTTCTTTTGTTCGAGTTTCTCACGAGAATCTGTTCCGTTGCGCCACTACCTTGCTAGCTGTCTCAGAGACCATTTGGAATTCCCGAGTGAACAATGGTTCAATAGCGTTTGCAGTGCAACTTCCCTGAGGCTTTGGCCATCGTTTCTTGGGATATACGATGTGCCAAGGAGTTTCCTGTCAAACATAGACCGATAATACGAGCGCCACGTAGAAACGGTCCAGAGGACGGCAGCTTGGGACACCTTGCTTATCACAATTCACGATCCGGATAACGGCATTTGCGTACGTGTAAGTCAGTGACACGTGCCAGACATGCCAGCAAATGGTTAGTAAGTTGCTTAGTTGTTAATTCAGGTACGCAGAAATGCAAACAGTCAAGAAGCAGGATGCCGTTGGAAGAAAAAAGTTGAGGCCTCCAACAGTCTGATGATCCTAGGTTGTCTCGTTGGGGCGACAGATCTGTGAGGCAGTGGGAAGAACCTGGAAGGATCCGGGTCTGGACCGGCCGCAGCCGGGGCCCCACGTGATACCCCAGTCCCGTGGCTCAGGGACCTTGTGTTGCCGTGGCAAAAAGTTGGGAAAGAAAAAAGGGACGTACACAGCCACAGACCATTTCACCCCTCCATCATCTGAACCCCAACTCAAAAGCTACCTCTTATGACGCATTTTCTTTCCTAGTGCCTGATCACTCTCGTTTCGTGGCCAAGGTCTGGGACTCTTTATTTCTTTGTCCTCTCATCAACCCAGCGGCCGGGCTTGCTTCGCAGACACACATAAACCCGTCGCAACAGCTTTCTGCCCACGATCAGTCAGCTTTCCAAACAAGCCCCAACTTCAAGATGTTTGTCCTCAGAAACGGTCAGTTTACCCCGCTACTTACCCGTCACTAGAAGCGTTCGCCGCTTCGTCTTATCCCGCGATCAACGACAGGCGCATATAAGCAGTCCTTCGGGCCTCATTCATCATCACCGTTTTGCGACCAACGCCCGCCAACTTTCTAAACATCTCACCTGTTTGCGATCACCCGAATCCACACAGCAAACGCTAACAACTTCCCTCTGGCAGTTGGCAAACTCATCTTTGGATCTAGCAACCAAGAATCGCTCATCGAGCTCCCCCAAGGACAGCTCTACCTTGTTCGCCCCCTCTCGCCGAAGGGATATTCCGAACTCATCTTCAAGGACGCTGCCGCCCGCATTCGACGAACTGCGCAGGATTTCCAATACCAGCTCGTGGTACAGAGAGTCTACGAGGAAGGCGAGGCTGAACTTTTAGCTGAGGAGGAAGGAGAGGACGCTGAGATCGACGCGCTCGCTGCCGCTGAAAGAGACGAGAAGACGTTCCTGCTTGACGAGGCCCTCCACTTCCGCGTCGAGATCCGGGAAGGCACCGAGAAGATCCTGGCCTGGAGAGACTTGAGTGGTGATACTGGCGACGTCTACGAGTTCGTTTGCGACAACGTTGTGTCTTCTGGTCAAGTTGCGCAATTTGAACGTGTCGCCAAGGAGTGCCAGTACGAGCGCAAGTATCGCAAGCCGCACACAACTGCCTCCAACGCCGATTTCAAGCAGTTCGAATTCCAGGACGAGCAGCCCATTCCTCCCGCGAGTCCCATCCACAGCCCTACTCTCGTCAGATCGATCGAGTCGGCCGACAGCCTGTTTGTGCCGCAAGACCCAATCGGTACACCCACAAAAAAGGAAGAACAATCACTCGTCCAGACTCCTACCAAGACGCCAGCAAAGATGCCTGTCACACCCGAGAAGAAGTCCAAGGCGGCTGGTCCACCCAAGTCTGCCGAGGCCCCGCCGGCTCTCAGCACCTACGATGCGGAGAGTGCTGAGCTTCATTTCTACGACCATCCCTCCGGCTCCTTCATTCAGCAAGCCGCTTCTGTCACCGCCACCGTCACCGAGGTTGGCAAGTGGGAGTACTGGTTGCAGATCGAGAGCGAGGACCGCGCTTGGTTGGGCATCCCGATTGTTGCCGACATCAACCCAGTCTTCAACTTCGAATTCTTGTCCTTCATCTTCAACCATTTCTCTGCTGACGGATCGGCGTACTCTTGGTTGCTTCGTTTCAAAGACCAGCCGACGTTGGAACGCTTTCAAGAAGCTCTCCTCCGATCTCTGTGGGAGCAGTTGAACGAGGTCAAATGGGAGAAGAAAACGGAAAGGGAGCAAGAGTACATCACGTCCGCCTTTAATGATTTGGTCATGGAAGATACCCCGGAGGAACAAGAAGAGGAAGAGGAAGAAGAGGAGTACGAAGATGCAGAGGACGATGCGCAGCGCAGCGAGCACTACGACAGCGACGAAGAGGATGATGATGTTGAGACCAAGGAAGAGGATGGTAACGTCAACTCACAGCTTGCTGTTGGCTACAAGCATGACCGCTCCTTTGTTGTGCGCGGGTCCAAAATTGGCGTTTTCAAGCACACGCCGAACAACAATCTCGAGTTTTCCACCAATATTTCCAAGGTTGAGACCCCCAAGGGCACACTCTTCAGCCCCAAGAAGGTCATGCTTCACAATGAGGATCGCAACATGATTCTCCAAAACGAGTCGGATCCCAATAAGCTCTACCGCATGGATCTTGAGTACGGAAAGGTTGTCGACGAGTGGAACGTTCACGAGGATATTCCTGTTCTCAACTTCGCACCTGAAAACAAGTTCGCCCAGATGACCCACGAACCGACTTTCCTTGGTATCTCAAAGAACGCCCTCTACCGCGTCGACCCCCGCTTGTCCGGCACCAAGCTAGTTGATTCCCAGCTCAAGCAGTACGTGTCCAAGAACGACTTCTCGGCTATCTCTACCACAGAGAAGGGTTACATCGCCGTCGCCTCCAACAAGGGTGATGTCCGCCTCTTCGATCGCCTTGGAATCAACGCCAAGACTCACATTCCCGCTCTCGGTGAAGCAATCCTCGGCCTCGACACGTCTGCCGATGGCCGCTGGGTTCTCGCCACATGCCGGACGTACATCCTGCTCATCGATGCGATGCAAAAGTCTGGCAAGAATGAGGGCAAGCTTGGTTTCGAAAAGTCCTTCGCAGCTTCCGATAAGCCCCAGCCTCGCCGTCTGGCCCTGACTCCCGAGCACGTTGCCCAATTCGCGCACGAGACCGGCAAGTCCGTCTCATTTACGCCCGCGCGCTTCAACGCTGGCGAGGGCGTAGAGGAGACGAGCATCATTACCGCTACTGGCCCATACATTGTCGAGTGGAGCTTGAAGAAGGTCCTGCGCGGAGCCAAGGCCGCCTACCGTATCAAGCGCTACGCCGAGGAGGTCAAGGCCGACGACTTCAAGTTTGGAACAGACAAGAATGTCATCGTCGCCCTCCCCAATGAGGTCAACATGGTTGGCAAGCAGGGTCTCAAGCGCCCTACCCGCGAGAGCATTGCCGGCAACTTTGCGCAGCTCAGCATGGGTCGCAGGGAGTCTGGACGAATCACGACGCCCAAGAGTGGCCGATACAAACTAGGCAAGGAGGATATTGTCGCGTCGCCGTACTAAAGTGAGGCGAGGGATTTCTTTTGTGTGTGTGTGTGTGTGTGTGTGTAATGCGTGACGCATTAATGTTGGACTACCTAAAGCCCCCCTGATGGCGTTTTCCAGGTTGAAGATGTGCTGAATTTGCGCAGCGCAAAGGGATGGGAGTGAGATGGCATGGGAGGAATGGGCTTACGGGTGGACTTACAGCACAACACGTTAACCTTTTTTTTCTTCCTCTTCTCTGCCGCCAACTGCATCTTGTTGGCCTTCATTTCGTTACCCTCTCCTGACAATTTGGCAGAGAGTGGTACTTTTCTAGATACCTTTTGAGACCTCCGCGAGTGGGCAAGCTTTGGTAGTTTGTTTGCCCCCCTTCTAGTTTGGCAAATCCGCAATTAACCTTTTCTCGGTTCACATACGTTGGAACAATGTCGTCACTTTGAATGTTTCCTTGTTAGTTCTATTTCTAGACATGTGTATTGTTCGCCTCAAGATGTTCCGCAACTCTCGCAGAGTAAGTAGATAGTCTAACACGATGCCTCCGAAGAATGACTGAAATAAATGCATTGGATAGACGTCATGTACGACACATGTCCACCTCATGCGGCCCGATCAAATCCCTCTCCACAGCTCGAGAAGAGCAAAAATAAGCAACGAAAGAAAGTTCCCCGACAATAACTCCGCTCGGCTCGATGCCAGTGTTTCCTGATCAACTATAATTCTCCCCGAAATCTTTCGCCCTTCCCTCGCCCAAACAGACAAGTTTTGCTGGCTGGGTTGGGCTACGTTTTCTTCTTTTTCTCTCTTTCAATCATGCATTCGTTAAATCAGCCGTCGGAGAACGACGGCCTTGTCCAGTAGAGAGTAAATCACTTGGTATGCAAGTTTTTGGATGTACAATTGGCCGTTATGCTTCTTGCTTCTCCGACTTTGTTTCCTTTGCACCTTCTGCGCTGTCCTTGCCACCGGTGACGCTGTCGACGGCGCCCTGAATCGCCTTAGTGACCTGACCGACCACATTGCCGCCAATGTTCTTCAACGTCTTGGACTGCGTCGCCTCCTGGGAGAGACGATTCATCTCGGCGACAAAGGACTGTCCCCACCACGACGACGTGTACTTGAAGACGTAGCGCTCGAGCTTCTTGTAATTGGTCTCGCGCTGCTCGGGGGACATTGTCACGGCGTCGTGAATGGCGTTTGCCAGCTCCTCGGTGTTCCAGGGGTTAACGATGAGAGATCCGTTGAGGGACTGAGCGGCGCCGGTGAACTCGGATAGGATCATGACACCGTGGCGCTCGCGCTGAGTAGCGATATACTCGTATGAGACAAGGTTCATGCCATCGCGTGTTGAGGAAACGAGGCAGACGTCGGAAACGGCGTACAGAGCTGTGAGCTCGTCAAAGGAGACGCTCTGGTGGAGGAAGTGGATGGGCATGAACTCGATGGTGCCAAACTTGCCGTTGATGCGGCCGACAAGCTCGTTGACCACGGCGCGCAGATTCTGGTACTCCTCGACGTCCTGTCTTGAAGGCACAGCGACCTGAACCAGCACAATCTTGCCGATCCACTCGGGGTGTTCTGTCAAGAAGACCTCCAACGCGTGGAGCTTCTGGGGGACACCCTTGATGTAGTCGAGGCGGTCAACACCGACGATGAGTTTGACTCCGTTGAACTTTCGCGTGAGAGCTTCAATGCGCTCCTGGACCTTGGGCTTCTTGAGGCCCTCGACAAATTTCTCAGGGTCGATGCCTATGGGGAATGCGCCAACGGTGACGAATTTACCATTGTAATCAACACCATTTGGGGTCGTAGGGGTCCCACTGCATGTGACGTTAGCGGTAGTCCAACAGAAAACGAGTCTCCGCTTCAGTCTCATCTTACAGAATGCGAGAGCAACTGCTCAAGAAGTGACGAGCATAGTCATAGGTGTGGAAGCCGATGAGATCGCAGTCGAGGACGCCCGTCAGAAGGGCTTCACGAACAGGAAGGATACGGTAGATTTCGGAAGAAGGGAAAGGTGTGTGTAAGAAGAAGCCAATCTTGACATTCTTCTTGGAGTCGCCAATCTCCTCGCGAAGCATCTCGGGCAGCAACATCAGATGGTAGTCGTGAACCCATATCAGATCGCCGTCCTGAACGTCTTGGACAACAGCCTTGGCAAATAAACGATTGACTTCGCGGTAAGCGGCCCATGCGCTCTCGTCGAATGTGATTTCACCGGGGTGGTAGTGGAAAAGCGGCCAGAGAATGGAGTCTGCGAGAAAAAAAGAGTTGTTAGTCAAGCTGGCATAGCATCTGGAGGCAAGGGAGGTTCGTCCGTACTAGAGAAGCCATTGTAGTGCTTGTCGGCAAGTTCGTCGTCAATAAAGACAGGGTGGGCATCGTATTCGTCCTTCAGCCGCTGCTTCATGCCGGCAATTTCGTTCTCGGGAACCTCGAGCCCTGGCCAGCCGTACCACTGAAAACTGGTGGTTTTTGACAGACCGCTGAGACCGGTGACGAGACCGCCAGAGGACATGGAGAAGGAGTAGCTGCCATCGTCGGAACGCTTAATGGTGATGGGCAGTCGGTTGGAGAGCAGCAGCAGGCGGCCGGGTGCAGTGTCATCGTCGACGAGCGCTGGCATATTGGGCGACTTGCGTGGTGCTGGAGGTGGTCGGTGGCAGATGGCGGTGCGAAATCTTTCGTGGAGCGTTCGACCGATGGGTGGCAGGTGATTGGGGAACAGCAGTAGCTATGCTGGAGATTACTGTGGCGGGAGGGTGAGGTGTTAGCTGAGCCTTGCTGGGATGAGCTTGCGGGGAAGGATGGAGGGGTGAATGTCAGGAAGATCAAGTACCAAAATCTGAAGTAGTGCCGACTCAAGAAGGTATGCAGGGGTGGGCTGCTGCTTGGATAGTCCTTCGAAGCAGAACAAAATAGGCAGGTTGGTGATGGCAATAGCTTCGTCGTCAAAGTCGTAAGCTCCTTGGGTTGCCCAAAGAAACGGTAGTGAATTGTAGTTCGCGGCGAAAGATTTAAGTAAGGCGAGGGCGGATGGTACGTGTAGACGGGACGGGAGGGATGCGGTGATGTCGTAAAGAGCCGGGTTGTCGGACGCAAGCTACGTGGAGGGGTGATACACAGGAGCAAGCAGTGCAATCTGAGGGCAAGCTTTGTCTGGGTGAATGGAGGGAGAAGAGAAGGCGTGTGTGAAGGAAGTGGTGGGTGGAAAGAGACGGAAGAAGGCGGCTAGTCGGTGGTTGGCTTGTTGCGTTTGTTGACTGAGTGAGTTCCGGGGTGGCAGGCGGAGGGTGTTGAGAAGAAGCAGGAAAATGCCAATCCGGCCCAGTGCAATCCAATCCAGACGGCCAGCAGCTGCACGACGGGAGACAGCTCGACCTGATGCGACACTGGAGCTTGCGTTTCCCCAGAAGTAGAGGTACCTGGTTTGTGGGGCAGGTTGGGTAAGGCGACGGGGCATTCTACGGACGCTTTCGTTAGTCTAGAAATTTGGTGTTATTTGAATGGTAGCACACGGTACATCTCATGATAAGAGCACCAGACGGAGCAGACGAAACGTGGCTAGGCATCGCTTAGACTGGCTGAGGTGAGGCAAAATTCGGGACACATCTAGAGCCTAGAGGCCAGGGTCATGTTGGACTTTGGGCGCCGGTGGTAATGCGGTGCCATCGACGTAATTTGGGTACAGATCCATGTCATGTCATTGCGAGGATTTCCCGGTCCTGTCACTTCTTTCTGGTCCCTGCCATTTTCGGTCCTCCTTCCGTGCCCCTCCAACCTCTGCAGCCCGTCCTTTTGGCGTCTCTCACGTCTGCTTCTATTTGGCTTGCCCGGACAAATAAATAATCTGACCGAGAGGCAAGATGAGCGATATATTCTCCATAGGCCCGTCCAGCCGAATCTTCCTCCGCTGCGTTTCTTACCACTCACCCATCTTAAACGCCGAGGGAGAAAAGACACCCAGAGCATGCCAAGTAGGTGTACATGGGAGACCTGGACACCACCCGCCAGATAGTGGGGAACCCGGCGCCGAGATGTGGGCTTTTCATCGGCGGTATCCGTAGACGAGAGAATGTTCACGATGTCTCTTGAAAATTTCCCTCCCTCCACCCATTTCCCAAGCAAGCACATAGCGACAGGAGCAAAGAATCAACCTGGTTCAGCACTCCACTGCTAGACGCAAGGATGTTGGTGTATGGTTTGCATGTATTTAGTCATCCCCGTAGTGAGTCGTTTGCCACACTCCCCACGTTCGGCACCCTGTCCTTCCTGCAAATCGAGTCTCGAGGTTTCGGGGCCTTTCCCGGCGCCAGTTTGAGCTCATTCGCTCACACATGAGGGTGCCCTTTTCTTACACTTCGCGACGCTTCTCTGGCCGCCTCTTTTCTCTTTGGAGAGAAGAGTACCTTGCAGAGGTTTCTGCTAGCGGATTGCACGCTCACATGCCAGATTCCGAGAATCTCCAAGCTAGTGGAGCCTCGCATTTGTAGGTGAGTATTCATGAGTGGTGACATACCCCGCGCGTTAACGTGCCGTCACTATCACAGGAGCAAAGATGAGCTGCAGAGCAATGAGGCAAACGGGCAAACGGGCAAATACCCGACCTAACAGTAGCAAGCTCACCTTTTGTCCTGGCGATCGCAAAGCAGCTTCGGCCCCAACGGCTATACGTTTCGACCGTTGCATAACCAATAAGACACCCGAGGTATTCAAAGAACGATCCAACCCAATCATCCAAACCAGAAGGTCTAGCAGGCTCCCCGTTTGGCTACCGCAGACTGACATCAACAGCCCCATAAGTTCCCGGACCAAAATGTCCTGACACTCACTCGCAGGTTGTAAGCTAAACCCGCTGTACTTGGTCCCCTGCCCGACTTCAGCCATCTCAGCTTAAAATGATATTGGATCCGAATTTGCAGGACATTTTTCAACTAAATGCGAATGGCATTGTGAAGATGGCGCTCACAGTGCCGGTGTAGGCTGCCTCGCGCATGATGAACTGAATTCCGAGCTACCTTAGCTTTCACCACCTCGTAATAAACTTGACCAAGCTGCTTTCGAGACAACTCCTCGACACTTCCTCAGTACGCACCACAATCGCACGAACTGTCGAAACTCGAATAGGCAGAGAATACATTCGACAGTGTATAGTGTTCTCAAGGCAGCTGAAGGTGACTTATCAAAACAAAAACAAAATTATTTAAAAAATAAAAATAAAAAAATTATCGAGAGTACCTATCTACAGACTTACTCGAGAATGATCGCTGCACTAGGCTGGAGCAATTGAGGACTCATCCGACCAAGTGCAGGACGGAAAGCTCGGACCAGGCCCGAAACTGATGTCGGGTGACTGCCGCCCCACTCTGGGCGAACCAGTTGCAGCTCAAGGTACGTCCGTACCTCACCTCACCTAGGTAGGTTGGAGAGTACCTACCCCGGTTGCGCTCGATCTGCGCTTGCCGCGTCGCAACCCAGCTGCTGTGCTCAGACATCGTCCCTCGACGCGACTTTCTTCGCGACAGACCCTCGGGGCTTTTGCTTTCTGTCCTGCTTCGCGCCCAATCGACTTGTGATTCTATTTCAACTACATCGACGCTCAATTGTACCATTCAATATCTCTAACCACTTGAGAATTTGCAAGCATGGCCCCTTCAGACAAGGAGATCGAGGCAACGCTTCTTGCAACAGTCCGCGATGTCTTCAAGACGGATAACGACAACCTCACCGTTAACTTCATCCGCAAGCGCGTCGAATCAGATCTCGAAATCGAAGATGGGATGCTCTCTTCAGGAAAATGGAAGGACAAGAGCAAAAAGCTCATCAAAGAGCTCGCCGTAATTCCTCAACCCCTTCCTGGCATGCGCATCGCCAGCATCGTTGGAACCTGTCTTCCTGACATCATACTAGACCAGCCTCATGGAGGGCAATGCGGAATCCGATGTGGAAGTCAAACCCGAGGGAGACGAGGAGAATGCGAAGCCGAAGAAATCTGGCAAGCGTCAAGGGGCCGAGACATCACCACCTGCCAAGCGTAGAAAGCGTGCCTCTGTCAAAGTAGAAGATTCCGAGGCGAGCGCCTCTGAGGAGGGAAAGGCAGAGGCGAAACCAAAGAAAAGGGCAGCCTCGCGGAAGAAGAAGCAGGACACTCCTGTAATCGACTCCGACTCTGACGAAGAGAGCCCGGTCAAGCCGAAGGCGTCTGAACCCACCAACGGACGTGCAAGCAAGGTTGAAGAGAGTGGCTCAGATGCTTTGAGCTCGCCGCCTGACAGCGAGGACGAGAAGGATGAGGAGAAGCTACAAAAAGAGAAACTCGAAGCAAAGAAAGATGATAAGTCAGCCGAAAATCAGCCTCAGGCTTCCGACGACAAGAAGGCCGAGGAGCCGGCCGATGACACGACTAGCGAGCTATCCGACGTGATAGACGAGCCACCAAAGCCGAAACGCAAGAAGAAGGAAGCCGGAGTTGGCAGCAAGACCAAGGCTAAGGCGACCAAGCAGAAGAAGGCACCTGCAGCCCCCGAGAGCCCTGACGATGCAGAAATCAAAAAGCTACAGTCCCACTTGGTCAAATGCGGTATTCGCAAGATCTGGGGGTTTGAGTTGAAGCAGTACGGAGACGATACCAAGGCCAAGATGAGGCATCTCAGAGGCATGCTCAAAGACATTGGAATGGACGGTCGGTTTTCAGAAGCGAAAGCAAAAGAGATCAAGGAGCGCAGAGAGTTGGAGGCGGACTTGGAAGCAGTTCAGGAGATGAATGCCAGCTGGGGCGCGGAAGGCAGATCGTCTCGAAGCAAGGCGCGCGGACAGCCACCTCCCAAGAAGGCCATGAAGGACGACGACTCTGAAGACGAGAACGACAAAGAAGACGACGGAGACGATGATGAGGAACAGGAGTCACACATTCCGTCGCGGGCGCGGGGGAAGGCGCGAGCAGACCTGGCGTTTCTCGGCGACGACGACGAGGAATCGGACTGATGTAACGAATACTGGGACAGTGTACTATGTGTTGGCGGGAGCATTGTTTGACTGATTGGACATGTTGCAGGTTGTATTATATACTAAGGGAGCATGAAGTCTCTGTTCTTTTGTGGCGCTGCATTGCGGAGTGTCGCCCGAGAAGACAAGGGGTCGCCAAAAAGCTGTATACGACTTGAATACACTAATTTCTTGACCACGGTGGGTTTTCAATCGATTCGGGACAATTGACAACCTAGTCGCCCACTCGCCGCTCGCTGCTGGAAGCAAGCCCTTACCTCAAGTCTTAGTCTCACCCAGCTCAAGCGGCCCTCTCAAATTGACTGGTGTCTAGGTACTAACATCCGCCATCCGCCATCCGCCAGCCCCCCAATTGGAAGTTGGATCCATCCTTTCCCCAGAAGCCGGAGACGCGAAGGCAATTCTGTTCGTGTTGCTTAGACGCGCCAGTCAGACAACAGCATGGCCGCTCGAAATGGGGCTAGGAGCCTCCCGGTTCGGCATTGAGGAGTGAGACCACTGGCGAAACAGGGGGGGAAAAGCGTGGATTCTTGGGCAACCCTGGCAGTTTGCGCCTGCGTGCCAAAGCTCCCCATGTCACGCAGCAGCAGTTCCCTCTCCGTGTCTCCAATTTACCCCGCCGCGGGCTTGCGTCCCCGCAGACACCGTCATTTCTCTTCAACTGTTTTCCCCCTCCATCCTCGTTCAAACCCCCCACTACATCAGCCAACAAGCGCAGATACAAGCCAGAATAGCCTGAATTGCATGTTTTGCCATGTCAACCAGTGACGGAACTCTTGTCGCGCTCCATAAAGGGTCGCATTCCCCTTGCAAAATGTCGTTGCGTGATTGCAGGTCTCTGTCGGAGCTCTCAACCTGGACTGAGGATTCCGTGATTCCACCTCTTTTTCGAAAATTCTAAGTACCACTCACGTTACCAAGAGACGGTATTCCTTCATAATGACCGATGCCACCTTCGATTTCTTGCCCTTGGGCGCCATTCTCCAGTCCTTCAAGGTCAAGGGCGTCAACATCGTCCAGGGCTTCCCGACCCAGGACCTTTACGAGAAGCACAACTCACCCTACTTTGGCGTCACTGTCGGCCGAGTCGCGAACCGCCTTGCCTCGGCGCAGATCAAGTCGCTCAACGGCGGTCAGACATACAAGCTCGCCGCCAATGACGGCAACAACAACCTGCACGGCGGCACCAAGCCCTGGAGCTCCAAGGTCTGGGAGGGGCCCAAGCCCGTCGGCGTCCGCGAGATCCCCGGCGTCGAAGGCCTCCAGGGTGGCGAGAGCATCGAGTTCTCACTGATCAGCGAGGACGGCGACGAAGGGTTCCCCGGAACCGTCAAAGTCAAGGTCATTTACACGGCCGGCACGCAGAAGGTCGACGGCAAGGAGATTTCGGTGCTGGGCATGGAGTACGAGGCGCAGCTCGTCGACGGCGCCGAGGAGACAGCCATCAACATGACGAACCACTCCTACTTCAACCTCACTGGCGACGAGACGTTTGCCGGCACCGTCGCGACGCTGGCGACTAACGCGTACCTGCCCCGCGAGGACGGTATCCCCACGGGCGGTCCCGCGCCCTTCCCCGGCATTGAGGGCGGCCAGCCGTTCGAGCTCGGCGTCGAGGGCCCCTCGGTGGACGACTGCTTCGTCGTCGAGGAGAAGGAGCCCGGCTCGGTGCCCATCGATACGCGCAAGCGGCAGCTCCAGCTGCACGTGCATGCCAGACACCCCAAGAACGGGGTCAACCTCGAGGTCCTCAGCACGGAGCCCGCGTTCCAGTTCTACACGGGCGAGGGCATCAACGTCCCTGCCGTGGAGGGCGCGCCGGCTCGGGGGAAGAGGAGTGGATTCTGTGTCGAGCCGAGTCGCTGGGTGAATGCCATTAACGTACCAGAGTGGAAGGCCCAGATGTTGTTGAAGAAGGGGGAGACGTATGGCACTCGTATTGTGTACAAGGCCTGGAGCGACTAGAGATTTTGGCCGGGTTGGATTGGGAAGTCTTGTACGAGGGTGAATATGGTACCAATGATCAGAATGAAGAATAAATTCTCTCACAGTTCCTACCTATTAGACATATCCTCAACTGTCCCAACTTTCGGCTTTGTAAGTCAGTGACTAGGTTCGCAACAACTTCATCCTGCTGCCTCCCGCGGTGCGATGGCTTGTTGGATGTGGCACCTCTGAGCGGTACTTCAAGCTTCGACTCTCTGGGAATGTATTATGTCAGCCGGAAGCGTCCGTGTGTCGTGGAAACGAGCCGATCTGATTGATCTTCTGACGAAGCTGGCGGCCAAAAAGATGAGACGAAGACGAGAGGTCCCACGGCGTACGCAGCTCACCGAGGGGCTCTAGCTTTATTTTAGTGTAGTGTGTTTAGCTTATCGCGCCAACGCAACGGTAAAGCGTACCAATTTTGGGTGGGCTTTACAAGTTTGTACTGAGGGAAGGAAGGACCAGCCCAGATCCCAATTGTAACTGCCGGACCTGCTTTCCATGACTATTCAATCACTTGACCAATTTAGAGCCCTTTCGACAACTCCTTGCTCTTCCTGACCGCTACTCATTCACGATTCATTCACGATACCCAAACTTGCTCAAGAAGAACACAGACAACTTCTACTTTACTGAACCTACATACTTACCGACCGATACGCTCTGTCGCCATCTTGCATCGTCGACTCATTCCTATTTACCATCATAGCCCCAACGAGTCAAGTACCTCTTTAATTAACCCCCATCACCGCCGAAGGCGGCACTCCTTACGCAAACCATGGCCGAACCCTTCCCAACCCCGACGACGACGCCGAAGCGCAAGAGAGACGAAGAGGTCCCGCTGTCGCCGCTACACACTCCCTCCAAATTCTCATTCCAGCTCCCCGACCCTAAGAGCGACGCGGAGGACGGAAGCGCAAGCCCGCACAGCAAGGTCGTCCAAAAGTTCCGTGGTCTGGCATTGGGTGGTGGTGGTGGTGGTGGTGGGGGCGGGGTAGCTCAGCAACAGAACCGAGAGGGCCCATACGCCGCATACGACCCGACGCGCGACGAGCACAAGGACGGGGGTTACTCTGATGACGACCCTTTTGCAAGCCGTAAGAGATTCAAGGTCCCCGAGTTGGAGATGAAGGACGTCGAGCTCGACGCCGCAGCCGCAGGACCACCGGTCTTCATTCCGGATCCAGACATCAAGGCCGACCCGGCGCCTACTCCAAAATCAAAACCAATCTTGACCGAACCCCAGCCTACCACTGCTACCGCCGCGACACCCGCCACAGGCTCACAACAGCAGCGCTCACATCCTTCGCTCGACAAACTGCAATATTCTAAATCACGAGGGCGTAGACGTGCCGGTACCCCGCCGCTTAAGGGCCGCAAGGGGGCCAACAACAACAAGGCCGCGGCTGAACCGCAACAGGAGGACCAGGAGGTGAAGGCGATTGTGGACCCGGTCAGGGCCGCCCTCACCTGGAAGGAGGAAGAGATTACGATATACGATCCGGAGGACGCCGACGACGACGGCACGGGCATCAACGGGGTAGGGTTCATGCCCACGGCCGCGATGGCCTATGCGCGGACGCAGAAGCGCCGACTGCAGCTGGCCGAGTACAAGAAGCGGGAGGAAAGCGAGGCAAGGGCCCGGCGCAGCCAGCGAAGACGAGGGAGCGGGGCCGGTCTTGCTTCCAAGCCGTCTGCTGGCCGCGGCGGCGGCGTGCGAAAGGTGCGCTTTACTGAGTCGGAAGCCAGCACGGTTGTGACGAACGTATGAGGATGATGGTTACGAGCAGCATTTTCGTGATGGGACATGGTATCATTGCGCCCTTTGGTCATTTTTTGGCCTGGCTGAGGAAATGGCGGCCACGGAAGGCGTTGAATGGCGTTTATGGGCAAAGGCGTAAAACATCAAACGCATAGTTGCGTCTATTTACGAATGGGCTTTTTCTTGACTTGCAATGGATCACTTGGACGATGAGCAGCATGGCATCCTTTATGACATGCGGCAACGACCACGATGGGAATGATAGGCAATGAACGCAAGGGTGGTTGATATAAATAGTCTTTCTTTTATACCCCCAAAACCGAATGGATGATGATACAGGATTTCCCAACACGCGCGCATCGCGGCCAAAGCCTCTCGTGCTGATGCTTCTCCTTTATGGAAATGTGTAAGGGATATTCATACAAGGCAGGATGGATTGGCAAAAAGATCCAATCATGAGTGCCAACCTTTTTTTCTTTCTTTTCGACAGTTCCGTACTCGGTCCGTAGATTCTCACCAGAATTTGTACCAAGACTTTTGGCTGGCGGCCTTGGCCGCCTCGTCCGCATTCTTTTGCTCGACCTGCTGTTTGAGCTGCTCGATCTCCCGGCGCCTCTTGTCCACCAGGGACTCCTGGTAGACCTCGACCGTCCTCTTCATCTTGACGCGCTCCTGCCGCCGCTTCATCTGGCAGTACTCGTAGGAGCCGATGCAACCCACGAGGAAGCTGCCCACGGCCCAGTTTGCCGCTTTGATGGGTGAACCTGATGAGTTTTAGTGTGGGTTCGTCGTCCACGGATGAGTATTCATGAGAGCAAAAGGGGAGTGTGTGTGTGTGTGTGTGTGTGTGAGGCCATGTAGTGCCAGTGAAATGGCAAAACGAAGAGAAAGACTTACCTCCTATGACATATCTAAGTCCTCCAATGCCAGCACCACTGGCGATGCCAGTGAGAAAGCCGTCCCGTGCGCATGGTGTCTGCGTGACGGAGAGAAAGTCGTCCGACTTGATGGACTTGACGGCCTCGGAGATGGATGGGTACCCGGGTGCGGCGCTGCCGTCCTGCGTCGGGAAGTTTTTCTGGAACTCGGTCGGGTTCAGCTTGGCAGCATTGGCTTCGGCTGCCGCGGCCGCTATCGCTTGCTCCGGTGATGATGCCGTCGTCGTCGTCGTCGGCCCTGAGCCCGGAGCTCCCTCCCCGACTGGTCCTTGGTTTGACCGAGACCAGAGCCATAGCTTCTGCCCCTCCTTCTTCGGCCCCGGCACGTTGTCTGGTGAATCCGCCATCATGTGTGTCAAGGTTTTAAACTCGTGTGCGTGAGTGAGAAGCAACTGGGCGCATTCGATATTGAGCTCTGCTGTGCCTCTGATTGCCGACTCCAACTTCGGTCCCCCGGAAAGCTCGTCGCCTTCAAAAGTCTGCCCGTGGCCTGAGATGACGTCCACCGAATTTGGCCCCCGTCGTTGCTGGGCCGGTGTCCGTGGCCCGTGCGTGGATTTACACGGTTAAAGTTCCCTGAAGGCTGCGCGCGGGATCCAATGTTGGTTAATTGAAGTGGGTCTCCTGGTCGCCTTTGTGGCCTGCAGAACGTGCACAGTTCGCGTAAAGTCGCGCCGGGGAGACGCGTCTGGTTCCTTTTTGCCCTGGGAACGAGTGGCCCCCCCATGGCAAAAGCTCAGTACTTGTTTCGACTCAGAGTGACAAATCCCACTCTCCCACTCGTCCAATTCCAGGATATTCAATACCCCATACCTCCTGTTTGGTCTTATTTTGTCCCAAGACTTCTCTTTTTTTTTTCTGGCCTGACAGAGCCTTCTTGATACCCACCAATCTGATTTTCAATTCCCTGTTGCGAACCTAGGCGTTTGTCCCTCTCATCCGTCTCATGACTCGCTAGAGGCTGCGATTTCCCCGAGAGCCTCCTTTGCCTAGAGTCCCTCGACGGAGATATACGTTGATCAACAGAACCTCGAACCTTCCCCTCCTAACAACCTCACAACACAACCGCCACAATGCCTAACACGAGCCTGCGGCGCCCGCAAAAGGGCTACCGCCGCGGCGGCAAGCAGGCATATCACGGCCCGTCTCGAACGACACGCACATTCGCCGCCTCGAGTCGCAACGAGGCGACCTCCGCCGACGAGAAGTGGGAACGCACACGGCTGGCGCACCAGATTGACGAGAACATGGGCTTCGCGCGCTACGAGGGCGGCAAGCGCAAGGAGGGCTGGCTCGTCAACGTGCAGCCCACGTCGATCGAGGACGAGCGGAACCCCGGCGGCCGGGCAGCGCTGGACTGCTACTTTATCGAGGACGACGGGTCGCACTTCAAGGCGACGGTCCAGTACGACCCGTACTTTTTGGTCGCCGTGAAGAAGGGTCGCGAGAGCGAGGTCGAGGAGTGGTTGAAGCGCGTGCCGGGCGGCGGCGTCGTCAAGACGATCAAGAGGGTCGACAAGGAGGACCTCAAGATGCCAAATCACCTGGTGGGCTACCGCCGCACGTTTCTGGAGCTGAGGTTCGCCAACGTTGGCGATTTGATGGCGGCGAGGAAGGATATCATGCCCATTGCGGCGAAGAACAGGAAAAATGTGGATGCTTTGGACGCATATGCCGAAGTTTCAACGTGAGCTTGCAGTGTTCCTTCGGTGGGTTCTTCTACGAAGTCATTGACTAACAAGCCGCAGGATGAATGGCGACTTTGACCTTTTTGACGATTCACGAGATGACGATAGACGAGCGAATGCTTCTTTTGCCGACGCCAGCGACTTCCTTGTCGATATTAGAGAGTACGATGTACCGTACCATGTAAGAGTAATGATAGATATGGGTAGGTTGGGTCCTCGGAATTGGATCGGTCACGACTGACCTTTGCAGATATCCGGGTGGGCAAATGGTACTTCATCGACGTCAAGCACGGCGTCACAAAAATCACAACCAACGAGGACCGACTGGCCATGGCAGACCCAGTAGTCATGGCCTACGATATCGAGACGACGAAACTGCCCCTAAAATTCCCCGACGCCGCTATCGACCAGGTTATGATGATTTCGTACATGATTGACGGGCAGGGTTTCCTCATCACAAACAGAGAAATCATTTCAGAAGATATTGGCGACTTTGACTACACCCCAAAGCCAGAATACCCAGGTCCATTTATGATTTTCAACGAACCAGACGAAAAAGCCGTGCTGGAGAGGTTCTTCCTGCACATCAAGGAAGCAAGACCGACAGTCATTGCCACTTACAACGGAGACTTCTTCGATTGGCCCTTCGTCGACGCCCGCGCTAGCATCAACGGCATTGACATGTATCAGGAGATCGGTTGGAAGAAGGACAGCGAGGACCAGTACAAGTGCAGCTATAGCGTGCACATGGACTGCTTCCACTGGGTGAACCGTGACTCCTACTTGCCTCAGGGATCTCGAGGTCTGAAAGCAGTTACTGTCGCCAAGCTTGGATATGACCCCGACGAGCTCGACCCCGAACTGATGACACCCTACGCTCAGGAACGCCCCCAGACCCTGGCCGAGTACTCTGTGTCTGACGCTGTGGCGACATACTACCTGTACATGAAATATGTCCATCCGTTCATCTTCTCTCTTTGCACGATTCTGCCTCTTGGGGGTGACGATACGTTACGAAAGGGTACCGGTACCCTTTGCGAGATGTTGTTGATGGTCCAGGCCTACCAGCAAGAGATTGTGTTGCCGAACAAGCATGTGTCACCAAGGGAAGCATTCTACGAAGGACATTTGCTCGATTCGGAGACGTATGTCGGTGGCCACGTCGAAAGTATCGAAGCAGGTGTCTTCCGCGCCGATATTCCCGTCAATTTTGCCGTCGACACGGGTGCAGTCGATGAGCTGTTGAAGGATTTGGACGCCGCGCTCAAATTCAGTATCACGGTGGAGGAAAAGAAGTCAATGGATGACATTGAGAACTACGACGAGATCAGGGAGCAAATCGCGTCACGCTTACGCGCACTGAAAGAAACACCGAACCGGAGCGAGCGACCCTTGATTTACCATCTTGATGTTGCGTCCATGTACCCCAACATCATGACCACGAATCGTCTGCAACCAGATTCCATGATCCAAGAGTCGGACTGTGCAGCATGCGACTTCAACCGTCCCGGCAAGACCTGCGATAGACGAATGCCGTGGGCATGGAGAGGAGAGTACTTGCCCGCAAAACGCGACGAATACAACATGATCAGGAACGCCTTGGAGAACGAAAAGTTTCCTGGCAAGTGGCCGAATTCGCCTCAGCGGACGTTTCAAGATTTGTCACCCGACGAGCAGACGGCTCTCCTGCGAAAGCGGTTGCAGATCTTTTCGCAAAAGGTTTACCACAAGATCCACGACTCAACGACCACTGTCAAAGAGGCCATCATCTGCCAGCGAGAGAACCCATTTTATATCAACACCGTACGAGACTTCCGTGATCGTCGGTATGATTACAAGGGAAAGGCCAAGGTCTGGAAGGGCAAGACGGAGGCCCTGAAATCCTCCGGCGCAACCTCCACCGAAGTCGATGCTGCGAAGAAAATGATCATTCTGTTCGACTCGCTGCAGCTTGCCCACAAGGTCATTCTGAACTCCTTCTATGGCTACGTCATGAGAAAAGGATCCAGATGGTATTCCATGGAAATGGCTGGCGTTACGTGTCTAACAGGAGCGACAATTATCCAGCTGGCCAGGTCGCTCGTTGAGCGATTGGGTCGTCCCCTGGAACTAGATACGGATGGTATCTGGTGTATGCTTCCCGCCACGTTCCCAGAAAACTTCGCCTTCAAGACCAAGGGTGGGAAGAAGGTCACCATCTCGTACCCTTGTACCATGTTGAACCATCTGGTCCACGCCAAGTTCACCAATCACCAGTACCAGACGCTTACAGACCCCAAGACTCTGAGGTATGAAACTCACAGCGACAACTCCATCTTCTTCGAAGTCGACGGCCCTTACAAGGCCATGGTCTTGCCCACATCCAAGGAGGAGGACAAGAACTTGAAGAAGCGTTATGCAGTCTTCAATGACGACGGCAGTCTGGCCGAGTTGAAGGGTTTCGAGGTGAAGCGTAGAGGTGAGCTGAAGCTCATTAAAATCTTCCAACAACAAATTTTCAAGTTCTTCCTGGAGGGAGAAACTCTCGCTGAGTGCTACGCTGCCGTTGCCAAGGTTGCCAATCAGTGGCTAGATGTATTGCACAGCAAAGGTGCAACCCTGGCGGACGAGGAGCTCATGGAGCTTATTTCCGAGAACAGGAGCATGTCCAAGACCTTGGAGGAGTATGGTACGCAGAAGTCAACGTCCATTACCACGGCGAAGCGTTTGGCAGACTTCTTGGGTGAACAGATGGTCAAGGACAAGGGCTTAAACTGCAAGTTCATTATCTGCGCGAGACCCAAGAACGCACCTGTCACCGAGCGAGCCATTCCGGTTGCCATTTTCTCTGCTGAGGAGACGACGAAGCGTTTCTACCTCAAGAAGTGGCTTAAGGAGGAGCCTGCCGACACCGACCCGAGAGCGCTCTTGGACTGGGACTACTACTTGGAACGTCTGGGTTCCGTCATCCAGAAGCTCATTACCATCCCTGCTGCGCTCCAGAAAGTCAGGAACCCTGTCCCTCGTGTTGCCCACCCCGACTGGCTTCAGCGCAGGATCAACATCAAGGACGACAAGATGAAGCAGAAGAAGCTCACTGATCTGTTCACCAAGGGTCCACTGGAAGACATCACCAACCGTAACGGTCGGTCTGCAACCGACATGGAGGACTTCGGCACGCAGCTACTCAAGCCAAAGCCGGTAACTTCTGTGGTGGCTGCGTCCCAGCCTACTGCTCAGAAGAGAAAGTCTCCCGAGGCTGCCGAGAGCGCTGATCCGTTCGCTGCTTTGCCCAAGGTCATGCCCTCGCCCTCGGACGACTACGTCGGCTTCTTGCAATACCAGAAACAGAAGTGGAAGATTCAAAAGCAGGCTCGCATTCGAAGGCGACAGCTTTTTGGAGATCGACGCGGCAATAATCAGAACAACATCCAAAACACGTTCATGAAGCAAGCCCATATGACCTTCATGAGCACCTGGCAGCTGCTGCATCTCAAGCCGACGGAGACCCCGGGTATTGTTAATGCTCACGTTCTCATCGATGCCAAGATTCACTCGCTCAAGGTCAAGGTACCGCGACAGGTGTTCTTGAACTTGAGGAGCGGCGAAATGCCCGACGTGGATATCCCTGGCTGTGAGGTTGAGCAGGTCAACCATACGCTTCCCAATGGTCATTCTTCCGTTCACCTCTTCAAGCTGACCGTTCCTGAGGACGTCTATTTCAATGAAGCCGACAAGTTCTCACTGTTGTTCAACCACCCCAGTGTTGAAGGCGTGTACGAGAAGAACTTGCCGTTGAATATCAGAGCTGTGCTTCAGCTGGGCAATCTCTGCACCATCGACGAACAGCAACATGCAGTGCTCGGAAGGGGTCTGGACCAAGGTTTCGATTTACATGGTCTCAAACGTCCATTGAAGCCGAGGACTTACCTCGATACGTCACCTTTGGCATACATCTACGTCTCCCATGTCACCGCTGGCGACAAACAGATCTTTGGAGTATTCTCGACCTTGAAGGATGAGGCGCATGTAATCATCTTACAAAAGGGCAGAGATTCGGGTCAAGATCTCCCCAACATCTCCCGAATCTACACTGAGCTGCTTGCTCGACGAGGAGAGGAGGCGGAGGGCACCAACTGGCAGGATTGCTTCACATACCAGGAGAAGCTAAACTTCAAAATCACCCAGGTAACGACGAGAAGAAAAGCCCACTTGGAACTCAGCGACGTCGTGAAGAAGATGAGGAAGGACGAGCTGCGACCACTCATGATGGTCATTCAATCATCCCAGCGCAACATGCTAATCAACGACGTCCCAATTCTCGGCGAGTTCCCTGTGCTGCCGCTCAAGTACGACGCTGCGGACAGTTCTCTACCACCACTCGGATGGCAAGCAGTAGTCGCTAGACGGCTTGTCGGACACTATCTCGGTCTTGGCTCCTGGATTTTGCATCTCACCACCCTCGCACGCTACGGTGAGGTTCCCCTTTGTAACCTTGAGCGAGAAGACCCACGCTTCCTCATCGATATCGCATACGCCAGAAGGTTGCAGAACAACAATGTCGTGCTCTGGTGGTCCGCAAGCCCTCGTCCTGACCACGCCGGCCACGAGAAGGACGACATTATCGGCCCTCTCGAGACTGTCCAGATGCCCGCAATCAACAACCCCGGCACGTTCTCCTCGGTTTGCATCGACTTGGAGGTCAGAAACCTGGCCATCAATACTATACTCACTTCCTCTCTGATCAATGAGCTGGAGGGCTCGGAGTCTATCTCTTTCAACCCCGCCGGAGATGGTAATGCGGCAGGTGATGAAGTCATCTCGTCAGAAGGCACGTTTGCAAACGCTGGTGTGTTGGTGCTCCGAGAGATGGTGAAGAATTGGTGGCAAGAGGCCTGCAAGGGTAATACCATGGCGGATGTCATGGTCCAGCACCTAGTGCGTTGGGTCGAGAATCCCGATTCCTTCCTTTACGATCGTGCTTTACACTACTACGTGCAGATGATGTCTAAGAAGGCCTTTCAACAGCTCATGGCCGACTTCCGCCGAGTCGGCTCTCAGGTCATATTTGCCAATTCGAACCGCCTGTTGCTACAGACGACAAAGGCCGAGGTCGGAACTGCGTATGCGTACAGTCAGTACATCATCAAGTCGATCAAGAGCAAGCCCCTATTCCACTTCATCGACCTTGAGATCAAGGAGTACTGGGACTATCTAGTATGGTACGATGAGTTTAATTATGGCGGCAAGGCCTGTCAGGAGGTGGTTGAAGCAGAGCAACAGACTCTCGACACCGTCATGCATTGGCAGATGGCGACATTCCTCCCTGTCCGCCTGCAGCCGACCTTCCAGGACTGGGTTATTGAATTCATCCAACTCATGCACAACCTCAAGCGGCCCCAAAACGGAGACTTCTCCTCAACGCCGCGTCTCACACAGCTCCCGCAAAAGGCCCTCGCGGACGGTGCACAGGGACAAATCATCCTAGGCAAAGTCTTTGAGAAGCCCCTGAAGAAGGACATTGCCAACCTCGTCAACCTGCAGAAGCGCGAGCTCCTCCACCCGGAGCTCGCAGAGGACTACTCGTTTCCCAAGCTCCCCGGCTCGCACCTCGCCCACCTGTCGTCGCGCAACGCCGTCCTCGAGCTCGTAAAGTCCCTGATGCAGGTCCTCTCCCTCGACAAGAACATCACCCTCGAGGCGCGCCTCCTGCGCAAGGAGCTGCTCGCCATGTTCGACGTGCGCGAGTTCAGTAAAGAAGGCGCCTTCCAGAACCCGAGCGAGAGCCTCAAGGTGATCCAGCTGAGCTGCGACAGCTGCACAATGGCGCGCGATCTGGATTTCTGCCGCGACGAGGACCTGTTGCCGGAATTGGGGCCCGACGGCAGGCGTCTCGGCCCGGAGACGAGGCCGTGGCGGTGCACGTTCTGCGAGGCGGAGTACGACCGAAACGCGATCGAGGAGACGCTGTTGGCGAGCGTGGAGGGTTTCGTGGTGGAGTGGACGACGCAGGATCTCAAGTGCGGCAAGTGTGGTGCGCTGAGGATGAATGAGTTCATGGAGCACTGCACATGTAGTGGGACGTGGGTTGAGAGCGTCAAGAGGGCGGATATTGTGAGGCGATTGGGGGTGTATTGGAGCGTGGCCAAGTTTTATGGGTTGAGGATGCTGTTAGAGGTTACGGAGGGGTTGAGGAAGGGTCTTTGAAGGAAAAGTCTTCGAAGGAAAGGATGGAAGGAAACGCTCGTGATATCGCGGTGCATTGGTCTGCATTTGATGGCGTTACTGGGAACATGACTTCACGGGTGGGAGGGATGACATACTAGATAGCGTCTTGAGGCTACGTTAAAGGCGTGAATGACGCGCTCGAATACGAATACATAATCCAGGACACAGATTCACCCTCGGTCACGGTGACTTGCGTGCGCTCAAGGGGTGAGTGAAAAGGCGCAACCGAAAATGGGCCACTATGGCTGGACTGTTACGTATGTTGTACAATAGTCTGAGGATGAATCTGTATCGCATTATCTCATACTTCGATCATTGTCCTTCGTAAAGCAACCGCCTGGTATCAACCCAGAATATGCCCACCTGCAGCACTCCAGCAAATCTACGTGGAAATGGGCATAGCGGAAGGTTTGAGGGGGCATGGGAAGGCGTGGGTTGAAGGATATCCGCGCTGTCGAGGACCTCGCTTGGAGGCCTTCAGTTGGGAACCGTTTTACAGGCGCTCAGTAACCTGCTTGTTACTACGAAGATAAGTCATACATTTCCACACACGCTAGAGACAAGAGAATCATTATCTCTCTCCAAGCCGGTTGTATTGTTACTCGATGGATTCCAATCTGCTCCATCGAAACCCTAGCTTTCCATCACCCCTTCTTCTCCAATGATGAAGACGTGCAATGGGTCATGGACCTTAGCTTTATGAGGCGCACATTTGAAGCAAAGCCCGAAGGAATCTGGACAATCTTCGTCGGAACACTTCAGAAGGCTACCCCAAATCCACTATCGTTTCCTTGGATTAGCTGAGATCCAGTAGGTTGTATTCGTGCGGCATGGGTTGACAGTCAAACCCACTGGGATTTGGTGGGGGGGGGGTACTTACCGAATTGCAGCCATTGCAAGACCACTCGTCAGGGTACTGCTTGGAAAGCACTTTTGTTGATTTGACTTGAACTTTCTTCTCCTCCATCATGTCCCTGAAAGCACCGATAACAACATCAGGGGCGCCGTGGTATTCCGCAATCTCCAGAACGTTCCATGTACGTTCACCACCCGGCACGCGTTCTTCCAGACCAGGACATCCCTTCCGAGCGAGGAATCTGATGACTTCTGCTTTCTCTTCATAACTCTGCATCAAAACTTCGTCCCGTAGGCCCCTAGCACAGAACATTCGTGCTGCCCAGTGTAGAGCCGACCACCCATCGGCATCACGGCCATCAATCAGCTTTGGTTCGAGTTCGGCGAGTCTCTCAACAAGTCCCAAGTGCCCTGCGTGTGCTGCGCAGTGCAGAATAGTCCGTGACATCCTGTCCTTGCCCCTTAGTGAGGCTGAGAACTCAACAGCTTCGTAGTGAGCGAGGATCTTGTCAAAGATCTCGAGGGCGTTATCCCTTCGGTAACAAATATTGAACCACGATGGCAGGCCGTTGCCGTCTGTAGTGTTGATGCTTCCTCCGTTCGTGAGCAGGTACGTTATGAGTGTTCCGCCGCCAGTCAGAAATGCCTGTCCCAAGGCGCTGCTGGCGTAGCTTCCTGGACCGTTGATGTCAACCCCCCTTTGCTCAACAAGATACCGCACTACTACCGAATCATTGTAGTATTGGTTGTGGCAGGCCGCCTCAAGCGGTGTGCCCCGACGTCTATGCCAGAGGTTTGCGTCCCCGCCTAGCTCGAAGATAAGTTCCACCGTCTCTAGTCCGCCGAACATGCAACACTTGTGCACCGTGTATCCTTATACATCTGTGACCTTTCCGTGGAGTAGGGCACCTTTTGAAATGAGGTACCTGCAGTTCTCTCGATGGTTATGCAGCAGGGCATTCATAAGAGGGGTATCACCCCAATTGTCAGTGGTTTCCAGATTGGCACCAGCGTTGACCAACCGCCGGACAAGACTCGAATCAGTCGTGCCTATGCTGTAATTGAGCGGTGTGAAGCCATCTCGATCTTTGGCTCCTAAGTCGGCGCCGTATTCCAACAAAACTGCGAGAGTATCCCCACTGTTTGCGAGATGAAGCGGTGTTAGTTCCACGTCCGGGATGCAATGTTTGACATTAGCTCCATTTTCTAGTAACAGCCTTACCACATCCGTATACGAGTACAGACTCGCAATAGCTAGAGGCGTAAATCCCTTTGCCAAATCAAGCTCTTCAATATCCGAAGACGGCGTGAATTCGAGGTCCGGATCGCCATGCTTTAACAATAACTTGACGCATTCGATCTTGTTGTATCTCGCCGCGAGAAAGAGGGCTGTACAATGTGTGTCACAATACTCCGCTTCTCGATGATAGTCAGGAGGTGGCCGCGCCTTCGTAACTAGAAGTGTTAAGACAGTCGGATAGTCAAAAGCACATTCCAAAGGAGACCAATTTCGCGCATCTGAAGCAATCGAAACGTCGGCCCCTTTGCTCAAGAGGTATTCGACAACGTCCGGTCTGGATTTCAGTGACGCGCCGTACAGCGGTGTCAACCCCCTGGCAGTTCGAACGTTGACATCCCCCCCTCGATCGATGAGGAACTTCACCATGGAAAGAGGGCTCTCTCCCGCTGCCAAGTAAAGAGGCGGTTCGCCCGATGGATCTTGGGCATTGATATTGACCCCATAGTCCAAGAATAGCTGAGCCAAGTCCGTGTTGTTATTCTTCACGGCGACACTCAAGTATTGCTCTTGGCGCCAATCTTCAAGATCCATTCCCGTCTCCAGAAACAAGAGACATACTTCTTTGGACGCTGATTCCTGAATGGCACAGCACAAGCCATCTATAAGGCCTTCTCTGTCTTGTGTAACATCAGCGTGTCTTAGAATTGCTCTCACAAGCTCGGGTGACGAATGAGACACAGCCATATGGAGACTTTCCTTCATGTCCACATTTGAAAGGTATTCCATTTGGCCACTTTTTTGGAAAAGGCTTGCAAGAAGTTCTTCCGCAACAACATGACTGCCTGAGTAGATCAGCATACGCAAAGATCGGAATGAGGTATCCCATCTGAGCCAGCCTATGAGTGCAAGGACGTTCTTGGGTTCCCAAACGAGACATGCAACGAAGAGGATATCATCCTTCTGACCATCGCTAAGGTGAGGCTCTCCAAGTCGTGAAAGCATCAGCGGTCTCCAGACTCGGGATAGAAATGGCTCTCAGCAACCATGTGAACGATATAGAGCTGTCAATGGGACCATCCTTGATGCTTTCGGCGATTCCTCCGATGCCGGCGAAAGCAGCGCACGAAATCAACTCGAGAGGGATTTGAAAAATTTTTCGGGACTGCGCTTGTCGGAGAAGATCGTATATGCAGTCATGCGTGAGCTTTCCTGGTTCAACCGCAGAAAAGACTTTTCTCGCTTCCTCATCTCCTAGCACAGAAACAGAAAGCTTCTCGAGGAGTCTCGTATGAACGCCCCTGACTGCCTCCAAAAGCGCAGGAAATGCAGTCTTTGGGCGACTTTCCCATCCCGGACAGATGGCCAGTATACCAATCTCCTCGATGTCATTGAAACCACACAATGCAAGAAGGCCCACCGCAGTAGTAGCTGTTGTGTGTTCAGTGTTCGTCCTATCGGAGACCTCTAACACAGTGTTCTGAGCATATCGGAGCATAAGCAGGCTCGCTGCGTGGTTTTCCTTCAGAAATTTGGCTACCAAGGATTCGGCTTCTAGTTTTGTAGATGGGTGACATCGAGCAAGTCTGTAGTGATGTGGCCAAAAGTTGGCAGCGTACGCCGTGAAGTCGTGATGGAACAGCGAAGGTGGTATTAGTCCAGAGTGTGAAACGTTGGGGCCTATCCGCTCAGCCTCAACACACAAATGTCGAAGTAGACAACGCAAGATCAGCAAGTTCGACTTGGAATTGCTAGAATGCCATGGATCGGTGTCGTTTGGTTCCTCCATATTGTCGTAAGTAAGCCGAACCTCATTGTCTATCACCTCTATAAGACTAGAAAGATGGTCATGAATGAAGTGAAAGCCGATAGACGGGGCATCTTCCATGTCTTTTCCACGATGGTTTTGATCTGCGGAGAAATCGCTCCCTTCTGATCCGACTATGCTTTGTTCCAGGGCTAAAGCAGTGACTAGTTCAGTCGGAGATAGGGACCGGCAACAGAACTGAACCCAGTGAAGGGCGCTGTTTGCAACAACATTATCTTCTCTTGCGAGGAAACCTGAAATTGCAATTTGAAGACGTTGTGGCTCAAGCTTTCCATCGTCGTCAATAACTTCATGGATTCTCTGTAGCCACTGGGCCCTCGATACACTGGTCTGCGCTGTCCTGATGACCCACTGCAAGAAAGTCCCGCGAAGGTGATTGTCTTTGGTGTCGCGCAAGATAGTATCGATCGATTCCGGCAAAGTACCAAGGCCCATATAGCTGCCAGGTGGAGCGAAGAATTCGATAGAGAACCGGTTGCTATTGTCTTGGGACCGTTGATAGAGAGACTTCAGTTGAAAACGATGAATGTTTGCGTCCTGCATGATTCTTCCGAAATTGGATGTTGAATGTCCTGACCAGGAAAAGACGATTGCAGGCTTGAACATGGTGAATCGGAAAAGCGCTTTGATGCTACCCAGCAATGTGGTCACCTCCGTATCACCACCACAATATTCCAGGTTCCAAACAGACCAGATGGCGCGTATGTCCTTGCGCCAAAGATAACAATTCAGAGCGACGAATAGAACTTTCAACAGGTCTTCTCCCAGTGGTTTCGCAGATGAAGAAGTTCTTTCAAATAGTGAAAGCAAGCTTGCCAACGCCGTGTTCGGTTCAACTTGAGGGGATATGTACGCAAGAGCCTGAGCTAGAAAACTCTCCAGCACTTGTTGCACAATGCTCAAGCGGAACCCCGAGTCAATTTCGGGATGGAGTTTGAGCTTCCGAAACTGGAATGCAAAGGTCCGAATTTCTGTTCCGGTTGTAAACTTGTTTGCTTCCGATACCAATCGAACGAAGCTGCCTATTGTACTCGACGGGGATAGTTCCGCAGAAGCCCAGATGTATCCGGGATTGATGGAAGCAGGATTTTCTATCCATTCTTCAAGTTCTTCTTCGGATCGTAGCTTATCCGATGTGTCGTATTCAAGACCGGCTTGAAAAGTAGGTGGCGGAGACACAGTTGAGAGCAGAAGTTGTAGGCCCTGGCAGCTGAAAATTCCTGTTGTGACAAGTGTCGATTAGTGGCTATTATCACAAGCAATTGAGGATAGTGTAGCCAGTGTACAAAAGAAATGTATTACCTGGCTTTGGAAATTCAAGTGTCCCCTTTAGTAGCTGATTCTCCCTGTCTCCGAGTTCGTGACCGAGCAGAGTGTCGTGAGGGTGGGGCAATCCGATGCGATTTTCGCAGCTGAGGTCAAGCGTGGCAGTAAACTCATCAAAGATCTAAAGGAGTCAGAACTCAATATAAACGATGATGAGAAGCTCTATTATGAACTATTCGAAATCGCTATCTGACTTTTCTCGACCATAATGACGTTCTTTCAGAACAAAGCAAGGGTGAATGGATCGTACTTACTCGGTCGATGGGATCCGGCGTTTCAGAGAAAACGCTGATGATCTGCATCCTGAAAGGCATATTGCTGTTTAAGAACAGGTAATTTACATCGATGGTCATTTTGGCGCAGTCTTTGGCAGCCTGAAGGAGGCCAAAGTCAGGGATGCTGCGAGCGTTACAAATCAAAGTCGCGAAGCCATTAACGAGTGACTCAGAGCTGGACGTCTTGTGTGGGCAACCGATGAAGACCTTTGATCTATTCAGCATTGCAGCTCCCTGAGATGAAACTTCTAGGGCGACTCACCAAAGCATACAAAGAGGATATCAATTGACTGTACTTGCCCAGATTGCTAGAGGCAATGACTAAAGCCTGGTATCAAGTGTGCGGTTAGTCTCGGGTTCTACGGATACAAGTAGACTTTCAGATTATTACTGCTTCACGCACCATCTTAACAAGTATCCCACCTATATCGTGAGCTAGAATGGCACGTGGACGATCACCCTTTGAAGAGGCGGTCAGCAGTTGTGTTTCACGCTGGAAACATTGATGAGAGATACTTACCTCCGATTCCTTCCAAGCCACGATATCGTCTAACAGCTGGCAAACAACAAGCTTTAACCCAGTCTGATTGCACATGAGCTTCTCACTGTTGAAGATATTGTCGTAATTGAAACCGAGAATGCTAGCATTGCTACTATTAAACAGATCTTCTCTGAGCCAGGCTGGTCGGGTCGCAGTGGCCTTCCAAGGGTTGCCACCCCTTCGCGACAACCCATGGACCACAAGGATACTTTTACTCATCAGTCTCTATGATACCTTAAATCATGAAATTGAAGAAAAGGGAGTTTGGATGGCCAAGCAGCATTGTTTGGCGGGGGGAATTGCGCAACATACTCTTTGTCTGGGCTATCATCCTCAGCATCGAATGTATCGATTAACTCCATGATCGTATCTCTTGAAGGAACGAGTATCGTTCTGGTTGTTACCGTCTGCGGAACTGTGCAAAATAGTTCCCTTATGCCAAACTGACAACAGAGAGATCTGAGAAAGATGGGTTGAAAGAAAGAAGAAGGTCACCATAGGCCTCTCGTACATTAGCTGATTGCTCAGATCGGATTAATTCTAATCCAACCGTAGATCTTAGGTGGTACCAAGTTGGTTACCTAGAGGTACATGGCAATTCAATTGCGGGAGCCTGCGACTGCCTTTGGCTATCTCTGACCCATTACGGAGTTTCTTTGTCCTTTACGCGAGGCTAAGAGAAAGCCGCAGGGTTACGTGCAGGAGCCTCAAGCGGTGTGAATAAAGTATTGATATGCACCTCGCCCAGAATATACATTAAGTACCTGCTACTGTACAAAGTCTCTGGAAAATTGTCCAGCTTCTAAAGCACCAGAAGACAATCTCCAAAGGTCGCCCACTATATCTGCAAGTTGTGTCGTGTCATACTTGCGTAAGTTTGCTGTAGATGGTTTGCTGGGGTCGACTTTCAAACAGCCTCGAGGTATCTTCCCGAACATCACCGTGAGATTCTCAATCGAAGTCTTAAGATCAACAGTGGATTTGATTTCCATCTCGATGACGAAGGGTGCGTCCACCATATTCTCACTGTATCGCTCAAGCAAGACAGCGGCACGAAAATGAGGAGGGACACCGTCTTTGGGCAGGGCTGGGTTCTCCAGTAGCGCCCATTTGACGCAGTTGTGTGGCCGCTTGTCGTTCACTCTGGCCTTCGGTTGTCGCGTTGTCCATCCATTGACAGTGGCGTACTCCATCGTATCCAAACTGACTGTCTCGCCGGATTTGACACCTCCTTCAACCGAAGCCCCATGACTGAAGCCCGCGGCCAGGTTTTTCTCATTGCTACGCGAGATGCTTTTTGCTTGTGGGTGGAATGAAACTCTTCCCTTTGGTGATAGACCCCCTTTGCGCACGCGAATGCCCTCAGGAAGGGTGAGGCTGATAATGGCCTGGTGTGTCCTTCGCGTCGCTTTGATCCGGTCGAGCTGAAAATCAAAAACAATGAGGACACATGGGGTGTTATCGTCCAGACTAGCTTGGCCGTGAACCACGTCGGTTAAGGAACAGCGGACCAACACTCCAGTCTCGCGAGGGGTATAGATACCGTCTGAGTTAAATCGAAATTGGCTTTCCGCCTCGCTGATCACACCCAGGGCAAAGTCGATCATTATATCAACGTCTGAGACGTGTTCCGACTTGGTATCCGTCAACTTGACTGTTGAGTATCTGAGAGATAAGAAGAATCGTGTGAGGAGCGAGTGATTGCTTGGTAGTCAACGAGGCAGTGTAGTTTGATTGTGACACTGGAAGAAGCTTACCCGTGAGGGGAAGTCCACTCTTTTATGGAGGATGCGGCGGCAACACAAGGCAACTGTGAACTGTGCCATTAAAATTGTGCGAGGGTTTTCATGGACAACAAATAGCATATAGTCTACTCCTGACCTTGACGCCTTGTTGCCAGTGATCTGCTTTAGAATTATCGCCGTCGGACAGCATCAGGTTCAGTATCAAATATGCAGAGACGGATGCAATATTGGCTTGGCTGCATATGCAGAAAAACTCCTTGCTGACCTTCTCGCCTTGACAAACTTCCTGCAGATAATCGTATGATGCCGTTTTGTATCACCTGGGTATCTAGATGTCAACTAGTGGTGGCGACGAAAGTATGGTCAAGTTGTTGTGTGACCAACTTGCATCTCTGCGCCTAGTCCTATCCCTCAGTAGGACCGACTACTCCATGTAACATACTGTATCTATATATGACCATGCTGCATGTGGGCCGTGGTCTCGGCGTTTCGCTGACGGAGACAGCGGCGCCTAAATGCAGAAGCAAGAAAGTGCGAGTAAGACAAGTTCCCCTCGGCATGGACATCGATCTGGGAGTGCGACTGACTATCAGTAGCTGCTGACTTGGTTATTGTGCAGACCAGTACGCGATTTTGAGGTCAATGCAATCATTCAACGCAACTACACACCTCATTTTGGAGAGTCAGGAATTCACTGACGATCCCGTACAACAATGGACACGCCGACTCCTGAGTTGGGCTTCGAAGAAGTCATAAATCATATATTGAACGAGATCGACGCCATGAAATTGGACGAGCAACGAGACCCCCAGTCCGAGAAGCAACGTATCCAAGAACTTGTTTATTTTGTCGATGTTCATCCCCACGAGATGATTGACGAAGACGGCACAATTCTTCACCAATTTCTTCGCGATATCAACAGAGCAGACAATTGTCCTGTGGAGGTCCTGAACACCATTCTCAAAATTGCACCGCAAGCTATTCTGATGGACTTTGGTGGCAACATTCCGCTGCTTGAATTCATCAGGAGACGCTCACGAAGAATGATTCGTATTGTCATCGAATTTATGGCACGGGACATGAAGAACCGCAACTTAGCTTCGCTGGCCGAAGAAACTCTTGGCTTCGTTGAAACCTGGTTTGAAGACAACGAACAGAATCCCGATACCATGGAACCTGGCCGCGCCATTATTCGAGCTGCTTTCAACTTCAATGAGAGACCCAACGAGTTGCTCCCGGTCGATATTGATCTTCTAGAGATTCTTGTCAATCTCACAGCTCCAGAGATGCTTTGTAAAACTGGCAATGGATTGAGCCCGCTGGAGCAAGCTTTGCGTTTCGACTTGTGTATCAGCAATCCCGAACGTCAACTAGCACTCGTGATGCTGATTCTGGACAAATGCCCCAAAAGCATCCATGATTTTGTGACCAAGGAGGTCAGACTTCAGCCGTGGAAAGCGGACAGCTCTACTCCTCAGCCTGAGTACAGCGTCTATAGATGGCATGTTGCCACCAAAGAATTTTGGCATCATCAGTATTCCCAACCAATGCGTACATCTACGCCAACGCAACTGGATTCTGCTAAACGACCAGCCGCCTCTGAATTCGCGAGCGAAAGGCGCCTTGAGGGAACACAATCCAAGTCCGTGTTGGTGGGAAAAGACAACGGTGTTGTTTCGCCTTCCCAAAGCTCTTTTGCAATTTCAAATCTTAATGCTGGCAGAACGGGAAACCCAAGCATGTTAAAGCCTAACCGACCCTCCGTCATCACCGGATCGGTTATTGATCAGTCGCCCTTTCGGGAAGCGCGAGGAAAAGAAGGAAAGGTTTCACGTCGTCTATTTATGCGTAACGGAGGTGCTTCCAATCGAAAAAAGCCCAAGGAGATACGTGTCACGAAGCAAGATGTTGAGGCTGCAGACAAGGCTAGTAAAGTAATCTGTAAGGAGCTGGGAGTCCGCTTTTTGCGGTCGACGGTTTTCCACGATGACGAGAAGAAGACTACGTTCCGAGAGATCGACAATGAGATCCAGCAGTTTTTCGGAAATCACGAGCAGCGTAAGTGTGCAGACCCTGAGAGAAATCATTGCGGCTTAGAGACTGTTGCCTATGTGGAAGCTCAGCTTAGCTCATCACGACCTTTGTTCGGTAATCCGCGTGGTGTTGTCTTTGCTCTTTCCTCGTTTCCTGGCTTTCCTTTTTGTACTGGAATCGTTTCCTCTCGCTAATTGATATAATATAAATGCTAATCGGCAAGGACTCAGACTATTATTTCGCAATGGATACGGCTAAAGAATACCGAGATATGACAGAGGCCCAAGTGAGGAGCTATTTCGGCAAAAGGGATCATTACCACACTCTCCGCCATGTGTTTCTTCAGCCGGCTACGATTCTTCTCGAGAATGACCAGAAAACCCCCTCTGGTTCATCACGCTACACAGATCACCTTCAATTCTTTCGCTGGTTCAGGGAGTGGGGTGTACGCAAGATTTACAAAGTTGTCGTTTATGACGGCGACCATCCTCACCGAGACGAAGAGATTGAAACGGCTCTAGCGGGTATTGTGCACGGAAAAAAGGTTCATCCATCTTTTGATGTGGAGGTGCTCGACTGGCACAAGGAAGATCTTTGCCCCCAGGTGATTCAAACGGCGACGCCGCAGGTACGCGAGCTTCACCTGCATTGGAGCGGGCGAAACTCTGTCCTACGCGGCTGGAGCGAGCCCGAGGCACTACCAGCACTTCAATATCTGGAAAAGGTGTATATCTACTACGTGGCGTCCTCGATCGAGGAAAGCCGCATAAGGATTAACATTGAGAGCTTCTCCAGGCGCATAGAGCAGCCGCGGGGACGGCCGACGAAGATGGTAGAGACGAATAAGGATTCCACCAAGGCTCAAATGCCGGTGAAAGAGCAGTTACCCAGGCGGCCCACGATGACCCAAGAATATGGGTATTCCGAAGACTCGAAGGGCCTACCAACCATTGAAGTTGTGGATATGGGCAGAGTTACGACGACAGGCGCATCTGGATCCGAGCGCACTCCGGGTTCTGCCTTAGAATCTTTTGAGCAGCCGTGGTTCAAGTACGTGGAGGAATTTGTTTCTATTATTCCAACACCGGAGGAACTGCCAGACTATGACTTTAAGGATCCGCACTTGCGTCGAGTAAGAGTTGCATTGATCGACGACGGTGTTGATCTCTTCAGTAAAAGTATGCGGAGTCTAGAGTCGCGCTTCTTGGAGGGCCGTAGCTTCGACCAGACGCCTGATGGACCAAACCCGGTTTATTCGTCTGTCAGTGGACATGGCACGTTCATGGCAAAGTCAATTCTCCGCATCTGCCCATTCGCAGACATCATACCCTATCGTTTGAAGACCGTCCGAGACGCAACAAGCAACCGGCGACTACCTGATGCGAGCAGTGCAGCCAAGGTAAGCATGCTATCAACCTCCAAGTTCCACCAAGAGAAACTTTTCATTGAGCTTTGCGTAACCAACGGAACCGGATCTCAACCACTGGTCAAACAAGCTATGGATCTGGCTGACTTGCGCAGGCTATCAGAGAGGCCATAGAACAAGACGTCGACATCATCAGCATGTCTTGGACCATCCGGAACGACAACAACAAGATTCCAGAGACCACCCTCATGGAGCTGCGCAATGCCGTGAGCACGAGTGAGGGCACCGGTCGTCCCCGCCGTCGCATACCCATCATGTTCTGCGCAGCGAGCGACGATGGAAATCGAGCACGCAGCCAGCACGGTAGAGGAGAGTTCCCGCGGGAAATCAACAACGCCAAAGTGTTTTGCATTGGCGCTGCTGACCCGCACGGTCAGGTCTGGCCAGAAGTCACCGACCAAAACGGGCTGAACCACCTATTTCCGGGTGTGGATATCAAGGACGTTTTTGACGATGACGCCCATGAAAACGGTACCATGTCAGAGGCTTTGGGCCCTCAAATCAGCGATCTCGTGAGTAGGAATGGGCATACAGGCTCGTCAGTTGCCACGGCCCTGGCAGCTGGGCTCGCGGCGCTCCTCATCCACTGCACCAAGTTGGGACATCACTATACAAATACGTGTAAAGGTCCTGAGGCCCACCGCTCCGAAACAATCACCCAACAATTCGTCGATCAGATTGCAACGTATGAGGGCATGCAAAGCGCGCTGGATAATCTGAGTTCGGGTAGTCGAAGTGGGACAAAGTTCGCGAATCCGAGCAAGGAATTCGCGCGTGCTATCCAGGACCTGAGGAAGTACGATGTACGAGGTGGAGCGGCGAACAATTTGCCTCAATCTTTAAGACCCATTGCAACTTTGTGTCGAAACTTATGCCGAGCGTGAAGTGCGGTTCAAAGTTGGCTCGAAGAGTTTTTCGGTATTAGCCATCTATCGTTGAGGGAAAAGGGTTGCGTAGGGTTTAGTTCGTTTTGGGTCACTTGGAAAGAATTCAACTGGGCATATCCAGTTAAGTAACAAAGAAAGGCGAGGAGTTTCAAAGATGTATTGACGGAGACACTCAGGGCTTCCTCGGCCTCTGGCGATTCAGGGCGCCAATAACCGTTATCAATGTTCACAGCTCATAGTCATGGTTTTGCACGTGATTTTACTATCATATTCGCTTATGAGGATGAGGATGGCATCGCTTCCTTCTTTCTTTCAACATTATGGAATCTTTCGACTATAAACATAGGCTCTCAGGCGTCCGTAACCGTAAATCCCAGGTTCAGGGGCGCAAATTCCGAGTCCGTGTGGAAGTTGAAGCCGCTCCCGCTTTCCCATACCGCCACCTCTTTGATCTTCTTATTACCAAGCTTTTCCTTGTGCTGGATGAGGAGTAAGGCAGGGCCGAAGCCGTGTCTGCTCCCGAGGATGGTAAGGCCGTGTCGAGTCTCCATCGGAAACACCGCTCTCTTACTCCATCCCGGCACACTCTTGAACCCTGCATCATGAAGCACCTGCAAGACCAGGGCGCAGGTGGGGCGGTGGTGGATGTGAACTAGGAAGATAAGTTTGATGTTGCTGGGGTTGACGCTCTTTTCCGCGCAGGCGTCCAGCCATTAGAAGGAGGCGAGGTCGGACAGCTGTTCGAGTTCCGGGACATCTCCGCTCCCACCCAAGGCCAACGAATACCGGGGACTGATGTTTCTGTCGAAGATAATTGCGCGGGACATTGTAGACACGAGCAAGTGCAGCCATACTTTATTTTGATCTATTTTGCAAGCTTAGACTGAGGAAATGATACGTTCTTGGTTAGAAAAGTTTTCTTTTGTTGTTGGTGAAGAAAAAGATAGTTTAATTAGTCGTCGGATGCGTGCGGTGCAATTTGGGTGACGACTCGTATGGGGAGTATATCATTTCTAAACGTTACTGTAAAAGCTGGGTAGTTGCTTTTATTGAGAAATTTTAAATAAATTATTCCACTTAGACAATGCGGAAATGCGACTTCTCTCCTTCGTTGTTGACGTGTGCGTTGATCCTATCAAAGTCCTCCTGCGGAATTTTCTCCCACGGCGGCCACGGCTGATTCTTATATCCTAGCCGCTCGTATGCGCCGGGCAGACGCCCCGACCGTCCCAGGATGATACTCGTCACCCACCGCTGGCCGTTGGGGTACTTGTTTGTATGCTCCCACCAGCACCCCACGATCATCACCCATACCGTCACGGGCGGGTTCAGCTCGACGCTGTCAATGTCCCTAACGCGGTTCGCCGTGTTGCCAAGCCCGTGGGCAAACTCCCTCCTCGTGGCGCGGATCGGCCCCGGCGCCAGGTGCGTGTCACCCCGGAAGGGGATCTGCCAACCACCGACTTTCGCGAGGAAGAGCGTCTCTGGGTGACCGTGGGGGAACATGGCGCCGGGGTTGTTGTAGTTGAACAGGTCGCTGCCGTCGTAGGGCGGATGAGTCTCAAGGGTGGCCTCGATCAGCGGCGCCTCCATGTCGACCCAGGCGTCGACAACCTGGCCGAAGACAGGGTTGCTCTGGCGCGTGGCCTCGGCGTCGACGACCTGGGAGACGTAGAAGCCCTTTGCGGCGATTGAGTTGTCGTTGTAGAAGACGTTGCCCGCCACGCTGGTCCAGGAGAAGGACGGAGCGCGCCAGAGGCGCGTCGCCTCCCACTTGAGGCTCTCGAACATGTGGCGCTCCCAGCACATGTCACGGATGAGATTATCGCGCCACAGGCCGGCTATGTACCGTGAACCGGTGACATCGGCAACGTGACCGGCCACGGCCGAGATGGCGGGCAGTTTATCCTCCTCAAAGGTGAGGCGGCGCTTGGAGAACTCCATGACCTGCCTGTGCCAGAGCGAATACGCCTTCTCGGCTGTGTCGATGGTGATGAGCGGGGTGAAGGGGTGGTTGGGGGAGCTCGTGTGGCCGCCCTCGCAAGCCTGTAGGGTCTGGCACGACCACTGCAGCTCTGTGCGCGAAAAGACGAGGATGCGCGTGGCCAGGAGGCGCTCCTGGAGGGGCCAGCCGCGGTAGTCGAGGGGGTCGCGCGCGCTGTAGAAGGACTGTAGGTCCTCGTGGAGGCCGATGGTCGGGACGGCGCGTGCCCGCACGGGCGCGGGCTGGGAGGGATGGGCGTCGCGGATGACGAACGATTCCGGACGGCGCATTCTCTCGTCGTCCTCGTCGTCGCCGAGGAAGGACTCCTGGCAGTTGCCGATGGCGGCGGCGGCGATGACGACGCTCGCGTTCTTGTAAACCCAGGACATGCGCGGGAACTGGTCCTCCCAGTCGTCGTGGTCATCCTGGATGATGCACAGGCTGTCGACCCAGAGGTGATTGATGCCGAGGCGCGGGGCGATGACGGCGACGTCCCGGAAGCAACGCGGTAGGTGGCCCAGGTTGATCGAGTCCATATGCGCCGTGATGTTGGCGCGTAGTGTGCGGATGTTCTTGTTGCCGCCCCAGCAGTAGCTCAGTGCAATGTAGGGCACGGGCTCGTCGGGGTGGATGATGTGACCGCCCTTGTCGGTGAGTCTGATGAGCCTCTTTGGCATAAACTCGTGATTGATCTTGCACTTTTCGTGGTTGTCGTGGCAGTCTTTCATCTGGCGGGCCATGAAATCCATGGTAGCTTGGGAGCGCGGAGTGGCTGGTACCTCGAGGAGCGGATGGAGGTGCTTGACTGTGCTGTCAGCCTCGGTGGTGTACAGCTCGAAGGAGCAGGCGTCTTTGCCAATGAGCGAGATCTTCGGGTTCTGATGGTCCTCCAACCAGATGGTCATCTTGTCCCAGTCCGAGGCCAGCTTGTAGGCAGCGGCGAGCAGCACGGCGCAGCGGTAGCAGTCATCGCGGCGACGCTGCAACTCGGCCGGCGTCCGATTCTCGAGGGCCACACGGTGGATGCCAAAAGTGTCGCGGAGGACGGCATCGCGCTCGTGGAGCGGCCCCTGGGGGTCAAAGTCGTGGCATGCTGAGCAATAGTCGTCGGGGGTCGCCGTGACCATGGCGGCGATGCGACGGACTTGAGGCTATACTGTATCAAGTGAAATCAGAGAATGGTGGATAATTCAAACCAACATACTCTCAGCGTATCTCGTCGGATATGTGTCGCAGGTTTCAATGGTCCAGGAGGCTGGAGGCAGGAGGCAGGAGGCAGGCAGACTTGACAAGGGGAGGAATGATATTGTGCTACATAGAAGCGGGGTAATCCTCTCAGACGCATGAAAGGATTCTTGAGGGAATCAAAAGATGCCGCTGGCCGATCAGGCTGAGCCCCTAGCAGATGTTGTCCAACTTTGAACGGGCACATGATCTAAATGTGCCGCACATCTAGACCACAAAAATACGGCGAAAAGTCGCACTCTCACCTCCGACTGGAGGAAGTGTCCTGTGTGGGCTTCTCGTCGGCTCGCTGACGGACAACCGTAACACAAGGTAAGTAGAAAACAGCGGTTGGCAGCTTGGCAGCTGAAGAGGCGGCGTAGTGGCTATTCTAAGCAGAAACTTTGATTCAGGTATGCCATTATTTTCTGACGCCTTGGTTAGTAATAATGACTTTCCCTAACGGAAGATATTCAAGTCTACACAAATCTCTTAAAACCGTAGCTGTGATATGCTTAGTGCTCCAAGCACTTACAAAGCGTGCGGGATCTCTCCATTTAATCCCCATCACCATTTCAATATAATTCAATAACAGAGCCGTGTTGTTTCCTATAGCCAGTAGCCGCGCTGGCTTTATTACACTTTTAATCTGCCGGCCGTTAAGCTCGGCCTTTACAAGCGAATCCAGATCCACTTCCGAGACGCTACAGCTTCTTCCTGAGCTAGGGTCGATAAACAACTTCCAAATATATAGCCAGCCTACTTACGAAATCAAGGTTAGAAAAGTGAATTGTAAGGTGGATACGCGACTCAAATACAAGGTCAAACGACGATGCCCACCTTAGTTAGTTATGAGGAACATAACGCCCTAGTAGCATTCCAATAGGCGGAGGAATACCAAGACGAGCTTAGGTATTCCTATGCAGGTCCAAAGTGGAGCGCTTTTCAAGAAAGACGTTGCACTAGGTCGTCTAGAAGCGCACCGCGCACTGCGCCCCACTTGGTCCAGAGCTTAAGCACACGACACAGGTTTTGTTTAACCTCGTCCGCACTTTGCCCCAACTCGCATGCGCTCATACTGTACAAAGGCCTCTTCAGAGTCTCAGAGACTAAGGTAGTTGGAGCGGACCATGTAAGTTGAAGACCTGAGGACTGGCGACTGTCAATACTAACCTGACTTGGATATGAGCATATTCCTAGTTCCAGGCTCGCCGCTAAGGAGCATGATGATGCCCTTTCCTATAGTTCATAATGGTCAGATCTTGGCCCTGCAGTAAAAAAATTGATGATTACCTTTTCTTTTTATAATTTCATCAAATTCGTTAACATTAGACATCTGCACTTCAACAAATACCCATATAACGCGCTTGTAGTCATATGGCCGAACGAGCTGTTCAAAAGCACCGTCATCCCAAACAATGTCCTTAATAAGGTCGACGTTAAATTAAACTAGGTTAAAATAAGATTTTAAAAGTATTAGGCGGCAGTTTCACCTAATCTTGTATCTTAAGACAGAACCCCTTTACTATCGGAGTGCACAACGGATAATGCTCCTTGAATAAAGACTTAGAAACTATCACAGTGTGTCAGCTATTGGCTCTGTCTAATATAGAAGTCATAAAGGCCACAAACGCATAGAACGCATATCTTTTTAATTACTTTCGGGGTAAAGTAAACCTTCAGCGCATTTGCCTCGCTCTTTACTACATCAATTAAAAAGGCAGCGGCAAGAACATATCGGCTTCTTTATTACTATTTTAAGTACCGTTAAGCAGGCTCAAGCCACTCAAGTGCTCCGAGGTGACTATTTAATTGAGCGGATCGATCTGGCCGATTAATCCGCCGTTCTATTTCAGGAATGAGCTGCAGTCGACCACAACTCTTCCGTCAGCAACCTTCAGGCCAAGGTAAGAGGTATTCTTCCAGTTAAAAAAGTGTAATTACAGAACTCAACTATTGTTTACATAGGGCTCTATAAAAAGGTCGATATTCATAAAAGCCCTTTAATACTGCAAATTTGCGTCCTCTCTCTCTAAGACGACTCCAAAGACTTTCAATGTCCGGCTTCAAGTAGCTAGGCAGCACGTTCAGCTCCGATATTGGCTTTGTATTTTAAACTCTCTATTTATTAATAATGTTTTACAGTAGCCGAAGGTGTCTCCGTCGATGTTAATACAACGGTAAGAAAGATTAAATCTTAACGCCGCTTAGTAACTCTTAGTAAGTTCCTCTGTTAAAAAGATACAAGTGATCATATCATCGACATAGGAATAGACCTCGGTGCCTAGCTTAAAAAGCGCCTGGACGTAATTAAACAAGATCACGTTGTTACTCAGCAAGTCTCCCGCCTGCTTAATATGCGGATGGATTTCGGTAGATATGATGTCGAAAAGGAGCTTGTAGTAGGCATGTCCGATCTTGTCCTACTCGTCGCTCTAGGGCTTTGGCGCGGCTTAGAAAAAACCGCTCTTATCTATAAAAGAACTCGCGCAGGGGGGCTCGGAAGTCGAGTTTCTTCAGCTTCGTGTTAATACCTCTGTAGCCAGCGAATACCGGATACAGCTGCGTTTAATAAGAGGGGTTTGCACGGCGACAGAGTTTAGAGCTAGAACAGGCTCCTCTGTATCGCCGTTCTGCTTCTCACGCCGCACAATAAAGGCAAACTTGAGTGAAGCGGGTGTTGATTTAGAGTTGATACATATGTCCTCGGGCGCCCACTCTTGCCAGGGTTGTCGGTAGTCATCCCTCTGAAGGTCTTGGTCAGGGAGATCATTCCAACTTGGATGGGCTCCTTCTCCTTGCTGGCTCTTCGGGAGCATCGTCACCGCTGCTGGAAGTCTCGGTGCTGTCGTCATCCGTGGGCACTATGAATAAATCAACGATTTTAGACCGCAGCGGCGGCGGAGGCATTTCAAATGTTGCCAATGGCTGTGGGATAAGTTTCATTTTCCCAAACGATCCGTTCCAGCGAAGCTTCTTGCAGGCGAGAGAGAGATCCAAGCTAAGACGGAGTTTATGGTAATGGGGAAGGAAACCAGACGTTAACATTTAAAACTGAGGGAGGAGTAGACCACACGTTTGTGCCTACAACAGCCGGGTCGTGCGTAGGAAGCGGACACTGAAAGTGCAGAGGGGAAAGACATGGGCATGCGAGTAAGCCCTAATGAAATCAAATCAGGCAGTACGAGGCAGACAGACCATTTCAGAGAGTTACCCTTAGACACAAGTGGCTAATGCCTGGTCGTATCATTGCTGTGCCGTATCAGTAAATCAACTTTCCTAGAGCTCAAACGGTTCTTATTAGCGCCGATGACGGGTAAGCGCTAATGCAGAGGGAAGGCAGGCTGTGGCAGCCCGTCATAGAGTTCCAGTGAGATGGCTGTTCTCGGGAATAGTCACTTCACAGCCTGCTTTATCATTGAATATTCAGTAGTGCATGAGACCGTGTCATGTTACTGCTATCGATTTGACAACAGATTGGGCCATTGTTCACCTCTACCAATTCTAATCGCCTAAGTATTTCTGTCAAATGCTGCCCAGTTCCGACTCACAATTAGGTATCGACAGCAGGAGACGAAAAACGCCTTGGGTATGTTTAGTCGACCTTCCCAAATGATGATATCGTACGGGTTTGCTAATGTTTTACAAGATTTCTCATCACCCGGCGATGCTGAATTTACATAGATGCATGAGCTCACGCGCAACATGTATTTGGCGATGGAAACGAGCTGGAACCCGTTCTTTGTGGACTTGAGCCTTCTGAAGTCAAAGTATGCCGAATCCTGGCAGCAACTTCATGTGGCAAAAGGTCCTTGCCATTCACCACCGAATACGATCAGACTTGCTACTTCGCACCTCCTGTTTGCAATCGTCCAGGCTTTGATTTCCAAGGGCGAGGATCAAGTAGCCAATTCAATCCTCAACTCAACTTCCCACTGGAAGTGAAACAGCCATGGAGGTTCGGCAGATGATGGCATGATAGAGTCGGTCGACCAGCTACCGCATGGACTCGCACTCGAGAATCGAAAATGAATGTTCCTCCTTGACCTGAACCCTGACGGGGGTACTATCAGGACTGGATTATTGACAGTCATGAATGACGGCGGTTTGTGGGTCTGGACCCTCGAAGGCGAAATAGAAAAACGCAAAGCGGAGATTGAGAGCTACTGGGCACAAAAGAAGGGAGAAGTGGTCGTTTGCTCGGAAGCGAGTGGGACAGGCTCGTCAACCGCAAGTGAGCATAAACCCAACAAAGAGGACCCCCACCCGGTGGACGACGTCCAAGAATCTTCTGAAATGCAGGCAACGGATCCTGCGCGATTAAAACCCGAAGCTAAAATGACCGATGGCTCGGGTAGACACAGAGACTCCAGCCATAGCTGGATGTTGATGGTAGCCTCCCTAATGGCGACCATGGCCGAGGCGATAACTGTTTTGCCGGATGATGAAAATCAAGAAGGTCCAAAGCATCCCGAAAGCGGAAGCATCCCGAAAGCGGCAGCATCTGATCCCGCCTGATGGCTGCCCCGGCGTCGGTGATTACGTTAGCTATGCTTCTATCAAAAGGCGAGGGGGTTAAGAAATAACAAATCATCTGGCGTGCCGTATTTGACACGGAGAATATCCTTGACGAGAAGAGCAAGGTTCTGACGCCGTTTCAAATGGTCCTAGAGTCCATACCGAGGCTGGAAATGCGTAGCATGGGCGTCTCGTTTTTCGTCGAGGACTGCGCCGAGCCAGATCATCAAGTCGACGACGAGGAACTCGCATGGCGACAGAGGCTGACGGTGAAGAGCATGGTCAGGGGGGTGCGGAGGTTTACGCTGTCTCCCAGGGGAAGGTATGAAATTGTATGAGTATGTTCACGGTAGCGCCCAGTTGCCAAGCATTTCATGATTCAAAACTCGAGTTGGTTCTCAAAACAAAAACAGCCCTCGACAGGCAGATTCACTTCTTTTCACAGGTAAATTGTATCCATATCCGACCTTGGAATAGGAATATGAAGCAGGTCCAACAGCTTGTTGGCCGTCTTGATGAAGTGGAGCAGGAGTCACGGTTGGCATCCGAGATGTGAATCTCTCCAAGTCTACTTCTGGCTCCTGAGGCCGCTCACGTACCTGATCCAATGCTGGCTCAAACGCTACATGACGCGCCAGGACACAGTCAGTTTGATCACACTGTGTCGGATGGCTTTCACGACGTGGAGCGGCGTCAATGAGAAGCCGCTTTGGGCCTGGCTATAGTTATTGTTGATGTGCAGATGGATTCACTCCCCTATGCTTAGCTGACCGATTCCCGTGGCGAGCCTGGAGCGGCTCCGGGTTCCGGAACTGAGCGCCGGCTTGACCGACGTTGCCGGCATTGCCGCCGCTCCCGAGGAGATTCCAACGACGGAGCCGGTGATCCGCTGGCGTCATGACCACGGACTTTTTTTTAAGCCAGTGGGTATCGGTATTGGCACGGTATCATTAGCGGCGCTGCCAAGCTTAAGTTGCGACCGTCGGCGCAGCGGGGGGAAGCAAGGTGGCTTGCCATACCATGGTAGAGGGCTTGAAAGGGGACTCGAAAAGGAGGGCAAAGATTGAGCCAGAGTCCATTCGACCGGTCGCAAAAGTGCACCTCGTTCTGCTGCTAATCTCAAAAATCAATGAATACGGAATGTTGAACTCTAACCGGCGTCATGAAAGGGACCTGGCGGAAGCAGGCGACCCCTTGCATGAGTCCGTCAAAAGTTGCCGACCAGCTCGAGTCGCACCTAAACGCTCTCTTTCTCATGCTATGTTGGCGGGCAGTCGACAGCCTGTTTACTCTGGCCTAACCTCTCTGTGCTATGCAAGATGGAGCTCTGTAAACTTCTGTCTCGGCTTTAAAGATTGCGTTTCTGATCAGCGGACCCATGTGGGTTTCCACGTTCTCTAGAGTCAGGGGTCTTGAATTGGCGGTTTCTTCGCAAGGGTCAGAATAAGAGACTCAGTGACAAGGTGGCCTCTACGCTCACAAGGCAAAAGGTCGGGGAATTGTCATACTGATAACCCCCAAATAGCCGGTGAGACTGTTGTTTCTCAATGTTTTATTGCCAAGGGGCATCAAAGGAGCTTTGGTTTGTGGATCGGTCGCAGACAAAGAAAAGTCGGCGCTAGAGAGCTGGGGCTAGAGTTGGAGATCAAGCTGGAGCTGGGAGTCGGGACAGGGGCCGGCAGCACCTAGACGCGCTGCTTTGACAGGCCGGCTGAGGCAGGTTCAGCGGAGTCAAGGTGTGCGTCCTGTGCCAAGACAATAGCCGGGCAAACAGGCAGAGGGCATCCATGATCCGGCTTGGCCCCAAGTCGGGTGACTGAACTCGAGAGTAGAGGCGACAGTTTCGGGAATAGCTGCATTAGAAAAGGAAACCATTCTCGAGTTCGGAATTGTTTTGATGCCACCTTACGATCTGGGACGATGTGGCCTTCTCCTTCTGGCCTTGCGTTGCCTCGTCTTGTCTTTTAGCCAGAGTTTGTCCTCCTCACGTGGAGCGGGAAATGGGGGAAATCGTGAACGGAGCGGACGACCCTTTTCCGGACACGACGTTGGAGCAGCGAACCACGATTCCCCTGGGAAAATAAGGTCCATCTGATCCATCTGGATCCGTCACCGCTCCGCTGTTAGGGTGCGTCGGTCTCGGCCCCTGGATTTGGTGCACCAAGAATGAATGCTCTTTGAAGACTTCAAGGTACGACCCGGCCCGGAAGCCAGTTGCGCTGGGAGCTTCTCTCCATCTCTGGTAAGCCTGGCGTTGGGAGGTTTGGTAAAGGTTAGTGTCTGGTCCGGGACACAAAGAGATTGATAGAGAACAACGCGTTTTCTTGGTGGTACAACAAATGAGGGGTCGGGCAGGCGGGTAGGCTAAAGACACCTTGTGGAATGCTTGCTGCTGTAGTCAATACCGATGAGCTACCTTATGTGTGACCTGGCAGTTGTAGCGGCATGCTGCCGATGCTGAGTTGGAGTCGAAACGTTTTTGATAGAGAGCGGAGGCCATCTAGAGACATGGGGGCAATCTTGGATTCCACGAATCCATCCTTGAACAGAAACTGGGTTCGATAGCGATCATGGTATCCCTACGGAGGTACCTTAACTAGGATTTACTAGCAGATGTAAGATGTATCCGTACTGTGCATAGTATGGCATGTGCTAGCGCGTGGACCCAGAGACACGACTGAAAATCGTTTGATACCCCTGACCGACCACTGCGATGATCAACCCGACACAGGGCAAGCTCAGATCTCGCGTCTTGGACACAAGAGTGACGGGGCACCTACAGAGTACTGTCCTGTGTAGACTACATTGGATGGACGGTGAACCTATTCACATGAATTGGACATGTTTCTGGTGGTGTGTGCTACTGGCAATTGTACGTCTGGATAACTTTTGGTAGGTATCAGTTTCCTTACTCACCGGTGGCACCCTCTTGGACCATCTTTCCCGGAAAAGTCTTACCTAAGAGATCCGGGGTGTTTCTCTCCCCCCCGGCTCCTTTGCTGCGTTTTTTTTTTTTAAACCTTGGCTTGTCTCTGCGCTTACTCCTATCCCTCAGAGACAAGCTCAGGTTTTTTTTAAGAAAAAAAAAAAAAAAAAAAAAAAAAAAAAACCGGGGGGGGGGAGACGCCCCCCCCCCCCCCGCTTGTTTTGTGTTGTTTTTTTTTTTTTAACCTTGGCTTTTCTTTTGTCTTAATCCCAACCCTACAAAACAAAGTTAGTGTTTTTTTAAAAAAAAAAAAAAAAAAAAAAAAAAAAGAAAACCTTGGCTTGTGTACATGCCACCACCTACCTTACCTGGTCCTTCTTGTCTTACTTCTCCCTTAGGTACCTCATCTTCCGAGGTTGCCTTCTCAATCCATTCTCTACGTAGCTACCTTCAATTTTTCTCTCTTTCTTCTTCTTCTTCTTCTTCTTCTTCTGCCGTCTTACGTGCCTACCAAGTGCATACCTACTTGCGCCGAGTTCCAATCCGTGGCCCTCAATTGTCCCCTTCATTCCCATTCGTTCCTTCGCTCCTTATTCCCCGTGCCCGTCGTCCCAGCTCCCTCGTGGTCCTGGCTCCGGCTCTGGCTTTGCCTTTGCCTTGAGCTTTAGCTTTAGCTTTCCATTCCCAACAACGACGACGACGTAACCCGAGAAATGACATCGAATTAGCATAGCCATCATCATTGCTGCTTTTCGACTTCATTGGACCCACGTTTCTCCATCCATCGACTGTCTTGCGCTACCTGCAGCGTTGCACGCGACAGCATCACATCTTCTCTTCCTCAAACGTGCTCCGAGAGCCTCGCTCCGGCGAGCCCGCAAACATGATGCCCCGCCGACGGAGCCGTTATGTTATCCTCGTCGCTGTCGTCATGGTCTTCATGCTGTACCAGGTCTTCAAAAACCCCGAATGGGATTCCACAGGTCAATCCACCAGTATCAAGCCCAGCGAGCCCGAAAAGGGCCAAAATGTCCACAAGGAACCCGCGAAGCCACCCCCCGCGAACGATCCCGCTTCCAACAAGCCCCTCAACAACCAACCGCCTCCCGATAGCGAACATCCCCATGATCAAGAGGAAGACGAGCCCGAGCAGAACCCTCAAAAGCAGACGGCCAAGCCGACTGTCAAGATTCCTCAGCTCAAGACGGAGAAGGCCAAGACGCCCACCAACACTCTCTCTGGTCCCACACTGTCCATCCATGCCTACAACGACGAGGTCGAGGCTACTAAGTCGCCCGAGGTCACGAAAGCGCCCACAAAGCCTCTGGATCTGGAAGAGGACCTCCATGCCAAGCAGTCAATCTCGACATCACAGATCCACTGGCACAAGGTTTCCGAGCACTTCCCCGTTCCAGCAGACGAAATCATTCCCCTCCCCACTGGCAAGCCGAAAGATATTCCCAAGATCCAGTATGACTTCAAGCCAGAGTCGGAGGCTGCCAAGACAAAGCGCGAAAAGCGCCTAGCCCTAATCAAGGCCGAAATGCTACGATCCTGGGGCGGATACCGCAAGTTCGCGTGGATGCATGATGAGCTTTCGCCCGTCAGCGGCCAAAATCGCGATCCCTTCTGTGGCTGGGCTGCTACTCTCGTGGACGGCCTTGATACGCTTTGGATTATGGGCATGAAGGAGGAGTTTGCCGAGGCAGTCAAGGCTGTCAAGGAGATCGACTTTACCTACAGCCCGACGCGCCGTGATATCCCGGTCTTTGAGACCACCATCAGATACTTGGGCGGTCTTCTTGCTGCTTACGACGTGAGTGGCGGCAAGGAGGGCGGCTACGATGTGCTGCTGGACAAGGCCGTGGAACTCGCTGAAATCTTGATGGGTATCTTTGATACCCCCAACCGCATGCCCATCTTGTATTACAACTGGATGCCCGAGTACGCGTCCCAACCGCACCGGGCTACGTCCGTTAGTGTGGCAGAGCTGGGTTCATTGAGCATGGAATTCACACGCCTTGCCCAGTTGACTGGTAAAGATAAGTACTACGATGCCATTGCCCGAATTACCGACGCTCTTGAGGACCTCCAGAACCGTGGCACTACCATTGATGGCATCTTCCCTGAACAACTGGACGCCTCTGGCTGCAACAGGACCGCAGAAGCCATTATCTACCAAGAGGAACAGGCAGCGGCTGCCAGCGCCAGTGCGGCAGCTGCTCGATTGGGCGAACCCCGGGGCTACGAACCTGTGACAGCTGAGGTCAAGCGTGACCAGACTGATGCCTTGCTGCCGCAGGAGACTGGTGTGGCCAAGGGCAACAGTAGCGAGCCGGAAAGCAACCCGCTTGCAAAGCGGGCCGTTGGTGTTGATCAAAATAGCGAGCCTGTGGTCGAGAATGCGAACATCGAAAAGAAGCAGGCCTTCCCTGTGCCCAAGGCCAACGAGCAGCCCTTGTACCCCGGTAACAGTGGTCGCAGGCCATCCACTGCCACGACATCAGACACGACGCCAGACAAGTCTTCTTGGGATTGCATCAAGCAAGGCCTGGCCCCTGGTGGATGGGGTAATCAGCAGTACAGCATGGGTGGTAGCCAAGATTCGACCTACGAATATTTCCCCAAGGTAATTCAGACTTCATATATTGGATTGAAGAGCAAGACTAATTTGCGTAGGAATACCTCGTTCTTGGCGGTCTAGAGCCAAAGTACAAGACGATGCATATCAAGACGGTTGAAGCTGTGAAGAAGTGGCTTCTGTACAGACCCATGGTTCCCAAGGAAAGGGACATTCTTTTCTCCGCCAAGGTTTTGACCTCTGGCGATCCTGAAAACGATCTGCGAACTGAGTATGAGGTAACACATCTCACTTGCTTCATTGGTGGCATGTTCGGTCTTGGAGGCAAGATTTTCGACAGACCTGATGATATTGAGATCGCCAAGAAGCTCACTGACGGATGCGTCTGGGCGTACGAATCCATGCCCTCTGGCATCATGCCTGAAGGAGCCTCTGTGGTGCCCTGCGCATCGACCAAGAGCTGCCCGTGGAATGAGACCCTATGGTGGGAGCACCTCGACCCGTCCGCCGACTGGCGTGAGGCACAAATCGAGGCGTGGGAAGAGAGGCAGCGTGAGAAGAAGCACCAAAAGGAACAAGACGCTCTCCGCAAGCAAACGACTGAAAGAGGCAACAAGCCTGTTGAGAAGCCAACCGAAGAGACGACCCAGTCAGAGTCATTCGTCGAGAAGAAAGACCCACTGACCGATATCCACGTTCCACAGGATGAGCCGAAGAAGTTGGGATCAGCCGAGAAAACAGAGTTCCCAACCCCCGAGCCTGGTCTCAACAAGTCCCCTTCAAACGTCGATGAGCACCTCTTGAAGAAGAGAGAGCCTGCTCCACCAGTGTCTCAGGACCCCCGCAAGGGTACCGCTGAGGAGGCCGCCAGCAACACTCTGAAGGATAAGCTCAACTTGAATAACCCTGCAAGTACCACCGACGACAATACCGGCAGCGTGCCCAACGATGCACCCGTCAGTGGTGGTATTGTGGGCAAGATCGCCCAGTTTGAAGAGTCTCCCGACCCGAAGCCGCTCTCGCACAAGGAGTGGGTCAAGGACAAGCTGGAGCTCGAGAAAATCCCGCCTGGCTTCGTGGACATCAACGCCAGGCGTTATATTCTTCGGTAAGTGTTTGCAGGTTCTTATTTATGCGTGGAGCGAAACTAATCGTTTATAAGTCCGGAGGCTATCGAGTCCGTCTGGTACATGTACCGTATCACCGGAGACCCTTTGTGGCAGGAGAAGGGATGGAAGATGTGGGAGGCTATTATCAAGGCGACTCGCACCGAGTACGGCAGTAGCGCCATCGATGACGTCCTCTCCAAAGACCCTCAGCCTGTGGATGAAATGGAGAGCTTCTGGATCGCCGAGACGCTCAAGTACTTTTATCTCTTGTTCTCAACACCCGACGTCGTTAGCTTGGACGACTGGGTGCTCAACACAGAGGCGCATCCGTTCAAGCGCCCTGTTTGAGACGGGATGAGTGACTGGATGAGTGAGTTTGTGCTTCTGCAGTATGTGCGTCTCCGAGAGAAGGCGACGCAGAGAGTATGGCTTTTTTGGCATAAGATATCACGGTTGGTGGCTACTACGGCGTTGCGGCGTGCTTTGGGTCGATTTGCTTGGTCTCAAAAATTGTTCGTTGTATAAAGTTAAAAAGGACTGCTGAAGGCTAGTCCGCAGCATAATGATCAGCGATGAACTAGCCAAGGCTGCCTTACTCTACCTAAATTTGTCTCTCCTGTGATACTCCTCGATGAGACAAGACACCCTATTCTATATCTCATCGTCGCCCATCCTCACATGTTTTTGTGCTTGGTTGATCTGTCTGTCACTTCACTAATGCGGTAGTGGGGCGCTTGCCAGACTAAGTCCAGTTTTGTGTCTGTCATGTTCAATTTCATTTCCTTCAATCATCTCATCTCATCACCTCTGCAGACGTCTTGCTCATCGTCATCTACTGGTGATGGCTTACTCCTACACATTTCCCATTTCCATGCGTCCGACTTCGTTTCCCCATTTCCCTTCACATTGCTCGGATTTCGTTTCTTCTCCGTTTGCGAGCACTGTCTCTGCACGTCCGTCCAATATCTTTTCTTCTTTTTTCTTCTATAGAAAAAAAAACGAAAGAAAAGAGATGCGTTTCTGCTGCTCATCTATATTCGTTTTTGCTCGCACGAGCAAATCAACATTAAAAATGACGGGGGGTTTTGGCAAAACCTCGACATGTTTTGCCACCCCATGCCGGCCCAGAATGAAAGCCGAAAGAAAGAGGGAAAATCAAAAACGCAGAACTCGATATACAACGCCGATGTCCCAGATGCTGATGGTTTTTTTTGTGCTGGACGATGATTGTGCTGTTGGGGAAAGGGGCTCGAATAATGCTCCCTCCGTGAGAAGCCCTTCATATACAAAGTTTTCCCTTCTTCTCTTGCTTGGGACTTGGTACCCACCTTCTTCACACATGTATCGTCGTCAAATCTTTCGTCTCATTCAATCTTCTCCGTCGTCAACCCCGAATGCTGTCTGCCTGCTTAATCGACCATCTGGCTCAGGACGCGGATGCTCAGAATCATGACCAATAGGCCGATGGTGACAATGATGAGCAGCGTGAAGCTGAACCAACCGAGGACCATGGCGGAAGTACCGACACCGGAGCGGACCGCGCCGTTACCGAAATCTTGAGCAATAATCGACGCAGCGACGGATGCAGTATGCTGCCACAGTACAGAGACCAGCACGAAGATGGAGGCGATGAAGATGATGGCTAGCGAAATTTGGGATACGGGGCGCGAAGGGAAGGGCTTGACTTCGCGGTCGGAACCCTCGGAGTCCTCCTCCTCGTGCCAACCCGGGAAGGTGGCAAGCAAAAGGAAACAGACGAAGGCGAAGATAATGGCGATGATGCTAAGAGAACTATCAGAGGTGCGCCCCTGCAAGAGACTAGGCGGGGGATCTTACATGAGATAGGGGAACACAATCATATCCTTGAACTGAGCGGCTAGCCAGATCAGGTTCAGAGGGTCCTGGTCGACAGACACCTCGTTGGCGAGAGCGGTGGCATTGTTGCTGCAAAGCCAACTTCCACCGTCCGGGCTGATGCAGATACCAAAGTACCCGACACGGCATGCAAGGCGAGCATCACCGGCAATGTTCTCAATGGCGGTGTGGACATTGTAATCGACTTGCGCCGTGGACGGGACTGCCGTGTAATGATCATAGTACAGCGAAAGCAGGAAGATGTCAGGGATCAAAGGTGATGATGACGAGCAACCTGCCAAAAGTAGAGCTATGAAAGACGTCAGCACACCATTCATGATGTCTCGCAACGAGTCTGAGAAACTCACATAGAAGGATGATGGCGATTGCGATCAAGATCATCAAGACATGGTGGTATCCTAGGAACGGTACGAACCCTTTGTTGGCGCAATGTTAGTCGGATTTCCCTCTTTCATTCTCATCGGATTGGAAGCTGGGACAACTCACGATACCAGCCTACTTGGAATTTCGGCATCTTGACTGTGTGATTCTAGTCCAATCCTCGAGAGGAATGGCTTCTTGTTGGTGACCCACGCCGTCCTCCGTTGTAGCGGAGCGACGGAGGGGTTCTAGTCCTGGCACCTCAGCGTTGGCACGCTTGGTGTCTTTCCCTATCGTCGGCGGGAGGTGATCGCGCGGCGGGGAAGGAATGCGGAGCGAGGGACTCGAGGCTCGTTGGAATGTAGGCGATAAGGTTACTTCGTTGTGGTTGAAGAAACGAGGCAAGTTGATTGCTGGAGAACACCGCGAGGAATGCGGGACGGTGTTGGACCTGCGATTAGAGAGAAGACTTTCCGGTTACTGTCAGACGCAAAAACAAACTTCCACTTTTGATGCTTTCGTCGGGAGTGCAGGACGGGGAAGACAGCAAAAGTGTGAGTGTGAGAGGTGTCAAAGTGAATGTGCGGGTCGGGTCTTCAAGGTGGGAAGAGAAGTGGTTTGATGCAGGTGCAAATATTGGGATGGCTGGGAGGGGAGGGTTGGAAGGTTGGACTTAGTTTTGTCTCTCTGGCAGAAGTGACCCAGAAGCAGAATTGAAAGCGGGATGCCCGCAGTTTCGGGGCGGACGGGGAGGTTTGTACGTCTGTACAAGGAAATATTCAGATGGCTGGGTGGGAGAAAATGGTCAATGATCTGGAGAAGGGGGGACAGTGACAGGTTTGGGAAAAGAGACGTCGACGAGGATGCGCAATTGGTCCTGCCATCCACTTTTTGGTCAAAAAGACTGTGCGGCGGTTGCTCATTAGAGCAGACAATAGTTGGCGCGGGACGACAGTACGGTGGCAGAAGGAGTTACGTAGCTACGCCAACCTCCTCTATTTACTCTTGGTGCTGCGGCCGTTGTCCGGGCGATTTGCAGCGTCGCAGCGGTTCCTGGGCGAGCAGGGCGGAAGGGTGGGGTCAGACCTTTTAAGAGGCGCGGTACGGGTGGGTACCTTGTAGACTGTCCGGGGGAAGGCCCCTGGCCCCTTCGCTGCTTCGCAGCTGTCCTGTGGCCCGTGGGCTTCAGGGCTGCCGTAGTGGGAAAGGCGGTTCCACCAGCACGGGAGGGAAACAGGCGTGAGAGATCAAAAAAAGCCCGGTGGCTGGGTGACGTCTTTTCAGGGGTCCCCCGTCCCGTGTCCCCCGTCAAATCTAAGGCCGCATCTTAGCGCAAACCTCTACGTGCCTAGCCTCTCGTCAGGTCCTGCTCATTCTCAGCTTTCTTTAGCTGAGCTCCAAACAGAACAACCCAAAGCCAAATGCGCGACTGGATCGTGTTCTCTCACTGTCTCTTTTGCCAAGAGCCCCTGCTAACGCCGCTTCAAGTGGGCTGTTTTAACACTCACACTCCCTCTTGGATCTCATGGCTTTCCCTGTTTGTCCATCGCTTGCCCTACCCAATCCAATAGGCACACGACTCGACTCGAGACGGCATCTCGGCGGTTCCTGCATTCGAGATGAGACCCGAAGCCGGGGTCCGACACATCGGGTTGCTTCCTTGATTTCATTCATTCGCTCGTGCCGAGTCTTGGTGATGCGTTGTGACGGCGCACCAAGTACGGAATCTAGCCCTTTGCCCCAGTTGGCATGGCGACAGCATTGGAAAGAAGACTTCCCCGACGACAGCCAAGAATCATTCTCGGGACCTTTGCGGATGCAAACACTCGGCGACCTGGCACTTACACGGTCAGCTCGCTCATCTTGCGCAATAGCTGAGGCTATTCGCAGTCGACTCCCCTGCTCAGCGGATACTTCTACTGCAGGAGCCCCAGGCGGCTCCGTGTTTCCCATCGAGACCCATCGATTTCTCATCCCCACCATGCAAAGTCCCATCTTCATCACCTTTGCAGCGGTAAGCTGCACCAACACACCGCTCGATATAGCGGTCAGTCCAATCTTCAACTTGAGTTCGTCAACCAAGGATTCAAGGCCTATTGAGGCTGCAAAATATTGATTTAGACACCTGTCACGGCTGTCGAATGTCAATCAATGCTTCTGCCTCGCCGGTCCGCATTGACCTCCTTCGGGGATGTTAGCGCCGTCTGCCTGCGGTGTCCGAGTTACCGGAACTGCGCGGATCACGGGAGTCTATGTGTTTGCCTCGCCCAGCCCAGCGACCATCAACAACACTGCCATCCCTGGGGAAACTTTCTTAGGGAGCATTAGAAACTGTCATCATCTGGATCTGTTCGCGCAGGGACACGCCTGGCAAGCCATTGACGCAATCTTTATGCGATCTCGCCTGGCGTATTGAGCCGGTTACCGATTACACAGACACAATACCGAGCAACTATCCTCCCGTGAAGGCACCACAGCCTTCCATCAATTGCCAGCGAAGAACCCGTGATGACTCACTAACAACCTTACCAAGCCTCACAGTAATCGTTTGATGACGGGCAGCATTTCAGCCACATGAGACCAAGCCATCCCTCTGAGTTGTCGCTTTACTCGGAGACCGCAGAAGCCGGCCCCCGGCCTGGTTGAACGTGAATAATATGTGGCTGGTGAACGGAGGTCACTGCGCCATGGCCAAAACTCGACTGCACTGCTCGAGCCGAGACACTATACTCTGTATCCATATAACCGAAATGATGAGCCGTCATATTGGTATCTAACTAGGAGACGTTTCTCAATTCATCGGGGAATACAGATAAACAGGTGTTTATCTGTAGTCAACATGGGTACCAGGTGGTTGCAAAAGAGACGAGCTTCGTATGGATACATGCATATATGCAAATATAAGAGCATCAGTATTGCAAAATGCTCACAGCTTTCTAATTGCATGCGCCCCACCATTTGCTACCCTCAATTCCACGTCATTGTTCAGACCACAGTCGCGAAGCATAGTGCCGAACGTTAACACTCATTGCGCAACCGGCTACAGCAACAAAGACTAGCCCGGCATGAACACGATATCCCAAAGCCGCTCCCAGGCTGGTGCCCTAGACATCCGCGTCGAAGATTTTCTCGACGACAAGCTCCAGTCCACCACCGATCTCGAGAATCTCGACTCCTTAATCGCCAACGTCGAGGTGCAGCGCAGCCAGCTCCAGTCCCAGCTTGACAATGCCATCAAGCAGCTCGATGAAGCTCGCCAAACGGCTGGCGACCGTCAGTCCTCCCTTACGCAGCGTATTCAAGACTTCCAGGAGCTCCAGCACAGCATCGACGTCCGTGTCAAGATTGCGGCAGCTTCCGACGCCCCAAACCAGGCCATCGCGAGGCTGCAACAACCTATGAAGAAGCTGCAAACAATCGAACTCGCCCAAAAATATTTGACGCTGCTGCAAGATGTCGAAAATTTGCGGGCTGAAGCTCGCTCGCACCTCCCCGACAGCCCAAAGGCCGCTTTGGAGCCGTACTCAAAGCTCAAGCAATTGTCGAGGCGCCTGGAGGAGCTTTCGGGACCGGCCGATGATGCGGCGGTACACCTCGTCAACCACGTTCGAAACGTTGCCGGTGCCCTATGGGAAGAGATGAAGAAGACAATGTCGAGCGAACTGGAGGCTGTTCTCAGCAAGAGGTCGTGGCCTATGGTCGAGCCCAGCTCTGAAATGGACGAGGAGTGGCTTGCCTGCTTCGAGAAGTTGCTGGACCTCCAGATTCCCGAGATCATTCTGAGCAAGTCCCTCGTCAGCTTGCTCTCATTCGATGTCATGTCACGAATCTTTATCTCCGAGTTCCGCTTCCACTTTCTCAGCGACAAGCCAACGAGCAAACCCGATGCCATTGGATCGCACTGCTTCCCCTGGTTCTTGGCAACCATCGAAAAATGGGAGGACTTTTATAGGGATAACTTGGGCTTCATACTGGCTGCCAAGTTCCGTGATACGGCCGCGGGTAGTAGTTTGGTATATGTCGACCCTGTCTGTGCTTTCATCACCAGCATGCTACCCGTTATGAGAGAAAAGGTCCAGAATGTAGTTGCAGAATCGTCCAAGAACCCTTCCTTTTTGAGCAGCTTCATGGGGCAGTTGATGACATTCGACGAAAGCATTCGAACAAAGTTCAACTACGACGGTGGTGACCCAGACCAAGGCTGGCCTGGGTTGGCTACTGAGATCTTGGAGCAGTGGTTTGAGCCTTGGTTCCAGGCGGAGAAGGAGTTTGCTCTGGAGCGCTTTCAGGCTATCATGGACAGTCCCGATGCACGAAATATTGACTACGACTATGCTGCGACGGGCAAGACCAAGCCGACTTTTGGAGCGGTGCGAGTCACTGATCTGTTAAGGTCCATCACAGCCCAATACGAGAGGGTGCGCGCCTTCAAACACAAGATTCGATTCTTGATCGGTATACAACTCGATATTCTTGACGAGTTTCATGACCGTCTTCGTGGCTCTCTCGAGGCTTATCAAGCACTTACATCGACTGTCGGCAGAACTTTGCATGGCGTTACGAAAGAACAGCTTGCCGCTCTTGAGGGAACCGGCAGTTTTGAATCTCTATGTAAGGTTTACGGCAGCGCAGATCACGTTGTCAACACGCTCAAAGACTGGGGTAACGAGGAATTCTTCGTGACATTGTGGGACCAATTGCAGGGTCGCGCAACAAAGGAGGGTGAGACGTCACGGATGTCGGGTGAATTGAGTTACAAAGAGGTCAAGGACCGTACCTCTGCTGCTACCGGCTCCGAAGCTGATGACGGTGTTCTCTTTGATGAGACTATCGCTGCGTATAGCCTCAGACGGAAAACGGCGCAAGAGTTTTTGGTTAATGCGCTTGCCGACTCTCATTATAAGGCCTTCAGAGCCTATGCGACACGGACGCATTGGACCACAATTAGTGACAGCGGTTCCGATAGTGAGTTTTCCAGTTTCAACGTCGAATCCTGGTCGATTCTAACCATTTCACAGTTGATCCGTTGCAACTAGCTGTCACACCCGAGCTCGACGAACCCTTGAGAGTAGGTCTACCCGGAGCTCATTTTACGGCGTCTTCCCTAACACAGACTAGTTACTAAAGCGCAACTTCGACTTCCTGCTCAAGGCTATTGGTACGGCAGCGTTCCGACGAACGTGGCGCTCAGCGCTTGACAAACTCCAGGACCTGCTTTGGGGCGAGGTTTTGATGAGGCAGAGCTTCACGGCGTTTGGTGCCGCCCAGTTCACCCGCGACGTCAACGCCATCTTTTCCCTAGTCGAGAGGTATATCCAAAATGGAGTAGGGCCATTGGGTAGTCTCTTTGACGCGCTGAAACTACTCAATCTTCCCAACGAACCCCAAGAGGGCACTCTATCGCTCAAGGATGCCACGGACCGGGTGTTCACCGACAACACCGAGGCCAAGAAGTTGTTGGAGGAACTGGACATTGACACGCTTACTCCTGCAAATGCTAGACATATTTTGCAGCGCAGGGTTGAGAACAAAGAATAGACTGTTTCTACAGCAGGCTCAGAGCTAGTCGGGACGAAACCGACGATGGGCATTTATATATACAGACGCCATACTGTTGCAAACAAGCTGTTATGATAGATCCAGAAACTATGACCCTGAAGTAATTTTTTTTGGCCAAATCCTGCGTGTGCACTTTCTAGTGAATGATCTAAATATGAAAAGCCCTCTCGCATTGTCTTTATGTCTTTTAAACTTAACTGATAGCCCGCATGGTCAGCTCCACGGTGGCAAACGTGCCGGCACTGACAGGCATAGCTCTCAGCAGCGTCGGCACGATTCCCCTCCAGAAGCCGCGTAGGCCCTCGCCGCGGTACGTCTGTGCGAAGCAGTCTCGCATCGACTTGTACCTCTGCTCCTTGCCGAAACCGTCCGTCTGCATCTTGCTCTTGATGACGTCGAACGGGTAGCTGCTCAGCCACAGCGCCTCGCCGGCGAGACCGCCGTAAAACGCAATCTTGTAGGGCGCAATATCCTTGCGGTCCATGTTGTTGCGCTTCGCATCAGCGTTCATCATCCACTCGAAAGCGAGGAACCACACGCCGTAAGCCTGGGCCTCGCGGAGGATCGTGACGGCCTCGCCGCGGTAGAGGCCATTGTTGAGGACGCCGCCGTGGGAGGCGAGCTTGCGGACGCAGTCCAGGGGCCCGGCGTACAAGCGGGCGGCGCCGTGGGGTTGGGTTTGCAGCCTGATGCGGACGTGCTCGATGGGGCCCGAGATGACCGAGTTGGCGACGCCGGCGAAGGCGCCCGAGGCGTAGTATTGGGCGTAGGAGAGGGGGCCTGTGGAGCCGTTGCGGGACTCAAAGAAGCGGCGGGCCTGGTGGAAGCCGGCGAACTGGATGGAGACGCAGGCGCCGATGCCGAGGAGCGGAGTGAGGGTTCCCTTGTAGAAGGCGAAGGCGCCCTCGTTCTTGTAAATTTGGGTTGCGGCGTTGAGGGCCGTTGTCGGGGTTGTTGAGGTCTGGAGGCGAACCTTTACAATGTCGAATGGTTGGCCTGGAGGGGTGTTAGCTCTTCAATTGATTTGATGGAATCGAACTCGGATTGGTTAATTCCTTAACCAGAGTTCGTCGGGGTGAGATGAGCGAGAATGCCGTGAAAGTTGAGTGAGGTTCGGCTGTGATTCCGAAGTCGGCTCCAAAAGCTTCCAAGCCCTTTCTCTCATCACCAAACTCTCCCTCTCGTCTCTGACGTTTGGAACATACCGAGCAAGACCTGGGCAACACCGCCCGCAGCGCCAGAGAACAGGTCCTTGGCTGTCTGCAGGGCACCGCCAACGATCTCGGGTTCCAGCGCGGCGTCCGCCATTGTACTTTCCTCGTCGGTCTGTTTGCCGAGCTCTATTATGTTTACTGCCCCGCCACCGTTGATCGGTGCGCCCTCAGAAGGTTCCTTGGGGAAATTCCGTTCTCGAAAAGAGAGGAATCCACCACCCGAGGCTAGCAAGTGTGAGGAGCAAAGGCACCAGAGGATGTGACGGGGACAATTGGTCTCGGTGATTTTGTCAGAGATAAGTCGTCGGTAAGTTTTGAAGGGAAATATGAGAACCTTTGGCTGGTTTAAGCTCAATGAGATTACCTAGTCATTAAGACCCCCCGATACAGATAAGGCAAGCTGTCTGTGGAGACATGCGAAACGGTCATGGCGTGCTGCTGCTAAGCCCGTTTTGGCAACGGTGAGCCTTCACCTTTGATGAGTAAGTAGGACAAGCGTAGCCGTGAGTGCGTTGGTCGCTGGCAAGACCTTCCTCATCCCAAATAGCGATCGTGCCGAATTTTGTTGTTTCATTCTATCTTTTCCAGCATCATGGCCAAATAACACCTCCTCTTTCTGCCTAACAGATTGTTAGTCTGTCTTTTCAATCATTGGAGGATGGCAACGTATATACCGTTAGGACCCCTTGCAATGGGCTACCATTCTTCGCCATCTAACCCTTGCGATCAAGGAATAGAGATCCTCTGGGTCTTTCATTCTTACATGTGTTAGAGTAGGTTTCACCCGCATACTGTAACATAATGTTGCTGAATGGCAAGTGACTTCCTTACTTGTGGTGTCCGGCGGCTTGGACCATATCTTGTTCATAAGCCATACCTTGCTCAAGAAGAGTCCAGATACCCTGTTCTACGTTCATTTGTCACGCACTTTCAGAAGATTGAAACTCAATTAAGTTACTTCTAGAGTGATTAAAGACCAGAACTGACTGGCGATGCCAGCATAACCTAAGGTCGTGCGGGATGACACCTAGCTCCCACCCCACCAAGCATGTACCTTGACCCCTCACCTCGGTGAACAGGCCACCCTAGATTGGGTGGGCGGCGGACCGTCACTGCAGCTCCCCTCCACACCGTTGCGAAAAATCGCGAGTTCCTACCAACATCAGAAGATGCGCTGAAGGCACCATCAGCTCAATTCCACAATGTCGGCCGAGGGAAAAAAGCCGGAGATGGCTGTGTACGTTTCTCAACTTCCTTCGCCGGTGCGCACAAGCTGACCATTTTTCACCACACCGCAGCAAGGACGCTACGCCTAGCAACCCTCGAGGTATCCCCAAGGCGCCATTCGTCGACAAGGTCGAAGACTACGTCACCACCCGCGAGGAAGTCGAGCCGACGATGCGCAACTTCCAGGAGATGATTTCGTGAGTCGCCCACGCACCACTGGGCAGGCTGGTCATGCACACAGAACTTCAGTCGACGCATCCGACGAGGCGCCTGGGAGGAAATGCTAGGCCTTGGGGACAGTTGGTAACACATCACTTTGCGCAGGAAATACCAGTTCATGGAGCTGAATCTTCAGAAGAGGATGGCTGGACTGAACGATAAGATTCCTGATATCCAAAAGACCCTCGACTCGGTGCGGTTTCTGAAGCTCAGACAGGTGGGAAATATACACGCAAACAGTCGCACACCGATGCGTCAGTAAACAGGAGGCGCTGACACAAGATACAGGGCGAGGATGAACCAATCGAGACGACCTTTGAGTTGAATGATACGCTATACTCCAAAGCAAAGATCCCGCCCACGGAAGAGGTGTACATTTGGCTAGGCGTAGGATTCTTGCTCTCGGGTGGACAATGTCGTGGGTTTCAAGACTAATTGAACGCTAGGCAAATGTTATGTTGTCGTACCCCGTTGACGAGGCCGAGACCCTGCTCGAGTCCAAGCTATCCACTGCGAAAACGAGTTTGTCAAACTGCGAGGAGGACCTGGATTTCTTGAGAGAGCAGATCACGGTACATTCAGGACCTAGAAAGGCTCGACCGCTCATACTAATGAAGCACAGACTATGGAGGTTGCAATCGCGAGAGTGTACAACTGGGAGGTCGTTCAAAAGCGTAAAGATAAGGAAGAAGGAAAGGATATCAAGAAGGAAAAGGACGAAGGCAAGGCCGGCAGTTAAAGCAAAAGCTCGATACCAAACAAAACCACTTGATGACCCTGCCACTTTGCGACTTTGCACAACCACATCCCACGGCACAGCATAAATTGGCTCTATGACCAACAGGGTCGGATCTTTAAGGCGTGTATTCAAGCAAGAGCCCTGCAAGCTTACGAATCCCGGCAAGGGTCACGTAGATGATTTAATTTCAAAGTTTTGGCTGAAGGCCTCCGATACCCCTAAACGGAATTGTAACGATCACGAAGGCGAAGGTTTGCGTTCGTGCTGTGCGAAACTACAGACTGCAGCGTCACAACACATCTAACGCGCGGGAAGGATGATGTCTAAATATGCACGCCCACACCCAATAGCTAACCTGTTGAGACATCGTCCGAGGTCAGCCAGGCAAGCTTAGGTAAGTTACAGCGGTCGGCCAGGACCTTGATGCCATTGACACTGCTGTAGCTAACAGGTGACCGATTCATGACAATCCAGAACAACGCCCGCAAACCAAGACCTGAGACGATGTTTGGCAGGGCAAACTGCACCAATCTACAGCGGCTATGGCTGCTCGTGGGTGGGTTCCAGGTCATTACGTAAGACCGGGCTGCGGCGGAAGACATACGTACTTCGTATCTTGGATGCGGGTGCCCGGTAATAAGTGCGGTGTAGACGGATGGCTAGGTTTGACGGGAGCCCAATTTGTGAGGGGCAACCAGGGGCAACAGCGTGCGGGACCGGTCGCTATGACGATTTTTGGCATTCTGCCAGCAGGTTCACTTTAATTCGACTTCTCAAGCCTCCCCTACTTTCCCGCTAGAGATCTTCCTTTCCCTTACCTTTCCCCACAACCAGCTCTTCTCTCCTAAACACCTACAATCCTGGTTGGCAACTTCCTCAGGAAAAATACCAGTTGCTGTTGTCCTATTATTTCCAAGTCCTGTTTCCTTTCCTCCACCCCGCCATTTTCTTTGCGCCTCTCCAAAATCCCTCTACCTACCTACCTCTAGCTACACCGATCTTCTTCCATCGTGAACGAAAAGGCCCCTAGAACAAGCTCCCACCATGTCCCAGCAAGAACTCGATCCCAAGTATGACCAGTACGACTACCCGACCGTCGCTCCGACGGCGGCCAACGGTCACCCTGGCCATCTCACACCGGAGCAAAAAGCACAGGTCGCCCAGTTGCGTCTGATGCTTGAGTCTGATGGCTACGACAAGCGCCTCGACACCCTGACTCTGGTATTCATTCCCATCTTACAGCAGAAACGCAACAATAGAGAGGCCTGCGTATTTCACATACAGACGACTAACAGCTGAATGATAGCTGCGCTTCCTCCGCGCCCGCAAGTTCGATGTCAACCTGGCCAAGCAGATGTAAGTGGTGCCTCGTCTTCTGCATCAGATTGTGCAACAGCAGCTGACCGCGTACTTGTAGGTTTGTCGACTTCGAGACCTGGCGGAAAACGACCAAGCTTGACAACACCGTGCCGAACTGGGAATACCCTGAGAAGGAGGAAGTGTTCAAGTTCTATCCCCAGTACTACCACAAGACCGACAAGGTACGCCACCTCTGGAACGAGATACCCTGATCGGCACCTTCACCTACTAATGCACTATTTCACAGGATGGCCGCCCTGTCTACATCGAGGCTCTTGGGGGCATCGACCTGAACGCCATGTACAAGATCACCACCGCCGAGCGCATGTTGACCAACCTGGCCGTTGAGTACGAGAAGTGCGCCGACCCCCGTTTCCCCGCCTGCTCCCGCAAGTCCAACCACCTCGTCGAGACCTGCTGCACCATCATGGACCTCAAGGGCGTCACCATCACTCGCGTCCCCCAAGTCTACAGCTACGTCAAGCAGGCCTCCGTCGTCTCCCAGAACTACTACCCCGAGCGTCTCGGCAAGCTCTACATGATCAATGCCCCATGGGGCTTCTCTACCGTCTGGAGCGTCGTCAAGGGCTGGCTCGACCCCGTCACCGTCTCCAAGATCAACATCCTCGGCTCAGGCTACCAGAAGGAGCTCCTGAACCAGATCCCCGCCGAGAATCTGCCCAAGTCCCTCGGTGGCAAGTGCGAGTGCCAGGGCGGCTGCCAGCTCAGCGACGCCGGCCCGTGGCACGAGGCCGAGTGGACCAAGGAGCCCTGGTGGGCGAAGCCCGAGGCCAAGGCCGCTACTGCGGCCGGCGACGTCATTGAGAACAAGGGCGGCGAGACCGTCACTGCCCCGGCCGCCGCCGCCGCTCCTGCGGCTGATGCTACTGCTGACGCCAAGGCTCCCGCTGCGGCATAAACGCTATCTCTGAGAAGGTTGCGTGCATTGAAATTGACGTTGCGAATCGAGTACGGCGCTGCTGGATGAGCAGTTAGAAAGAAGGCGTTGACAAATATGGTGTTGTGTCTGGGGTGAAGACACTGGGTTGGGTGGAAGACGGGTGGCTACCTAAAAACAAGAGCTTCTTTTCCTAGAAACGCTCATACACGTGTTGAACCTGGCAACCTTTGCTATTTTGCATTATACATACTTTCATTTTGACCGTTGGACCTTTTTGAATGACACATTTGCAAACCAGGCAATCATCACCTACAAGTTTTCAGAGGATTTTTATAGACCGCAATTAGCATAATAAGCACTACCCCTGGGTCTTCCGCTTTCTAGCAGATGCCCGTTGTTGTGGTATAAGTTCCCAGCGCCATAACTCCCTTACGAGCAAAGCTCACTCCTCATCGTACATCTCACGATCGTTCAGTGACAGTATACTCCCCCGCAACCCTCGCCCTCTCCATCTTGGCAACCGTAGCCGGCATCGTCTTCTTCAACCTTCCCAGCCCGCCTACCGCCGACCCAAACGCCTCTTTAATCTCTCCCCTCCTCTCCATCGTCTCGAGCGGCAGCACCTCGGCCTCGAGCTCCCTCGCCTCGTCCTCCCTCGCCTTCTTGGCTGCCTCGAAAGCGGCATCGTCCGCGGCGGCGGCGGCCTTGAACTCGTTGGTCATTGCGGCGGCGATGGTGCCCGGGACGGATTTCTTGAGGGCGGCGATCTCATTGAGGAGATCTTCTTCTTCGCGCGCGAGGTCCTCGACGCGCTGGCGGAGGCGCGCGTCCCAGGGTTCGTAGGCCTCCTCTGGCTCGTCCGAGGGGTTGTCGGAGAGGAAATTTGCCGGGTCGGTGTCCATACCGTTGATGGAGAGATTTGGAGCTGCGTAGGTGAAGGTTTTATTGATGTACTGTTCCGGCGATTGCTGTTAGCAGAAATCTAGGATTGATTTTGTCTTTCAAGGAAACGGTTCGCTTCTTCGTCCACACCCGAACCAGAGACGCGAGAGGTAATGAGAGAGTTGGCGAGACACATGGAGTGACCAAAAAATTGCGACATGGCAAGAGCAACTTCAGTGAACTTACCTCGTTCACCAGACGCTCAATAGGCGCCCGCAGTTCGTCCTCCTGCGCATTGCTGCCCTCAATGTGCGGGAACGCATTATCCAGCTGCTCCTGCGCGGCGCGCCGGACATTGTTGAGCAAATACGCGAGGTCATCGCGAGACTGCAGCTCGATCTTCCTGTGGGCATTCTCCATGATTTGTTTCTTTCTCCTCCCTTTTTTTTTTTTTTTTGGGTTACTTCGTCCTCCCCACCTACCCTATAAACTCGTCAGGCGGGAAACCCCAGGTGTCAACTAGTGAGCTGTGCTAGACGGGTCTGCCTGTGTCTCTCTAGCCAGGAATCAACGAATCGATGTTGCGACGTTGGCGCGCGGCGGGGCTTGGTCGTGGTGGGATGCGTCTCGGTGTGATGTTTACTTCCATTTAGTTGCCGCGGCTGGGACGTAATTACGGCCCCCCGGTCCCATCGGTGCGCGTCGAGCCCCGTCATCCGATCTGACCTGTGCTTTTCCCGTCAGCGCGCCCACCTTTCCGCTGCCCCCGGCCCAACGACCGAAAAGCCTTATCAGTAGCTAGCGCGGGTTTATCTTATCTCGTTATCGACATGTGATGCTCTCTCCTCTCTCTCTCTCTCTCTCTCTCCACCTCAGACTCCAAACCCCGGAATCGGACGAGAACCGCCGAGATCGGACAGTGGCCAGAAGGGTGAGCTGTGCTCGGTGTATGGAACACGGACCAGAAGACAGACCTGGATGTCCAAGGAGACTGTTCAGTTACCTTGGGAGGGGCGGTGGCACTATGCGGAACGGATTGATCACCAGAAAAGAAACCTCATTCCTAGTTACATAGTACAGAAACGCTGCAAGGGGAGGAGGATGGCGATCGTCGAGGTCACAAGGCGCAGACCAGATCTGGGGCCCACGGTTCAGATTTTGTTCAAGGGATAGAATCAACGTCAATAGTCAATCTATGAGAGACATGAAGAATGACGACTGGTGTGGGCAGCATCGGCCGGTCATGTTTAAAATACATAGCACCACTGAACGATACTTTCTTCACAGTGAACAATGTCTATAAAAGGACGAACAATCCGACTAATGACCACACATCCCAGTCCGTTAAAAGATGGAAAGATGCGCCTTCCACCTTATGCTTCCCGGCCGAACCGGATGTACTAGGTGTTGGTGGCCAAACTCTCGACTTGACGATGGCCCCTTACAACTTGGCATTTGCTGGAGCCGTCTGGGATGATGCATCTCGGCGCTATGACTGCGAAACTGGGACGGATCTGCATGGAGAGGATGGATGGCTACCGCACCATCGAATCAAAGCAGCCCCAGGGGCTTCAAACTTCAAGAGTCAAGACCGCGCTCCCAATTGGAATTATGGGGCGAGGGTTTACGGGATGGTTCAGCTGGTTGATGCCGCTGGGGTAAATGCTGTTTGGGCAATGCCCACGTTTTGGGTACCTGGAGACAGTGTGAAGAGTGAGGACCGGCACAGGTAGAGAAGAACCGCAAAAACTCTGAGTCCTTTTTGTTCTTCCTCTTCATGTTCTTCGCCTCGGATCGTGTCCCTCACCGTACGCCTACCTCCATCACCTTGACGGTTCGGGCGCAATAGGCACAGGAAGACAATGCATCGCACTTTCACCATCCGCATTCTCATGCCACGGCGTGGGGACCTTCTAGGACGGGAAAGGTCTAGGCGAAAGCTGCCCTGGATAGGTTAGGGGGCCCTCGGGTCTGCAGTCAAGGTACAGTAGCGCCGGTCTGCGGTCTTGCGGTCCTCCGTGGTCTGGACAAACTGGACCCTCTTTCTCAGCTCAGGTTCGACGCCATTTGGGACCACACCGACGACAGTGCGCTGGGCTAACGGTGAGAGGTTCGAGTCAGAGGTTGAACAGGCTGTTTCATCGATTTTCGAGATCACAATAATACTGCCCGCATTTATTTCATGACTGTAGCATAGGCTTTGTACAAGGCATCCAATCAGTGTCTGGAACACACAGAGGTGGTTGGTTGTCGCCTTTTAATTACTCCGATGTTACCCGCGGACCCTGACGTGGTGGTACATACCCGGCCTGCGCTACCTTGGCTGCCCGAACTCTCCTACAACGGAATAGGGACATACTTGGACGGCTGAAAATTACCTGATCGGTCAGGGCGTTGTGTGGATCACGATGGCGGAAAGCTTTGCCATGAACAGTGTCTTTGTGACGCTATTGAACTATGGAAATGGTAGGAAATCAATAATAGGGAAAACCGCGGCAAAGGCGGCATAGTACACGATCGAGGGTGAGAAGAGGGTATGTGCTTGCAATCCCGAGGAACGCCCCAACCCAAAAGAAAAAGGAACGGCAACAAACAAATAAGAGATATAGTTCAACGACTCCCATCTCGCCAAAACAATCCCAACTCCCCCGATGATTCCCAAAGGCCGGTACTGGTAAGAGTTCCCCAATCTCGAGATGTAGGAAATGTGAGATGTACTGTGCTTCCGATCAGTATATTCCTATGCACGTCCGTGGTCGGTCCCGACATGGGCCCATGCGCCGTGGTGGTTCGTAATGCAGTCTGATCAAAAAATTGTAGAAGAGTCGCAAGGGTTACAGGTCGTGGCCGGACGCCGTGATGTGGAAAGAAAAAGTGTCTCGTGAGAATCGTCGGTCTAAGTACTCAGGACGTAGATGTTCATGTGAAGCGTCATGGCTGTCTCCGAGGGGCGCGTTATTGGGGGAACATGTTATTAATCTCCTCGTCGCTGAGGACAATCTCGTGTACGGGCTCCCGTCTGTTCTCGAGGGGTACGTAGTCGCAGTCAACGTATGACGGCAGGAAGATTTCTGTGGACACTGGTCAGCAGGAAACGGGGTTGAAGGTTGGGCCAAGCTCGGTACTCACCTGGGTTCCACGCAAAGCCCTGGCTCGAGGAGAGGTAGGTGATCTGACTCTGTGTTAGCCGACGTTCCTCGACGTTCCTTGAGGAGGACGAAAGTGGTCTTACAAGGCGGGGAGTTCCGTTCGGTTCGCCGATGTTGATAACGGTACTTTCCTGCTTCGACAACGCGGAACCTGTCCGTGATGTGAGTAAGAGACCCAAGCTGTCATGTACAGAGTCCGAGACAGGCAGATCGGACAAGGCTGCAAGGCCCGGGCTGTGTAGCTACAAAGCAAAGTGGGAGGACATACTGAGAAGGCTGGGCCGACGTTCGTGGACCATCTTTCGCTTCTGAGCGGAAGTCGGTGAAGAGGTTCGAGGTGAACTCGAGTACGTCGACGAGGAAGAACTAGCAGCATCCCGGACCTGAACGGACTGGTGGTGGTGATATGTGTTGGCCGACGACGGGGTCATCGGAATTGCAATCGACGACGACATGGTGTATGGGGTTCCGAGGGGGAAAGAAGAAATACCCCAAGGTGAGACGATAAACTTCAAGAATGATTCAAAGCAGTCGGAACGATCGAGGAGAAGGACGTGAGAACGTACACCGGGCGGCTTGTCAAGTGGAAGGACCAGTGCAGTGGCGAAGCGAAGAAGGTGTTGAAGGAGTCAAGAATGAGATTCAAGGTACGAGAATGGAGAGAAGGTGTGCCTGTGACTGTACAGTGCTAAGGTGTGCTTGCAGGACGAGGCCCAACGAGGCATCCGGCCGGTGAACACATCATCCCATGGGGGGGTTGATAAGAGATAGGTGCCGGATTAGCAGGCCGTGCTAAGGACGGACAGTGACACTCACCGACGGCTCTAACAGTGGAATTGCGGGAGAGACCCTCGCATCATCATGGCAAGGATCTAGGACTGTCTCCATAGTACATGGGGGCAGCCGTCCCCAGACCAGGCCAATCGGAGGTTGTCGCTGTCACCAACCTGGGTAACGTGCTGCAGGCACTTCGCCTTGCTCCGGGTCATCTGCTGAGCCAATCAATCGACTAGAGAGGGGCCAATGAGGTCTGCTGGGGTTCCCGACGGCACGTGACCTTGGAGCATCGACCAGATTCCTGACTAAGCTGGGCCGAGAGGCTGCATGCGTATCCGATTGACGCCTACAGGCTAGGTAGCTCGAGCAAGCAAGCACCACCACCATCACCACCCAGCTTGAAATCAACAAACTTGCCGTTGTCAACGACACCGCCCATCTCCTGCGATCTCTCGTCTCCTACGACCACCGAGATATCTCGAGTGCCGAACGTCATTATCTCACGCCGCCGCCAATAGCTCACAAATTTCCGACACAATGGGTGACGTCTTGGTAGAAAACCCGGCCAACCAAGTTGCTCCTCACAAGAAGACGGCTCCCTCAACAATCCCTAGTATCGAGAACTTTGAGGGCATCGCGACGGAGGGGGGTGATGACTATGCCACATTGAAAAAGTTGCAGAGACAACTGGAGTATATCCAGTTGCAGGAGGAGTACATCAAGGATGAGCAGAGGTTCGATTCTCGCACGATCATTGCATGCCACCTGGTTTGCTGACCCGCCGGTACAGGAGTCTGAAGCGCGAGCTCGTCCGGGCTCAGGAAGAGATCAAGCGGATCCAGAGTGTTCCTTTGGTGATTGGGCAATTTATGGAGGCCATCGACCAGAAGTACGCAGACCCCGCAGGCAGCTCCCATTTCAAGCTCAACATTACTAACCCATGACAGTACCGGAATCGTTCAGTCGTCCACGGGCTCGAATTATGTTGTCCGCATCCTTTCAACCCTCGACCGCGAGAAGCTCAAGCCCTCTTCCTCCGTCGCCCTCCACCGCCACTCCAACGCCCTCGTCGACATCCTCCCTCCGGAAGCGGATTCATCCATCGCCATGCTTGGCGCCGACGAGAAGCCCGATGTGACATACGCCGATGTTGGTGGTTTGGATATGCAGAAGCAGGAGATCCGTGAGGCTGTCGAGCTGCCGCTGACGCACTTCGACCTCTACAAGCAGATTGGTATCGACCCTCCTCGCGGTGTCTTGCTCTATGGTCCTCCGGGAACGGGAAAGACGATGCTGGTCAAGGCTGTGGCGAACTCCACAACGGCAAACTTCATTCGTGTTGTCGGATCCGAGTTCGTGCAGAAGTATCTCGGTGAGGGTCCTCGTATGGTCCGTGACGTCTTCCGCATGGCTCGCGAGAACGCCCCCGCCATTATCTTCATCGACGAGATCGACGCCATCGCGACGAAGCGTTTCGATGCGCAGACTGGTGCCGATCGCGAAGTTCAGCGTATTCTCCTGGAGCTTCTCAATCAGATGGACGGTTTCGACCAGACCGCCAACGTCAAGGTGATCATGGCCACGAACAGAGCCGACACCCTCGACCCTGCCCTTCTCCGTCCCGGACGTCTGGACCGCAAGATCGAGTTCCCTAGCTTGAGAGACAGACGCGAGCGCCGTCTCATTTTCTCTACTATTGCTAGCAAGATGAGTCTGGCCCCCGAGGTCGACATGGACTCCCTGATTGTTCGCAACGACCCTCTCAGTGGTGCTGTTATCGCTGCCATCATGCAGGAGGCTGGTCTCCGTGCTGTGCGGAAGAACCGCTACAACATTATCCAGAGCGATTTGGAGGATGCTTACTCAAGCCAGGTCAAGGGTACGAGCGACGAGAACAAGTTTGATTTCTACAAATAAGCGACTGTTCCCCAGGGTAAGGTACAGGCGGAGACGGCGCATCGTGGGAGAAACGAAACAGAGCTCGCTGCAAAGCTGGCAATGTATATGGGCGCGGGGGACACGGCTAGGGAAGGGAAGGAATAGACTTTTCAAGGCTTTGGGGAGCGAGGCTTGGCGTCACGTTGTACAATACAATACAATACAATACACTCGATGAAGAAGTCGCGTTGCCGCCTGCTATTGGGAACCTGTGTGTCACTACCGCCTCGTTGAGGTACGTGTTGGAGGAAATATGATGATGAGTCTGCCTGTCCTGCAAATGTCATTAAAGACCATGGAGTATCCGCGTTGAGCTGTGTGGATGCATTTAACATGGGAGTTTAGTGGCCGTGGTTTTCACCACGCAAGACCCTATTCCCCTGTGATTGGAATCGAGAGGGGAGTAGGGGACGGCTCGAAAACACCAAGGCGTTGATGACTGACGAAAGTACCGTAGGCAACTAAATATATCCAAAACATATCCAGAAGAGCACAGGAAAAGGAGGGATAGGCGCCCATACCTGGCCTCCTCTACCTATTGACAAGCCTCGAACATGAGCTCGGGGGATGGTGAAGGGCACAAACATCTGAAGCAAAACAAGAAGAAGGGAAGGAGGGGGACAGAACAAATGAAGAGAAAGCAAGGAGGAATTACATTCCTGTATTCCCATGTATATAAACGCCCAGGCTTTCGTCACCTCTTTCCTATGGTACTTGATGAAATCCCGGCGCATTACCTGCCGGGTTCTGGAACGGCGACGGCCGTTGAATACCCCGGGAAACTTTTAGCTTCAGTCAAAAACTTCCGTCGTGGTCTTTCTGGTCGAAAGGCCGGCCGGCCTACGTTATCGAAGGTGGTGGAGGGTTTCTCACTAGAGATCGGTCGGTAGGCAGACAAAGATCGCATCACTTGTCGTCTTTTTTCGATCCCCATTACACCGTATCAGCCGCCCGATAAACATGTTCGCCCTCCTCGCCCAAAGGCTATTTCGACGACCTACTGTTCAACACGAGATTTATCAAGTACTTGTAAACAAACACTGTTCAGTCACACAACAGGTTGAATAGATTCCGGTATAGTCGATCGAATACCATTGTCAAGGTTATTCTGGATTGTGGGCATAGACCCTTTTAGCCCCTTTCCAATATTTTCCGGACCCGAAACCCTCTCTCCCTTAGCTCTCTATTGATTCGGTATCTTTTCCCTTCCCCTTTTTACCCTTGCCTTTTCCTTTCCTTTTTTCCATTCATGCTTGGGCCTGGAAGCTTTCTTATGTCTAATCTCGTACTTTAAGAAGGCTCTCAGGAGGATAACGTGAAGAAACCGTGAATCATGAAGCCATAGCAAATGAAGCAGCATCCCTCCCAAGTCTATCGAATCGTGCCCAGCCTGCTCAGTCGTGAAAACGCTCTTAAATAAAAAAAAAAAGGAACAAGCGATGCCGCCGTCGCTGATGCAAAACAGTCCTAATGCAACATGTGATGCCTACCATCTCAACAGGGGGTATATCCGTCTGCCCTTCGCATCCACTCCTTCCCTTACTCCTTCTCCCTGTCCGAGCAGTGGGCAAGGTAATTAAGATTATCATTACCCATTACTGCTTTGATGTTGACCACCGCGTTTGCTTCAGTGTTGAAGTCAAAGGGGGCTCAACTTGCCATGCCATAATTGTAGGTTATCTGTACGCTGATATGATCGTACAGGTACGTCTTCGTCTGCCTAATATTGATGGTTAAGGCAGTGATTTTGTGTCGTGAAAGTATGTGTGCAGCTGCCACTACCGCAACTAAGAGCTCAGCGCCACGCCAAGTTCAAGCATGAGCTTCACGAACTTTGTATGCAGCTCAATAAAGAAGTCGGGCATGCCGACGAGCTCAGCAAGGCCTCGGGCCTTGAGTGAGACTCCACCGGGGCCACCACCCATTCTCCTCGAAAAGCCACCACCTCCTGTGAGAAAGCTGCTGCCACCACGGTCTTGTCCTTCCCGTTCAGGTTTGACCATCGTGGGATAAGAGCTGTGGTGCGGGGGTCCTCCCAGAGGACTGGCTTCGGCAGCTTTCTCGGCCTCGGCTTCCGCCAACTGTTGAATCCACGAGGCAAGATCGCGGAAAGCAGCAGCCATGAAGCCAAATGTTTTCATCGCCAGCCGCTCCTTATGCGTGCTGAGAGCCAGAAATGCATACACGCGCTTGTGGCCGCGAGCGTGCATATCTGGGATACGAAAGATGTAGGCTGTCGTGTAGCCATTGACAGGGTCGCCGAAGAAGATGGGGCCCCCGGAAGCTGCTGCCCCAGCGCTATGTGTCGTGACAAAGGCTGGTATGTTGCTTGACTGCGGCGACGCACTCGGCGTTGGGTTGGCAGGGGCGCGAGGTAGTGTCTCCAGCGAAAGTGTTCGCAAACATGAGGATCGCACGATCGAAAAAGAGGCTGGGATAAGGGGTTCATGGGTCGAGGTATAATCGAGATAATGGGTATGACTAGCATGTCTTCCTGACGACATGCTGGACCGTGTTGTCGTAGAGCCCGTCGCCCTTCGGTGCATTCGTTCGGGTTGGCTTTCTCCATCGGTATCGCTAGCGGATGAGGCTTGGGAGGTCGGTGGCGATGCCTGTCCATATACCCTGGCGTAAGGAGCGCGAGTGCGCAATGTAGGGCCTCGTTCAGCCTTCAAGTCGCTTTTGTCCTTGCCTCCTTGTCGTTGCGGTAGTGTCAGCGCGCAATTTTCACAAGGCCCGGCGCGCTTCGTAACGTAATCGTCATATGTTCGGCGAAAACTCGAGTCTCGTCGTGGTTGCTGCTGCTGCTCCGATATCCGGCGGGGACTTTCAGGTGGGGTCTCGATCGCGGAAGGCGACAGGGGGGAAGCTGGCGAGTTTGTGGTAGAATTTGTCGAGGATGCGCGAAGCATGGCGGCGCGCTGGATCTGGGCTTCATTCTCGGAAACAGACAGAGATGAACTGCGGTGCGAGCCGAGGTGCATCTTTCGCAGCGCTTCCGACATGGCCACGGTCTGGTTCAGAGATCCAGCCGCGACTGGGGCGCTGGTCCGGGGTCGGAGCTGATCTTGATCGGCATAACCGGCGGCGCCATCATCGAAGCATGTTGTGCATGGGACTGGCAAGCCCTCGGTGACCATGAGCGGGGTCGGGCCATGTTGGTCACAGTAGTGAGCGAGGCATAGCTGAAGGCCGGTCATTAGCGACAGCGAATCTGGTGGTTGGTTCATGGTTGCAGGGTGTTCGCGAGGAGTGGCGAAGGTATGCTCAAATGACGGGACGCGCATCGTGAGGATACCGCAGCCTTGGGTATGATTGGCAACAGAGTGAGGCTCTGCAACGTTCGAGGGGTAGGGTTCTGAAAGAAGAGGTGTAGCAATGACAATGTCACGCAGGGCTTGGGATATGGGAACAGCTTATACCAGCCGTGGAGGTGAGTGCGGAAGGGTACGATCGTGGACGGGAGAGTAGAATGCGAGTCGTGTCATGCGCCCGAGGGTAGAATTGTACGTATGAGAGGCAGGGTAGGGCGAGGATGTATGGAAGAGGCCATGGCGGCGCAGTCTCCCTTTCTTATGGGAAGTTCAAAGGGGGTCTGGGTGGTTGAGATGAGTTGGGCATGGGAAATGATGGGGGAGGACAAGATGGAGGGGTGGCTAATTAGGGGACGAGTAACGGAGGATGGAGACATGGGAGTAGATAGGATGGGATGAGAAGTTGGGCAAGGTGAGGCCGGTTGCAACAGGCAGGGCCCCGGTCGTGGGGGATGCTATCCTGATTGCCGGTGTCTCGTGTCGGGCTTGTCTGAGTGTCTGGGAGCGACGGGGAAGACGGAGAGGATGGGGATGTGCACTGATATGCGGGAAGCGGTGAGGCGGTGAACGAGCGGCTTCTCGCCAATAATATAACGACGGTCGGTCAGGTTTGACGGCCAGGGACAGTAGGAATGCTGCAATCCAGATTGGCTGGCCGTGGGAAATAGGCCTTTTGGTAGGGAAAAGATATCGAGGCAGCAGCATTAAGGAGAGAGCAAACTTACTATGGATGTCATGACGTACTCCCTCTCCCCAGGCCGAATCCGGGTCTTGTTTGTGTTTCGCCAATAAACAGATGAGCGCAATCAAGTCCGGGGGGGAAGGCTATTGTTGTCGTAGGAAGACCAGCAAGGGTTAATTATTGCACTTTGCCTTCCGTTTGGGGGCGATTTTTGGGCCACGAGGGACGGCGGGATCGCAGACAGAGAATGAGAAGTGATTAGAAGCCCCAGATGATGGCGAGTAGAAAAATGAAATTAAAGTGGTGTTTCTCGAAAGGAGACGTATGGATGAGACGGCAACGACAAGTCGTGTGTGTGTGCGCGCGCGCACCTATGCCTCTCTGTGTGTGTGAGAGAGAGAGGGAAAAAGAGCGAGTGAGGAGTGAGTTGAAAGAGTCCCAAGAGTGTGTAAGAGAGAGGCGAGCAAAGTGGGTGTGTGAATAAGTGGGTGTGTGGTGCGGATGCAGCAGCCACGATCCAAGGCAAGTGCGACTGCGATGGGAAGCCGAGAGGGAAAGAGCGAGCGACCACTGGCGGGAAAAGGTACAGATACTGGACGAGGATGAGGACGAGCAACGACCAAACAAAGTGCTTTGCCCTCAAAGAGCTGTTGCCGCGAACGCTAGGAAGACGCAGACCCGGACTAAGCAGCAACGATGGGCGGGGATCCCGGAAAGTGCAGGTTCGCGTCGTATGAGGAGCGTGGGAAGTCCCGGCCGGATGCGATGCAGGGCGACTCGATGCTGATGGACGTTGGCGAATTCTGGTCCGGCCTTGGGATGGGACGGCTGGTCTGGTTGGTCGTCGATGATGCTAGCCTGCTCCAACTTGGTGGCTAGAATTGATGGGAACCAACGGTGGGACTGACGGGAGATGGTGAACGACTTGGTGAGCTACTACGTAGTCCATGTGCTAGCAGTGATACCCCGATGTTTCTGACAGAGAAGATGGAATCGATACGACTAATCAATGGTAGGTTTCTGCAGAGGGTGCTTGACAATGACACGCGCACTAGTAATGAGTCGACGCTGAGTGGCTGAAGATGGTAACAAAATGCCAAAAAAGACGAGGACGAGAAAGAGAACTTCAACGGGGCGGCGGCCACGGCATGGTCACTGGTCAATCCATTTATTACCACATCATGTAAGTCTTCATCCATCGAGTGGAATGAACAAGGCCCCGTGGAGGGCGGGAGGGGAGGGAGTCAAGGCGATTCTTCATATGCGGGGCACGCCAGGGAAAATAAACAACCCGTGACATTGACGACGACAAATATTTCCTACGATTATCGTGGGCTTCACCCACTCAGATGTCCCTCCGTGGGTGATCGGTACCTGGCCTTGGGTTCTGCCGGCAGCTCGGGACTGTGACCTCGGGCACAACTGCGATTGGGTGCTTGCAACGACCGGGGCGGGGAAGAATAAGACTGGAAGAGATGGCAACGAGAAAACACCACCAAATGGCAGGCTGAGTACCTAACACAGACGAGACCTGGGCCCGGGAGACGACGACGTGGGACGACCTGGACACTGGGGCCGGGCTGTTGACTCGCTCTAGAACTCGGAGGACCCACCCAGACCAGAGGAGTCCCAGCCTATTTTGAGCCTTTTTGAGTCTTTGACGAATTTTGTGATTTGCTAATACCCATTGTCCAAGTCGAAGCCGCCGTCCTGTCGTCGCGTGCCAGTGGGGACGGGTTAAAGCCTCGGTGGGAGATGGGGACGTTTCGATGGAGACAATGAATTCTTCGTATGTAAGGCGATGCTCTATAGCTGTGCGCTAACGTCAAAAAGAGATTCGCGGCGGAGTAGGGGTCGCAGAGGCGAAGGCATGCCAGGAAAGGCGAGTGGTTGATTCGTATTGGGCGTGGACCAGCATCGTTTGACCGCACGTTAGCTGGTGCAGACGCTCAAGTAGGTAGACGCGCCGTCGTGGTGCAACTGCTCCGTCAAACGTCTCTGTTCCAAACGAGAGGGGACAGAACTGACTGAGGGATTATACGGACCGCAAGGCAATGGAGTAGCAGGCGCTAGGGTGTGGTCAACTTCCAGACGTTGCAACTGTGAATCATAAGGCGAGTATTTCGCGGTATACGGATAGCTATTCGCGAATTAGTCGGTCATGAGCACTGAGCAGAGCCAAGTAAACTCCGCACGTCTCCGTTGCGGCCATGGGTGGTTGTAGCCTCGCAGGGAACAGTGTTTTGCGTCCCAGGTTCTTGATCATTCGGGATTCTCGACGTTCCAATAAATCCCGAGCCCAATGTCCCTAGTCTGGTTCAGCTTTCTTTTTCCCCCATCGCACCTCTTGTTGCCCGACCCGACAGTGGGGAGGAAGGGTTGTCTTGTTGTTTTCCTCTTCCTTTGTCGAGAAAATTGGGGGGCCAAAACCCGACGCAACCGCAAACAGCTGACTGGACCGAACCACCACCCTTGCCCGTCTGGTCGGAAAGAAGCAGTATCCCTGTCGGCCGGATGTGGATAGTGGGCAAGAGGGCTGCAAGCAAAGACCCAGTTGGACCGCGAGTGGCAGGATTGCTGGGATGTGGCTTGGCACAGTGGAAGGAATTCAAACGAGGGGTAGAGTTGTCCACAACTTCCAGAAGCATTCCAGCGGATGGACGGTGGGCTGGAACTTGGGGACCAGGATCGGTGCACGGCCGCCAGTGAAGTGAGGTGCGGGTCCGCAGGACGGTGGCATGGGCAAAAGGCGGGCGGGTTTCCTGGTGACGTTGCCAATTGCCTCGCCCTCTGCTCCGTAAGCGGACGCGGTTAGTTCTTGAGCATCGGGCAAGGTCCTGTTCTGGCCCGGCCAAAGAGTCGGAAAAGCTCGTACATGGTAGAGTCGTTTTCTAGATGGAGGTGAAGGTCAAGTAGAGTTGGTTTGGGGTTTGCGGATGAGGACCCCGCGTCTATACTTAATCGTGACTGAGGACGGCAGTGAGTGGCCTGGATGGAAATAAAAGCTTGGCAAAACGTGAGCTGCATGTACGTATACGCGATGGTCCCATGGTGCCGTATGGTATGGCGTACCACGGTCTTCGGCGGAGCAGACACGAAAAAGGGGGATTGAAGTCGGGTTCCTTGTTGTGTTTGGACTCTCGGTGTTTCTAGCGTTCCCTGGTGGATTTTCTCTCTTTTCTTTCTTTTCCCCTTCCTGGGTGTGAATTTTGAAAATGCAGGGTAGCTGGCACGCTGGGTAGCTTAGCGACCGAGGCAGGCGCATGCTGACCGCCCTAGGTGCCCAGGCAAGAATTTCTTTGGGACACGGATCCATCACCTGTATTCGTACGGATAGAGAGTATCCGTAGAGGGGTTTGGAACTCTGGATGGGGCAAGAGAGGAGAATGGGAGTCCTTGCAAGTTGCGCCGTTCTCGTGATCAGGATCCCTTCTCCCTACACATCCAGCTTTGCTCCTTCCCCCTCGAGTTGTTGAGTTTGCGCTTCAGTCTGGGGGTTGGTTTCGCACGAGTGAGAGTCGGGAAGGAGGTGATGAGGTAATGCGGGGCTCTTTCATCAGTGAGGTGGGCTGCGATCAGGACCTGGTGGGCTCGTCACTCGCCGGTGCCAGGTGGGCTCCAGCGCGGCGTACCTTCTCCTGGAATGTTTAAAGGAAGGCAGACTAATCGGTCACACTTGCACTTGTGCATTCCTAATTTCCCAATCCTGAAGATGGATGGACCCGACCTGGACGTTGGACCTGCCATTGGACGCCACCAGATCGCCAATGTCGGTGCAAAGTGCAAGAGCGGTGCGAATGCAAACAAGGAGGTGCAGCAAGTGCAGTAGGCGCAGGCGCAGGCGCTCAGGGTCCCAGATGTCCGGCTCCCTACCTACCTTCCTCACCTTACCTTACCTTCAAGGTACCTTGCCACAGCATGGCGGCATAAGGTAACCGGCTGCAAGCCGCGCAGTTGCGTTTCGGCGACAAGTCGTCTCGGGACCGGGAACCGGCCAAGCTTGTCTTGGATTCTACCATTTATCGTCCACCTCACTCAACGCCAGCGAGTGACAGCCGGCCTAAGGTACCTCGGGTACCCAAGGTGGTCTAGCACGCAGCTTAGTACTTCCCGTTTCCTTTCGACATACCTTAGCCCTGCTTAGTTCCTGGCTGTCAGTTGTCACTGCTGCCTCACGACTTGCTCAACTGACCGCATCGCCTTGTCATCGTGATCTTACCTGAGAACCTGAGAGTACCTCAGGAAACACACCGCAGGCTAATTATTCTACCATGCCACTCTTCACCTCCAAGTTTCCAACGCCGCTGGCGCTAACCACAACCAGCAAAGACCCAACGGCAGCGTTTGTCTCTCCTGAGTCTCCTCCTTGCACATTTTCGCACCTGCGGAAACATTACCGGCGGCATTATCTACTAGCGCCCTCTTCCTTGACTCGTTCGGTCGCAAAAGGACATTGGGATTTCATGTATCAAAACACCAGACGAAAAGACGCCCGACAGCCTCATGGTCTGGGAGGCTCTCTCAGATTCTGACGGGGCCTGCAAACTCAATCCAGCCATCCCAAGTCTTTTCTCCAGCACGCCGGCATAGCGTTCCTTAGTGTTTCCATTTCTCACGCTCTGATCCTACCTCGTCATTCACCCCCAGTATCAACCCCTGTTTTGCAAAGAACCGCAGTCACCTTCATCTGTACCAAAGTACAAATACACCCGTAGCAAGCATGTGAACGTTTGACCGGCATCCTGGTCCTTGGCCCGACTGACTCTGTCCTTCACGGGGTCAAGCATGGGCGAGGACTTGGATCACCCATGAAAACAAAGGGAAACTTGTCGTGTCGTTGAGGCTAGGAGAGAAAACCACCTCTTCCTACGCGTATCAGGGGCCATGGCAGCCTCTGTCATACCGCACACTGCTACGGCGGTGTAGACTTGCATTGGAGCCTCATCGCCTTCGTCACCGCTGACTTGGGGGCGGGCTTAGACGACAGACAGACAGGGAATGACCAGCAGCTCAGCTGCGACGTCGCTTCGGGCCGGCTTAACTCTAGTCTTCCAAGCAACGTCGCTTCCTGGGTCTTTACTCGTCTCTGCAACGACCCAAACACAATTCATTCGCTATCACAAGCTATCCTGCTCCCCATACCTCGTCACCGCGTTTAATTATTGGACTAATCCGTCCATAGACTACGCTGCCAAAGTTTCGCGGAGAACTCAGGTCCATCCGAGATACTCAGGAAATCATCCCGCGGGTCAAAAAGCAACGCCCAGACTCAACACATGCCTTTCGCAGCTGTCAGTTCGCCGTAATTACCTTTCCCCGGATCCCCTCACCTGCGCTGCCGGGCAAGTCACAGTTGGGCTGCTTATCTCGATTTCATGCTCTCCGTTATCCGCAAATCAGTTTATCAGACAACTGATAGGAATTCCCCCGACTCAACCTCGTCCCAAGGTCTCTTTGACCGGGTTCTATCTTACGCTGCCTCATTTGCTTCGTCTCACCGCTCAACTTGACCTCACCTCAACACCACCTATCCAAGACACCTCGCAACCCGCATCACGGACCGTGGCCTCCATCCTGAGGATCAACTACCCCTGCCATATGGAGCCTTGCCGTCCCCTTTTCCCAATACACCCTCGCTTCTGCTCTCAACTGCCGCCCGTTGGGCCAACTCATCTCACCCACACCATTTGATATCAGCCTGCATCCACACACACACACACACTCACTCACACACAAACCTGTGCTGTCATGTCCACCGCCAAAACCTTACGCCGACCTTGAAATTCGCCCTTAATTGTCTGGGGAAAGCAAATGTGGGGGCCCCACCGCGATGAGGGCTAGGTCGCCAAACTTGCGCGACGTTTGGACGCTTGGCCTGACTGAGCTCAAGCTCTATGAACCGGCCCTCGCGGAAAGCGTTGTCTTTGATCCGGAATCAAGGATTCAGAGAGAATTCGGGTAGGCATCGACCGACTGTCGCGGTCTGAACTACTGGGACACCCCCAACCAGGTATGGAAATTGTATACATAACGCAAGCAGTGCTTCAACAGGAAGTCAATCCTGTACCCGTCTCTCGCTGTGACCTGTTTTTACGCCCGCCCGTCTTCATTCAGGCCGCAGCCTTTCACGATGATGGTTGACTTACAAGATACGCACTTTTCAAAGCAGCAGCCGGCGGCGAGACGTAGAGCCACCACGCATGGCAGCTTCTGTGCAGCCCGGGGTTAAGGAAATCGACTCGCTCTCGGTCCTCAACGGTAAAAATGCTCGTTCTGGCCGGTGTGGCCGTCCAACCTTGCAGCTCTCAATGCGCCGCTACCATGCGTCAGACCCACGCTTCGGTGAGCGTTCCGGCGCCGCTCCATGCCAGTCATGGGCAAAGGAAAACGCACAGACATTTCTGGGTGGTCCATACCACGCTGGTATTGACGGTGCATGCGACTGGACGTCAACCTAATTACACTACACATAACGGAAGCATCCTTTACATCATCATCCTCGGAGCAGGACCTCTAAGGTTTTGCTTTAACGCTGGAGGAACATAGCCGGCTGCCTTGCCCATGCGCTGGCTAAATCAGAGCGGCTCAAAGAGAACAGCCGCCTGCGCCCTCCACTCGTGCTTCCGTGCGCCGGCTACATATCTGGATCTGGGGTTTTCGAGCGGCCAGTGATTTGCTGGTTCATCTCGTCTCCCCACCCCCGCCGTTGTGATGAGTTGCGCCGCACCTCACATCAGGTCGGTAGCCCGATATGCTCCGTGCTTTTCTGCCGTGTAACAACGGCACAGGATGTCACTGCAGTATAGCTCATCCTTTCCAGTCTTGTTCAAAGGTCGTTGGTCATTTCTGAAGGCTGAGAACATGCGCCAGCCAAACGTTTTATGACCACTTTTCGAGGAAAAAAAAAAGGGGAAGAAAAAAAAGCGAAGCATCGAACGACGGGTACAAACCTATCGGGCGAGAGCAGCATGCTACGGAAGTAATCATTATGCGCCACTAGAAGTAGACGTTCTTCGCTCTCGAACAACGATTTCAGGCCAGGAAGGATCTTTAAGACCCCAGAGTCATCGCTCTTCCTGCTGTCTCCCTACAATACGGTGGATACAGTCAAATCGACTCCCAGAATACCAAGACAATCCGGCCCTCAATTAGCCGTGCCGGTCCGAAATGCTCCAATCGTACACACCTCATCTCGGATCATCCAAGCCAGCCTTCATCTCATCTTTTCCTATTGTGTCCATCAAAACCGGCTAAGAGACACCTACAAATGACCGCCAGCTTGACCGGGCTTAAGGGAAATCACCATCAAAGCCCACGTACGACAGGAAGGGTGGTACCCGACGCTCTCGGGAGAAAGCCCTCAGTGAAGGTTTACCCAGCATATATCATTTACCGCCTCGCTCCCGGTGATTGGGCGTTGGCCCAACTTGGTTCAACAAGAGCTTCTTCATCCGCCGTTTTGAAAAGACTAGGGTTCACAATCCTAGGATTCAAGGCTTTGTTCGTGGGCCTTGATTTATCCGCGTCGGCAAAATTTCGTTATCCTTCTTGGGGACTTGTGAGGAGGGGAGGTTCGGCCTTTTGACTTTTCCGATTGGATTTGGTGATGGTCCGCGATGGGACTTCTCTGAACGATCGAATATTTCATTTCCGCCCCGTGTGCCAGTGTCTTGAACATCAACATTTGATGCCGAATTTTGGCCGATGTTGTTGGAGCTAGCATGCTGCCGTTGGCGATCTCATGGACACGAAATGCACTCTGGCAAAACTAGATTTCAGCCCGTCACTATCACATGGGGCCGGGGTAAGAGAGCGCGGCCTCACCCGCCCGCGAGCCCACCCTCATCTCCAAGGTGTATCTCTCACATATTACCGAAACCTTGGCGGGCATGCGTATCCTATTGCGAAAACCCCATCCATTAGGCTCAGAGACGCAGAGACGGCCGGCCCCCCTCTCCTCACCCTCCCACACGGTTGACGTCCAAACGTCAACCCCGGGCGGGAAAGCGAGGGCTGCTGACCAACACCCCGGCTAGAAATCTCACACCGAGACGGGAGTCCCCGGAACCGGTCAGCGCGAGGGATGACATTCCCGTCCGCCCCATGTGACGGTGACATGCCAGGTCAACGAGCGTGACGGGCGCAATGCCGCCGACGCCAGGGCTAGAGAAAGTGGGTTTTGAGTTTTTGGATTATCAAAAGCCGTTTTTTTCCCCTAGGAGGGAGGCGGGGGGGAGACAGGATCTTCACACATCCCGAGACTTTCTGCCGGCCGAGGGTACATTGTGAGTCGGTCCGAGGTTTGTGATAATGGCTATCTCGCCATAAGATCTGGCATGGCAAGCGATGCCCCGAGCTGGAAATATGCACCATTCTGCGTGGCTGCAGCATGTTGTTCGTCGGGGTGTTGTTTGCACTCTCTTTCACCCACCCACCCCCCATCCATCGATCTCTCTCTGTCGCGCAAAAGTCGTTTTGTGAAATGAAATGTGAGCTGTCGTAAAACGGGGGAAAACCTAGGAATCGAGACTACATAGATCACCGCGCTGAAGAATCAGTCCACCCTCCCCTCCACCCGGATCCCGCCGGATGAAGAATTGCTTCGCATACGCGTGGTGTGTGTGTGTGTGTGTGTGTGTGTGTGTGTGTGGCGCGAGCGCGCGTGTGTGTGTTGGCAGAGCCGCCAATCGAACACCAGACCTGTCTGCTCTGACGAGAAGCCCCCTTACTTTACCTGACTTTACCTTGGGTATTGGAAACTTGCCACCTGCTTTGGCTGGTCAACTAGCCAAGGGTAGGCGCTCCGCTACCGTCTGGACGACGGTGACTGAACGGCGCAGTGAGACTACTTCAAACCGACGCATTCTACTTTACCTTGGACATTTACAAGCCATACTGAACTGCATCGGCTCTGGCGGACAACGACAACGTGTAAGTATAGTCGAAGAAGTAAAGGCAATCTGTTGGCGGCGTCTGAGGCGCACTTTTTGCAAAACTCAATAGCTCTAGACGTGAACAAAAAGCCCACTCCACTGGTCGTGTCATGATATTGCCCTCTCGTGCTCTCTCTCCCAAGAGGGCATATGGTGTATTTCATAGTAGAAAGGTCCGCTCTAGGCGGAGGGCTACCGAATCCGCCACTACACCAACAACTCCCTGTTTCTTTCCCGTCAATGACGGACCAAAAAAGGAAAAGAAAAAAAAAAACACTTCCTGGGCCCCTCTCTCGGGCTTTCTCAACCTTGAGCTGATTTCCTCATGCTCGGGAATCATCAGCTATGCTTGTGGATACCAACGATCCCTCCTCGAGATACTCCTGTAATTCACCCAGGTCAGGGTAGCGTATGCTCGCCTGCTATCCTCATGCCTGGACACTGCCGGCCTGCCTCCCCCAAAATAATAACGCCTGGTAATGCTGCTGCTTGCTTTGGTATACAAGTAAAGAAGTTACACATGCTATGCCCGCTGCAGTCTGCCGATTAATCATGGTTGCTTCTTTTCTTCCAACTTTGACATAAGAAAAAGGGGTATCTCCATCCTTCATCCCCAGCCAGAGAGTGTGTTCCGGCGTGCCACACTCAGTCTGTCGACGGTTCCTCAATCTCGAGTCTCTTAGCCGCGGGCTCGCTGTCCCCGTCGCTATCCTCGACGTCGTACTTTTCCTGCCACAGCTTGCGCAGCACCTGGTACAGGAACAAATACTGCGACTCGGCCTGGACCATGCTGCGGCGCTGCTCGCGGAGGGCGTCGACGGTCGCAAAGATGAGGTCGTCGCCCTCACCGCCGCCGTCGTAGTCTTCGAGCGCGCCTTCGTCCAGCTCGCGAATCAGGTGCTCCAGCGTGATGAACGTGCCCGTGCGTCCTACGCCCGCGCTGCAGTGGATGATGCGCGGGTTCTCCGAGTTTGTGTTGTACTCGCGCGACAGGCGCATGAGCGTGAAGAAGCTGGACAGGTCGTCGACGGCGGGGACGCCAAAGTCGGGCCACTTTGTGTAAAGCAGATGCCAGACTATGCGGTCGTCTTCCTCGTCACCTACGCGCAGCAGGAGCTTGCGAACCTCGATGGCGCCGTTCTCGAGGGAGAGAAACGAGTCAAAAGTTAGGGTGGCGCTCCAGCCGTCACCCCAACCGTCCGTCTCGTTGATGCGCCAGGGCTCGTGTTCTTCGTCCATCGGCAGGTAGGGGTAGCATTTCACCTGGTTGTTCTCGTAGAAGCTTGTGAGCTGGACGATGACGACGGGATCTGTGAGCTGCTCCGCAACCATGCGCCAGACAAAGTCTAGCGAGTTCTCTGTCGGGCCCTGCATCGCGATGTACCGCAAGGGAGGAAGCTCCTTGTTCGAGGGAGAGGAGAGGGAGATCGTCGAGGCGTTGACGTAGTCGAGCTCTTCTGCGGGCACGCGCAGCTTTATGCGATTGTGGTTCCAGGGCTTGATGTTGAAGTAACGATCTTGCATGCCTCTGCGCATGTCGATCTGCTTGTAGGAGCCCCATTTCGTAGTCTCGTCGGCATCGGGGGCCATGCCGGCAGCCAGACGGTTGCGCTCCTGCCATACGAGCTCCTGGAACTTGTTTTCTAGATCTGCAGGGATCCCAGCAATTAGTTCCCGACCCGCGCCTCCATGTCTGCGACGAGACGGAGGTTTCGTACCTGGTACGGAAAGGTCCAAGAAAGCCGGTATTCTCGGCTTGGGCCTGAAACTCTCGTGGCTGCTCTTCCCGGACGACACGGAGTCATTCTTGCTGCCAACGCCACTTCCTTCCTTATCTTTTTGTCTCGGGGACGAGGTGATGCCGTCGTGGGAGACAATCGCGGGGGGCGGCGACTGCGGCAGGGAGGCCGGGGGAGGGGACCGCAAGCGCTTGCCTGAGCTGCGCAGGTGTAGGCCGCGGAAGGCGGTCTTGCGCAGGCCGGGCTTCGTCGTGGTCGGAGATCTGCCGCCGGTGACGGTGACGGTCGTGGAAGGGTATATTTGCTGAGGCGGCTGTTGCTCGTCGATGGCGTTTCGGGAGGGAGGGGTCTTGACGTCTGTGGTGGAGATTGTCGGGATCTTTGGTTTCCTGCGGAATTTGGGGAGATGATCCATCTTGAATCTGGCGACGGTGGCGGCTGATGCTGCTGCTGCTGCCTTAGTACGAGCCGTGGCGAAGGAGCGTAAATCAGCCGAGTCGGATGCAGCCGTGGGAAGCGACGAGACGCAAGGCGACGATAAGGGAGTGAAATTCGGCAACAATGAGGCTGGCGACAGCGGAGTGGTGGTGGTTTTGCACGGCCTCGCGTGGCGTGAAGAGTTGGTTAAGTATCCGTAGGCAAGAATGTCGTCAGGGTTTTAGCAGGGCGGCAGAGCGGCAGGGCGGGCACCATGCAGGAAGCTCTTTCTTTTTTTGGAATTCGGTGCGGCCCAGCAGGACGGGGAGTTGCGGCAAGCAACAAGCAGCAGCCCAAGTTAAGCGCGGTTGGGGTAAGACGTCGAAGTGTAAACGGAAAATCCGTCTTTTTTGTTGGTTGGCTTGTGTCTAAAATGGGATGGACGTGTGTGTATGTACACGTGGGAGTGAGTAGACAGGGAGAGAGGTAGAGGGAGGTGTGGTCGCAGGAAGAAGTTGTCGTAAGGAGGGGTCAGGCGGGCGTTGGGCGTCGTTGTAATTAGCCAGCAGGACTAGTGTTCGAAGAGTATGGCAGTAGTAGTTGTCGTACTAGAGAGTAATAATAATGGAAAGGAGAGGGAACGGAACGGGGCGAAAGTAAAGATGAAAAGTGTCGTTCCTGGCGATCTAAAGTGGTCGCATGGATGGACCTCCGAGGGGGAGCGGGAAAGTTCGTGCGTCACGCGTTCGAGTTTGGTTGTGTCATTCGGGAGGCACGTGCCGAAGGTTGCCCGTCAGGAGATGGTTGATGGACAGAAAGGGCAGGGTAGCGTGGTGTGCCGAGTAAGACCAGAGCCAAGGAGCATCTTTCTGAGAAGAATCACAAAGGACAACAAGAGAAGGGGGGGTGAGAAAAGATACAGAGCGTGGAGAAGAGGGCTCGGAAGAAGAAATTGCCACGATGAGAAGAGGGTAGGAAATTTTGATTGGAATAATAAAAAAGGCGGGTATCGACTAAGGCAAGGTACGGATACTTGGTACCCAAACGCAGATACTCTCTTTATTTTCCCTTGTCGGGTTCCCGGTAACTGGGAGCCATGTGTCTCAGCCTACGGCGGATCGTGAATAAGCAGTAACACGAAGTAGTCTGTGTCCGTAAGGATAGGTAGGCAGACGACGGAGGCTAGCAGAGAACTGAGAAGCCACGGGGAGAGGTGTCAAGATGAGGCTGTCGGACGGATACTACTTACGCAATCCCAGGGGCAAAAATTGGGAGGCGAGTGATGGACGCTGGACCAGGGCAGGCCGCAAGCCGCAAGCCGCAAGCCGCAAGACGGTCTAGACGTTGAGAAGTTCCCTGGCGTGCCTGGATAGGGAAAAGAAAACAGTGGGCGAGAAGGGTCGGAGCTCGAATCACTCGATGGGCGAACCGCGATACAAAGTCCATCTCTGGCTCTTTTCCCGACAACAACCACCTCAGCCCCCAAGGGGCCCAAAGGGAACAGGGGGCGAGTGCCTTAGCCGGGCAAGGGGGGGGCCCTGGGGGGGGAGACATCTGGATCGAACATTGGAACGTTTCCATGGATGTTGGTGGACTTTGTCCATGTTCTGTAATCTCGGGCAGTGCACGGCTTCTTGGACCTCGGAGCATCCGCCGATGCCTCGACAGCCCAATAGATTCATCATTCTGGAAGGCGGGGTGGGGGGGCTTCGGGGGTCCCCTGGTCCTGCCGCCTGCGCGAGGGAGGGGCCATTTTTTGCCTCGCTACCTAGCCTCCACCTTGCCGCCGCGTCCCGAGGAGCTGGAAGCCCGCTGTTGAGGCTGCTGCCACCTTGCCAGCTTCCAGGAACCCAGCAGGTTTGCAGCTTGCCTTCGATTCAAGGTTTCTGTCACATTGAACCGCACTTCGAAACGGAAAAGGGGTTGAACGGATGCGACGGCGGCACTGGCCCGAAGCCGTATTCTATCCCCCTCCACCCCCGTCTCATACGTCTCATCTCGCACCAGCGAGACGGGAAAACCGCCGTATCATGAGGTCGGCACCGTTTTCCACACCTCCATGAGTGAACCCCCCCCCCTAAAAAAAGAAAAAACCTCCAGCTGAAAGAAGCTTCTACTCAACAGCGAGAACCAAGGTTCCGAGCTTCCAAGTCTATTCCCACGACGACGAACGGCCACCGAACATTCTACCTACCTGGGCAGGTTGCCTCTTGCATAACTCAATATAATAGGCGCGCTTATCCAGTCAAAGATTGGGGCCATCCCGGGATCTTCCCATTCGACCGGCATGTGCCCGACGCCTGGCGACTCTCGTTGTAGAATTTGAGACTCTGCCGATCACCTGGTAGAGAGCTATCGAATCCGCCCGCCGTACCTTACAGATGCCTTACTTTACTACATACGCCACACCAGGGAGCACGAAGTAACAGGGGGAAAAAGAAAAAAAGAAAGAAAGAAAAGGCTCCACCGACTAACGTAGGTTCGTTGAAGAAGTCAGCATGACCAAGAAATTGTTGTTGCGCACCTGCGTTGGACATCTGAGTTGGGCACGCCGCATCTCTTATTACCTTAGCTGGCGTAGCGCTAGCTTGTTGGGTTGGCCCGCCTCACCTGACCACTACTGTACACCCCGCTCCCGTCTCTCCCGTTTCCCGCCGTGCGGATGCGCATTTGTTGGCTCGGGGTTTTGCCGCTCGTGTTCAGCTGCTGGAGCCTGGAGGAGGAGAATCGCCGTTGCATCCGGGTCATTCGCCCGTACGAAGAGGTACTAAGTTTAGATGCGTGAGGTGGACCCTTCCCAAAACCACGCAACGCCACCAACTAAACGGGATTGTGGGGGTTTGTTGGTTTCTTCATGTTGTCGACATGTTGAGACTGACAGGTACGTAAGATCCGTACAGAGACGCCCAGGTACCTTTCATTTACGTAGCTGAAGTCTGGCAGCACCCCGAACTCGCGCCCTCTCCCGCAACCTCTCCCGCAACCGTAATATGCATCCTCATCGTAAACACAAAAATGACCAGCGGTTACCCCCTTTTCTCTAAACCAATGCCAAGCACAGACCAGACTTCAGATGATTCACGTCCTGCGCCAGACGATGACCGCACAAGGGTGGAACGACCAAGAGGATGCAATAAGGTATGAGTTGAATTCTTTGCCAAGCTTTTGGCACGTTTTCATACACCAAAAAAAAAAAAGGGGCGCCATGTTCCCGAGGCTGCTTGTCCATGTCTCCGACATGTCAGAGAGATACTCCGCGGATGACCCGACATGTCCCTGAAGAGCCTTGCAGCTTTTCTCCTCCTATGTTGTAATTACAAGGTTATATCCTTACAAAACCAACCCAGATACCTCATAGTACAAATCGGCACGCCCATTCGTACTTTGATAGCTGAGAGACGCCGCCGTCGCCCACCTATGAAACGTACACAGCCGCCAGTCCAGTCTTCGTCGGTGCAACACAGACTCCTTTAAGCGGCCGAGTAGGCGGCCGTCACGAACCGTCCGCATTCCACCCTCTGCTCCAAGCTCACCTTCCTGCCCTTGCCGTCCTTGCCCAGCCGCACCGTCTGCCGGGGCGTGAGCTGGAACCGGTGCACCTCGCCACCGCGGCCCATCACGGCGTCGCCCGCGCCCCCGTCCAGGGCACCAATGTAGGCCGGCGCGTTGAGGTTGCTGCGTTTTCCCGTGCCGAGCTGGTAGTGCTCGTTGCCGCCCCAAAAGAGCACATCGGCGCCCCAGTTGGTGTCGTTGTCGGAGCTCCGCGTCGTGGCGCCCGTCCGCGTGACGTTGTCCATCGTCGCTGAGACGTGCGTGGCTCCCACCGAGACGGAGGCGAGGCGGATGGGCGCCATGCGGTTCGCCTTTTCGTCAAACTCGAAGAGCGAGGAAAGGGCCTTCACCTTGGCCGGACCCGGCGTGACGTGCGTCCACTTGCCCGTGCCGAGGGAGCCATAGACACCCTGGCCGCACGCCCAAAAGTCTGCCGTAACGCGTGGCATGCGGCGGGCGGGCGCGAGGTCCCCGCTGACTACCTGGCTGCTGCTCTCGCCGGCCTCCGTGGCGTCCACGGTGAAGAAGGTATTGTTGCCCCCGGCGGAGATTGATGTGATCTTGGGGATAAGGCCTGTATTGGCGTAGAGTTTGGCGGTGGGGAGGAGGGACGGCACGTCCACTCTCTGGTAGGTCTGCTCTGCCGGCAGGCCGAGCTGGCCGTACGTGTTATCGCCAAAGGTGAAGAGCTTGCCGTCCTTGTCCAAAGCGGCAGAGTGCAAGTCGCCGGCGGCGATCTTGGCAATGTTGAAGCCTGAGAGGCCGGTGATCTCTTGCGGTTGGTCAAAGGGTCCTGCCGGGCGGGACGTCCAGCTCAGGCCCGGAATACCCATCTGGCCCTTGGAGGGGTACTCGGCCGTGCTGGAAGCCGCGGAGAAGACGCGGCCCTTCGAGGTCAGGAGCAGGCTGTGCTGGAGACCGCTGCTGATGTCTGTGACCTTTTCACCCCAAGCAAGGTTCTTGGGGGTGAGGTCCCTGGCCTTGACGGACTGAGATTCGCCCGAGCTCCAGAAGGGGATCCAGGACGATGACGACTGCTGGGACTGCTGTAACTCTTTTCCTGCAGCAAGGCCGCTCCGTGATGCTGGGACTGAGTATACTGACCCATTGGATGTGAGTGCGACGATGCGGTCGTTGGAGATGGAAATCTTGGAAATGTCCTTGCCCTTGAGCGTCTCGACGGGCGAAGGGTCAGTATTTGAGAAGCCCAGGCCCCATTGCACGAGATCGCCCTTCTCCGTGACGGCAGCGCCAAAATCTTGACACAGTTTGATGTCCCGCAGTAGCTGGCCATCAAAGTGCTTGATTCTTCTCGGCACCTTAACAAGGTTCTCCTTGGACTGCGGGTCAATCACTTTGCCGACATTGCTTCCCCAAGCATAGACGCCTGGGTTCTCCCAGCTCTGTTTGACCTGGAGATGCTGAGAGCTGATGAGGTCGCGGTTCTCCTCCTTTGACTGCGCCGCCTTCCTCGCCTCCTCAAACTTGATCTCGGCCTTTTGGTACTTTGGCTTGCGCGCGTCGTTGGATTCCTGGTCAACCTCGGAGCCAAAGTATTGCTTCAAGGGTCCGTTGAAGTAGTCATCGGCGTAGTACAGACCACCAGCGGTTCCTGCCGTCAGGAGCAAAGCCTTCGCCTTGCCCGCCCCCGACCTCCCACCAGCCCGGCGAGGCCCGGAGCTGGCATGGCGGCGAGCCACGGCAGCGCATCTCTGCGCTGTAAGAGAGGCGCCGGCGTTGCGTGCAGCAGCCCTGTAAGCCTTCATTTTCGGGCCTATGAGAGTTGATTGGACAGAGTGGTAGAGGTTGAGAGATATTGGGATGATGAGAGCATTAAATCAAGATTACAGTGACGGAGTAACGACCTTGAGTGAGAGAGAGAGGTGTAGCCAGGCAGTCGCTTACAGGTCGTGAGGTCATCCACGAAAACTAAAACTTCGATTCGCCCAGCACTAAATCTAGACTTTCCCAGACCCCTGCCAGTACAGGGACCGTGCGCCCCGCTGCGGGTGAACATGCGTGCCCCACTTCGCAGCTCCAACCGCTCGCTATTGGGGCCAATGATTTTCCGCCCAGTTTACGCCTGCGATAGGGGAGCTGAGCTGTCCCGTCCCGACGGTGGTGGGAGCACCGACCGGCGCCATACCGGACCTCTTCCGCCGCCAGAGCTTCACTCTCACCACCCGGTCCAGGAAATCCCTCCAGGACCTTGAGACGAGCCTACCATGTACGACGATTCTTGGTACAGCTTCGTGCCGGAGGTGGCCAAGAAAGCTGCCACCACGGCCGCCCAGAGTACAGGCCATCGTCGCAAAGAGTCGCTGTTGCAGCAGTCGAATGTCAGCTCCCAAACCCCCACCACCACCACCATCACCACCGCGACGGCAAACTGACTGTTGATGTTACCAAAGGGTGCCCCCCAAGCTTCCAATGCAATAGAAGCTCTCGACGAGATTTTTGAAGAGATCGAAGACCGGAACACGCCCCCGGAAGCCACGGTTTTGCGTCGCGCAAAATCGTATTCCGACTTTTACCATGTCGTTCGAGCTCAGTTAGCAAAGGATGAGCAGCAGAAGAGGCGCAGGAGGAGGAAAGACAAGACTTGGGATGCGCTAGATGTTGCAACAGGAGTCGCCGACGCCAAGGCCGATCGCCGTCCCGTTCATCGCCAGTACGAGGGGGAACTGCTCGAGGCTAGCCAGCAGGAATACCTGTGAGTTGCGTCAGTTGCACCCGGAACTCGCCCTTTCTAACCGCCAGAGCAGACTGTACAAGGATCAACTGACGCTCACCGAACGGCACCTCGACATGCTCATCGACGACACAAACCAAGCACTAAAGCTGTTGACGACACTATCCGAATCGTTCCAGTCCGTGGAGGCACAAACGAGTTCATTCCAGTCGCAGTGCGAAGACCTTTTGTCGGAACAGCACAGACTTGAGAAGCTGGCGGACGAGGTCGGCACCGATCTCCACTTCTACGCATACCTCGATACTGTTTCCAGGCGACTTAATGCTCCTGGCGCTGGACGTCTGGTTGATGACGATTCTTTCGGCGAGATTTTGAGAAATCTAGACTCTTGTATAGGGTTCATGTCGAAACACGTAAGTTTTTCTGTCATGGCAGGCGTCAATGAAGCGAGGTTGAATAACAAAACTAGACGACGTACCGTGATGCTGAGTCATACCTCGCTCGGTACGAAGCTTTGCTGACCAAGGCACTTCATCTTCTCGAGGTCGGCTTCACCAACAGACTGGATAGCGTTTCCTCTGAGATATCGGGCCAAATTGCAGGAACCAAGTCCGAGGCCACCCGCCACGCTTTGGCATATGGGCGTTTTGAGGAAATGATTCTTGATTCCTACTCCTTGATCCCCAATATCCACAAGGTAATCAATAGCGTATACGACGAATACGGGCTTCCGATCGCTGGTGTTGCCAATGATATCTACTCGAATACTACGGGAAATCTCTTTAGCTCGTACTTGGCCGTTCGAGATCGCGACTTGAAGCCCATCGTGCAGCACGACCAGGAAGAGTTCAAGAAGGAGATCAAAGATCTTTCCGTTGAGACAGCTTCAAGGAATTACATCAAGCAGAGCTTCGAACGCGCGTTCAACGAGGCCAATCTATTTGCCAAAATCTTCGGTCTGGATCTCCAGTGGAGCTCCGATCCGGAGTCGGCGTACGGGGTCCTCAAGTCCAACCAGAGATCGCTCGTCAACCCCGCAAATCTTGTTCAGTTAGCCAGTAATCTGAATGCCGCGTTGCAGACGGCGGATCTAGACACCATCTGCAGTGTGGTTGGCTGGTTGACTAACGAGTATCTGGTCCTCGACTATGATGAGGAGGAATCTCCCTTCGCCCGTCAATGTCGCGAGCTCAGCGCCAGACTCCTGACCGAGCACCTCTGGGTCTTTACGGATAATGCATTCGAGGCCGAGATTACAAAGACGATCTCCAAGGCCGCGGTAAAGGATGAAGCTCTCACCGTTGGCCCTGTGGTCGGCGGCGTTTCTTCTTCGAATGCCTTCGCTCCTGTCAAACAAGCACTCAAGCTGTTGGCCATGTACGACCAGGCCATGCCCAAAGAACGAAGCGTGAGTTTAACAGCACTTGAAATCGGCTGCTTGTCATAAGCTAATACACCGCAGCAAAAGAACAGCCAGGTTGTGTTCAAGATCGTCCGGGAAACCATCCAGATCCTGCAACGCGCCGAGGCGCGCATCAAGTCCATCAAGGCCGGCACGGACGCCGATCTTTTCATGGTGAAGAACCTTCTCATCATCAAGAACGAGCTCGTCTCCCTCGAAATTGGAGATATTCACGGAGACACGGCCGCCATGCAGCACTTCGGCCACATCTGGGACAACCTCAGCCCCCAGAGCTGGGTAGGCTTCGTCAGCAACATTATCGGCGGCTCTCTCTGGTCTCGGGGTACGGGATCGGCGACGCAGCAGCAGCCGTCCGTCACGGCCAAGACGCTGACGGTCGAGGACATGAGCGAGCAGCTGGACGAGCTGCTGAGGCAGTCCATCGTCGCTTTCACGCAGCGCTGGGGCGGGCTGACCAACGACGCAAGGGCCAGGAAGCCCGGCGTGAAGCCCATCGGCAAGGTCGAGAAGGAGCTCGACGAGGTGCTGCTCAGGGCTTTCAGCAACCAGCCCGAGGTGATTGCGAAGCTGAAAGAGGCGATTCAGATCAATGCGCAGGCGCAGGAGACGGCGCAAGAGGAAAAGAAGGGAATTAGACGGTACTGAGGTGTTTTCCAGCGCTCACACATGGATGATGCGGCCACGATCAAGAATCCAATGAGGAATTCCGTGTAATGTCATGATTACGTGCAGCTCGGTCTGAGGTACTCAACGCGTGTCTACGTGCTAATGCCACAATCCCGTGTCCCGCAAACCCGACGTCGAGACGAGCCTTGGTTGAATAGGAAGAATTGATAAATTTCTAGGACCTCGCTGGGTGGTTCTGTTGTCCTTGTCAAGCTGCTCTCCGGCTTGAATGTGCTAAAGCTCAAAGCCACAAAGTAGGGATCGCAGAATCTCCGAATCGAAACCGGCCTGGAGAGTAAGGCTGCCAAACAGATTCTATCGGTTGCATTTCTACTTGTAGAATCATCATCTCCCCACTCAGATTACGATGATTTCACTTTGGCGAACCATCACCCCCGGATGTTGCGGGCTGACTCTGGATGTGTTGGGGCTTCTAGACCCCAGGACATGAGCATAAGACGCCCGGGAAGAGCCTAGGGGAAAAGGAGTCATGGTCTGACAAGTGTGCCAGTGGCAAAAGTGCAATTTGTAGGATGATCGGCTGAGCGTCGACGCAGTAGATGGTTGGTCACCCTGCGGTGTGACACAACCCCATCCACGCAGCCTTTGTATTGTCCTTTGCATTGTGGTATGGTGGCAAGATGGAGCGTGAACCGCGAAGCAGAGGTACGGCAGGCAGCATTATGAAACCCCGTGTGCTGCTTCCTCTTAGGAGGAGGCCTGGCTCTTCCGATGGCGTGCGGACAGTGCTTTGTCGATGACTTTTTCCCCGAGAGAATCTTCCCGGCAACGCTATTTCTACTCGTGTTCCCCATGGGTTTGTTGAAGGTGATAACAATCTACGGATCGAGAAAAGCCTGTTACCATGACACAAGTCGCACAGAACGTTACCAGCCGGTACCTCAAGAAGGCCAGCCTCCAACAGCTCCTCGAGAAGATCTTCCCAGGGCACACCAACTTTGACATTGAAGTATGCCTTGCGCGCGCGAGGCGCACCCTGTTCCGAAAGCAACAGCCCCCCATTGACTGAGACTGCCTACAGATGAGAGATGACGTTTGGCATTTCAAGGCACCGAAGGAGGTTGACACTGTATGTTACTTCAAGCCAAGCGGAAGTATATCTTGTTACGCGAAACTAATGGATATAACAGGATGCCATAGAGTAAACGCTACCAACACGATTGAGAGCAATGTACGAATCGAGACATCAAGCTAACAAGGAATCCTAGTGCCGTGCGAGATCAGTGAGTGTGGCCGATGGCGGGCGACGGGCGACGGGTGTCCAGCGGGTGGGTGGGCAGTGCAAGCACGGCGACGTGCCAGCAGCGTCAGCATTGGCGGGGAGGACAGGCAGCGGATCACAGAAAGCCTTGCGACGCCAGATTGAGTACATATAATAAGGCACTGAAAGCAAAATGCCTGCCAAGATTGTTTCTCACTACTTCTGCGCACTGATGTCCTACAACTACCTTAAATGGCGCCAACGCAGCAGTGCTTCGTCGACGAGGTCGTCGAGCCTGTCAGGCTTTACAGCTTGACGCGGTCACCAGAAAATGAGGATGAAAACGGCAAAGCTACCCAATTCAGACAGAAGCTCATCACTGACTTGAATGAGTTGAGTGATCATTTAGCTGGTACGCAAGACGAGGAGCATGTCTATCGCTTCATGTATGTCGTATCTGCATGGTCAACAGGGGCTGCGCTCAATCACCTTGCTAATTTCATGGAGCTCGATCTGCCAGCGCCACTCATGGCGGCCTTTGCAAATCACGAGTTCCACGTTTGATCTTCTCATGGAAAAGCTCAACTTGGACAGTTCTTTGCGAGATCTCGCGTCATGCTTTTACACCCGGAACACCAGTGTAGAGGAGGTCTTTTGCATGCCGTACACCCAGCGACGAAAGGGATCCGTTGTCGGTGTGTAGAACTTGATTCAACACCTTTCCAACTACTGCTAGGAGACTAATCATCTAGAAGAAGCATCGTACACCGTTCGATATCCAGAACACAAGCCCGACGAGAACAGCTGGGTGATTCGCCAGACCGGGGTGTACCACCGCTCTGATTCAGGTTCTCGTCAGAGTCTTTCCCTTATGATGAATCCAATGCCGACATCACAGGCCAGCAACAGAGCCATTGAGTGGCTCTCCCGCAGCGTTGAAGACACCGAGGCCGATCCCTTCTGGCTGCACAAGGTCGTGTTCGAAACTTACCTGCCGTTATGGAGGTCCTACATCGCATCGCTAGAGCGCCAGTTCCTACCGTTGGTGAGAAACAACATACCCACCCATCCTTCTCATGATCTGATTCTGACAATTCGCCATGCAGTCGCGTACAACATTTGCAAACTTTGTCGACGAACCCTCGACGATGAAGTTCAGCCACTTGACGAGGCTAGCCAGCCTCGAAAACCGTTTCCTCCAGATCCCAGCGATTTTGGAATCATCCGAAGACACGCTGAAGGAGCTGTCTGCTCTATGCGCCAACCACCTTCTCAAGGGAACACATAGCAATGATGACGTGCTTCGGAATTCCATCGCAGAGTTTGACAACTTCCGGCGCCAGTGCAGGGTGTTCTCGCGGACGGCGACCTATTTGCATCAACGCGCGCAGACGACCTCGCAGCTGCTCGCCAACACGCTGTCCTTTCGGGAGCAGCTCGACACGAGGAAGCAGAATGACAACATGCTAAGCTTGAACAAGTCGGTGGTCTTTATTACTACGTTGACATTACTTTACTTGCCACCTTCATTCGTAGCCGTGAGTAGCCTCGTATCCCCTCCCACAAGCTCCAGCCACAAATGGAAGACTATCGCAAGTCAACTGACCCTATTATTTTCTTTTGACAGACTTTCTTCGGAATGAACTTTTTCGACTTAGACCCTGCCAGCGACAGAATCGTCAGTACCTCAATGATCTGGATATACGTGCTCTGCTCTGTGCTACTCACGGCAGCCACTTTCGTGACATATCACATGCTGCTGAAAGGAAGCCATCTCAATGTGAAGATGTCCGAGATGAAAGACCTGAACTGGCGGAAGCTATTGCATCGAGAGAAGCAAACAAATAGTGACGTCGAGTTAAAGAGGCTACACGTTTGAGAAGGTGTTGGAAGGCCGGGGACCTGTGGACGCAGCGTGTCTACCAGAGAGAACAATCTTGAAAACAGAGTGCCGATTGGGACCCACGAGAGCAGTGACGAGGATGTGGCTGTTGCCATTGTCGCCTACTAGGGTGCCGGTGAAGTCGTCATTCTCAGATAGACTGGATAGTTGCGCCAGTTCGCGGACAGTCACCGGGGCCCTCGTTTCAGGTCTTGTAATTATCTCAAGCAGGAGTATCGGACCGCCATCTGATTGGGTTCCGAGTGCGAATATCGTGTCGTCTTTCTGATCCACCATGACCCTGAGTAGACGGTAATCTTCAATGGTCTTGGGGTACCGGGTTCGGTTCGTTGCTTGGGGAGGTCTGCCCCCGAGGATATCGACAGTGAAGAGCCGAGTCTCTCGGGAGACGATTATACAAGCGGCTTGTTGGTGTAACCCGGCAAACGCCGTGAAGAGACTTGAACCGTTGCTCTCATGGCCCTTCAAGATGAAATTCGGGTCAGTACCAGGTCTCCCTTGATGATTTAGACATGAATGAGTCGAGGACGACTTACCCGCGGCTCGATGACTACTTCCTCGGTGTCCTTGTTTATGAGGGAGTATGAAACAACTGGTATTTGGTGGGTGCCAGTTTCTGTCAGGTACGGACGAATGGCCGCGTTGCAACGGTTCTGCCTGGTGAGCGATATTGACATTACGTCTTCAGCAGGCCAGCCGAGTGTGGTAAATTTATCCAACAAGACTTTGCCACTCTGTTCTGTTCCATGCTCCTCGGAAGTAGATCCGATCCTGCTTTCTTGGTCAGTTACCTATTTACGGATGCCGAAAAGGTACATGCGAGCAAGCAGGCAAATGCGGGGAGGGGAGCTCACTCTATCAGATACTCGATTCTCACATGGAATATGGACCCCGAAACACTCTCGTCCTCCTGGTTCTCCACTACACACACCAGGTTCTGGTGGTCGGTTGACGTCGTCATGATGTAGACTTCTGGGACTGTTGGAAGGCGAATGTGCCAGTGGATCTTGAGGTTAGAGTCAACTGGAACCCCCGTCCCCATATCAAAAATGTAACACTAGAATACAGATGATTAGCAATACCAATAGGGTCTCCGGTATGCAACCTACGTTGAAGATGTTCCCTGTGGTTGTGGCGACCAGATATCTGTTTGTCAGGCACACTGCTTTCCAAAACCGGCTCGTCGTTTCCAGGGACTCCAAGGAGTATTCGCCGACGGCTACCATCATGACCTCTTCCTCCTCGTTAGGGATAGTGGATAGGGTGAAGAGTGAGATCTTATTGTCACTCCAGTAAGCCACAAAGTTTCCGTCTGGTGATACTCTGCAACCCTTGAAAACATCGAACTTGTCCGGTGGTATTATCCATTGTTGGACAGTTTGTGTTGTGGAAGACTTGGGTTTGGAACGTCTCCTGGACAACGGTTAGTCTTCAATGCCGAGAGAGGGAAAAGCTCTATCCATGAATACTAAACTTACCGTTTCATCACCTTGAGATAATCGAAACATGTAAACTTTGACACAGCTCGTTCTGCCATGGAGGCTTTGGAGGAGGATTCGGACCTGTCGATCTCTTCATACTCTTCAAGCGTTCTTTTGAGCATATTCTCGACCTCCTTTGCGCTGCATCTCTTGTCTTGGTTGATCCTCAGAACCTTGGACTCTAGGAAATGCAGCATTGCCCGAACTGCTTCCTTTTCTCTCAAGCTCCTCGCGGCAGCTTTGTGGACGAGCTGTTTGTGGACGTCCTTGACAGCCGAGTGTAAAGTAGAAACCCCAAACGGCTTGACGTGGAAAAAGACATCGTAGCTTGCATCGATGCCCCTGCGGTTTTTAAGACGGCTCGTCTCGTAATTGTCAATCGCCGTTTTACCGCCCTCGAGATAAACGAATAGAACACTGAGCACGCAGCCCAGTGACCACACGTCGCTTCTCGTGTTCATGACTTTACCCTCACGAAACGACTCTGGAGGCAGGTATGTCCCCTGTCCGCGCCGATTCTGGGTCCCAGACATCGTCCTCTGTTTCATGTCGCGTCGTTTCGTAAACCACTTGGCAATGTCCCTCTCTTCCTCGTGGCTGGTCTGGTGCCGGATCTTGACTCTCGACATCCCAAAGTCACTCAGCTTCCAGATGTAGCGGGGCTCGTGCCCGTCGCCGGTACCGTTTTCTCGAAATATGAGGACGTTGCTCGGCTTCAGATCCATGTGATAGCAGACGATCCGTTCGAGGCCGGGGGTCTGCATCTCTTCGTGAAGAAACTTGAGGCCGTTGGCGAGACCTATGGCAGACCGGAGGAAGCCGGCCCTGTTGTACGCCGTCTTTGGCGCATTCGAGCCGTCCTTTTTCATGTATGCGCCCAGGTCGCAGACCGCCAGCGGCATGAATAGACTGTACAGCGTTGGGCTGGCACCCGTTGGAAATTCAATGCTCAAAGTCCCGAGGTTCTCCAAAATGTTTTCGCAAGTCTTGGACAGGCTAAGAATCATTTTCATAATCTCGCCTTCTTCCCTAGTCTCAACATCGGAATCTGAGGACGACCTGATAATGTAGTCTTTCCGAGCCACCCATCGTTCCTTGTTATCGTTCTTCTGACGATCCTCAAAGTGTCCCTTGGCAATCTTTACTTTGAAAACTCTACCGAACGATCCTGATCCCAACAGCTCCTCCTCCACGTACGGACGACGCTGGGTGTCGCCGTCTTGTATCGTAGTCTCCTCTCGTTGTCGAAGCACTACAGTGCAGAATGGGGCCTGAGACCCAAAAAACTTGTCTGCCGTAGCTTCGTCCCCGTCAAAGAACTCCGTCAGGCTTTGACGGTCGGCAGGTAGCGAACATACGCGTCGAGCAATCACATGGTCCGCGGGCGGGGGCCACTCAGGAGCAGCAGCCAGCTTCTCTGTGAAGTTCCTCGCTGCCTCGATACGGCAGCCGGCAAACGCAATGATTGCAAGAAAGTTGTGTAACTCTCTTTTATGGACCTCTTCGACAAATTGGTCCTCTGTGATGTCGAATTGGCGTCCGTTGGGTACCTCCTCGCCGATCAGGCTACGGAAAAAGAGTCGGAGATGGTGCGGGCTCAAAACACTCTTTGCCGTCTCGCGGGTGGCAAATCGTAGACTCTCACTGTCCCTCCGCTCGAGGTGTCTCAAAAGCAGGTTGTGAACGTCGTGGCACAAATCAAGGTACTCATGAGAAGACATGGTTCGTTGCGCCAGAAGTAACGTACGTTGTCATTGAAGCGGCGTTTGCATGTCTTTCCCCGGAAAGTTTAATGAAGAACTGGATCAACTCATATTAGCCAGCAGAACCATGAAGAGATGATTCGAGTTTGCTATTCGAACTGCCGGGTCGGACCGAGAGAGGGGCTGGCATTCCAGGTGGCGTGGCAAGACAAATCATCTGCAGCCAAGCTCCGTCAGGCGGCACGCAGAATGAGGCAACCGCTGACTGCGCCCATATTGGCGCTGACCGCATGCTGCACCCCAGCATCGTTGCCGAAACAGTACTTGCTTACGCCCAAATATTTGATGTTCCGCTCTTCCTTAACCGAAGAAAGGGCTTTAAAGCGAGCGGGCCACGTCAGTAAGGTTGAGTAGTTGGCGTCGGGAATGATGGCTGAAGGATTGAAACAATAAAGCTTAGTGCTAATAGGGTAAAACATATTATGAAAAGTGGTTCAAGTATCTGCTAGTGAACTTGAGTTGCCAAAGTACTTGAGGCTCTTCTGAGCATGAACTCAGAGCTCCTTCAATGTTCTACTCAATAAAACCAAATTCTTATTGGCTATAGCTTTAGTCACCGTATTTGACGTACATGTACAAATTACATTGGGGGAGGGACGCAGACATCAATTACACGATAGCCTACCTTCTGTTCTGCTTCTCTCAGGAAAGTAATTGCGAAATGCCTATACTAAGTAAAAACGTTTCATAATCATCTAGCACCCTCACCATTTGCGGTCAAAGTATGGTGCTTTAATGCCCTTAGTTTTGCCCTTGTCCTCAAGTTCCAACTTCTTGGGTTTACGTAGGATATTCGTTACACTTGCCTAAGTAACATGCTTCGACGCAAATCTCCTCGTGGACGGTACGGACCACGAGTTTCGTACAGCGACAAGCTGGAGGAGCTGAAGGACTCACCCCCTTACCCGCCAAGGTAAAAGAGCCTAGAAAATTTTATCACTTTGGACGATCATTACTCGCCTCAGTAAGGTAGCATGGCGACACCGCAATGGTGTTGAACCGCGGGGTTAATCAAGGAGGGAATGGCATCGGAAGACATACGCTCTCTGAGCTCAAGTTTTGGTACCACCTGCGGATTATCCTATCACTTTTTGAGGTAGATTCGATCTCGCTCATCAAGCTTCGCGCAATCTCACACAGCATCACCTCGAAGCTTTCCTTAGGTCTTGATAGGAGTGTGGGGAGCAACCTGGAATACCTTCAAATGCAGTGGTTTCCGGCCTGCTTGGCAGGAATTCGATATCTCTGACTTATACCTCAACCTGTGTACGATATTATTGGGCTTATCCATACATGTCCAAAGCTGCAGCAAGGCTCTGGCATCCCTATCGAGCTATCCCCTGATGAAAACGATGTTGCTAGGACTTTTGACGCATTAACAGTCGCATTCCTGAAGGCTACATTTATAACTGCCCGCTACTCTTAGATCATGCTAGAAGAATACACTTAGCTTCTCACCTGCCTTTTCACAGCAAGTAGTCTACATCGATTCCTTTTGGAAGCTGCATGGAGCATAGAACTGCCAAGGTATGCGCTTGCTTCCAAGAAGAGGAATGTGTTTGCCTAGTTTTCTGCCTTTCTCAAACGAAAAGAAGCAAGCCCTCACCTGTTTGAACCCGCTGCATTGGCAACCTAAGTCTGGCGAGCCGCCCTTTGCTTGCTCATTCCGTAGTACCCAATCACCCCATACTGCAGGTGCGCGTAACTACGGTTCGCACTGACTGTACAGACGATCAGGGAAACGCGAGGTGGCAGTTGCCACCTCGCGTTCAGATGGATCTGGAATCGAATACCGGGCAAGAGATACTGCGATCGTCATGGCAGACGGAATCTAGGGTCGTACTGACTGACCCTCACAACTATCCACCAACACTTGTTGGACAAGGTTACCGATCGCAGTTTTCCTTGCGCCGCAGCCGGAACGCCGCTAGTTCCCCACCAGACCATCCGGAGGAAGGCGTTGCGGCACAGCTGCCCCAGCAGTGACAAGGGGACCTCGCTCTTCAGCGACCAATGAGGACACAGACGGATACGCGAACAAAAGATGGGCGCCAAACTTGAGATAAAGTTGTGGACAAAGTTTTTGGCGCCGGCCGATGAAGATCCCGAATTATGAAGTAAACAGACCCTGACAGACTTCTTCCTTCTCCCTCATCGCAGCAGATGGCGGTGGGAATTATGCCAGCCGACTAAGTTTGACAAGACAGATCTCAAGATCGGCTCACTAGCTTGTCAGCTTCGACTAGTGTAGGTGGGAAGGTTGGAAGTGTTTGGGGTAAGTGTGAACACCACAGTCTCTACCGGATCAACAAACTTTGGTAGCTGAGCTGGTGGGAAGTAGGTGATCTCCCGTCCAGACAGACGACTTTCGGACTGTATTCTACGCGATGGCAGAAGATGATTGGCCATGCCTGTCGATGGAGAGTGTGCCGGGACAACCCTAAGCCCCAGTCGCATCGGGAAGAGCCCGAAATGCTGGACACAGCAAGGAAAAAGTCGCTGTACCCAATTGGGCGAGGACCGCTTCTTCGTCAACGGGCCGGCCAGCTGGAAGATTGCCTAAATCCTGGTCCGTCTGTGAGATCACACTTTTGATCTGTCACAAAAGAGCAAACACCCTAATAATAGGCTTACTCCGAGCTGCCTGTTCAGCAAGTTACCAACGAAGGGGAGGTGGGGTATGGCGCCGGGCAAGTAAAGCCGTAAATGGTCTGACCCAGATAGGCCGAGGTGAGCAATGATTAACCACAGCGTCCCTCGCTCCTCGCTCAGTAGTGAGTTTGTGAAAGCTGTTCGCCAAACACAGTTTAGCTGCCAAGCGCCATGCAAATGCTGCTCACGTGCCTGCGTACCGTGGCAAATGTCCACGACCAACAGGCACGCAACCCAGGGACGGCCGCAATGGCAGCATGGCGTAGAAGCCTTGTAGTGTAGAGGCATACGAGAGCTTTCGACCAGCCCGCACCGTCTGCGTCGTTAGGGGAGGTTTTGCTCTGACCCCATGGTCCAGCCCTTCGGTGGGTTTGCTTTTGCCAAGTTACACCCCCCTCCATATCGTGCCGCGTGGTGTCCGAGGTTCTGGATGGCCAGATCCACATCGATGGGGTATCGATAGGTTGTGAAGGATATCGAATGAGATTCTGCCAGATCTGCATTGTGCCGAGATGCGGAAACAGGGCCTGTCCTGTATGGGAATTGGGCAGGTTTCGCTGTCGGCCAAGACCGTGAACTTATCCAAGTCTACCTAGTACCTACCTACTATCTCGTTGATCTGTGGCAAATGCCTGAGATGAGCGATCGATGTGCGGCCAGGGGAATGCGACGAGGAACTTTGGAAGCGGCGAAGACCCTGCACGAAGGGTCTTTGCTGTGCTACCGATCCACGCTAGTGATGCGGCTCGCAAAGGTCGGGGAAGCAAAGCTTATTTCGGAGTTGACTAGGTGGCGTTACTGATTGGTTGAGGCTTTGTTAAGTAGCGCCGGCGAACCAAAGGTGGCCAGAAGCCGTTCCACCGTTGTCCGGTGCTCCAGACGGAGCTGCCGATGTGGATCGCTCCGCGCCGTGTTCCCGTCTTTCACGGTACACCTCCACCGGGGTTTCATACGTTAGCGCAATACTTACCAGCAGACTTTACCAAAATCGGTAGCAGCCCTGCAAAGTCACGATACTTATACTTATATATAAAATATATAGTAAAATAAGGATCG